GGGGGGGTTGGGGGGGGGGTTGCGTCGCATACCGGGCAGATAACAGTAGAATGGCTTCTCTCGGGTGTGGCTCCTCATGTGCGCCTTGAGCGCGTAGCCGCTGGCGTGCGGCATGCTCTTGCGCGAACAACCGACCCATTCGCAAGTGTATTTCTTTTGCCGACTCTCAATGTGGTCGTTGTGGATATGCTCGACGAGCCTGTCCATGTTCCCCATATCTCCTGTCCTACACCCTTCCCACGCGCAGACGGTGATCTGCTCCTGGAAGTCATCTTCGTCTTGTCGCGCGTGTATGGGTGAGCTGGGAACGTCGCCATCGGTATCTGACGAAACGTCAGACATGCCCTCGAGCGGGTCTGGGCCAGCGTCGTGGTCGTGGGCGGCCGCAGAAGGCGTCGCTGATCGGCCAGCGGTTGTAATCTTGAGCCGCTTTGGGGGTGGTCCATCGTCGAGGACCTCGGTGGCCTCGTCGGGAAACTCGTCCTCGGAGGAATCCATTGAGGACAATGGCGAGTCGTCTGCGGGGGAGTCGGCCCTGACCATTGTGCTGATGTGGGAAAGGGGGAGATGATTAAGGATCCGATGCTGGCAACAATTGAATTCAAGAATAACCGATACTTGGTCTCTGGAGACGAATGAGTTTCCTTCGTTGATGGAAGTCGTGGAACGTCAAGAAATACGGCGATGGTGTTGAATGAGGGTGAAGTCTACGCCTATAGGTTACGCGGATATAGGCATTACGATCCGATGATGAATGGGGGAAGAGTCTGAGAGCTAAATCCCAGGTCGTTGGATTTTACAAACATGCAGGAAGTCGCCGGCTGGCCTTTGGCGCAAGCATCCAGTGGCGCGGACAGCAGCATCCCGACTCCGTCGCGCGCGCCGCGGTTCTGGAACAGGGGTAATTATTTCAGCTCAGAGAACCCCGGTAGGCCTTGTCAGGTGACCGCAGCTGTTGAGAAGGTCAGTGACAAAGGAACCAGCCGGGGTTGCCACTGGCGCGTGAAAAGAGGCGGCCAGGGTCTGTTTACCCCTCCCCCACCATAACAATAAATAAGTTTGAGTCGAGGCCTGCGCCCCCGTGCCGAAGCGCCCCCGACTTCTTTTTCCTCTTCGCTTTTTGCAAACCGACGCATTTACACAATATCGAGCCTCCCAGCAGGTACTATTGCAACACTAGTTCTTGTTTCGCCACCACAATGGCTCCGTCTCCCAAGATATTTTCCCTGGAAGGGAGGGGTCTGAAACTTGATTCGGCCGAGGACCTCGAGGCTCACATCGCTGATCTGCGGGCCGCCGCCGATATCGAGGAAGTCCGCCTCCTCGGCAACACCCTGGGGGTCGGCGCATGCCAGCGACTCGGGGAGGTGCTTGCCACAAAGAAGACCTTAAGGGTAAGCCGCCGAATTCATCAGATTTAGAGAGGAGAATGAATACAAGTAAAAGTCAGCGCGAGAGAAATTCACTAACAACTGTCCCACCCGCAGGTCGCCAACCTCGCCGATATCTTCACCGGCCGTTTGCTTAACGAGATTCCCGAAGCGCTGTCTTCCCTCCTTACCTCGATCCTAAACCTCCCCAACCTGAACACCATCAACCTCAACGACAACGCCTTCGGCCTGAACACGCAAGCGCCGTTGACCGCCTTCCTAGCCTCCCACGTGCCCCTGCAACACCTCTACCTCAACAACAACGGCCTCGGCCCCCATGCCGGCATCTTGATCGCTGATGCGCTCTCCGAGCTCCACGCCAAGAAAGAGGAGGCGCGCAAGAAGGGCCAGGAAGTGCCACATCTGGAGACTGTCATCTGCGGCCGCAACCGGCTGGAGAACGGTAGCATGACGGCGTGGGCCAAGACGTACGCCCTGCACAATAAGGTCAAGGAGGTCAAGATGGTCCAGAACGGTATCCGCCAGGAGGGCATCTCGCACCTGCTCAGCCATGGGCTGGTCCATGCCTCGGTGCTGGAGGTACTCGATTTGCAGGACAACACATTCACCCTACTAGGCGCCAAGGCCCTGGCTGCGGTCACACCTGGCTGGACTGAATTGTTGGAGCTCGGCATCGGCGACTCTCTGCTCGGCGCGAAGGGTGGCGTGCTACTGGCCAAGTCACTCAGCAAGGGGAAGAACAAGAAGCTTAAGATCCTGCGGCTGCAGTACAACGAGATCACAGCCACTGGTGTCAAGGCCCTGGCCGAGATCACTGAGGAGGCGCTGCCGGCGCTCAAGAAGCTGGAGCTGAACGGCAACAAGTTCACCGAGGAGGATGAGTCCATCATTGCGTTGCAAGACCTGTTCGAGGCGCGCAAAGAAAAGCTGGCTGGCGATATCATTATCGAGGATGACTGGGGTCTTGACAGCCTGAGCGACCTAGAAGAGGAAGATTCGGAGGAGGAAGAGGAAGAGGAAGAAGAAGAGGAGGAGGAGGACGTTCAGGACAAGGCTGAGAAGCTCATCAGGGATGCAGAAGAGGCACAGGAGGAGCCGGTTGCTCAGAAGAAGGACAAGGATGTCGACGAGCTTGCGGAGAAGTTGGGCAAGGCCGGGATCTGAACGGTGCCAACGGGAGATGAATGGCAACGCAGACGGACGGGGAAGCTGGGGGGGGGGCTAGGGTTCTTCGCCCTGCTTTCCCCGATGAGGAATACGGACGATACCCCAACACTACTTGTTTTGTAGGCAGACCGGAGTTTAGCAGGCGGGCAATAGAGTGGGAGGAGGGAGGCATGTATTGTGTTGGATGCCTATTGGCCCGAACTATGCTAGTTACTGGTATTGACCGGCTAGCTGGTTACCTGAGTAGCGACGAATCAGAGAAATGTACTCGCAAAGAAAGGAGAATGCAATGAGTTTTGTCATGTTTGAAGCAAGCGGAACCACTAACTTCGTTCCCTTGCTCCCACCATACAACGGGAATGCGAAAGATGTAAACACAACCGCCCCATGCCCGCCGCACGCAGTGTCACTCAACTAGGGGCTTCTGTAATTGTAACTGAATGGAAACTAGAAAAACTAAAAAGGAGAGCTAGGAAACGGCAAAAACATACAACACCGGGGATTCCCCAGTCGTCACCGACCTGAGTACTGATCCGGCGGTCAGTAGTTTATCTAGGGGAGAGCGGACGGGATCCCGAGCTTTCTACTGCCTATGGTCGTATGTGCTAGGAGGTGCCGATGATTGAGGTTATATCCAGCTTGAGAGTTGTGTGGTTTTGGTGTTTCGATGCAACTGGCGAACAGGCCGAAAGGAATCAACTGTGACCTGCCGCTCGGTGGTAGAATCCCCCGTTGGAACTCAGAAGCGGGAATAACCCAATCCATATGCAAGATATTTATTTCGCAGTAGCGATTTCACGACCATTGTCTTGTTGTTTCTATTGGGAGGTTGTTCATACATACATCCAGGTCTTCCCGATTCGGCCAACCTTGGAAGGTGATTGGGTTACACCAACTGTGCCTCCAACGACCTGAAAAACCGCTGTAACACGGCACCGACAGTTTCTTGGCGGGCTTGCATGTCTTGGCTTCTCCTGCACCACAGCGGTACCTTGCAGCGCATTGCAGGGCCTTAGTGCGACCTGCAGCGATTAACTGGTATAAATTGACCTCACTCCAGGTGAATATCAACCGCCCATGACACTCTTTTCATTCAACACACAAACTCGATCTTTTCCATCTAACTTCCGTTGTTCAGCTTCCCGTGAAACTCTTCCGAGTAGTTCCTCTCCCGAGTAGTTCTCATGGCGGTCAGACCGTTTTCCACAGCCCGAAGGAAGGCACCGGCTTCCGAAATTCACTGAGTATGGATGGAGCGGGGGACGTGGTGACCTTCTACTCTCCTGGATGGTTTGGGGGTTGGTAGTCCCCCTCTTGTTGCTATCTCTGGGGGCTGAACCGGTGATTGATCAGATCACATCTGGTTGATAGATTGCTATCTCGACCCGTCCTTGGTCTCGATCCATGGGGGTACATACGAATGTCGGAAGAAACGGGAGACATCTATAGCTAATCAAACAGCATATCCGGATGTTTGGTGAAAATGCGGGTGAACAGCTTCCGAACCGCCCCGTCCACGGCGAATATCACATCTGTACCAATGGACAGCAATCTATCTGTCCTTTTCAATCTTGACGACAGCCTCGTCTTCTTTCCGCGGCTGCCTTAGTCTCGGCCGACCGGCTTCCAATCTTACACGGGCCGTCTCCCGGCGCTTCTTCAGTGTCGCTCTATCCGGCGGTCGCACTTTGTGGCATCTAGGGGTATCTCAGGCTAAAAGAGATTACCATATTAGGGATTTTTACTAGTGTCCTTGAGGGACGACCGTGATCGAAAATATGTGGGATCGGATAGTACTTGATGGGCCTCTCCGCCTAAAGAGGAGGGGAAAGGGGATGGGGGCAGGCGTCAGAGTGACCGTATCTTTCGAGTATATTCTATGCATCATACCGCCGGTGCTTTGTGTCCCGTTGAGCGCACTGGCTATCGGGTGGACCGGACTGCCAGATCCGAATCGCTTCATAGCGACGCTTAGGCTAGCCAGGCTGGCTCGTCGGTTTGTGGTGGTGACTCGCAGCCCAGCCACGTCGTTAATGTTGCAGATCGGATCTTTTACTGACTCTAGTATTCACCCTCTCCTTTGCCCTAACGGGCCTTTCTCTTCGAGGGACAATGGTGCCTCTCATATTACTTCTTGTCGCTCCTTTAGCCCATTTCTCCACGGTCTCGGCGTCCCCGTTGTCCATCTCCTCGACACCCTCATCTTCTATTCATGAGTCGACAGACCATGTCCTTCGGACTATCAACCAGACAAAGAGGGAGACGTCAGGGTACCGCAATGCTCTTTACTTCACAAACTGGTTCGTATCAAAAGCTGGAGCGTGAGAGTCTATCTTTCTGACTGTTTCAGGGGTATTTATGGAGCGAACTACCAGCCTCAGCAGCTCCCGGCGGACAAGATCACCCATGTTCTCTACGCATTCGCCGACATTGGGTCTGACGGCGAGGTGTAAGCCTAAAGGTTACAGAGAAGATAAGAATAATGAATCCATGCTGACAAGACGCAGCAAAACATCAGACTCCTACTCGGACCTTGAGAAGCATTATCCCACGGACTCATGGAATGATCAGGGTGTCAACGCGCATGGGTGTGTGAAACAACTGTATCTTCTCAAGAAGAGGAACAGACAGTTAAAGGTTCTTCTCTCCATCGGAGGATGGACCTACTCGCCCAAGTTTGCCCCTGTGGCTGCGACAGACACCGGCCGCCAGAAGTTTTGCGATTCCGCCATCACCCTCATGAAAGGTACATACGGCCACCTCTCAAGAGGAGCATCCCCCCTTTTCACCCATCACTAACAATCAATATCCAGACTGGGGTTTCGACGGCCTCGACATAGACTGGGAATACCCCTCCTCCCCATCCCAAGCCCAAGACTACGTCAACCTCCTCGCGACCTGTCGCGCGGGTCTCGACACCTACGCTTCACAGCACGCACCGGGTTACCACTTCACCCTAACCGCCGCGGCCCCGGCCGGCCCGCAAAACTACGACGCCCTAGACCTGCCCGGAATGGATCGCTACCTCGACGCTTGGCATCTCATGGCCTATGACTACGCCGGTCCCTGGGATACCACCACCGGGCATCAGGCTAACTTGTTTCTGAACACGGATAACCCGCCGGCTACCAAGTACAGCACCGATCGCGCCGTGGCGGACTACACCGCGCGGGGGATCGCGGCTCACAAGATCGTTCTTGGGTTGCCGCTGTACGGTCGGGCCTTTGAAGGCACCCAGGGGCTTGGCCTACCCTATGCTCAGTCTCAGTCCCAGTCTCAATCTCAGAATCAGACCCAAAGCCAGTCCCAATCTCAGAATCAGACCCAAAGCCAGTCCCAGTCCCAAACCCAGGACAACGGCGTCATGCTATACCGCGACCTACCGCGTGTAGGAGCAAACGAGATATGGGATGCCTCAGCCCAAGCAAGCTACAGTTTCGATTCAGCCGCAGGCGAACTAGTATCATACGACACGCCGGCCAGCGCGGCCGTGAAGGCGCAGTATATCCTCGATCTCGGGCTCGGAGGGGCGGTGTATTGGGAAGCGAGCGGAGATAAGGACGGGGCGGCGAGTTTGGTTGGGGTGGTGGCCGAGGGGATGGGTGGTGGCGGTGGGTTGGACGAGACGGAGAACTTGTTGGGGTTTCCGGATAGTCGGTATGATAATATACGGGCGGGTGTGCCGGGGGAGTAGGGATATATGGGAAGATATCAGAAAGGTGAAGGCTCGCGGGGTTGCTTTTACACATAAACATTCCGTGTTTTGGATTTTGTATATAAAGATTATTTCTTAGGTTAACGTCATGGTAGAGCTTTAGCGTCCAAGTACACCGATAGATATGAGCATACAAAGCCATTTCTACCTTTGAGTTAATACTTACATGAGTTCAACCCGAACATTGAATTCCTCCTGAACGATTTGTTACACGGACACTCTGAGTATGCCCTGGTGGCTTCCAACTCGAAACCGGCTTGCATAGCACTCCTGGTTTCGGACGAGCGGGATCGTACTATGCCGGATCTTAACCAAGCCGGCCTTGGATAATGCACAGGGAATGTGATGGAAACTAGAACATGTTCAATTTCGGGTATCGCCTTTTTTACTTTGCATCCGATTTCCGTTTACGAGATTGGTTGTCGGGGAGTGTATTGTTTCTAACTATACAAAATACGCAAACACATATCAAATCAAGCAAGCCACTTAATGAACCGATGGGTCGAAACCAGCAGGCCACAGCTGCTCGCACATGCCGGAGAACAAGAAAATCAACTCAAGGAGGAAGGCGAGAAAAAAAAAAGACAGACGAAAACCCAAAATGCCACAGCCAGCAGCCCCAACAAAATGACCCCCCTGAAATACACACCCCCTGTTTACACATCTACACATCTACACCAGCCACACAACCCCCACAACCCCAACCACCAAAGCAACCACCACACCCATCCCCTTAACCCCCCCAACCACCATCATCTTCCCAGCCCCAGCCTCCACAGCATTCCCAGCAGCCCCCCGACCAGACGGCACAGCCGGTCCCGTCTGCGCGGCCACAGCTGTCACAACCGTACTCGTCACCCCGTCAGTAACCATCGTCATTGTTGTCAACTCCAGTGCCGCAGACCCAGGCAGACCCAATAGCCCGGTGTTTGCGGCAGGTGGGGTCCCGTCCGGCCCGGTAGCCGCTGGTCCGGCCTCGTCCGTGGCTATACCGGTAGCCGTGGCGTCGTTGGGTAAGGGCATGAGGGAAGCAGGCGTGGGTTCGACGCTGCCCAGGCCGGGGAGGGGTTTGAGGGCTTCTTCTCCTCCTCCTGTTTCTTCGCCTATTCCTGTTCCAGCTCCGGTTCCGGCTCCGGGGCCACTGCCTGGACTTCCAAAACCGGCCCCGCTACCTGGAGTTCCGAAATCGTCTCCGGCACCACCACCGCCGCTGCCGCCTGGTCCTCGGACAGCCGCGGCACCTGTTCCGTTTGTTGCGTTGTTGGGGAGCGGCTGCAGGGTTCCCTTGACGTTGGTGTCGGTTGTAGCGCCGACTCCGGCCCCGGCTGCGTCGCTGGGGAGAGCGGCGAGGCTTGCCGTGGCTGTAGCAGCAGCAGTATCACCCGCTACGGCTGTGGCAGAGGGGTCAGCGACGACGGGGCTAAACGAGCCTATAACGGCTGCTGCGGCTGCGGTAGCAGTGGCGGTGTCGACTACAGCTGCGGCGTCGGAGGCGCCCGCGATGGGTGTGAAAGCTCCCGGGGCAGCGGCACTGGTTGCAACGGCTCCTGCTACCGAAGTTTCCACGGCAACAGCAGCGTCAGTAACGGCAGCAGCGGAGGTGTCTGCGCCTGCAATAGGTGAAAAGGAGTTGATTACTTGGACGGCCTGCGGGTAAGGTGTTAGTCGTAGTTACCTAATATATATCACGCTGGGAGACAAGATAGGAGTAAACATACCGAAGCTGTATCAACAGCAGCCGGGGGAGCCGGAGGAGTTGGAAGCGGCGCGAGGCCCCCCGCTGCACCAGTAGCAAGGCTCGGCTGCTGCGCTACCGCCCCCTGAGCACTCTCCGTAGCCACCACGGCCGGCTGCGAGGCTACTTCGGTCGGAGCTATGGTCACCACGGCGGCCGCCGAAGTGTCCACCACAGCAGGCGGGGCAATGACGGCGCCACCTCCGCCCGCGACGCCGGGCAAGGGGAGGAGGGAGGCCGGAGCGGCAGTGTCTTGCAGACCGGGAGGCTGCCTCAGACCAGATGCTGCAGCGGCACTGTTGGCAGCAGCAGCGGCGGAAGCGATTGAGGCGGCGCTCGCCTGCTGGGCTGCCAGGACCTCGGGAGGGATGGGAGTGGGTGTGACCGCCACGGCACCACCGGCGGTCTGGATCTGGGCGCCAGTGTTGGTACCATTGTTGGTGTTGACGTTGGCCGTGGCGATGGCGGTGGCGCCGGCGTTGCCATTCCCATTTCCAGCCCCCTTGCCGGCGTTGTTGCCGTTGCCGTTGCCGTTGCCGTTGCCGTTTCCATTGCGATTTCCATTGGCATTAGCGCTCCCATCCCCGTTCCCGTTTCCATTCCCGTTGCCATTCCCATTTCCGTTGCCATTCCCATTGCCATTGGCGTTGGCGTTGGCGTTGGCGTTGGCGTTGTTGTTGTTGCCATTGCCGTTACCATTACCATTTGCGTTCTGGTTCCCATTCCCCTTTCCGTTTCCGCCCCCGTTCCCATTCCGGCCTCCATTGTCATTCCCATTGCCATTACCGCCATCGATACGGTTGGCGTTTCCGTTTCCGTTATTGCTACCCCCATTGCTGTTGGGGTCCTGCGGAAGTGCCACTACGTCCCGGGCAGTGGCGGCCAGCAGAGCCACGGCGAAGGCGCTCGTGGAGAAACGCATCGTTGTCGTCGAGACAGCCGCGATCAGTTTGTACCGATATTAATTAGAATATATGACGTCCCCTTCAAGGGTCTCAAGATTAAAGACAATAAATAGAACGTACGTTAAATAAGAACGAAGCTGACCAGCAGTCAAGATACTAGTACAAAAGAACAGATAAACCCACACAAGAACAACCAAAAGAGAGAAGAGAGGAAACGACGAGAAAAGGTAAGGAAGAGAACGAAGACGACGGCGGACGGGTATAAGAGAGGATATATGGCGCCCAGTCCGTTCCACGAGATCCGCGACACAGGAGTCTGATCTGAGCATCACGATCGATGCCATGATCCCGGCAGTCTCCCGCCTCGAACGTTTTGCCATTAAGGCATTGAGTATCATACCCGCCCCCCTATTACGAATAAAAAAGTTCAGCTCTCTCTAGAGAAACAAAACGCCACGCAATGGTACCTGGCTTAGGTCGAGATCACGGCCTCGCAGCCGCAGGGCAAGGACGTGGGCCAGTCGCAAACTATCCTTGGCATCGCATCGGCTCAGTGTCCATCCGTGGAGAGGCTACATAACGTATGTAGGGGTGAAGACGTATCGAGGAAGTCTGGGCGCATACACTGCATAAAATACCCCGTTCTTTCCCTGGTTCGCGGCTGTCCCTCAACGAGGGGAAAACGGGATGGACGGGGGGGGTCTGAGCGATGTTCTGATACGCGGTCTCGGCGTGATGAAACCCTTCTCCCGTCGGGGTCACAATTTATCCTGCTGGTTGGAAGAAAAATCTAGAATCTAGAAGGAGCACAGACAAGCCCAATGAAGAGAGGAGTCTAGACTTTTAGTGAATAGGAGGGAGAGAAACGAGAATTAAATAGCTCCGTTAGGAACGTATCCGGTACATAGAGAAACTCATCGGATTATGAAAGAGGGCAAAACCATATTTCGGCACGCATCTTGGAGGCACTCTTACAAGAGGCGTCGGCATCCCCTTTTTATAACGGATGATCTATTCTTAAAACATGATACGAAGGGTTTCCGAATAGGGAGAAAAAAAAGAGAAAGACCCGAGTGGGAGGATGTTGAAGTTAGAATTCAAAAAGGAGCAGTTGAAGCTTGGGAGCAAGGATCCACAGTGAATGCCAAGCTCTAAAAGCTCCCGGGTCATCTTGGCAATAGTGGGAGAGTGGGTCTACTCAACGTTCTGCCATGCCCCCCCGCCCAAATTCTAGACCCATCATCATCATCATCCCACTCCGTACCTATAACGGTATCCATGTAAGAACTGAGAAGAACTTTGACCTGGAAACCCCAAACAGGAACCCCACCACCCTGATTGGCACCATGGGCTGGTTCGACGGGTGGTTCGGCTCCAGCAGCAGCGATTCCGACCCGTTGAGTCGCCTGGACCCGAAGCTGCGCGAGTTCCTCGAGAAAGAATCCCCCATCAAATACAACCCACCACCACAGCCAAATCCCCAAGTATCACCACCACCCCCAGCAAAGCAACAAGCCCCCTCCCAAGAACCTCAACAAAACCAACAGCAAGACGAACAACAACAACCCGCTGTCCCCCCACAATCCCTCTACCAAGATGGCCGCTACGCCCACCTCTGGAAGACCTACCGCCCCCTAGCCGCCGTCGAAGCCGAGACCAAATCCGACAACGAGAAACTCAGCGACGTCCTCGAAGCCTACAAAGACCGCCGGGGCCTAATCGGGCGCGCCGCCCTCGAAAACTGCGCCGAAGAACAAGTCGTCTGGAGCGACTGCATGCGCTCCGGTTCCTGGCACTCGCGCATGACCATGTGCAGCGCCGAGGTGCGCAAGTTTGAGCGCTGCTATAACGCCCAGAGCCGATTGCTCAAGGCGCTGGGGTACTTGTCCGTGCGCGGGCGGGATCGGGATGTCGACGAGGAGATCCAGATGCATGCTGATGAACTGTATCATCGTATGATGGCCCAGGAGCGGGAGATTGAGAAGGCTAAGGAGGAAGGTCGTGAGCCGCCTGTGTTTAAGGGGTTGTTTGATGGCACCAGTGCCACCATGATTACAGCCCCTACCCCTAGCACTACAAGTACCACGGCCGCCGCGGACACCGCGTCATCATCAGCAGCAACAACCCCAGGCCAACCCAAAATCCCCGAACCCAACGAAGCAACCCTCGCAGCATGGAAGAAACAACTCGAGAAACTCCCCCCAGAGGAGCGCGAAGCAGAAGAGAAGGCGCTGCGGGCTGATTACCGGGCGCGTGTGGAGATGGCGAGGCAGGTTCAGAGCCTATGGCAGCAGCAGGCGAAGGAGCGGGAGGTGCGGAAGGCGGAGGGGAAGGAGACTTTTATGGATCGGATGTCGGCTTTTGCTGGTTCGTGGTCTCGGCCTAAGGAGGGGTAAGGTGGTTTTGGGGAGTTGAGTAAGAGAATGGATGTTGTATAAGACTGTGTTGAGGCGAGGGGGAAAGGAGTTCAGTTGGGAGCTCAGTGTACGGATAATTCAAAGTTTGTACATACAAAAGTCATGCCATATCAAGTCGGTCAACTTGCTCATTCTTCACACTGATCATGGACACATCACTTATTTCTCAGTGAGGGCATATTACACCCAAGTCATTCATTCATTCATTCATCTCATCACGTCGTATACCTTGGTGTATGCCAAAACACAGTCCCATCGACGAGTTCGCTACCTACTTAAGCGAAAAGGCTTACGACCTCCCCTCCAACACTCCCGCAGCCCTCTCCAAAAAGGCATTAAACTCGCGAATCTGCCTCAATGCCCCGCCACCATCGCTTCGCGAACACGCCTGGTCCGCCACCCGACCGATCAACAACTCCAAATTCGCCAGCTCAGCCCTCTTCTGCTCGGTTGGCGACAGTTCCGGTGCATCCCGGCCGCGTTCCACCGCGAAATCGATGTCGTGCATGGTCGAGGAGAGCGTGATGTGGCGCTGGAATGGTGGGTTAGTCAGGGTTTAAGAAGAGAACGAATTGGTTCAGGTGTAGTACAGGCCAATGGGAGAAGCGTGTAAACAATGTAAGCAGAATAAGTAGAAGAGACATACCAACGCGGCCTTGCTCTCAGCCTCGTGCCGAATACGGATCGCGTCCATCCGCAGCGCTACTTGTTCACGCTCGGCGCGCACCCGGAGGATCTCGTCGCGCAGACCGAGTTTCTCTCGCTGCGCCGCCCGCACCCGTTTCCGAAGTGAGTGCAGCGTGTCAAGGGCGATTGTCTGGGTTTTACCGTGTTAGTTACCTGGTGGCTCTCTGTTTCTGAGACGGCACATGTGTCTTCCTTCCATCCATCCTACAATGATCGTAGTAGACAGTCGTAGTAGGTAAAGTGCACTTACATGCTCCAACAACCTCGTCCGCACCTCCTCCTGGAACGCCTCCAGGGCCCGGTACATAGTCTTTTGCTCGCGTCGTGTGGCTGCGTCCTCGGCCGCCCGACCACGCTCAACCAGCTTCTCCATGTATGCCTCGAGGAGCTCGTCACAGAGCGTCGAGAGCACGTCGATCGCGTTGACCCCGCTGCGGTTCGAGAATGGGATTTCGCCGATGCCTTTAGGGTTGTTGGCGTCTTGTGCGTTCTCCCCATCCTCAGCGTCATCGCCTGCTGCTGCTGTTGCCCGGCGAGGTTTGGTATAGCGCTGGACATTTACAGGGACGGAGCCTGTTGGTGTTTCGCTTTCGCCTTCGCCTTGGCCCTCGTTCTCAGCCTGGGCTGCCTTGCTCTTTCTACCTCGCTTCTTTCCTGTCGGTTTGGAGGGTTGTGGTTTTGGTTTTGGTCTTGGTTCCACTCGTCGTTCAGGCGGCGGTGGGGCTGGTGATGGTTCTGGTGGTGATGATGGCTCTCGTGGAGGTGATGGTTCACGTGCTGGTGCTAGCGCCGCCGTCGCCAGCCGTGACTTTGGTGGCCTGCCTGGCCGTCCTTTCTTCGCCGGCTGTTGTTGCTGCGCCGGGCTGGCAACCTCTCTTCTCCTCCGCCGTTTAGGCACTGGCGAGTCTTCTGTGGCCCCGTCACCCAGCTCAGGTGATGGCGCGGGTAAGCTCCGACGAGGACGCTTCCTCCCTAACCGCTGAGCAGCTTCCTTCTCCCCAACCTCCTCTGCTTCTTCCTGTTCCTCCTCTTCCTCTGGGACCTCTTCCTGCGCCTCCCCGCTCAGCTCTTCGACCTCTTCTTCGATTTCCTCGACCTGGACAGCCGACTTCTCCACAATCTCTTCCAACCCGCCATCGCTTTCCGCTACCGTCCCCTCCACCTCCTCTTCTTCCACCTCTTCCTCGTCCTCTTCCACTACCACAACAGCCGCTTTCCTCCCCAACACCCCCCCTCTCCCCCTCGGACTCCCCTCAGCCCCAACCCCCACCGAAGAAGACCCAAACCGTGTCCTCCCCCCCACACTACTCGCCGTCGCGCTCGCACTCCCACTCCCACTCCTCGCCCTCTTCCTCCTCGCCACCCTCCTCTCAATAGGCGACGAATTCCCCACCTGGTGCTGCCCACCTTCCCCATCCTCCGCTGCGTCCCCACCACCACTACTCCCCAACCCACCCACAATCTTCTGCAGCAGCACACTCGACCCAACAACAGGCGTACCCGCGCCCATACGCAGTGGCCGACGCCGACCACTACCCGGTGCATCGGCGGGGGACTCGGTGACTTCCATTTCGACCGGTAGACTAGCACTGACAACGGGCGGGTCTGGCTCGGAACGGGGTTCAATGTCCATGGCAGAGGCGAGTTCGTTGTGGGCAGCAGCCGCCAGCGGGGAGGAAGGGTCGAAGGCGAGGCGTTTTGTGGCGGAGATGATGCTGGAGAGGGGGCCTCGCTGGCGCTGGTGGTGGCGTTGGGGCTGGTTGGCTGTGGATGGTGGGAGGGAGGACGGGGCGTCGGCCATGGGGTGGTCTTCTGGTTCTTCTTCTACTACTACTTCCACTCTCGCGCCTTGGGCTTGTGGGGGTTGGGTATTTCGTGCGGTGTCGATGTCGCCTGCGTCGGTGCTGGCGTCGGGGATACTGTAGATGTCGTGGCCGGTGGCGGAGCGCCGGGATGGTGTTGGGCTCGCTCGGGGGCCATGACGACCGGGATATTGTCGTTTTGCGGAGGTATTGGGAGATGGTCGAGTCGCTGGAGGAGGTGGCGGTGGTGGTGTCGAGTTGTGTGTCAGGGGCTCTTCCGGTTCCGCCGTCGGTTCTCCGGCGACGGGGATGACGAACCCAAAGTCAATATCTCCAACATTGTGTCTCCTATTCTGGTGTCAATTTTGTATCATTTTTCTTTCAGTCCGCTGGACTGCTTACCCTGCCCCGCGCATGCGATCTCGCATCCGCTCCTGTCCTAGAAAACGGTCAGTCTCCGGTGTGTAGCTGGGGTTGAACGGTAAAATTACTTGTTGCCATTATGATTTCTGGAGGTGATTACCACAGTCATCACATTTCAAGATCGAATTGGGCGTCGACAGTTCTAGCGTTTCTTACTATGTAAAAGGTGTGACGATTTGATGCCCGCAGCCGATGGACGCGCTCCGGCCTTGAGACGCGACGTTCCACCACAGGGACTAATTATTAGGCCCCACAACGCGCTAATCTAGTGGGTCTTCTTCGCCAAGCCTTTACACTAAAACAGCCCGAGATCAGCCCTGGAAGGGGAACACGCGAGCAAAGGAGAAAGCGCCTGTTGAATTCTCTAAGTCAACAACTCCTTGATCTGTTCCAAAACTTCTTTCTGAACCTCGGTCGGCCATTATCATATTCATCATTGCATATATTACGCCCGACGCCTCTCTGCACCATCCCTTTAAGTTCATCCCGCCATCAAAACTAACCGCTGCCGGAGCTAGATCTCGCATGACCATTTTCAAATTATCTCGTGATTAAATCCTTATGCCATTAATGCTCATTATAAATCATTCCATCCGCCGTCAGCCTGGTCTTCTTTAAATTCTTCTTTGTCACCGAGACCCCCCTGTTCCGCTTTGTCTTCCAAAGTCGACGGCTTCTCTACCTCGTCGAACCTGTCTCTGTCCGAAATTGTCAGCAAACTCTCCAGGCAAGCAACGCCCCCGGTTTGAACTCACCCATTCCGACCCCCCGCTTTCAACGCCCGCGCCCCATACTCAGCAACCAAAAGCTCCCTAGTTTGGTGTGGAATCTTCGCGGGGACACCCTCAAAACTGGTCTTCTGCAGCGGAAAAAGGTCCTTGTCCCTGAACTCCCCCCCATCTTTGCAACTCATCATGCCCCTGCCTCCTGGGTGTGTCAGGTTATACCGGACCGCATACATGTCGATGTACAAGCCGGTGTCGGTATCAATCCACCTCCCATCGGCCGAGCCAGCCGGGTCTGATTGCTCGCGGGCCTTTGCAAACCGACTGAGTTCGAGTTGGTACTTGCGGCGAACCGATTTTGGCTGACCGGGCACCCGGATTGAAAAGGTGGTCATGTTGTAGTACGCAGCAAGATCGAAGATGCCGGGCTCCGATACTTGCATGCGGACGTCTCGGTCCCCAGGTAGAACTTGTCCACTCAACCACCAACCAAGCAGGGAGTCGTGTGCTAGCCATGTCTCGATGCCGAGCTCGTTAAAGGTGGAAAGGTATGCTCGCACCATGGCTTTTAATGCCGCATTCTGCTCCGAGTATGAGAGATCTCTTTTGGCGAATCTTGGATCATCTTTTGGTACATTGTCAGCCACTCAGCCTAGTCACCCCCCTAGCGCGACAAACCACCAAACTTACAAAATCTCCCCCACGGAAAATCACTTCCCCCTCCTGCTGCACCTTCTGGTGTTGTTCCCCCAATATGCGCCCCATCGTCGGGTGACGATCGTATCGCAACAGCTCCAGACCCCGAAAGCAGCCCGCAGGCTAATAGCCAAGTCCTGAGAAGCATTGTGTGTTGTCGCGAGGTGGAAAACGAAAACAACCAGAAAGGAAAACGTTGCTCGGGAGAAAAATTTATTCAAACATTACAAAAGAAGGCTAGGCAATAAGCCCACCTAAAGCACGGCGCGACGTAGCAGTTATATCATCCCACCATCTGACAATAACAAAGCGCAAAGATCTGGAAGCGCTTCCATGCCTCTGCCTTCTATTTCTGGCATTTCCCGCAAGGAACCACAGTGTTCTGGGCCCGCGCACCCCAGCACTTGGGGGCCGGAATGATCTGCAGCTTGCAGGGTCGGGGATGCAAAAGCCCAAGGGAGCGTGGGGAGCTGACTGCTGAGCCGCTTTCTGACATTTGGCAGAGCCTGCGAGGTAACGTTAGCACGGAGGCACGCAAGGCACGCTAACTATCCGTACAGGTAGAGCAGCGCGGCTAACCAACGGTTGCTCCAGACGCCCTGTGCAAACATCTGGGCCCTGACCGTTCGTGTCGCGCGTCGCATTCTGCAAATGGAGGTGATGTCGAGAAGCACCTGCATGGAGGCCACTGTGGGGCCTTCAAGACCGGTTCGTGTAAAAGCTACCTGCACTACACGATAATAGCTTGTGACCGTGCTTATAATCGCTTGCACGGCGTGCCGGCTATCCCTTTTACTTTCAGTCTGCGCTCAAGGATTGGAACGGCACATACGAGCGAGTGACGGTTTTTGCCAGGTTTTGTAGATGGAATGGTGAGTTAGGCAACGCCGGTTGCGTCAGTAGGTGGTAATGTGATCTGCCCATTTCTCATTATTCCGGGCCCAACGTCAGCTGGGTGTAACTTTGAAGAAAGAAAGGAAAACGGTCTAAAATATCTGAGAAATCCGCAGCTGACCGGGTTGCGCAAAAGAGAGCCGCCAAACAGACAACGGCCGGGTCTCGGCGCCGAAACTCATACTGGGGGCCGGGCCTGGTCCGCTCTCCGGAGAGACAACTGCCGGATTAGGAAGGCGATTCCGGGTGTTGAGTCGGCGCGCTCTACGGTTTTCATTTGCTCGATGTTTTGTGTTGTCGAAGAGATCAATAAAGTCAACAACTATGCTTGATTTGCGTCCGCCTGTGCCATTGAGAAGAATGCGTGCATGGCGTCGGGGCAGTGTCGAAATCCGGTTTAACCCTAACCCTGGTCGAGATGCGCCCCTCAGCTGTTGCCACCTGCGAGTTAGGCGAGCGTTGGGCCCACGCCCCCAAGCTTCTTAAGGAAGCAAGCTCGCAAGCTAGCGTTGGTGAAAGGCAACGCAATGCTGCCACACCACAGCTCCCCATCACAACATCCCGCCAAAAACACCGACGCGCGGCTTCACCAACCATCAAGACCGACTCTCTTCTAGAGCTCATCAGCACTGCGTATTCCGCCCTCGAATCACCGACGACCTAGAATAGACTTGCGCAACAGCATACTCGATCGCACCTCGTTTCAGCCGGACCTGAGCGGGGGAACACAGGACGACGCAGGCATCGAGCGCATCGAAGTGATGCTATCATAAACACCACCCCCCGGCGAGCCTCCAATTCCGTTGCACCCGACGCCCGGCGCCCGAGGGAAACCTTTACCCCAATCGCGTTTTGTACCTCGCGCATATCCGGCCTAAGTGCCAATCCTAGTACAAAATGGTGTGGACCGTAAGTTGAGTTGAATACGGTACGGTATCTGCTGAGGGCATGCAAGAGCTGACGATGGCCGGGACTAGATCTTTCGGATAGCGGCAGACTTGTCGCATATCACGGCGAAATGCGTCCTCATATTCTCGATTCACCGGAACAGGAGCTCTGAGGGTTCGTCCGCCCATCCCTTTGGTCCCCCTGCCACGAAGTCAATGGTTGTTGCTGACTTGTCTCTCTCTGTCTGCAGGTGTCTCGCTCCTCACCCAGCTCCTCTACCTCGTTGTCTTCCTAACCCGCTACACCGACCTCTTCTCGGAGTCCTTCGCTTGGAACTACTTCTTTAAAGTCTTCTACTTCCTCTCATCCTTCTACACCATCGCCATCATGCGCTTCGTTTACCCGCGCACCCGCGAGCGCGAGATCGCCTGGAAACTGGCTGCCCTAATCCTTGCGGCCACCATCATCCTCTCGCCCTTCGTCATGCTCGCCTTCTCCGAGGACAAAAGCTTCAGCGAATACCTCTGGACTGTGTCTCAGGTTCTCGAGTCGGTTGCCGTGCTCCCACAGCTTCTCCTCTTACGCCAGACTACCATCCCGACCGTCATCACCTCCTTCTACATCGTCTTCCTAGGCTCCTACCGCGGCCTGTACGTCATCAACTGGATCCAGCGCGAATTCGACACCAACATGAAGAAACCCAACCCGACCTCCGTCCTCTTCGGCATCATCCAGACCGCCCTGTACATCGATTTCGCCTGGGTCTACTGGTCGCGCCAGCGCGTCAAGCTCCGCAACGGCGGCGTCGTCGACGCCGACGACCTCTCCCGCGGCTGGCTCCTCCGCCGCATCTTCGGCAACAAACGCTTTGGCGGCCGTGGCGGTGCTAATGGTGGCCTCGACGACGGCGCCGATGACGAAGAGAGCGCCCCCGCCCTCGGCCGAGGCGGGTTCAACCACCACCAGCAATCATCCTCATCTCGCGGACTCGGTGGTGGAAGTAGCGGCAACAACACCCGTCCCAAATGGGGCTCCCGTGGCATCTCCATCAGCGCGGACGAGGGTGTTTTCGAAACCGAGCGTGCGCGCGGCGATGCGTTTGATGACGGTGACGATGATGATGAGGAACACGGCGTGACTGATGTCGACCCGGATGCTAGGATGCGTGATCCGGATGAGTTGGCTAGGGTGCTGGATGAGGAGGAGGAGGAAGACGACGATGATGACGACGATGACGACGATGACGACGATGACGACGATGATGATGACTCATCGGAGGACTCGTCGTCGGCGGCTTCATCGTCTGCCCAAAAGAAGAAAAAGGCGGCGACGCATACCGATGCGAAGGGGCAGCCGAGCGGGGTGGGGAATGGGGACGAGTGGAACGATGACTGAGTTAGGTATGAGGGGAGGGGTGGGAGTGGTTTTGGTTTAGTTGGGGGGTTTATCTGGTTTGTTAGGGTTATGGTTTGGTCTTCTGGATTTGTCTATATGGTTCGCGGCCGGAAGACACGGGTCCGAGATGAAGGGGGCCGTGTGTATGGGTTTCTCCCTCGTCAAGGTTACACATACTGGTTGGCGGGAAGAACATAGGGAAGCTAGCTAGCAGCAGCTGGTGGATTGAACAAAGAAAATGCCAACGTGTGTTTGGGTTTGTATGTTATGACGGGGAAGTCATCCAGACATCCCACTACCTAAGTCTGCGAAAAGGTCGTTGAGGAGTTGGCGTTATATACTTAATTTAGGTGTTGGGATTTCAGGACAATGCCGAATCAAAGATTTTTGAGGACGGTGGTGTCTTGTGCATTTCTGTGCCATCTAAGGGAGAAGTTGGTTGGACTCGGGGAGAATAAGCCATGAAAATTTGAGCTTGGGTCGACTTGTTCCACGAGCAATCACACTGGGATCATCACGTATTGTCACCTTGTTCAAGTAAACATCATTCATCATACTGATACAACCAAGAAGCTCGGGCACTTTCTCAGTCTTGGTCAAACCTAACATATCCATCACCTCCCGTGAATACACAACTCCGACCTATTATCGAAATCCGCCATCTTTCCAGGCCATTATGCTAGACACAAACACACACCCCCTCTGTAAACCTTCAAGGGGCCATATCCATCACCACGACCACCACCACGGTCATCACCACGACAAGAACGGCAATCATCCCCCGTGGCGCTCTCTCGTAATAAACCAATCACCTTCACTCATCATCCCTCAACCGCGAGACATTCGGTCCCGTCTTCGCCAAGCTATTCCGCAGCATCTGCAACGCATTCTTCCTCTTCACCTCCCTACCCTTCAACTCCCTCTTCTCTTCCTCGCTGTACATGCTCATCTTCTTCCTCGGCGACGGCGTACCAAACCCGATGCTGCCGCCCCGCGCATACGACGTGACCGAGCTGGCGAACGACTCCCGCAGCCGACTGCTGCCGAAGCCACCAGGGCCGCCGTCCTTCTCGGGCGAGGACATCAGTAGCGACCGACGCTGGGTCTTCTGGGGCGTGGCGAAGGGCGAGCCTTCACGGCTGCGGGGGCCGGGAGTGCCGCCGCTGCCGTTACTTCCTGGCCCGACAGAGCCGAGGCGCAACCGGCGCATCTGGCTCTCTAGCACGTCCACGTCGCCGCTGCGCTTCTCGGCCATGCTCGTCATTTTGTTGATGGTCCGGATGATGGCTTCGACGGTTGGCACGGGGCCTTTGCCGGAGGCGCCACTGGCCGAGGCAATGCGAGTCCGGAGCATCGTCAAAGCTTCCTCGGCTTCGGCAAGGAGCTGGGAGAAGGTCGCATAGGATCGGCGCAGCTCGGTTTGCTGCGTTGCTTGCTCGGCGCTGAGGGGGAGCGACTTGGCGACGACGAGCTGGTCCGGATCGATGTGGGTGTTGATGACCTTACGCATGTCTTCCTCTTTGGCGCGGAGCTTGGCGAGGTCTTTGGCGAAGTCTTTGATAGCATCCTCGGTGGCCTGGACGTCTTGGATACGTCCCTTAACGCACCGCGCAACCTCGGCGTCGAGTACCGCGCCGAGCTCGTTGGCCTCGACGAGCACCCAGTCATCTGGGTTGTCGAGATCCTGGTTGGTCCGCCCTCCTTGCTTGAATTTCGTGGTATGACCGAGAATGAAAGACTGCAGGGAGCGCGAGTTGAGGCCCAAAACGTCGATCATGCGGTTGATATCTTTCCACAGTGACTCAACAGCTCCAGGCACCTCGTCACGGCCCGGCTTCGGCGGCTCCAGTTTAGATTGAACCGTGAAGAGCTCATTCATCTGGAGCGTAGGCTCGAGTTTAGACTGCAGTATCTGCTGGATGCCCTCGTCTTGCGGATCAACAACTACCTCTTCCGCCGCTCGCATCTTTTCGACGAGCTTCCGTTGTGCCTGCACATTTGGGTCTACCGGGGCGCGTTGACCAGGGCTATACACAGGGCTGGATTGCAGCGGAGCCGCCTTTCTCCCCAAAAGTTGAGTCGCTACCCCAGGAGCGCTGAAAGAGCGGCCAGGCTCGCTAGGCCTCAGAAGATTGCTGCGGGGAGGGCCGCGCACTGGGCTGGGCGAACGGGGGCTGGGCGGTATCGTCGGCTTGGGAAACAAGGGAGGCGCATTTCTGCCGATCTCGCCAAACAAGGGCCGGGACGGGTCCGCCTCGGTGCGGGAAATAGCCGAGAACGTGCTTCCACCCATCCCGCCAAACGAGCTTTGCGGCGTTACACCTGGTGTCTGGGCGCTAAAACCAATCGTCGGGCTGAGGTCTTTGGCAACATCGACACCACTACCCTCACTACCAGCTTCCGATTCATACTCTCCTTCCTCGCCCTCATCTCCTTCCTCTCCCTCCTCCCCTTCCCCCTCTTCCTCTTCTTCTTCTCCCTCTGAGTGCCCTTCGGACAGGCCCTCGTCACTTGCGCTATCCGGTACCGTAGGCAAGCTTGGTGCTGGTTTCGTAGGCGGTTTGGCAAGGAAGTCCGGCGGCAGTGGGGCGTCGCTGGGAACTGTTGGCGTCGTGACCGTGGGTTCGGGCTTGGGTTTGGCGAACACGGAGTCCGGTGGTAACGGCGCAGCTTCTGGCACGGCTTCTGGCTTCTTCACCGGCTGGCCTAGGAAATCGGGCGGCAGCGGGGCGTCCTCTGCTTTGGCTGACGGTTTCGAGACTATGGGTGGTGAGTATTCCGATTCGGACGACGAGAAGGACAAATCAAAAGCCGCCTTACTAGTAGCATCAGGCGGGAGAGGTGCCTCGGGGATCTTGGACAGGTCCACTTTGTTTTCGGTTTCCTGCTTGGCCTTCGGGGTCCCAAAGATCGACGTTGTCGCGGGCCTGGGGGCGCCAAAGATATTGGACATCCCCCCTGGCGTTGGGAGCTTGGACCCGAAGAGGTTGGATCCACCAGTTGAGGCTGCGCTGCGGAAATCGACCCGCTGAGGTGCTGGTGTGGTTGTAGGGGTCGTAGACTCGGTCCCGAAGACCGGCTTGGGCTTCTCTTCCGGAGGTGGCGTAGTGCTTTCCATGTCCATGTCCTTAGACTCGGCGGCGGGGGGCTTCTTGGCAGCATCGTCGAGAGACAATCCGAACCCGCTACCGAACAAATTGGATTTACTGGCTCCTTCTTTGGGTTTTTCGTTGTCATCGGCAGAGAACTTATCCGCCTTGAAAGTCGTCCCAAGAACGAACGGTGAGCTTCCAAGCGCTGGCTTGTCAGTCTTCGCCGCAGGAGGAGGGAAGGCTGTGTCAGTGTCCATCGAGACATCGGGAGTACTAGAGGTTAGGGGGGCGCCAGGTTTGGAACCGAATATGCTCGAGCCGCTTGGGGCACCGCCCAAACCACCGAAGCCCCCTTTGCTGGCAAAACCTGCAAACCCACCGCTGGCCGCCGCGGAGTTGCCGCCGCCAAAAACCTTGTTTCCGGTAGGGGCAAGCGAGCTCTGGCCAAACGCCGGTCCTGCGCTACTAGTTGTTCCGCTAGACCAAGGGGAAACTTTACTTCCCAGGCTCATGCCAGAGGCCTGACCGAATGCTGGAGCAGCTGGCCTGCTCCCGAAGGTGGAAGAACCAAAGGTAGGCCCGCTAGGAGCGGCTGCGGCTGGTTTGCTGCCGAAGGCGCTAGATCCAAACGCTGGGGCAGCGGACGCGGTACCTGCACCCCCAGACCAAGGGGAAGTCTTGGCTCCTAGGGCTGAAGGGCCTCCAAAGGCGGAGGGGGACCCAAACGCCGGAGCTTTGGTAGGAGCAGGAGTTGCGAATGCCGAGGGGGTAGTGGCAGCTGGGGCCGGGCTCGCAAACGCAGGGGCAGCCATCTCACCACCGCCAATCCCAGGATACGTCGTGCCGCCACGGATGGACTCGTTGTAGACAATCCACCAGGATGCTAAGACACCTTCGTTGTTGAGCACCCACAGTCCTGGGAGAGGCCCGGGAGAAAGCTCAATCTCGTCCGTCGGAATGGGTTTGTAGACCTTGTCCTTACTGGACAAGTCGATTGCTGATCCAACAGGGTACGTCTCGGTCAAATCCTCGCCCATCGGCAGCTGCGCTCGCTTGGAATCATCCGCTAGTTCCGTCGTCGTGAACACATTGGTGACAGAATTGGCCGGCTTATCGGTTGTTAAGGGGGTCTTGGACTTTGACAGCAGCCCGATGCCCTCATGGGCAGTAGAAGAGACCAGCAGGAGATCCTGGAGGTTTGGCGGAAAATCCCGGAGCCTCAAGAGGGTATGGTGAGGGGCCTTGTCGCTCACAAATGGCTCAACAGGATCGGTGAGCTTCTGAAACGTAAAAGACGGGTTCCCGCCGGGGGGTTGTTGTCGGGTAACGAGGTGGAAGATGGCCGGCTCTTGACCGTTCGTCGCGTTGTGCACAACAAGGAAAACATGATTCTCCAACCATGCAATTGAAGCCACTAACAAAGTCAGCAAATACGCAAAAAGGTGTCAGCACAGAGACATCACGTACCGTGAAAGTTCCCAACATTGGGCGGCTTTGGGATCCTGGCCTTCTCCACTCCCTCTGGAGTCATCTGGACGATAGACCCATCCGCCATGCCAGCAACCAGTTGTTTGCCTTTGGTGCTCCATGCCGCGCAGCTTACTTGCGAAAGAAGGGTTGGCCCATTCGACCCCGACACAAGTTGACGCTCAACCAAGTTCGCCATGAACAAGTTCCCGTTATTCGTGACAACAGCACATAGCCCAGCTGACTCGGGCATGGGATTAGGAATTAGTGCCCGTAGGGTTTCTTGATTCGTGCTGAGCTCAAACGCAGGCTGCGTTCCGCCTTGAGTAAGCGTTTGGACATCATAGACTGCAAGTCCGCCGCCCGTCTCGGCAGAGAGCACTAGGTATTTTTCATCGGCCGTGAAGGCGAGCTGGGAGATCCGGATCGGGAACGGGACCGTCGCCTGGGGGGTGAATGACCGGATTTCACTGTCGCCATTCTTTTCGCCCTCGAAGGCTTTCCGTACCGATTCGGTTGTTGCAATGTAGACGGCTTCGGGACCTGCGGCCGCAACGAGGCCCTTGCGAGACGCAATACCGAGGAGCGATGCTGTGGGCGCTGGAGGAGGGGACCATTTAGGGATCAACTGAACCTTGGCATCGCCGGCAATGGATAAAAATCCAAGACCCTGTGAAGGGAAATGAAAAGTCAGTAAGCAGCGCATACCTAAAGAAAAACCAGGCCGGGTGATTTGAACAGCCTTACCTCTGTCTGTATAACTTCCAAGTCGTTGCCCTGCGTAACGCCTCCCGCTCCGCCGGCAGGAACGCCTCCAAACCCAAACGCCATCGCTATCACAATTTTCGCTCCTTTGGGAGTGAGGTCGTGACCTTCAATTGCCGGATTCAATCATTTGTCGATGTATCGCGTGCGGAAGTACAGAATGCGGGACGCAAGTGAGTGACGGTCGACGCGGTTGGCTGGTCGATTCGAGAAAAGGCGCCGAAGAAGTCGAGCAATGTGTATGAATCAAATATTTGCGGAAAATGGTCTCTTAAGAAACCCGCTATGTAGATCGATTCTTTGTTCAACGCTGCGATGAAAGCCGCGTGGTCGTTGGTGGATGTTCTGCGGTGGTTGGGCGCCTCCCAATGCCTGTCAATAGCCTCAAAGCAGAAGACGCGACCCACGATTTTTCTGCCTGCCCCCAATTGCCTGCCGAGCCATTCCAGCACCTCGAATTGCTGCCTGTTCCGGTTAGCTTGAAATCACGTGTGGGGGAGCTTGGACCATCCCCCTGCTGGTGCTTGGGTGGAGTCAGGCAGCATCCCCTTAGCGCGTTCGATGGAGGGGGAGCTCGCCCGCCTGCCCGCCTAAGACTCCGCCTGTGGTTCAGTGGGAAGGCAGCGTTAGCCTCGTCATCAGCTCCCGCCAACCACCATCAACAACGGGCCGCCTGCACCAAATCCCCACCAACTTTGGACGACCTAACAACGACCGTAGCTCAACCATAAAACCTCGAGTACCGATTTTAGCAAGCACCACGATCTTTAGCGGCCTATTCTCGAGTGTTGAGTTGCCAGCCCGTCAGCATGCCCGGCTTCGACTTCTCAAACTACAACCGCAATGCGGCGCTACATGCCCGCGGCGTGCCGTTGCCCAAGGCCACCAGCACAGGAACAACCATTGTCGGGTGCATATACGATGGCGGTGTTGTGGTAAGTTTTGCCGAGGACACCCGGGGCCCGTCGTTGCCCTCCGAGAGATCTGCGGGATACTGACGCCGGCATCTGTGCAGATCGCCGCCGACACAAGAGCCACCTCGGGCCCGATCGTTGCCGACAAGAACTGCGAGAAGCTGCATTTCATTGCGCCCAACATTTGGTGTGCTGGTGCGGGCACGGCTGCCGACACCGAATTCACAACTGCCTTGATCAGCTCGCAGCTCGAGCTACACTCCCTCTCAACCGGCCGCAAGCCGCGTGTGGTGACCTGCATGACGATGCTGAAGCAGCACCTGTTCCGGTACCAGGGCCACATCGGAGCCTACCTCGTTGTCGCGGGCGTCGACCCAACCGGCACGCATCTCTTTACGGTACACGCGCACGGCTCGACCGACAAGCTACCATACGTGACGATGGGGTCCGGTTCGCTAGCGGCCATGTCGGTGTTCGAGACTCAGTGGAAGCCGTCGCTGACGCGGGATGAGGCCGTCAAGCTGTGCGCCGACGCCATCGAGGCCGGTATCTGGAACGATCTGGGTTCTGGTAGCAACGTGGATGTGGCCATCATCACCGCTGACAAGACCACCCTACGTCGCAACTACATCCGCCCCAACGAACGTACCCAGAAACTCAAGAGCTACGCTTTCGAGAAGGGCACCACCGCTGTTCTCAACGAGAAGATCATCCGCAAAGCAGACTTGGGCAACTACGTCAGCGTACACGAGCTGCCGGCAGAGGAAAGCGGTGATAAGATGGAGGTGGACACGTAATGACGGTTTAACTTGGGCTGGGGGGCTATAGAAAGATGATGGGCAGGCTGACACCTGTTTACCTAAGCAGGTGTTGGGGATGGTAGACAGGTTCATGCATGTACCAGTAACAACAGCACGAATAAATGGGGCAATGGACGCAATGAACTCAGACACAGCATCCAAACTAGTTCGCATGAAATGCTTCAGTTGGCTTCAGTTAGTAACCCTAGCATCGTCTCAGTAGCTGGATAAGGAATTGTCGTACTCCTGACTCTCGCCGGTGCTCCACGCAGAAGCGGTTGTCATCATTGTCAACTTTCAACCCAATAAGCCCTGTGCAAAATATATGCCGGGTTTTCATCAAGCAACTCTTTGTTTTATTTTACTTCGGTCGGCCCCTAAAATCACGGCTCCCCGAAACTCTTGGTACATGGAAGCTGCCAAATGGCCACACACCTATCCGTACACTACTCGAATAACAACACCAACATGGTCCACTACCACCATCCAGAGCCGAGACAGATTAAATGGTTCCGTATCCCTTTGTTTGTCCCGAAAAAAAAATGTTGTAAATTATGCAACAGGGAACGAAAATAAGTGAAAAATGAAGACGAAATAGAGAGACCAGAGTGAGAGACTGAAAGGTAGTCGTCCTGAAACTTTGTCCTCAGTCCACGGGTTGATCAGATCGAAACAAGGGCCGATTTTTCCCGCAAGGTATAAAAGGAGGCTTTCGAAACAATCCAGGCCAGGTGTTGCTCTGCCACTTTGAAGCATGACGCTGTCAAACCGTGAAAAAAGATTTTCCCCGAAACTCCGCAGACCGAGAAAAGAAGGGGTATGTAATGTCGTGCCGGTGCATATGTATCATAATCGTCAAAACGCAGTCGTTGCAGGCAAGCCACAAAACAACGCGTGTATGGGGAGAGGGACAACGCCGATGCCCTCTAAGGTTTAGTCCTTCTTTCGACTGAAGATGCTCTTTCGTGACCTGGACTTTGATCGAGACTTTTCTTTGTCGTCGTCGTACTTGGATTTGTGAATCCTAGATTGGATTAGCATCTCGGCGCTAGGCTGCGGTAGGGAAAGACAGAACTTACCAGCTGTTTCCAACCATGCTCATGCCCTTGGCCTCGGCCTCACGGTAGAATTTGGCGCTCTTCTTGAGATCCTTCTTACAGCCAATGCCTTGGGCATAGCAGAAGCCAGCCTCGGCGAGCGCATCAACGTCTCCCCAAGCTAGATAAAGCTGTCAGTTCAAGTCTAGCTAATAGATAGAAAGAATGAAAGCCTTACACGCAGCAATCTCAAAACACCGTAGTGCAAGGCCCTTATCTTGCTCAATACCCCAGCCATTCATGTGGCTCACACCGAGCTCATAGATACTCAAAGCGAATTGGGCCTTCCGCGTCTTGCGCTCCGTTACATCTGCGGGCTTAGCCTGCTTCGGCTGTCCGTCTTCATCAGCGAGCTCCAGGCTAGCGCACTCAGCCGCTTTCCGAAGCCACTGAACACCTTCCCGCGGGTTGGGGCGTGTTCCCCATCCGTGCCGGCAGGCAAGGGCATACAGCAGCATGCCAGTGGCGTGTCCCTGATTAGCAGCGTGTCGCAGATGCCACGTAGACTCTTGCAGAGCACCAGCTTCATGCAGGGCAATCGACTTAGTTACATGTTCCTCCGCCGTCAAGTCCGACATTGTGGGGATCCCCGAATGGGTCGACTTGTCGGGCTTAATGGTGCTGGCCGAGTCGCTAGTGGTAGCGGATGCTCCCACGGACCTGCCGGTCGCGGCGTCGTCCAACTGAGGTCCTAGACTCCGGCCCCGTCGGTCGTCTCCGAAATCATGGGCACTGTCCGTTGATGGTCTGCTCGGGTTTGGAGAGGGTTGCTGAGCAGGACGCATCACTTCAGTGCTCAACTTACTTCGTTCTTGCGACGGTCGCGAACGGTCCAACTCTATGCCACCGGAGGAACTGGAGGGTCGTGTGGGAGGAGATGGTGGCGGTTGTCCAATGGCGGAGTGGTTGAGAGCATGGCTGCTAGTGGGCGATAGGGGTTGCTCAAAGGAGGGACGAACAGGAGGGTCGTTGAGCAGAATCATGGACGACCTTTGGAGCGCCTTACCTCGAGGAAGCGCAAATTTCGAGTAAATATAAGACGGGGCTCCACTAGTGCCGTCCTCTACCGCTGCTTCACGCGATGTCTCGCTGGTCAAGCTCATCGAGGTGCCAGTGGCGTCGTCTGCGGTAACGAAGGAGCTCTGGCTGTCGGAAGATAACTGGCGCGTTGGTGGTTCAAAACTCGGAGTCCCAGCCCTACTGAGAGGCCTTGAGAAATTGAATTGTGGCCGAGGAAGACCGGAAGCGTCGGAGGCGACTGAGGGAGAGCGTTGGTACGGCGGGCCGGCCGGAGACAAAACGCTGCTACCAGAAGAAAACTTCCTTGAGCCGAGAGAGTGGACCGACGTGCTTAAAACTCCTTCCTCGTCGGCCGATTCAAGTGGCGAGGACATGAGACTCGAGGTTCGTTTGGTAAACATGGGTTTAGGGGGGACAAGCCCAGCCGCATCAAACGAGGTTTTAGAGAATCTTTCGGGTGAACCGGTAATGGAAGCGCTGGCAACGGGCGATTGATGCGACAGAGCGTCGTTGGTGATGGGTTTGCCTTCGCCTTGCTTCCCCGAACCCCTGAGTCCAATGGGTGATGGTGACCGTTCCCTACGAGCCCCAACGCCAAATAATCCTCCTTTCTTCGTGGCATCGCTCAAGTGCCCCGCCTTGACAGGGTCAAAGTGAGCCATTGGCACCGTCGGCACCGGTATCGACTCGTCCGGTGTTGGCGGGACTTGAGAGAGGCGGGGATGCATAGACTTTGGTCGGTTGTCAAGGTCGTCGTCCACCTCTGTCTTTAAACCAAGCCCCACGTTCTGGAGCGGCGGGTGCTCATCTTCCGAAGCAGAATCCTGAGATAGGGAGCGGAAATAATCCGATCGGCCTTGAACGATAAGGGGACTTTCAACGGTCAAAGGTGGCAACCGGCTCATGCGCCGACCCTGTTTCGCACTGTCCTCCAGTTGCTTGGACAGCAATCGACTCTGCAGGGCGAATGCATCAAGGGGCGAGAGCTCTGGGGGCGCTTCGCCAGCAATGTGCATTCGAGGGGATCGGAGCGGTCGTGAAACCGAGGTCTGTGATTTCGACCTGAGGTCAATAAAATCTGGGCGTTGCTGCGTCATGTTGGAAATTTGTAGAGGTTGGCTTCGGTTGACGTGGTTTATAAAACCCCCATGAACAAGATCACTTGTGAATATCCTCACGACGGCCGGTAAGACGTCAAGACCGCTTTGGCGGGGACGACGCCAAATGGTTTCGATCGCAAAGGGCTGTCTGTATCTAGACGTTGAGGTCAACGTATGCCTCAGCCGGCGATAAAATTGGAGTCTCGTGGACTCCGACCATGCGGATCGACTGGGGAATGGGCGCCGAACTTCGAGAATCGGATGGCGGTGCGGGGTGTGTGGGCGGTTCGATCGTTTGTCGGTAAAATCGCCAAGTTCCGGAATGTCGAGGTTCCTCGAGGTTCGTTGAAAGCGCCGGGGTTAGGCGGGTTCGTGGGCAAGCTAGTCTTGTCGTGGGAATGGGCAGCGCATCGAAGGGAAAGAAATGCGGAGCGATCGCTGCGCCGAGAATGCGCTGCCTTTCGCTAGTGCACAATCAAAACGCGGCGCACAACGAGTGGGCGACAGGCGTCGTGCCAGACACACCGGGAGTCGAATGTGAAGATAAAGAAAACGACCGTAGCAGCTGTGGTGAGGAGGAGAAGGAAAACACAACAGCCCAAGGCGACGACAAGAAATCAAAGGCAAGTCACGTCCAAACCGAGGGGAGGGAGAAACAGGGGAAGCACCCGCCGGGGAAGTGGATAAGCCTCAAGGTCTGGTTGACAGGGGGGAGGGGGGTTGCAGCCACATGATATTCCATGTTCCCCAAGCCCAAAGCAGAGAGCTAGCGCAGGTGCTGTTTCCAAAATTGATAGGCCCTAGCTCAAAACAGGCTAGCGTATCCGTGCCGTTCCTGGCGGAACGGCGCTGTTGTGAAATTCCAGCCACGCCCGCTGCAAAACATGGGGTGCATGGACCCCGACGTTGTGTTCTTTTCATGATGAACCGTTTTCTGCCATTTGCAACGGACCGGCTTGGCGCTTTTGCGGATTCCGAGAACGGCGGACTTTGCGGTGTTCTCCGTCTCTTACACATGCTGTACAGGGGAACTATGCATCATCAAGCCCAGATCCGGCCAATCTCATGGGATTGATTCTCTTTGTTGGCACTGCAATTGTGTCCAACGTGCCCAATTACCAGTTGTGGACCGATCTGTCGACGAGTCTCCCCGCCCAAAGCCAGAGTCTATTTCCGCTATCAAAGCCCGTAACAGCTCATGGGTTAAGTCTTGCAAGAGGCGCATGGGACACGGGCTCCATCTGTGATCATTGTTTATTTTTGTTTTCGAGGCCGTTTTGATACACTACTGGTCCTGCTGCTAAATCCCAAGTTCCACCCGCCGATCCCCGCTTTCCATCAAGCTTCTAGGCTTCAAGTGCACAAAGTCCAGATTGTCGATCGACCATGGACGTGAGCCGTTACGAGTTTCGTGTGGCTCACCACCCTCCTTTCAGACGGACTAGTGGGGCCTAGACGACACATTGCTTCGTTTCTCTTCAATGAAATATTGGGCTGTGGCAAGAACATCGTACTTTCCACATCAACCCGTGACTGCTAAGCCGCACACCGTGGGTCCTGTCCATCTCATCGCTAAATTGGTCTACAGAGAGTTAAGATGAGGACCGGGCAAATGGGAAATGGAGATTCAATAACCCCCCATTAGAAGATTCTAGCTCTATGTAAGGCAAATCAAGGTTTGTACAAAGGGAATTAAGCGGATAACCCCAAGTTGCACGCACCAGCTGACGAACCCTTATTTCAATGCTCTGTACAATTTTGGTGGCTCCGAGTGGGCATTGGGATGGAGCGAATCAGAACGGAACTGCAAGGGTTCTCCACGATTGTTGGCGGAGCGCCGAGCTTCGCAAAGCAAAAGCACGGCCACCATGTCGGTTCTTCGTCGTCATGCTCAAAACCCATTGGGAGGTGGCTTGAAATGAAATTGCCATGTTTTTGACCAATTGTCGACATCATCAGTGTGCGACAGCGGATGGGTCTCGCCAACAGCGTGTCCGACACAAAATATATCCAGAGACGGTCGGAACTTTTTTACACAGTAATAAGTCGAAACGTCCTCCGTTTGTTCGAAAAAACTTGAGCATGATTGTCCCTTCCCCAAACGGTGGGACGAGAAAATATTCAGGGTCTGGAGCACGCGAGTTCAGTGGCTCACATGACTGGCAATGCTTTAGGGCGTAATTTAACCAGCCGTCTGTGAGGTTGCATTCCCCTTGCAGGAATAGGAGGAGAACCAGGAATGCATGTCTAGGTGCCAGCACCTTGCAGTTGGTTGCTTTGCTTGGCAGACAGTTCAGCATTGTCTGATGAGACAAATGTCACGGATTAATATTCAAGGTTGGCCAACCTCCAGGTGGGCTTTGTTTTTGCGAAAGAGCTCTGGCACCGGGGCTCAGAACATATTTTATGCCGAAACCGTAACTCCTCCCCTATGCATTCTAAGGAACAATTTGTCTACCCAAAAGGGCTCAAGAGCGAAAACCCGCAACCGCCAACAGACCAGAAGAGAACAACACAAACCCGGTTGGAAACTATGTAACCGCGACTGCACTTGCGTTGGCTTGATTTTATCCTTGCCATCTTTACGCTACCTCAAAGGTCCTTCGATCTCATCTTCTTCAACCTAACGCCTCCCTCGAACAACGCACGGTCGATGGCCGCCGCCACAGTGAGAGTGCCGCCGACGATGGCGCACAGGCCGGCGAGGAAACCAAGGAAGCTCTTGGCCTTCTCCTCCCTGTTAATAACCTTCATGGGCGAGATATCCTAATTATTACAAATCAGCTACCCGCGTCGTTCCCTCGGACCAACATAATAATACTAAGTGGGTGGGATAGGGCAAAACTCACATATGAGAAGAAAACGCCTGGGATGCCACCGCGGGAGTGCAAACGCTCCTTATGGCCCTCGGCCGAGTCGTCGCCACCCGTCAGGCTACGTTTGTGGCTAGTGACGGAGTACTGGTGAGTCTCAACGCTGCCGTCGGGCGAAGCGCCAAACGCGCCGAGCTCAGCCGAGTGCCGGTCGCGGAAGCCGGACCAAGACTTCTCCCAACCTAGCGGTAGGTACGAAGTGGGGACGATCTTCAGGAAGTACATGAAGTTGTAGTTGACGTCGTCCGTCTGCTGGTTTGTGCCGTCGAGTGGGTTGAGGTGGTGGTTCGTCCATGGCAGGTTCTTGGAGCCTAGCTTCTGGCTCAAGCTATCAGGTAACTGCGGGCCGAAACGCAATTGATGGATGGTGTGTGTGAAGGTGTGCTTGGTGGGTGTGTTCCAGTAATTGTTGAGGTCATGCACATGCATGTTGCCCTTGCTGAAACTGCGCCCAGGAGCGATATGGAAGTTGCCGACAACCTTGTTGACACGGAGTGCACCTTCAATGCGGCACCCTTCATTGCGCTGCTCATCCAGCTTCTCGCTATAGTGTTCGCGCTCACACTGCTCAATGCCTTCGCCCCTGCCGAAGGCCCAGGCGGCTTGAGCGTAAGCCTCCTTGACTTCATCGCACGTGTTACAGCATCCGGCCTTTTGTGCATTTCCGGGTGGTGCGGCGCCATAGCACGGCCCGCAGTAGTCTGGGCTGAGATGGATAGCAGCCTCTGTCGCGTCGTGTCTTGTCGCCGCAGGTTAGTGACTTACTCCAAAGGAACTGTGGTACGTGGGAATGCTGCCAACTTACAGAGTGATTGCCTTGGAGTCGATGTCTCCCCCGCCTTCACTCAATGGTCGAAGCCTTGTCTTGCTCACACCATGATGCACGCCATGTTGTTGCTCACCGGAGACATCCATCACATCGAGCGTAAGCAGCTCGCAGGGGATTCGGGGGAAAGTGATGTTGAGGTGGATTTCCATGCGCTCGCCTGCGAGAAACGAAGTTCAAAGGTTAGCGTCTCGTGCGTTGAGAATATTGCAGATTTGTCACCACAGTCATACCTCTGCTCTTGTCCACAATCAACTCTGGGTGCACCTCTATCCTGCGGTAGTCCGCCCACTCGCCCCATGCAAGGAAGAACACCACGATCAGCGACACGATGGTCACAACACCACCTGATGTTGTCCTGATGCGCGCATCCTCCACTGTCTTCGTGAAGGCATCTAGCCTTGTAAATCTCGACCTGGTCGCCATAATTTCTCCTCCGCGCGTCGCAAGCGCTACGATCGAGGTTCGGTACCGGGAAGGGTTCCACGCCGCGGGGCTCCTGTGCAGCAAGAGAATACACAAACGCGTGGGAAGGCAATGAAAAGAAGGTCTGAGAAACACAAACAATGAAGCGCCGCAAGTAAAATCAGGAATTGGCAAAGAGCGACATCAATTGGGTTGGCATCGGATAAGCGACGGCGCCAACAATGAAGCCGTCCTCGAGGCTTCCATGTGAAGTTCCCCCACGATGCGCTCAGCTCCAACAGCCCCAGAAGTTGAGGCCACCTTACACAGTGTCCAAAAGGACGGGTTTCGATTTCCAATTCTAGTTAGCGTCAGGGTCCGCTTTCGGGACCCCAGACTGCCCACCGGCACTCCGAAACCCAACAGGTCTGGCAGGAAAATCTTTGGCAGCGCCGTCTCTCGGGAAAAACAAACTCATAACCTATTTGCAAAACAGTGATGTGAAATTTCCGCTATCAATTTTCGCCTGCAGGCTCTCAGGTTACAATCTTGACCACTGTGGTGGTTCCCAGTACCAGCTGTGTTGCATGAGACCCCTTGTGATAAATGAAACATGAGCTCTTATGATTATGTAATCTCTTCGTAGCCCGCATGGCTTAGTGGTAAAGCGTTTCACTCGTAATGAAAAGATCCTCGGTTCGACTCCGAGTGTGGGCATATTGTTTTGCCTCAGTACTTGAGTTAACTTTTTACTTTTAAAAGGCCGGGCCAACTGAGAGCCAACTCGTTTGATTGTCTCCAGTTTGAAAGTCAGGCCCATCTCAGGTTCATCGCACATCTCACAACAGACTGCTGTGTAGAAGGTAGAAGGTATCTAGCTATTCTGTCAATCCGAGATATTCCCCGTCATCACCAATGTGAGTTTGGCATCGAGGGACCTCTGCAGGTGCTTGAACCATGGGCCTCCCTTGTTGCGGGGAGTTGTCTGGGACCCCTGTTTCGAAAGTTTCGTGGGGAACCATGGAACTTCCTCGGTCCTTGGCGCCTCTCTTCGAGATTTGTCGTTGGTCGAATCAGTCGACAACACGCACAGTCGAGCAAGGCTTACGATTGTTCGATGCAGGTTGCTAAATTTCAAGCCTTTTCCAATTAATACGGGGCAGTTCTAGACGTCCAGGACTCTCGCTGTAACCGACATCCGTCTCGTACCTCCGAAGTGGCGCTATCAAACAATTGCTCACGCCCTTGCATTATAAGCATTGTGTTGGCGGTCCATGGAAGATAGCGGGACGTGTTTTGTCCACTCAACCCGGAGGCAAGCGCCAGTCGTTTGGGTGGAGAATATAACAATCAAAACGAAAGCTAATGAAAAGGACATGAATCGGGGATATAAACTGTCAAAGGCCGGCCAGTGAAGTTGAATCCTTCGTCTCTCGTGAATGGCTCAACTCCTTCCTCTTCGGGTTCGGCGAGAGTGACTCACGCCATTCCGGATCGATCTCACCGTCCAACTCAAGTCTCGTATTTCACAAACTTCATCATATATCCCACCGACTCTTAACCAACCAAACCCCCCATTTTACTTTCTCACATCCAAGATTCGCATTCTGGGAGGTAACAGCAGACCAACATGTCCACGGTAGAAACAGTTTTCAACCCCCTTGCGTCGGCCCCTGACTCCGTGCCGGGGTCAGTACCCGGGCCGATCCAGGACGCATCATCGGGACCATCGGGGGCAGCAGCAGCGGCAGCAGCAGCGAAAACCCCAGCAGCACCAGCGCCGGAGGAAGCCACAGCGGCACCCACGTACCCACCCGCCGTCATAACACTGAGCCGCAGTGGCTACATCATCCGCCCCATGGTTCCCGCTGATGCCGCCTCGATGCAAGTGGCCTGTGACTCGCCCGCCATGGCGCAGTACATGTCCTACCGCTTCTCGTCCCCCTACACGCTCGAGGCCGCACACCACTGGATCGGCTTCGCGTCGGCCTTCCGCGTGCCTGGCCCGGCCGGCGAGACCATCGCTACGGCGGGCGACGTAGCCCCCATCATGGTTATTAGCGACCCCAAGACCAATGCTGTGGTGGGCGGCATCGGGGTTAAAACGAAGGAGGACGTCGAGCAGTTCAGTTTTGAGGTGGGGTACTGGACTGCGGAGCCGATTTGGGGTAAAGGTGTTATGACCGAGGCCTGTAAGGCGTACTGCAAGTGGGTGTTTGAGACATACCCCAAGGTGATCAGGTTGTCAGCGGAGGTTTTTGGTGGGAATGACGCGAGCATCAGGGTGTTGGAGAAGTCGGGTTTTGTGCGCGAGGGCTTGAAGAGAAACGGCGGTGTCAAACACGGCCGGGTGTTTGACGTTCATCTCTTCGGTTTGTTAAGGGAGGAGTGTACCTGGTAGCGGAGTGTACTGGTAGCTCGGTTAGGGAAAGGGGGCGGATGGCCTAGATAGACGCTTTGGATGCGACGGGGAGTTCACTGAACTTGTCGCTAGGAAATCGCCACTGGGATTGTCATTTTAGTTTGAATCATGTCCTTTCCTACTTATCGCCATGTTTCTGAAAAAGCTGCCTAATTCTTAAGCCCTAAAGACAAAGCTGTCTTGATACCCCTTCCCTTAACCGGAATGCATCGCCTTAGGCCTTCAACCTCGCATTGCTTGCAATATCGTCTTGCGCATCCTTGACCAGGAAACTAATAGATAGCCTGTTGTTAGCACAGTCTCATTCAAGCCCAGTTTAGAGAATAGACTTACTGGTAAAATAACACCGCCGGCGCAATCGTCCCTAGATGCCACAGACTATGCGCATCCAAACTCCCCCAGAGCGGCGGAAAATCAAACAACTCCAGACTCATCGCCATAATCACCCACATCACCACTACGCCGGGCCAAATCGCCCACGACTGCGAGGTCTGTCGATACCTCGTCCAGCTGAACCAGCTCCACAGCAGGTTCTGGACCACGCCGCACACCACACACGCCAGTGTGTTGTACGTGTAATCCCACCGCCAAAGCCCCAGGTACGCAACATGGCACGCATACATCGTGCCGCACAAGCCCGTCCACAGCCTCAGCCCATTCCGCTTCCCGGGCCTGTCCAGCCGCCAGATGCGCACGATAGCATAGTACATGCCGTACAGCACCGACGCGCCGGCACCGAAATAATCCAACCGCTCCGTCAGTTTGAAGTCGCGGGTATGAAACACGGCACTCAAAAACCAAGTGACCATACCGAGGCGGGCGAGGAAAACGTAGAACGGTCGCATGGTGTATCGCTCGGGGATACGCGGCAGCACGTGGTTGTGTAGGCCGTAGTAATGCGCCGCCCAGTTGCCCAGCGAGAAGACCACGCTCAGCGGCTCCTGCATGCCCAGCAGCCGGTAGAACGGCCACTTGCCGTGGAACTGGACCACCGGCTGGGGCGGGTCGCGGGTCTGGCGCTCTGCCGTGACGATGTGTTGGCATGTGTAGTCGCATTCGTCCGGACAAGTCCAGAGGAGGAGACGGCGATGAAGAGCTGTGTTGGCGCGAAGGCGGGAGCGTTAGTTGGAAAAGGGGGAGGTTAAGGTTCGAACGGAGGAAAAGGCGTACGTACGGATTTCGGTCTGGAGTTCGACATCGGGGCCACAGTTTTCGCGTTCGCATATCTGGTAGCATCAAAAAAGGACGCACTGTCAGTCGCACAATAAAAAAATGCCAGACTGTTGCTACTAGCGAATGGACTTAGTGGACCGGGAACACGAACCTCGACACACTCGCGGAACTCTGGCAGCCGGTCGCCAGTCGATGCCGCAGTCGGGCTCACAAGTAGAAGGGCAACTACAACAACAATAAGGAACAGTGGCAGCTGGGCAAAATGCCCGCGCCTCCCCCCAAGGTTCATCATGGTGATAGCATTGGTTTGTGGGCCAAACTTTCCAAGCCTTCGGGAAGTCGTGCTGGTAGAAGTCAAGCTGTTTGAAAAAAGGGATGAGGGAACGCGCTGGTCAAATAGGTCCGATTAGCTTAAAGGTTGCTCTGGCTGGGTGCCCCACAATAACTGCCGGCCGGGCTTTGACCCGACCCCGAAGCCGCCCGCTCGGACGACTTCGAGGTCACTAAACTACAAGTTCGGGAACGAGTGTCCAGGAGGATACAGTTAAAGGAAGTTAAACCAAAAAAAAAAAAAAACTTTGCACAGGCGTTCGCAATCGCTAAACATTGGGGTAAGAGGGTAAGTATTCAAGGCAGACCTTCAGTTCAACCCCCCCAAAGCAATACTCGCAACAGCAATCAATAACAAATCACCAAGCAATAAACAGTAAGTGGCACCAAAGAATGTATTCTTGACTCCAGACTAGCAAGCAGCTAGACGGAGTAGCCAGTAAGTAAGTAGTAGATCATGAATATGTAATAATACCTCATCAAGCGTCATCATGCCCACCCATCTGATCCATCATCATCCATCATTCCATCCATCCGTCAATATTCGATCGTCATCAATGACCAAATAACCACTCCAAATCCTCCCTTTCCCTCTTTCCTAACCAAGCATGATGAAGCCGGGGATGTGTGTGCGCGAGTTTTTATCTTCAGATCCAACTCCCATCTATGCAGAGCCGAGCCGCATGAAACGGCCGACTTGGGTTTGAAAGAAAAACAAAGTAGGCAAAAAATAGAAGAGATAAAATAAATAAATATATGCTTAGCCGGCCTCGTAAGTGAGGCGTCGGAAGCAACCAAGAAGAGAAAGTAAATAGACAATATGCCCGCCCCATATAATTAGGTATGGCGGAGATATCAGAGAAGGGTAATGATAAAAGAACAAAAAAAAAACAGCAAAGGAAATAGTCTGAGGCGGTGGTTCCGGCCGTGCTGGTTCGTTTGTAATGAGTCGTTAACTTTTGGTTCATGACGCCCCCCACAATGCTATGGGTCTCGGCGTTGTCGTTGAGCATAGAGTAAAAGGAAAAAGAAAAGGAAACATCAGTGAGCGATGGGTAGATAGTTGGTGTAGTTGGTGCGGTATTTTCGAAGACACAAAGGGAACACAAAAAACATCGCCAAGACATAGCCCGCCGAAACTGCCCACTGAGTGGGATATAATGAAGAAGAAGCAAGAACATGAGTAAAGCAGGTAAGTAAAGGAGAAGAGACGAAAAAGAACCAGCAGACGCCCACCGTGATATGAACAATGCTCCTAAATGATATATGTTCAATCCAAGCAGCGAGGGTATTTCCGTCCCAAAAAGTTCTTGTCATGAACATCATGTCATCCATCAATCCGTTAAAAAAGCACCTGGTTTGACGTATCCGTCATTTCGTTTCCAACGTCGTCATATCGTAAAGAGAGATGAAAAGAGACGCCGCAACATCCAAAAACGGTCCCCGGGTGGTCGGGAAACACGTCCATGGGCGACGAGAAGTGAATGATGCCAACTTGCTGTGTCGATCCAAGATCAATTAGAGCTTGTTTGGCGTGGCGACTTGTATGAGAAGAGAGGTTTATTGTCATGTTTGCGAGCGAGTGCTGCACATTTTTGGCTGTGGCCGTTGCGGTATTACAAACCACCATAGGAACGGGGGTTGGCCTCGCGCTGGCGGAGCTCCTTGAGGCGTTGATCGATGTAGGCTAAACGATCGACAAGGGTGTTGTTGTGGCGAGCCGGAACCGGCGCCAGGTTGCTGGAGTCGGTGGTCGAGAGCTGCTGCATCGTCGCATAGGGCCGGCCGAGCACGCCGAGGTCGATGCTGCCTCCTTGATGCGCACGGTGTACCCTGTGGGGGAAACTAAAGCTGGAGCGCTTGGCTGTAAAGGGGGAGCCCAAACGGGGTGGCGGAGCAGGGAGGGCTGAATCGTCGAGTTGCGCAGCAACGTTGGGCATGCTCGTGGAGAGACTCAGTGTGGGAACGGAGGGAATCTTGGGGATCATGAACTCATTGCGGGTCGGAGTGGTTGCTTCCTGAGCCTGAGTGACACCGGCTGCGGCCATGGCAGCCTTGAAGCCTGGGTCGAGCCACAGGTCAGAACCAATGCTGGGTCGTTTGCGCGGGACGCCGGACTGAGTGTGCCGTCGTTTTTGGGTGCCCGACCTGCTAAGTCGCACGGGCGACTGCAAAGTCCGCCGTGGACCGACAGTCTGCGACTGCCTGCGCGGGATGGAACCACTCAGGCCGAGGACGGCAGCAAGCGAACCGGAAGAGCTGGGACCGTAGCTGCTGGCACCAAAAGGAGAGCCAAGGCGCTGGCGTTCCGCGAAAGATGGCTCGCCTTCAAAGGTGCCGAGGGCTTGGCCTGCGAGGGGAGCTGAGGCCGGGGCTGGAGCCGGGGCCGGGGCCAAAGCAGGTTGGCCGAGTTCTGCCGGCTCCGAAGGGTTGTGGGCCGCGAGCTGGGCCAGGGGGCCGTTGGGCTGCATACTCTCAGACGTGCTCAACGCAAGTGACATGGACATATCCTGAGTCGTGAACGGAGCGGGCGAGCGACCTGGAGCAGCAGATTGGCGGTTCCATTGGCGGGGAGTGGCTTGTGTAAAGGGGGTAATATGCCGCGAGGTGAATCGGTATTTATTAGTCCGGGATCCGGCCTTCGATTTGCATAGGTCCCGCAGGTGCGCGCGCGTGGCGGCGCAAGTATGCGGCCATTGGATAAAGGTGCCCGAGCTATCAGCGGTGGGCGTGGCGCTTCCGCTCTTCCTGCCCTCGCTAGAGCTAGCCGCCTTGGAGATCGCTTTGGAGCCCTTCCAGCTTCGTTTCGCCTCACGCGCGACACGGGAGCAGACGCCCTCGGGAGGAATGCAGCTCTTGCCCATGCGGAACGGCGTGACTTTGGGGTCCTGTAGGTAGAGCATGAAGGTCGACCACAGGTGGTCGCTCATCGCCTTCGTCCAGGGGGCCTTCCTTGCCTTGCCCCGAGGCCCGGAGCGTTCCTGCACTGGAGCATTTTCTTCGACGGGAACAAGGTGGTTGTCCTTGTCCTCTTGGATCTCGTCTCCGAAATGATCGTAGTGGTCGTCGTCAGAAGCCATGGAGAAGCGGCTAAACAACGACGCGCTAGTTTGCGTCGACCTCGATGTCGAGGGGCGGCTGGACTCGTAATCGGGCTCCGGGGTCGACTCCACGCTGCTGATGGAGTCAATGGTCCAGTTAGGGTACTGGGACGCTGGCAGCGATGTTTCCAACTCGGGGACTGGTGTCTTGGGTGCGGGAAGTCCTCTGCCCTGGGGCCGGAGGAAGTTCATGTCGACTTCGTCATCGTCGCACCGGAATTCGGGAAAGGGGCAGGTGCCATTCATGTCGTAGTCGTCCGGGGCGATTTGGGGTTCCTCAATGCTGGGTATTGGGACGTCGGCCGCCGCAACAGAAGCAAGAAAGTGTTGGGTCGGCGCAGTGAGCTGAGAGACAACACGCCTGCGCAGCTTCAGGCGCGGCTTTGGTGGTGAGGGGATCTGGACATCGTCCGTTTCCGGGAATGGCTCCGGTGTCCTAGGTGCCTCCAAGTCGGGGCACCGAAAGCCCCGCGGTAGGGTCGCGGGACCGGAGTGTGAACTCATCTCGTCGTGTTCGGCTAAGGGTGCCGATGTATCATCAAGAAGTTGTGGGTGGATGGGGGCGTTAATGTGAGTACAAGAGACAACAACGGCAGAAAAACTGGCAATGCGCGGTGGTGCGGATGTGTTTGGGGCAAGTTTGTTTGGCGTTTTGGCGACGATGGGGGTGGTTGATGAATGATGAGCGTCGAGGGCGTGCGGCGCGCCACCGAATTATTTAGCGCGGGCGCGTCCAGCCAAAATCGGATGGCTGGTTGCAGGCGAACTGGGTCGTCGGGATCTGAGCTAGGGCAAACAAGCGTCGTAGATTATCGTTGCCCATATAAAGCACGTCGCAAGGCCGAAAAATAACAAGAAAATTCGTCACCAGGTGGATAGCGTAGAAATCGTCGTGAAAAGGAAAAATAACGAGCAAAGGAAATCCCCGCGGTCGGTTGTCTTGGTTGATCAAGAGAAGCCGACAGACAGCCTGGGTTCGGATTTTGGGGGGGAGCACAGCGTTTTCGGGGGTGTCTTGTTGCGTTGGGGTACCGTGAGATCGTGACAAAAAACGCCCGCGACCATGCGCCGAGCGCGGCAGGTCGTCAACTTGGAGTCGCAAATGAATGACTGCGCTGAAGAAAGGGGAAAGAAGCGAGATCTACGAGAATGGGGTGGTTTGGGGATATGTAACAGTGCCGCGCTCATGCAAGAAGGGAGCGGGCGGCGGTTTGGGGGGCAGTGGGCCCGGAACGAACGAGGTGGCCCCTTCGATTTGCAGCTGCATTCACTCAACCCCCCCGTCCCAAGCACCGTCCACACCCACTCGACTTGACTCGAGTGGAGACAGCACTGCAGTTGCAGGGCTTCAAGAGCGAAAAACTGAACCCCAGTCTCCTTCTTGGTGTGGGAGTGGTGTGGTTGCAGTTTGGAAATCCAGGGTCCCTGCTTTCTTCAAGTCGGCCTGTCGACATCCAGCGTTGCGCTGCGCGGTGGAACTCCCAATGTTCGGTGCTGTGGCGGCCGGATAGGTGCGGACAAGCGTTGCAGCGGATCACCGTTGATGGGATGCAAAGTCTGAAATGGGCGAGCTGATTTGCGAATTGGCTTGGGTCGGTCTGCCGACGACAGAAACCAGGACGGCTCCTCGGCCGATTCCGGGCCAACGGTCGGCATTTTGGTGGCGGACTGGCAGCAATGCGTCGAAAAAAATTGAAAGCTGATCAGGGTTCGTGTTTGGGTTGGTCCTTCCGGGCAAGACGCGTTCCCAAACAGGATGAATCCTCAAACGGCCCTGGTCAAATCGAGCATCTGGTTGGAACCATGCGAGCGCTGGACGCATCCTTTGCAAGGGCATGACAGACGAGTCGACGACTAACTCAGGGCCTTCGACATGCAGATATGTGCTCCCGACGCGATCAATGACGCTCCAAGCCGTCGCTTCAACCGGGAGCAGCCCCGTCTTCTCAGACGGACTTTCAACAATGAGTGACTCCTTGTTGGCAACTACTGTGGAAGAGGGCAGCTTCGACAACCGCAGCCAGCATCGAAGAAGCGCTGGCTAGCTGTGAATGGGCCAGTGAGACTCCCGTCAAGACTTTTACAAGCCGCGAATCCTTCATCAATTCCCTCGAGCTGGCAGAACAAACAAAAGGTGGTGCGAGGAAGGCGGGAAATCGAGAGGCTGGAAATCGTTCGTGACGCGCGAGGAATCGACATGCAGCCTGCAAGCGAATGGAAGCTGTGGGGTTGTCCACTTCGGCGATACACGATTGGGAGTTAGCTAAACAATCTCGAGGCCAAGTTGAAAGCACTCAATTCCATCTCATGGAGACGGAATCGCGACCTGGTAACAGTTGGATCACAAACCCCCCAGCGGAAGAGAATTGAACTACATTCATTAAGCTACGACCCCGACCCCAATTATATTTCCCACGCTGTGAGAAAACATGTTCAAAGGGGTAGTTTAAAAAGAGGCCGAAGAGTTGATCATGTTGGGGAAACGTAGCGCACTGTGTGACAAGACTGAGGGGGTTTCGACTGGAACCCGCCGGGGTCGTCACACCATTAACCGCGTTTTTTCGCGTTTAAGTGGGACGCAAGGACACGCGAGTTTAAATGACCCATCGACCAATCACATCGGGCGAGGCGTTGCGACTTCAGCTTCACCCCGCCAGAAGTCCTCCCACACGACGAAACATGAAAAGAGGAAATGACTGACTGTCCGCCTAAAGATGGAAAGAGAAAGCGAGATGGTGGCCGTCCTTGATTAATTATATACATAGTAGCTAAATCTTCCTTTGCTTGAAACAATTCATGTCCAGGAAACCTCCAGAGCTCTCCTGGCGCAGTGCAGTGGGAGTGGGCGGCCCCCACCTGTTATTGTTGCGCGTGGTTTGGAAGCGCGACGGGCTGTCCATGTCCCGTCACTCCACAATGGACGACGTGGGCTCGGTGGACACAACCGAGGTCGCATCGCGAACTTCAAACCAAGGTTTAGCAAGCGCTTCACCGCTCTACCAGTCCAGCCCGTCAAGCCCACACCGAGGGCCGGCGGAAGAGCGAATCTCATCCCGACAGGGACATTCCTTCAGGGGGAGTCAGGGGAAGATGCTCCAAGAAACATCCCTCAACCTGGAACCTCGACCCGACGGAGACCAGAACGCTCTTGTGCTAAGTGCCACCTTGATCGACCATTGACCCAAAGCCGCATGCAAAGACCAAGTGCCCCGAAGGAAAATCGCCGAGCACGTGGTAACCCCCACACAAATCGGAGACGCCTTTCAACAAAAAGGAAGAGCCAGGAAAAGTGCATGTGTGCCAAGACTTGACTTGCTGGAGAGCCTCTCGCTCCGTTGCTGTGACGGAAAACCATGTCCAGCAACTGCATCGTATCTCGTCCGCTGCAAGACAGCTCACCCTTCTCCTGGTTGAATCAAAACGCCTCAATACTGCGGGCTGTAAGCGGGAGTGGGGAGCAGCGCCTTCGAGACGTGAAGCGAGCCCCACTTCCGGAGGATGTTAGTCTGCTATCAACTGGTCGAGCTGTCCACACCTGTAGTAGTTAGAAGACAATCATCGTCCCGTCTTTTGCAATTGGTTTACCAGGAAAGGCTCTCGCTTTCTTTCATCCAGTCGCAACTGCCCACGTCCACATATGACCGTTAAGGTCTAATTTTGATTGCTTCTGATGCAGAGTCAACTTAGAAGTGCAATGTTGGGCATTCATGCCTCCATCGTAGGATGAGACCCCACATCTCCCTCCTGCTTTCGAGCCTCGAATTTCACTACCGGAAAGGAACTCGCAGCCCAATCCGAGCCCTTCCTCCGCCTTGCCCACGTAAATTCGCCTTTGCGGTGGCCTTCTTGATTCACTTTCCTGGCTGAAGGAGGAACCATCAACATGGATGACTTGGTCGACATCATCACACTCGAGAATCTCGAGCAAAAGCTGCCGCAATGGAATCCCTCCAGCCCTAGCCACTTTCATGCTCTCGTGGATATGGGAAGGTAAGCCAAAAATGTTCTTACCCTTGCAAAAAGAAGAAGCGAAACAAGTGAAAGCTTGGGCGCATGAACGGCAGCCTGACATTTTTACCAGCAATGGCATCCGGTTTTCCATCCTGGACCTCTCCCCTCCTCAGACCCGGTTGCTGAGGTGTGTCTACCGTGAAAGGGCAGCAATTTCTCTGTTTGATGCCCTCAGTGGGCCTTCGTTGCTGTTTCCCGATGAGACGATCCATCTCGTTTCGAAAACGTTGGCACGCTTCCGGTCGATCGCTATCGATGACTATGGCGTCCCTCCCAACCAGCTGAGGGTTTTTGCTACGGAGGCTATGCGTCGAGCACAGAACGCAAAGGCCATGCTAGAGGCCATCGGAGCCGCGTCGCCGGGCTTATCCGTGTCCATTCTCGCGCCTCCGGTTGAGACTCTCTTCGGCTCGGTGGGCGCTTGCTCTGGTTTTGTCGACGTGAAGGGCCTGTTCCTTGATCTCGGCGGGGGAAGCGTCCAGATGACTTATCTAGACTCCGGTACCGCAAAGTCTCAAGCGCAGGATGGAGCCGTCGGTCCGGAAGTGGCCGCAGCACTCGCGGGACAGAGCCTACCCTTCGGTGCGGCCCGTCTGATTAAGATTCTCAACAGCAGCGACGCTGAGGTCAAAACATCCGAGCTTTCTCTTCTTCACAACGGCATGAGCGAAGCGTTCAAAACGCTCTGTGCCCAATTTCCTACGCTTGCCGCAGCCGCGGAGGCTCAGCAGAGCCGCGCTGGAACCGGCGGTAACACGCCTCCGGGTATCGACGTCTATCTTTGCGGCGGCGGCTTCCGAGGATACGGGAGCATGCTCATGCGCAGGCATCCCATTCAGCCTTACCCGATACCCTCTATTGGCGCCTTCAAAGTCTCGGGCGAGTTGTTTGGTGACACCAAGGAACTACTCAAGTTCAACGAGTCCCACGAAGGGAAAGTTTTCGGCATGTCTAAACGCAGACGTCTCCAGTTTCCTGCCATTGTTGCCGTGGTGGATGCCCTCATCGCCGCCGTGCCCCCTATCCGTTCTGTCACATTCTGTGCGGGCGGAAACCGTGAGGGAGTGTTGATGATGAGCCTGCCACCGGACATTCGATACAGCAACCCACTTGATTGCCCTCTCGATACCACCCAGGGCTCCTTAGCCCTACCACCCAAGCCGGTATCAGCAAGCGTTCAAGACGTTCTTGACGCATTGCAGTCAGCGTTCCCGGAAAGCGTGGACCTGGCCACTACAACCACTGTCTTCGGCCTGCAGCTCGGCACACTCTACGCTCAGGAAATCTGGAACGGTTTGGGATCCGACGCCGAGAAGAACGCTTCCGCCGCGCTACACCATGCCGCTAGCTCTCCTGAACAACCCGGGCTGACCCATTTAGCCCGTGCCGTGTTGGGCGTTACGACACGTGCCCGATGGGGAGCGGGTCTAGCCCCCGTGGATGAGCAACTTGAGAACAGCCTTCGAGCTTTGATAGAATCTGCGGATCCAGCTGCGAACTTCTGGGCCGATTATACCGGAGCCGTGACCGCCGCGGTGGTGGCTCTGGTCAAACGATGGCCGTCGTCAAAACAAGCCATCCAAGATAAAATCAGGTATTTCGTCCTTCTCTTTTCTTCTCAACAAAAAAAGCTAAACGGCTTCAGGTTCCGGTCAACCGTGGAAGACGGAAACCCCTTCCATATCAAGCTGCAAATATTCGTCAACGAGACCGCCACGGCTGGACTCGACTTCGATGAGATCGTCGATTTGTTTAAAAGTCTGAAAAAGTACAAACACGGCGGGAAGCAGGTTCTCGTCAATGTTGCAACTTTCCCCTGAGAACATCGGAAGTCAAAGAACCAAAAAGAAAACACGCAGCGGTCCGGTCGGCTCAGGTCATTCTTCGCATTAATTGCACCAAATGGTTCGCTACTAAAAGCCACTAAATGTTGGAGCTGGATAGACCAGCTACCATGTTTCATCCCAACACCCGTTTTGTTCTCGCCCCTCCCACCCCCTACCGGCATTATCACTTCACTTCCGGGCTGGACGGGCCGCCAAAATTTCCGATTCTTTTGTGACGATGAAAGCGGTAAAGAGGTTGTCGGCAGGGGAAACCTGGCGAGCCACTCGTCGGTCTATCGAATGATATTAGCCTCGTTTCCTTCCCGGGGAAGTGGCTGTGGCAGTGACTTACAAAACTCAGGGAGCGCCCGCCAGGCCCTTTGGTATATCGCATATAGCTCCCGGTCCTCCTCGAATACCTGAGGGCTCGCGTCCTTGGTTCTAGCCACGGTCGTTGCCTTCTGGAAGACGGCCGAGTAGATCACGACAATCGCCTCAAACAGCCGCTGTGTGTTCTCCCGGAAGGTATGTCTCCCACTGTCATCAGGGTCCGCTAGTGTTTCTGTCAGTACGGTATTTCTGGATGGTCATGGAGATTTGGTGCCAACTAACCTGTCGTTGTAGCTTTGGTCTGTTGCTGCTCCAGCAGCCAGTGTATGGATTGGCGATAGAGTAGCATCATATGCCACAACAAGACCCATTTGATGACGGGAGCAGCACCGCGCGTCGGTTTCGGCCCTGGGGATACCTCCTTTGGTTCTTTCTGGGCAATATACACCTCAAGCTCGCTGATGATTTCCCGTTCGAGTTCCGAAATTCTTCGGCCGGTACGCACCCGGAGGGAGTCTTGAATCAACTCAAAGCGGTCGTCGAATGGCAGGGGCGGTGATCCGGGCCGTTCGCGGAAAACCAGTCTCTCGCAGCTCCAGATCCGCCACATGCACCGCATGCTGAAAATCTTGGACAGCAATGGCTCGAGCAGTTGGCCTTTGTTATCCCGCCCACCCGCACGACGGCGGCAGTCAAGTTCAAGGAGCAATTTATCCATCTCGGCCTCGAAATCGGTCCGCTTGTCGGCCCGAATCTGTTGCTCTACCCATTGTTGGATGGCAATCTCCCACCTCGGTCGCTGACCTTTCATTTCGAAGTCGGTCGGGTTCGGCGGCGCGACGGCCTCGAGCCTCACACATCGACTTTCAATGCTCTCCGAACAGGAAATGAAGAGATTCTGCATGCCGCCGCCAGTGAAGACATCACGGCATTGCATGGGGTTTGAGTTGTTCCAATTCCACCGGACTAAGGGCATAATTAGCACTCAAAACTCGACAATACCGCTAGCAACTCATGCCAGGGGGCAAAAGCTTACAGAACCGAGTGGGGGTGAGTTTCGACAGCGATGTCCGGATACACGCGCGGTCGGGGCATGGTCGTTTGCTGCATCCCGCGCAAACTTCGCCTTCCCCACACTAGCGACGACTGTCAGCAAACGGAAGATACTTTTTTTCCCTTCCCTTTTCTTTTCTTGAAAAGGGTGGTTCCAATGGGCTACCTACCCCTTGTTTGCTCATCTTGCAATAGTAGCAAGATCCGATTTTCCTCACGTTGCTTGTTTTCCGCCTGTCCTTGAGAATCCTCGTCTTGTGCTGGGGTACTACGGCCAGTGGCCGTACGTCCAGCCGCATGTCTGCGGCTGGTGATAGCACTGTGGGAGACGTTGGCGGAGACGCGGCACTGGAGGATGGTGACGATGGGGGTGACAAAGACCCTTCCAGCAAGATGCTGCTGTCCCGGCGGGGGTGGGGACCAGGGATATTTGGCCAGATGAGAGGAAGTTGTACTTCCTCATGGTCCAAGGGGGCGTCGGACATGGGGGTATCCCCATCATGGTCAACAACCCTCGTGGGGGTGTACCCGGCCGGTCTCAGTTCCGGCGTATTGGTAACCGGTGAGGGCGCATCGGAGGGTGTGGTTACATCTGTCTCCCCGTCGCCCCCGTAGTAGGCAGGGAAGTCGAAGAAGTCGGAGAGATCGCTCTCGCTTGAAGTCGAGATGCTTGCCGTCTCGGAGGAGCCCGCTCTCTCGTCTGCAGAGTACTTGTGGGGCGCATACTGGACAGGGTTCACGGACGAGTGCCCATTCTTCCTATCCATACCCCTCCCATGGACGAGACCGTTGAGATTAAGAATGTCCGACATGGTTGGACCCACGTTTCCCCTACGGACGGACTAGCGGTCGACCGGGGTAAGGCAATGTGCAGAGCCGAGACAGGCCCAACGGGTAACGTTAGTGTGTATGGCGGACTGAGCGGCGTCAAACAGCAAGTCAGGCAAGGAAGGCGACGGCAATGCCGGAGATGTGGATGGGGATGGGGTGGATTTCTGAGGATTTTCGGAGAGATGTCGCGTCTCTATGGATCGAAGTAGAAGTGCCTTTGGAGAGAAGGTGAGAATAAGGGGTGCAGATGAGGGAGTCTCTCGGGTTTTCTGGTCCCCCTCCCCTCCCCTTCTCCCCCAGAGCCTCAACAGGTCGTCGTCCATCTTTTCCTCACATCTTGGGCGCTCTCGTTGTGTCTACTTTCCTTTTCGGTCTGGCGTGGGCGTTTGATTGGTCAATTGCGATTTTAGACCGACCAATCGATTTGCGGTTTCACACCGGAAATCGAGGTCGACTACACAAAATAGGGTTTCTAGTGTCAATTTGCCCGTGGACCAAAAAGTTGAGAAAGGGAAAGAAAGAAGGGAAATTTTTTGGCAAAAAAGGGAAGAAAACATCGCCAAAGTGCAAATACACATCTTGATATCCCAGGAAACCTGGAATTTGTTTGTGATCACCTTTGAGTTGAGAAGCAACAAAGCCAAACCCACAGTTGTCCTTGAATTGGAGAGGAACCGAACCATGCAGGACAAGACGAGTTGGACTGCGGGTTCAGCAGCTCAACGTTTGGGATGCTCCTGGGAATTCTGTCAATCAAGTGACGGAAAAGGAGGCCCTAGTCCCAAGTCTACCAGAGAGTCGATACGAAAACAGTCAAAACTCCTGAACTATGGTAGCTCATCAGTTCACTTCAAGGACTTGGTTGCCAGCATCGACCTTTAATTGCAGAGAACCAACTTTCCTGTAGCATTTAGCCTTGTGGGGCGGACCCTTGACTTCAACCCACCTTCACGGCCGCTCAACCGCTCTACCGAGGGGCAGGCACCCCGCGGCCCCACTGCCCCACTACCCCACCATCCATCTTCGGGCGGTCTCGTCATTCCAGGGACATTCCAAGGACACACCAGGCACCGTGTGCGCCATATGAGTTTGAGGTACAATTTCTGCCTTTTTGTGTCCTTGTGGAGCTTGAGACTTGTGTGTGCTAATTTTGGGACTGCTTGGATGGTATGGTTGTGTTTCGTCAGTTGTGATACCTACCTTGGGTTGTAAGCAAGGACCGTTACTCAGGCCGGACGGGAAAGGCTTTTGAGGGCGGGTGGAGAGGTACCGTCTGGGCCCTGGAATGGTGGGGTGGGCGAGTCTGCGTGTGGGCGATCTGAGATTCATCCCGTCTTTGAGCAAAGGCTGCTTCACCTCCAGACATGCTCATCTCATTGCTTGAGGAAGGTACGAAGAGGGTTGGGAAGGAAGGGAAAGGGCAGTCACGGACTCCTATAAACCCCCCCCCCTCTTTTTCGAAATTCCTAATTCTCTTTTCAAAATTCTCTTCCTCAAACTTTTCTGCAGCCATCTGTTTTTCTAGTTTCCCGCACGACGCATTGCCAACAACTCAGGTTGACAGTGCATCTGCATGCTAAGTAATCCGCAGGTATGTTACATAGTGGGCACTCAAGAGACCTCAAATTGTTTCCCAAATGAGCGGCATTGCAGAAATCAGGTACCTACACACGGTGTCAGCTGTACGACTGAGCTAATGATGGTGGGGGAAGGTCGGGCATTTAAACGTCGGGCGGGTACCTTGGGTTGGTAACATGACACGAAACACAAAGGACCGCGAATGGCTTAGGTTACCTAGTAGGTACATACCTAGTGACTAGTGACTTTTATTCCCAGGCGAGATCGGAATAGCATTTGTTGCCCATGGATGGGGTAGATGGGCACTGTGTGTTGGTCTGGAGCTTCCATTCCCGGCTCCTCGCATGAGAAGCTGGGTACTTTACCTTTTTTTCTGCACCTGGTTGTGTTGCATTCCCTGTGTGGGAACCACCCAACAGTTCAAGATCGGGGAGGAAACTGCGTTCGGTGGTCCGGACCGTCAGGGACTAACCAACAACCGCTTCATCTGTCGTGCAGGTGCTGAAGGAACGTCAAGGTCCAGTACCTGAGGTAGTAACCACACACCCATACCCATACACTCAGCAGCCCGCCTTACATACACCCCAAGCACGGGAAGGGGGAGGGGAGGGGGGAAGGTGCGTTTGTCGCATGCCACCATGCCCAAGGTCAAACTCCATCAGCAAGATGCAGAAGAGATGCGGCACGTGCCGTTGCATTCCGCCGTAAGGAATGCGTTGGAGGATGCACGCCAAGGCATCTGCGAAGCGTAGGTGTGCATGTGCTTCCCGATCTACCACTCCGGAAAGGGAAATGGAAGATGGAACGCAGCTGGAAAAGAGAGAGAGAAGAAGAGAAAGTGTGGGTGGGGCCCGGGAGAGGGGGTGTTTTGTTTACTTGATAGACTCGCACCGTATCAGCCCTGTCACTTCTCTTGAGTTTATGTACTCATATGCACATCCATATGCACACGGGTCCGTGGTACGGAGGATTATTCATACATGCGACCGGAGATCCTGGGCAGTGGGGAATGATTTGGCACACTTTTCGGTGTCTGTCTGGTGGCTTGAAGTCGTTCTTTCCGTTGTCCCCCATCCCCTGCACAGCGGGATGACAAGGGAGGCTGCTGTTGTGACCAAAAGCGGTGGTTCCCGGAATAAATATGGGGTTCCGGCTTATTGATGAGGGAAGCTGAGCTGCGTTTACCCTTTCTGATACAATCACGAGGGTAAGGTCGAGGTTCAAAATCGGTGAAGAGCGCCGTTGATGCGAGTCCCACGTTTATCTCCATTATTTACTGGAATGCTTGGGCATCTACCTGACCGACCTACCCGCCGGATCTTTTCTTTTCTTACATCCCATTCCCCCCTCTCTCCCCACTCGTGGTCGTCTTCATTATTCCTCCACCGCATCTCCCACCGGATGACCATGCTGGGCAAAAACAAGGACTGCTGATGCATGCTAAATAACCTGCAGAACTCATGCTGGAGAAAACAACTCATGAATGCTTGGAGACACCCCCCTCACGAGGACACCGCATCATGCGTCGAGATGTGGATAGGTGTGTGTCAACTGCCAACATATGAACAGATGAACGAATAACAGAAACAGAACAGAAAACAAACCAAACAAAACTAAACAAATCAGGCGGTATGTACCCATCCAGACACCAACCCACCCGCTCAGCCAAGCCATTCCAGACCCAACAAAAAATCTTCTACCCGGTGTCTCGGTTGAAAACTCGAGCTTCATTATCCCTTTTCTCTTCCTACTGGACCCCCCTTTTTCTCCTTCCATTTACTCCCCCTCTTCCCGAATCCCCCCGGTTCATTACACCCCTCCCTTCTCATTTCTCATACCACCCCCCTCAGCCCCTCAGAAAAACAGCTTCTTCTTCTTCTTCCCCTTATCATCCATCCCCTTCAGGATATCATCAAACGTGCTGCCCCCGCCCATCGAGTCTCTCACGGCGTGACCGTGACCATGGTTTTGAGTATGACCATGACCATGACCATGACCCGGATCCCCACCACCGCCGCCTCCAGGCCCAAGATTCGACGGTCCAATCCCAAACGCACCATAACTCGACTTTCTCGGCTGGCCCCCTGCACCACCAGCACTGAGATAATCCCCCCCACTACCACCCAACTGTCCGAGATTGGCGGCCGACCTACTAACCCGCAACCCCAACTGGTACATATCTCCATTCCCGTTCCCATTCCCATTTCCACTGCTTCCAGTTCCACCAACCGGTCCAAAAGCAGGACTCCCCGGCCCTGCACTCCCCGTCGTTCCGGGTGTCCCCGTCCCACTGGGACTCCATGTCCCTGTTCCTGCTCCCATGCCGGCGGCGGAAGAAGAAAGCCCAGACATAGACCCCAAACTCATAACCCTCGAAGCCCGATCAAATGCCGCAGCCCCCGGTGCACCAGTCGGAGGGTGTGGAGCAGCGGGGAGTGGCAAGGGCTCGAGGCCGATGGCGATACTGGCGCGAAAGGCTTGGCGAGCGCGGTCGTCGGAACCGCTGCGGGGGCGGGCGTGGGGGAGGAGATGGGGGGAGGACGGCGCGGGGGATTGGGTTGTGGGTGTGTGTTGTTGTTGGCCATGGTGCCCCTGATGCTGGTGTGGGTGGTGTGGGTGGTGTGGGTGGTGCTGGTGGAAATGGTGGTGGGGGCTCTGAGAGCGGTGTCGGATTTGGTTTTGGATGTGTTGTTGTTGGTGCTGGTGGGTCGTCATGCTCGTGTTGCTGCGTCCGAAGCTGTTTGGGTTGGTGGTGGCCAAAGGGGATGAGGTAGACTCTCGTCCTGCGACGACGGGGGACATGGCGTCCATCTCGTGGTAGCCGCTGGTGCCGTGATCCGGTATTATGACTTGTTGCTGTTGATGCTGTTGATATTGCTGCTGCTGGTCTTGGACGGCGCCAGCTACCCCAGCGTCCCAGTCCTTGGCCGCAAGCCAGCAGTGCGAGCGCATATAGGTGCCCTCCACGGAAAACATGACCACGTCGGCCGAGAGTTCCACCACGTTGGACTTGGTGGTCTGGAACCACATTTTGCGGGTTTGGCCGGCGTCTTCGGTCCACGGCGGGTTACCCTTGGGCGCCTGGCAGAGAAAGTCTTCTACTCCCTCAGTATACCGCAAGCCGGGGGCATCGACGACGAGCATGGGCAGGGACTGCAATACAACATAAAGAAACAGCCAGTTGCCGATGCGCTGGTCGGCGAGGTCGGACGGGTGGGTGCCGCGGGACTCGCGCAGCTCAAAGTCCTTGAAGGCGTCCAGGAAGGGGAGGTGCAGCGCGTCGGTATCGATGTTGCGCGACTTGAGCAGGATCAGCTGCAGCTCGTGGGGCTGCACCGACTTGCTGTACTTGGCCTGCTTCTTGGCCGGCAGGTCGTGGTAGTTCTCGTAGATGGCCGTCATGCTCGGCAGCTTGGGCACGTCAAAGGGGATCGGCGGCAGGACGGGGGGTGACGACTTGTCGAACTCGCCGAGCACCTTACGCAGCGCCGAGATCGACGACGCCTCGCGGGCCCTGTCGCCCTTTTTGTCTTTCTCTTGAGAAGAATCGGCTTCCTCGTCGTACCCCTCGCCGATAACGCGGGGCGTGATGGACTGCCGATCCACCAAGAGGTCGTACAGGGCGCAAAAGTCCGAGTACAGAATCTTGAGGCACTGGCGGTTGAGCCCGCTCTGGGAGAAGTGGTTCTTCTTGCTACGGGCGCGCGGCGGCCAGTTGCCAAAGAGGCCCTTGTAGTACCCCATCACAAAGGTGCGCATCTTGGCGTACGAGTTGCGCCACTCCTTGAACTTGACGTTGCGGTACTCCTCGGTCGATGTCGAGCTCGCGATGCCCGCAAACAGCGAAGGGAACTCGAACGCATCCAGCCGCGTGTTGACGCTGGCCTGGCGGTTGACCAGGTCCAGGTGCGCGCGGTCCATCCGCTGGCGCGTGTCGACCGAGATGCGGTCGTACAGCGGCGACCTGAGCTCGGTGAGCAATTCGTACTTGCCCACGGCGTGCACAAAGGCCTCGTTGTACAGCGTCCACGACTTGAGCTGCTCGGCCAGGATGAGCGCCTCCAGCGTCTTCTCCCGGCTGTGGCGCACGTCCGCGATGCCCGTGTGGTCCATGAACACGTCGAGTGCCGCGGTGACTGCGTCGCCGAACGAGTTGCCGTCGTAGCTTGTGAAGCAGAAACGCCGCAGGAGACCCGCGATCTGGAGCAGCGCTGCGAAGAAGTTGGGGTGCTCGTCGGTGCCCACAAGCGGTTGGTGTGTCAGGAACGCGAATAGGTTCCGGGCAGCCACCAGACACTCGACGTCGGTGTTGCCCAGGGGGAGGTACAGGTGGCCCTCCTGTATTACGGTAGGGTAGTCCAAAGCGCCGCTGCCGTCGAAGTTCCCTTCATTGTGCGACGTGGCACCCATCATCTCCGTGACCAGGATCTCCATGAGCATCGGCGAGTTGCTCACGAGGTGGTCAGCCACCCTGAAGCTCGGCCCTAGGTTGGCCTCCTTGGGATGGAGATACACCAGCACGTTCCCGCCCTCGTTCCAAAGTTCAGGGACCTAAAAAGGAGAATGTAAGTCAGCTTGTTGTTTGCCGATTCAACCGTTTTTATTTTTCCAAGTCCAGCTTTGAGTCAAACAGAGTAGCACATACCTTCTCCCCATTCACCAACAAGCTCGTGTTGTAGTCGGCCTGGTTCTCCTGAGACATGATCCAAGCCCCCGGGCTCTTGGCCTGTCCGGCATCCGAATTCGCCCTCGACCGCGCACCAGGGAACCAGCTCTTCCTCTTCCGCTTATCCGCCGCAAGTCCAGGCGGCGGACTGCCTTCCGTGCCGGGCTTCAGCAGATGTTGTCCAGAATGCGCCGGCGGCCCAGCTTGGATCGGACTGGACACGGCTCGCGAGCCATGGTTGCCGTCGGCCACCGGGATAACGAGCGGAGGCTGTGCTGAGACGCTCCGGCCACGGGGGTCCGAGCTTGGAGACTGATTCCGAGGCTGTAGTCGGGTGGATTGGAGTTTTGCTTTCGACGCTGGCCGCTCGGGTGACGGGCTTCGGTCTGTTCGCCTGCCGCTCTCTGGGACCGGTCGCGGTGGTGGGGGCCGGGTTGGCGCGCTGGGCTTCGTCAGGACAGTCGGGCGTTGTGATAACTGGGGCGGTGGTCCTGCTCCCGGGACTGGCGGCGGTGGTAATTGCGGCATTGGTGGCACTGATGGTACTGATGACACTACTGGTGGTGGTGGTGGTGGCGAGGAGGTAGGCATCACCAGCGTCTTGTGCAGCTTGTTGTGCCCCGTGGACTCGGCAAAGGCGTGCTCCAGAAACGGCGGGGTTTGGTCGTCAATGGGCGACAAAGCGGTCGACCCGGCTGCGGACTCGAAGCGTGACGACGACCGTTTGGACTCCTCGCTCGTCCGGGCGGTGCCCGCGGTGATCGGGGTACCAGAGGTCATGGCCGAGGTCGCACTGGAGGGCGGTAGCGAGGTATACGAGGCGGTCGAGCTACCCGGGAGGGGCTTTCGCGCAATGTCGGCCGGCGGTGGTTCTGAACGAGATGTGAGCTTAAGCTTGGGCAGAAACGAGGTCAAGATGCCCATGCGAGTCCGTTTCTTCTCCGTCCCCGACCCCATTGTGCCAACTGCTGCGTCTTCTTCCCTCGGCTTTTGGTTTGTCCTCTTTTTCTTCTCCCTCTTTTCTTGTTTTGATTCCTCGGCCGGTTCGTTCCTTCGCTCTTTCACCACTCACACTTCAAGCCCTCACCCTAAGAGGGTTCTCGAGGTGCTATGATGCGGAGGGTTTGTTTCGTGTTTGTGTTTGTGTGTTTTGGAAAACGTTCACAGACCGAGCAACTCCCCGGGATGTTTTTAATTTTTTTTCCTTCTCCTTGCTGCCTAGGTACCCTCTCCTGCTCTCTCTTCCTTTGTATCCTATTCCCGGCAACGGGGGTCTCGCCAGGTCCGCACGTAACGGAGCTTAGGCCCACGGGTGAGCTTGCCGGGGTTGAGAGGGTTATGGACGGGGGTGGGCAATGCACAGTCGAGGGGCTCCTCCTTGAGGTGTTGGGGGATCTACTTTGTACATGCACGTACATATATACGTATGTATATGTACTATGTATGGATGAAGTTGAGACAAACTTACTGGACAACATGGAGGGCAGAACAAGGAGTCAAGCAAGCTAGCAGCAACCTGTGTGCCTGTCTCGGTTTTCGGACTCCGCCGAGCCCACCCAGATCAGATCGGATCACACTGCTGAGCAATTGTGGTGCTTCTTTGGTGATCGGCGTCCCGGAGCACCGAGAAAGAGGAACACAGGGAAGGGTCGGTGGGAGAAGAGGGCGTCTCGGGCGTGAGTGGCTCGAGAAGTGGACGGACGAGGCGAGCTGAGGAACGCGAATGGTGGGTCGTCAAAGGCCCATGTGGAGGAAGCGTTGGTGCAAGCCACGGAGATGCGTCGTAATGCTTGTTCCCCCCAACAAAGGCAGGGCTTCCCGGCATTCAGCTTAAAGCTGTGTTCAAAGCTGTGTCCTAGCGGTGGCCTTGTTCGAGCCTGGGAGCCGGTGAGCCGGTGAGGCTGTCTCGGGATGCTTTGTACACTACTGTGGTAGTTAACTCGTGGACGGCTGCACCGGCTGCGGAGAGGACTTGGTGAGTGACGGGAGCCTTGAGTTCAGCGATGTTGCAGAAGCAAACTCGGCGGGTGATCGTTGGGAACTTGGGATGATGGAATAAGCCACTAGAAGCTCGTGTATGTTTGTACCCGGTCGGTCTGGACAGTAATGTGGGCTCTGTGCTATGTAAAACGTAAAATCTTGAACGAAGCTCCCAACCGAGCCGGGAACCATGAACATGACGGCCAGACTTGCCAGGGCCACAGCAGCAGGGGGAACCCGATGGCAAAATAGCGTCAGATCAGCATTCCGATGGGAACAGGCAACCGGAAACCGCAAACAAATCAAAGACCCGGTCTGCTGGGTTAGGCCGCTAGTCCGGCTCCCTCTCATGCTTCGTGCGCGCGTGCGTGCCAGGCTTGTAACATGCAGTGCTCCAGCTCTTTTTTTACTCACCCAACCCCGGCCCAATGAAGACCAACAAACCTTCTTCGGGCTTCGGCTGCTGTGGCTCATCCTTTCGTCCTTTCTCCATGACCGCTCGCTCTGTGCAACCCGATCGGCTCAGCCGCAACACCCGCCCCTAAAAAAGCGCCCGCTGACTTCCCACATGGCTCAGTTTGCACAGAGCTCCGGCTTGGTGTTCCCAATCCTCCGACTTCACCTCGGAGCTGTGTTTGTTGTGTTCATTGTGCTCACTCGCTCGCTCTCACGGGTCTCATTTGGCGGTGATTTGCGCGAATGGAATGCAGGGGGGGCAAAAAGGCGGGAAACTAAAAATTGAGCCAGACAAGAACAAGAACAACAACGTCATTCCGTGAGAGCTTTTTGAGAACTGACATGGGTCCTTCTGAATTTGGCCAAGCGTGTTTCCTGCGGAAAGTGGGGAGATTCAAGGGTCGCAAATACCCCACCGAGCCCACAGAACAACTCCTTCGGTGGAGCTTCGCCAGCTTCGTCAGCTTGTCAGTTGGTCCCGCTTGTGTGTGTGTGTTTGAGAGCCCTGGTCAACGACATTACCAAACATTGAAGGATGCGAAATTTATGAATACTTTTCTTATCTCGGTCAAACTACCGGCCCCAAAACTCTGTGTGTTCAATTCAGGTTGCGAGCCATAATAAACGATGAATTTGCAGCTTTAGATGCCGAATGTTGAATGTAGAGTTCCTTCTTCCCCCTTTTTTTATAATCCCTTGCCCCATAGTACGTTACCCTCAATAAATATCACATGGTATTTGATGACAAAGTTGCACAGAGCATTTCTCTTGTCCAAGTCTGCTGCGGGTTCCGAGGCCGGCTGTCAACTCCAGTATTCCACCCGACATGGCTGCCCGAGCTCGTATCTCGGACTGTAATGACGAGATCGGCGACCCGGGCTCGGAACCCCAAGACTGAGAGCTTTTTCCAGCGTGCCGCATCACCAGTGTACGTAAACCAGGTTAGGGTGGAGTACCCTATTCTAGGATGATGGGATCTGGCCTACTACTCTAGTGTGTACTTCCATAGCGGCCCCAGGACGCGCATGCGTCGAATACGCAGAGCTCCGCCATCGCGGTCTTCGGCTTGATGTCCCCGGGCTAAAGACCCGAGTGGATGAGGCACGCGATGACCGACCTCCCTGTCTAGCAGCCTGAGGTATCGCGGGACGGCTTCTTCAAAATAGGTCCATCTGAGCCCGGCGAGTTCCTTGTCGTGTCTATTGGTGGCCTCCTCTAGGTCGAACAAGCCCTTCCTCTGCTGCGTCCAAAATGCCCCCCCCGCAATGTATTCTACGGGTTGTTGACCGGGATACTCCCTAGGTGTGTTGTGATCTGGAAGCCGAACTGCGCGGTAGGTGGTTTGCCCATGTGACTACTGGGCTCCAGTTCCGACACGACAGTGGCCCATGGCGTGGGAAGGTGAACGTGATTGTCCGTCTCTACAGACTCGCAGAGGTAGAAGTGAATTTCGATGTCACTGACATACATAGTGCGTGCCCCAAGCGACTAGCTTGGCAAGCTTGGGCATACGGTTGGGGATGGATGTGTAGAGGGTGCTCTCTGTTTCAAACGCCCCCTTCACCTTCTCCCGGTTTATTTCCTGGCTCCCTATAACTTCAAATGTCAGCATTTGTCCGGCCAACTCCTGACCAATACTGAGAGAGTCAGGCAATATTTCGACTCGTTTACCTTCTTGAAGAACGATTTCTTCAACCCATTTCGGAGTTTCATTCTAATCTTGACGGGCCGGATCGGCCAGACGATGCTCTTGACTGGGTTATCCGCTGTATCTGATGTAGGGAGACTCACCAGAGACGATAGTCTCATTAACGGGAAATATTTCCCGAAAGAATCGACGTATCCCGTTGCGCTTGTCCGCATTCTTCTCGGCTTCAACACACAAATGCTTGTGTAACAGGGCGTGCTAATGGAGAGTGATCGATCCAATTCCGCGGAAACAAAGCTCATCCGGCATCGCGGCGCCTGGCTCTGATACCGCTCACCAACCGGGCGAGAATCATTATCTCGTAGGAAAGGCTTGTCGGGCTCCTGGGTAATGGCCTGGTATGCCGCCAGGAGCGGGGGAAGGCGAATGCAGTTCACTCGATGGTCCAATGCAACCCTCTTATGCAGTCGGGTGTGCTTCGCGGCCTTCGCCCAAGCTGGTGCAGCGGGCAAGGCTGTCTAGGACTCGAGGATGTCAGGCAGACGCCTTCGACCTGGCCTCGGGCTGGAAAACCCCAAGGTGGTCGTCCCGCGCGCTGGAATGAAGGATTCACCGTTGACCGTTTGGAGTCAAGTGACAAATATAGGACGTTCCAGTCCGTGCAGGTCCCAAGCTCTGGGTTGAAGCGATGGAATTCGCCATTACCAAGGTGCGTCCTTGCCGTTGAGTTGAGCCCCTTACGTTCCATTCGGTCTAGATGTACTCTCCGGTCCGCTGAGTATCTCATCGATTCTTGGACCCGAAAATCCCGAAGACTGACAGTCACTATTGTCCTTAGACGAATACCAGAAGCAGCGGGCTGAGGACGCTCGTACCTGACAGTACTGGATTGTCTCAGCATCCAAGCACGATACGCTCCTTCTTCCGGGGCGTGCTCCGTCGCCTAAATTCCCTCTTCGGCGTAGTCGATGCTCGAGGGCCACTCGGTCTTAATCTCCTCCATGAACCTATCGATCCACAGGCCGACTTTATTTTTGTATGTGAACTCGAAATTGCCCCCGGCCGGCCGACAGAAAAGGGGGGGAGAGGGGCATAACTGAACATACCTACATCTAGGTCCACGGCTTATTTGGCGGCTCCCGGAAAACATGGAGCTACTCGTCGGAACCCGGCATGTTCTGGCCCAAGGAGTGGCTGCCGAAGGAAGCCAACCTACAACATGTCCGGGTGCACAGTTACGGCTACGGCTCGAATGGGTCGCGGAAGGAGAGCGTTTTGACCGTCCATGACTTTGCACAGGCGCTGATCGCGGATATATATAATTCGCCGAGTCTCAGCGAGAATGACAGTGTATGTACACATGAACAGCCCCGTCCCACCACACTTAGATGCCCTTGCCGGTATCTTCTTAGCTAACAGCTGCGCCCAGACGCCTATCGTGTTTGTTGCCCACAGCATGGGTGGTCTAGTTGTTAAGAAGGTATGTTGGGGTCCTCCACTTGACGTTTGTTTGTGCCTCGGAGCTGCACAACCATGTTTGCATCTGACAAGAACAGGCCCATGTTTGCATCTGACAAGAACAGGCCTACTCGTTGGCACTCTCCGATCCGATTTACACAGCTGTTGCCCGGCGAATCCGTACCATGATCTTCCTCGGAACTCCTCATCAGGGAGCTGATTCGGCCCAGATTATCCGCATGATACGTCTCGTCGCCGGGTATGGCGCCAAGGCATACCTTGACGACCTGAGTCCGGGGAACGTTACCTTAAATGTTGTGTTTCCCAAATCTGTTTATAACAGTTCGCGTGGCGTTGTGCTACCAAGCCGAACAAACACTGACTAATGCTGGCCTCGACAGAAAATCAACGACGAATTCCGGGACGTTTCCCATAATCTCAGTCTATGGTCTTTTTTTGAGGGCGTTCCGACAACGGTGGGCCCAGTATCCTCTCTAATCGTCAAGAAGGAATCCGCGATACTCGGTTCGTCTCTCGAAAGCTCTGCCGTGGCACTTTCCGTTGTATGTATGTACAGTACAGCTGACACGTTGTCTTCTGTAGGCCTGCCAGGGGAGCACATACAATATCTTGAAGCGGACCATCGCCGCATTTGCAAGTTCGAGAGCCCCATGTGTCCCAACTATCTGATCTTGAAACGTGCATTTGTCACAATTTTTAAAATGTTGGAAGCAGAGGGTGTGTTGCGAAGTTCCTTGAACGCTTTCGACAATTTGAGGTGCCCGTGCTAATGTGACTCTAGGGCTGTTTAAACGTCGCAACAGCCACGCGGAGCCACAGAAACTGGTTTCCTCGTTTCTCCAAGTCGAGAGTCGCCCAGATGACATCTGTCCTGCCGTCGCCAGAATATCTCGTCGTATAACCTGTCGGTGGTTGACCAACAATGTAGTCTTCCAGCGATGGATACAGACCTCAATTGACCGCAGTCCCGACAAGCTACACTCCAAAGCAGTCTTTCCCGAGCTAAACAACGACCAGGATAGAGTCTTGCTTCTCAGGGGCGGGCCCGGTTCAGGAAAGTCTGTAGCTACGAGTCATGTTGTCAAGTACCTTGAAACCCGCAACCTGGGCTGCAGCTACTACTACTTACAGCAGCACGACGAAACCCGATCGGGGCTCTGGGGTCTGCTCCGATCTCTTGCCTTCCAGATGGCCGAGTCCATCCCCGATGTCCAAAAGGCCGTCGTGTCCCTAATCGAAGACGGGGTAACGATCGATCCTGGCGATTACCGCACGCTTTGGACGGAGCTTTTTGTCGACCGGATATTCCGGCTGGAAACGTTGAAAAGCCATTTCTGGGTGATAGACGCCTTGGATGAGTGCTCAAGACGCGAGAAGCTAGAGTTGCTGGTGATGTTGTCCGACGTTTTCCACGGCACACCCATTCGGGTATTTCTCAGCACACGACCGGATGACCTGCTCGAAAGGCTGTTTAGTCAAGACGACATTTCGTTCCAGGTATTGAACACCAGACAGGCGAGCTTCTTGGGTACCATGAGGTTACTTTTCCAACTTTCTTTGGGCGTCTCGGCCATACCATAACGGCATCCCCGCGTTAGCTGGAGGCCGTCACGGGGCATATTCAACCCTTGGACAGCCGTTTGCCGTGACGATTTGGAGATGGGGATTATGGCGGCAAGGGGCCAGGGCTCGGGGAGAGAGTGCAATAGGTAGCGGTGGTGGTTGAAAGGGGGAAAGGGAAAGGGGTCATTTGAAGCCTTTCAGAACCACCATGTTCGAGCAATTCGGCTGGTAGACCTCGGGACTACGGTTCCAAAAGGAGGACATCTCAATTTCCTAAATCCAGGTATCAACTCCCCATCATCAAAATCGCAAAGAAGCGAAGTTCCATATCCATTTCAACGGCCTAAACCCATCGCGGCCCCTTTCCAGATTGGTCTCCCGGCTTAAGGATCCGCCTCAGCGATAATGTGCCGTCAATATTGCCATTGACCACAATCCACCGCGGCAGCGCAAAAAAAACAGCATCTTTTACACCTTCATAACCAAGTGACCCTTCATATCGTTCCCGCTCCCTAAATCCACTAGCCTTCGTTCTTCCGCAATGCCCTGTTTTGCATCCCGGCCTAGGCAGGTATCTAGACCATCTAAAAGAAAAAAGCCGGACGGGGTCATAAAAAGTAAGAACACCGTCTATATGATGTTGACATGAACGAGAGTAAGAAAAAGAACCAAGATCATGAATAAAGGGGCGTCAAATGATTGCGAGAAGCGAACAAGAGAAAAAGGGGGTACAAGTAGAAAGTAACAAAAAGAACTAAAAAAGGTTCCCCAACTCCGAACCGAAGAACCTTGGCAGACTGGTCATTAAGTTCTGCCGTCTCAAGTCTGTCCCAATCCAGGGACCATGTGATACCATGCAAAAATCATTCCAACTCCCATACTAACTCACCCCCCGACTTGCATCAGGAGATCATCTTACGCCGGCTTGTAGGGCGCGTACCCGGGGTAGGCACCCGCGGTATCAGCAGCTGGCGCGGGGCTCCCCTGCCTGTACCCGTTCCCACCCGGCGCAGCACCGGCAGGTCCTCTCATCGAACCCGCCGGGCTTGCCGTCATAGATCGAGATGGTGGTGGCCGGCTGTACCCAGATGTGAAGTCGAACCCAGCGTCGTTCCGCAACGGTGTAGGCCCAGCAGAGCCGCCACCAGGTGAGCGCATGCCGCCGTCAGTGGAAAACTGCCTTTGGGGTGGGGCGCGGGGGCTACCATACGGGCCGCCCTGGCCAGGTGCCGGGGACCCCCGGCGGGCGTAGCCGTCGCCTTGCGGTGCTGGAGACCCCCGTCGAGCATAGGCGTCACCTTGGGGCGCCGGAGAACCCCGGCGGGCGTAAGCGTCGCCTTGTGGTGCGGGGGAGCGGCGTGCGTTAGGTCCACCGAATGCGGCCCCAGGCCCAGGCGAGCGGCGCTGGTCGCCGAGGTACGGGGTGTCGTAGGGCCCGCGTGGGGCGGGGGATCGTCGTGACTCGGGGCCGTATGGGCCTTGGGGTGCGGGAGAGCGCCGCGGGTCGGGAGCATAAGGGGAGCTGTCCATTCCGTACCCTTGGGCGCCCTGCGAGTTGTAATCGTTGTCGTAGTTGTCGTACGGCTGTTGGTGGGAGGCCGCGAAGTTGTTATCGTATCCATGATGAGCCCCAGAGTCGGAGTAGCCGTGATCTTGGCCGTAGCCGTTGTTGTTATGCCCGTCATTGTAACCGCCGTTGTTCAGGCCATGCGGTGACCGTCTTCCGGGACCCATAGCCGCGCCGGCCATTCCGTACCCCTGCCCCGGCTCGTTGTACGCGGCACCTGGCTGGTTGTACGTCGGCGCGCCCTGAGAGTAGGGGTCGTTGTTACCCACGGCGCTGGCGGCGAAAAACCCATCGGCCCCAGCTCCGCCACCGGGCGGCCCATAGGGACTGCGATTGATGGGCGAACGAGCTCCGTTGGGAGTCGACGCTCCGGCAGCCCTCCCAATCGAAGCACCGTCATCAGCATGACCGTGCGGACCGGCCCCGGGCTTGTTCAGAGCATTCATCTCCACGGCATCATCGTCATCCAACATCACCTTCTTGCGCTCTGAGTTGTCCCATTCCGGCATCTGGGGCAGCTCGTCCTCATTGTGCTTCTTGCCCCCAAAGTCGAATGTCGCAAACTGGGCGAATGATTTCCTCTTGGATTGAGGCGAGGCCCCTCCGAAGCCCGCATTCATCGGCTCCTGCGACTTATAGCCATGGTTCGGTGGTATGTACGGTTCGTCGAGATACTTGTGCCGGCTTCCTCGCGGCGGATCGCAACAGCCGCAGCAGTCGCCACAGCACCTAAGGCAGTGGAAGCAAGAGCAGCAGCACGAGAGCCCGCAGCAGGCACATCGGATAATGCACCACACGACCGAAAGGATAATCAGGCCGCCAACGGCGATTACTGCAATCACAGGCCACCTAGCATCATGTCAGCACCATTTTGACCAACACCACCAGAAGTACCGGAAGAACCCACTTGCAGTAGTTGACCTGCATACAGTTGTCCCAGCTGGAGAAGGCCGTCTTGACGTCTGTAATCTGCCCCATAACATCCCTCTTCTGGACAGCGGGCTGCAAGCTAGACACAACCAAATCCAGAAACCCTCTCCCCAAACTCCGCCTCATGGCCACGTCGATTGTCGGCATCTTGCCTCTCTGGTGTGTTCCACCCCCCCTTTCAGTGAGCGGCTTCCAGGGGTATTGTTGACGGGGAAGATGAGCGCTACGATCAGAACATTCGCACAAATTGCCCGGTGCGCTGTCGTTTGGCGTATTCGTTCGTCGCTGATACTTGCTCTCTCTCGCTTATGTAGGATCGTCGTGGGAATCGATGCGGTTTCGCTGGCGCTTAGAAACAGAATCGGGAAGTTTCGAAATGCATACGGGGGCCCGATTGATTTGGGATGTCGGTAAATCAATGCTCAAAAGTATGTTTCAACAACGCAGCGAAGTGTAGTACCAAGTGTTGAAAAAAGCGCTTCGGGTATATCGAATCGCAGAAGCAAACGATCAGCACGAATCGGCACTTAGGGAGCGACAAAGCCAAAAAAAGCGCTGAGCGTATATTGTTTCGGTTCGAGAAAGAGAGTGGGTTGCTGTTGTGCTGCCAACGAAAGCAAAGGAGTGGCTCTGCTCCGTCTCACCTGCGGGCGGGAGGTGAAACTGGATGGCAGTCAATGGTGAAAATGGGGGGAAAGGAGGAGCGAAATGCCTCCTGAGAGCCCCAGGCTGACGTGTGTGGTACGAAGTGAACTGAGCAGGATGGGAGAAGAGAGAAAAAGGGTGCGGGTGGGTGCATTGAAAGCGGCCCGGGATAAGCTTGGTATTGGCCCGCTCGCGTTGCGCTTCTGCAGGTACCAATAACGGCTTCAAATCCTTGCAACAGGGGCCAACCGTTCCTGCGTCGTCACCCACATGTGAGGCTGACTCTCAGGTGGGAGAGAAAAAAAGGTTCGATCAGAAATGCCCGTGGTTTTCTTGTCCTATCTGCCGGTCACCAGCGCGATGTTCCCCCGCCTGCCGCGGCGCCGGGTTCCTGGGAGGGAGGCAGCCAACAGCCCTTGCATGCCTCCAACCTTCAAGTTCCATTGCCGGGGGAAATGGTGGGTGTGTGGGAACGTGGATGCACCAGAAGCGCGGGAGATGAGGGAAAACGGGACAATCATAGCCTGAACGAGCGACCCTAAGGCGGGGGCTCCGGCCCTCGGACGACAATTTCTTTTTGTCCCCCTGCTTTCTGCATCCCAATCACCATATCGGGATCGTCCCATAAATGCTGGAATCCTGTCTGAATTGCTCTCTGCGCCTCGGTTTACCCGGTGCAAAGCAGGGAGAAAATCGAATTCTTGACCGAACTTTCGAAAATCTTCAGGAGTTATTATTGGGACGAACCAAGAATTGTGGAAACGCGAGCCAATTGTGGAACCGTGGCACCCGAAGATGAGAAACACTCACCCACTTCTCAGCCAAGGCCAAGACTCGAGGGGCCGGGCCGTTTCTTCACAGCAAGTTGTCTCAACTTGGGCAGTTCGTAACCTAAATTTATTACACAGTAATGATATCTGCTTGACAGAGAGCCGGCCATGAAACAGCACTTCAATGCCTAGTTTACCACGATATTCAATTAACTTCAGATACCTGTTTGAGCTTTGCCCTTCACCCTGGATTCTTGAAAACAGGGTACACCGCACTACTGCTCCAGATTGTCTCGGAACGGGCGAAACAAACCCCAGGTCTCAAAAGACGACATGGGAGGATGCAATGGTGACAGCCAGGGTCATGGACCGCCGGACAGGAACCACCGGAATTATCGGATCTCTCTTCTTCCGATCCGTGAAGTAGCGTTCACTACCGTTGGTTATTGAGTTATTCTTGGCCGTCACTGTCTGAGCGGACTGGCTTGCGAGCCTTCCCTCTGATCACAACGACACAGTTCTCACGAGTTGCGCGAGTCGACGGGAGTTCAAGTTGCCTGAATGTGGGGGGCTTCCTCTCGACCCCCACCCCCAAAGCCATTTTGTAAATAATTCCCAATATAAGCAGACTCTCGATCATGACGGAGACTCGAATGGTACTTCGTAACGGTAAAGCAAACACCTAACATCAGCTCATCAGTGGCAATACCTGCTCGCAAAGCCGTCCCCAACCGCATCACTTAGTCATAGCTTCTCGGGTGCTTGCTCCGTGTGGATGTTGAGTTGTCGTGGCAGTTGTGGTCGCAGTTGTGGTTGCAGCACCTCGAGAGCCAACAACAGCCGCAGCGACGCCAAGAGAATCTAGGCTTCGCTAACGAGGTACGGATTACACCGGTGATGTTTCGGCAGAGCGCGGACTCCTGATCATTGGGGGTCCAGGCCGTATTGGTGATGCTATTGTTGGTATCGGGGAATATCTAGCCCTACGGGCGGATCTGCCGATCTGGCCGTCATCCCACCGGACGAGCAAGCACGGGATGAACCTACCTGAGCCCATTCGTCCTGGTTAGTCGACGACATCCAGCTTGCTTGGCGACATCCAGCTTGGCGTACTTGCAGCGGCTTTGTCCTCCGACGGAACCCTCGTTCTTCTTATCCCCCCTAACCCTTCCTACAGTATGGTCCTCCAACCATCCAGGTTGACTTCCGCTCGGGCTTCGTCTCCTAATCAGGTCATGACATATTCCGCCTCAGGGAGATGTACGGATCGTGGCGGGTCAAGTCGGCTTCATGGAGGCAAGAACTTTTGCGATCCCCGAAGGAATCATGTTCTAGAATCTGTCGGGCCACCTCCAGCAAGATCTCGAACCCGATGCTGGCCGTTACGTGCCGCAAGACTTTCTTATATAACTCTTCTGTGATCGCTCGCCATGTCGGACAAAGTGTAGCATACTCACCAGTTCCCATCTCCCAACCATCTTACCTTCATACCCATCTAAGCACTTCGACTCAGCTGTAAAGCCTCTCTTGAATATACTACTCGCCCACGATGTATCCCTCTACGATCACGTCCCTCCTCCTCTCCTCCGGCGTCCTATTCCTGGGGTTAACCACTGCCTTCCCGGTGGCCATGGAAAAGGAGTGTCAGCCACGGATCATATGTGTCGATTCCATCAATGCCTGTGGGATCAGATACGGCGGGTACGTCTCAGTCCGGACCAGGGATTGCGAGCGTGCGGTTGCTGATCTCAAGATATAGCTGCTACGACGTTTGTGACCGTGCCGCCAAACCCGTCGCTCCGGCTTGCCCGAGTACTACGAAGCCTGCCAGGCCTACCCCCTCCGTCAACACCTGCAACCACACCAACCCCTCGATCTGCTAGAATGACACCAACGAGAAACGAGAGCGGGATGGTGTATGGCGGGTTATGGATGAAGAAGGTGGACTGAGTTGGATTAGATTTCTGTGTTTTCTAAAAAAAGAATGTACTGTCCTGGCAAATTAAATTATACAGTTTACAGTTTTGGGTATCTCTTGAATTCCGTCATGCGTCATAAAACTTTTAAATCACAGATAACCGCCTAGTCTATGCCCCCCATTTTTCAACCCGCCAATGTACTCCAAATACAGTATGCACACGTCTCCCCAAGGCCAACAATTCATTCATTTGGCCTTCGCCGCGAGGTACTCCACGTCACCCACCTCCCTGAGCTTGTTGCCTTTGACAATCACCTGGTCCTCCATCTCGGTTTGGTACCGCTTCATCTTTTCCTGGTATTCAGGCAAGAAGGAACCAAGAATCCGGATGGCCAGAAGGGCCGCATTAGTGGAATTGTTGATGCCCACCGTGGCAGTTGGCACACCCCTCTGTACACGTGTCAGACTGGTTCGCGTAAACACAGAAACGAACGAGAAAACAAAAAGAACTCACCGGCATCTGCACAATACTCAACAAGCTATCCATCCCGTCCAAATGCGTCGCCTTGACAGGCACGCCAATCACAGGCAGTGGCGTCTCTGACGCCAGCATGCCGGGCAGGTGTGCCGCACCGCCCGCCGCGGCGATGATGGCCTTGATACCTCGGCTCGCAGCCTCGTCGGCCACCCGCATCATGTATTTGGGCGTGCGGTGCGCCGACGTGATGTCGAGCGCGAACGGCACGCCAAACTCCCGGAGTATGTCCAGGCCGGCTTTGAGGACCGGCAAGTCCGAGTCGGAGCCCATGGTGATGAGGACAAGGGGTGAGTCGGAGGAGGAGGCTGGTGCGGACTTCGGTTGGCTGACGGTGGGTTCCTGCTTAGGACGGAGGGTTTCGGCGGAGGCGGAGATGCGGTCGTGGCGGATTTTGTTGACAAGGTCAATGAGGGGCTTCGCCTTGACTTCAAGGTCTTGAATGGAGGAGTTACTAGTGAGGGTGATGTGGCCGATCTTGCGGCTAGGCTTAGAGGCTTTGTTGTAGAGGTGCAGGTAGACGTCCATGTCCTCATCGAGCGTGCTCCGAGCCAAGTCGGCTAGCTCGAGGTGGGCATCGGGAGTGGCACCGCCGAGAACGTTGAGCATGATGGATGAAGATACCCGGGGAATGAGCTTTTTGGGTATCGGTAGGTCAAGGACAGCATGAAGTTGCGCCTTGTACTGCGACATCTGGGGCACCGCCTCGATGGTGTAGTGGCCAGAGTTGTGAGGACGAGGCGCAACCTCGTTGACCATCAAAGAGTCTGTGCCGTGGTTAGTGAAGGCATAGAGAAGATAGGATGTCACTTTGACGCATACCATCTTGCAGGAGGAACATCTCCACAGCAAAGACACCTCGGCCCCATAGTGTGCCGATGACTTCAGTAGCTAGGTTTCTGGCGGCCTCGCAGACTGCATCTGAGACTCCCCTGGGCGGCATGAATACTTTGGTACAGATGCTGTCTTCGTGGATGGTCTCGACGGCCGGGTAGGCGACACAGCTCTTGAGCTTGCCGTTGCCGTCCTCAGTCCGAATGACCATGACAGCCAGCTCCTTGACAAAGGGAGCCCATTTCTCGGCATACAAGCTAAGTCCACCCAGGGCCTGGATGGCGGCTTCAAAGTCCGCCTCGCTGCTGACCTTGAAGTTGCCTCTCCCGTCGTAGCTGCCCTTCCGTGCCTTGAGCATGAGTGGGAGTCCAAATCTAGCGGCGGCCTGCTTGAGTGACTCGAGAGCTGCCGGCCCCGGTTCGATGGCGACCTGCTCAGCAATGGGAATGTTCTTGCCGCTGGCCCGGAAGTGCTCCTTTTGGAGGTACTTGTCCTGGATGAGACGGAGGGTCCGCCATGAGGGGTGGACGGGGGGCTTGTGAGTCTTGGTAGACCCATCGACCAGCTTCACCTCAACACCATTCTTCTCGATGTCCTCAAGCACCTCGGTCTCGACATGCTCAATTTCCACGGACAAAACGTCCGACTGGGCAGCAAGCTCCCGGATCCGAGAGGGGTCCTTGAAGGAGCCGGTGACATGTCGGTTGGTGTTGTGCGCCTGTTTGGCCGGGGAATTGTCCTCGTCAAGAATGGCGATGTCGATGCCCACGGGATTTGCTGCTTCGCACAACATGCGCCCCAGCTGCCCGCCACCAAGCAGGCCGATGACGGGGTTCCTGTTGTCCGTCATGTTGTCGTGACTTCCAATGGTTTTGTCTTCGTCTAATACCGGGCCAATCACTCGTCCTATTTGGTCATGCAAGTTTGTCACTCTGAATCGAGAGGAAAAGTTGGGAAAACGAAATCGGGTAATAAATGACTCTAAAATTTCGTACTCTGTAAGTTGCAGCGGGTTTAAGAGGCTTCAGCCAATTAGAGGGTTGGGAACGTGGAAATTCACAGCATTCTTCTTAAACCCCACTTTGTAACTCGGATGCTTGTCCCTTAATTCGCACGTCACCGTTACAGAACAGTTGGAGTAATCGCTTTCCGATTGCGAAAAACTAAATCTAGCAATGGTGTGGGAAAAAACACAAGTAGAAGCCCGGTAGCCGGTTTCAAACCGCCCTATGATGATGGTTGTCGCCGAATGCAACGAAACCAGCCTCTCTCAGGCCCCGACTCCGTCACTCTCTAAGAGCCCTTTCAGGAGCGTCTTCTCGATTATCGCTCGAGTATGCGCCAAAAGCAGCCAAAACGCCTCCGTGCCCGCGACGTTCCCACGTTCCAGCCCATAAAAAACATTACTACCCATGCCCTGATGTAACCCCTACTCCCAGACCCGCATCCCTTCCGCTCTTCATAACGGCTTTACTTGGTCCCGTTCGGCGGGGGGCCCGGAGGTGGGGCAAAATCGTTATCATTGCCGTGACGGTTGTCGTGCGGTGGTGGTCCCGGGGGTGGCGCATAGTCGGCCTCGGCACCGCGGTGGTAGGTGTTCTGTGGTTGTTGCAGCTGAATATCTTCTTGATTGCCGCCATAGTAACCATCTCCAGGGCCGTACTTGTACCCGCCTGGTGGCGGGGCACCTTGGCCTTGGGCTTCAGCCGAGTACTGCGGAGGCGGGGGATAGTAAGGAGGCGGCGCGGGTGCCATCCAGCCTGTTCCGTATAGCGGTTGCTGGCCCTGCCTTCTGCGACGACGCGAGTTGCGGCTGTTGCGAGGGCGCGAGTTAGTTAACTGCCTTTCTCAAATTGGTTTCAAAACCAATTGCGCGAGGGTCGGGGTGGGAGCGTACAAAAGACCGGCGAACACCAATAGAACGAAGACAATGGCAATGCCGGCGAAGACCCAGCGCCCCCACCAGTACCATCCGGAATAGGTGACGCAGCGTCCGTTCCAATCACGATATGCGCCGCTACCACAGCTATAAACATGCCCATATTAGCCAGTGCATTCGCAGAAACAATTCAGGTCGAACGTACCCATCGTCGCGCTTGGTCAGCTCGGCGAGCTGCTCAAGAAGAGGCGCCATGTTGAAAGTCGCAGGAATTAAGTTGACCGTTCAGAGCAGGGCCTGTTTTGGGGAAATGTTCAAGGAGAAATCGAGGTGGGGGTGATGTTGTTGTTGATTGGGGCAGTATGGGGTTGTAGGATTGTGGAAGAGAAAATATGGTTGAATGAAGATGGGCGGTTGCTGGGAAAGATATCATACGACAAAGCCAAGTGAGGGTGGGTGGTGACGTGCCATCATCGCAGTTTCAACACTGTGGAGCACAGGCGCAGTCAATGCGTTTCCCTCGGGTTTGAAGGCAGATGAACAGTGTGGTTTGTAGAACGCACGGTAGCGAAGGACGGCGTGGCACTTTGGTGGCTGAGCCTGGCGGAATTGTCATTCTTTGCGCCGCCTTCCCCAATGAGATCATTTGAGACGGGGCGCCAAGACACGGTTGGGACCTTGGGTTTTGCTGGGCAGGCTGGGCGAAAACAGTCGCTTGACTTTCCTCCCGCCCCGATCGGCTGACCGGCATTTTCTTGAGCGATCTTGGGGTTTCGGGATCCCGGCCGTTTGTCAACAGTGCGAAACCCGCACAGCGACAAAATTCGCGCTGATCTGACGAGGAGAATGGGGGCGCAGGCGCGCGGGAAGCCCTGCCACCTCGTTTACAGGCTTCGGCCGGCGAAGGGATGTCGAAATCAGGTGTATCCGTATTGCTGACATCCCGAACTTGCATGGCCACGAGGATCCATGACCGGCACAATACGCGTGGGGCTGGCAGTACGAAAACGTGGGTGGACTTCGTAGCTATGTCGTGAAGACAAGCACTGCCTCCTACATCCCTGGCCGTCATCAGCAGTCCAACTTTCAAAGCATCTTTCTTTCCCTTTTCGGATAAGAGCCGACACTTGGAAGATCAAACGCTCTGGATACCTTAAACTGGAAGAAACGATAATGCCTTGCAGATTTTACTTTGTGATACGCTCGACTTTAAGGCTGGAAGTGGAGGCCTCCTCCTGTGTATGATTTCCGATCCGGGTTAGGGTTGACCGAAGCTTCGACCATTAGAGACCCACTCAGGTGCAACCAAGCCACAATTGGAACTGTTCACTCGGCTGTAGCCACAGGACAGCCACGTGACTGTCGCTAGCCCCATCTTGATTTCCCCCTCCACACAAAAATTTGTAGCAAGGAGAAAATCCAAGCCGCGAACTAACAAACAGGAAGGTATCCCGCCATCACGTCAAAATGGCTACCACCCAGGCAGTTCAGGTGTTCGGCAAGAAGAAGAATGCCACAGGTACGAATTTTTGTTTCGAACAGAAAATATATCCATTCGACCGACTTCTAACACCTTCGCAGCCGTCGCGCGCTGCGTGGCCGGCAAGGGCCTGATCCGGGTCAACGGCAAGCCCCTCAAGCTCTTTGCCCCGGAAATCCTCCGGGCGAAGCTCTACGAGCCCGTCCTCATTCTCGGCACCGACAAGTTCGCCGAAGTCGATATCCGCGTCCGGGTCGCTGGTGGTGGTCACACTTCCCAGGTTTATGCGACGCGCCAGGCTGTACGTATCCCGGGGCACGCTGAGAGAGATATCGGGGGCAAGAATAAGTGTGCTAATACTTGACTTCACAGATTGCCAAGGCCATTGTTAGTACCCGGATCCGTCAGAGCTCGAAATACGAAGCGAAGAACTCGAATTGCTGACTTAGGGATTGTCTAGGTCTCCTACTACGCCAAGTACATCGACGAGCACTCGAAAAACCTCCTCAAGACCGCCCTCATCCAATTCGACCGTAGCCTCCTGGTGGCCGACCCGAGGCGTTGCGAGCCCAAGAAGTTTGGTGGAAAGGGTGCCCGTGCGCGGTTCCAGAAGTCGTACCGTTGAGTTCTTTTTTGGCCATGTTGGGAAGCGGGGGCTTGCGTGGACACGGATGGCGTTCGGCATTGCATTCATCAGCTACGAGTCGATATTGGCCGACGACGGCCCGCTGAGGTGCACATTAATGACGCCTCGGGGGATACGAATAAAGACTCGACTGTACCTGTCTCCCTCCCATTCCGACCCTCCTGGGGGTTTTCTTCGTGGATCGTGTGAAATTAGGAATGGGAACTGTTTTTTCCTCAGGTAGGAGGAGAGTGGTTGGGGCCGATAGAGCAACTTGAGTGTCCTGGTTTTGCCCGCGTTCAGAAGGGAATGCTACTTGGGTTTTCTCCACCATCGCCGCAAAACAGTGTATGTTCCATGGGGGTAATGCTGATGTCTAGGAAACGGTGGGATATCGACCGATTCTTTGGTGTCTTAGACTGGGCGATACTCGACAGCCAACAAGCCTTTGTCACCCCATGGTCATATTTAGCCATGCATGCGGCTCGCACCTGGGGTTAGTAGAGAGTTCTGCGTGGCTAGCTGAGTATGGGATGGGTATCATCCAAGACCCCGTTGCGGCTCCCGCTCACATGTGACGATATCTCGACCGCTTGCGGAGTTGTCAAGCGCCTTCCAGCTTTGCTTTCAACGGCCTTGCCGGACTATCTCCATATGTAGTGAACCGGTCCCGTTGACAGCCAGCTTTGTCCAGCTTGATTCTCATTTGCTTGCCTCCTTCACTCGCCAGAGAAACTGTCACAAGTAAGGGCAGGATGGCAACTGCACCAATTGCTAAACCCCGCTAAACCGAATGGGGAAATATTGTGTTCCATTTTCGTGTTCTGCTGGGAGCAATCTCAGCAATCTGAATATCACCGCATCTCTTCATCAGGGCTCGAGACGAGCTGAGTGATGAACAGTCTCAGGACATGACAAGGGATATAAACATACCCTAGGCAAGCCCCCGGAATATTCAGACTTGTTAAACACCAAAGGTGTGGGCGCGGTTCGACCGACAGACCGATGTGCCGCAGGGTCGCTCCATTCCTTTCTTTTCTTCATTCTTCTTGTTCCCCTCGACACTTCGTTTCGTGTGCTAAACGCCCGGGTACCCACCGAGCGCCTCAAGGGGTCTTGTCAACCCCGATGTGCTTGGTGCTTGCGTGAAAGAATGAAATGGATGGTGATGGGGGGACTGGCCCCTCCCCCCAAGCAAACCCGACAGCCAATGATACCTTCACACGTCAATCAATGGTCGAAAATGGTCCGTGTGTAAGTCTCCTCCCCTGGGCGCGCTGGCTGGGAGAATGGAACGAAGAGGGAATGAGCAAAAGACTGAAATAAATCTTCTCCCAGTTCTCTTGCTTGCAAACCTTGATCTTCTTTTCGTCGCATATCCTTTTCAAAGTTCGAATTTCTCCTCTGATTGAGTTTTGGCCTCAGCTTCGGGCGAGTGATGAGAAGCTGTTCATTGTCTTGCGCAGACCCGGACACACGAAGCAGCGCGCTCTCCCAAACCCATAATCTCGCCGGTTTTGGCGGGGTAGATCCAAGTGGTTGGCATCTCACGCTCACACAAACGGTCTGAGCTGGACCGAGTCTGAGGGAGAGTTATCTAAGACTCGCTTCCCCATTTCTCTTCTCTTTTCTGACTTCTCATATTTTCAAGTTTGGCTCACTTTTCTCCTAGAAATATCTCATCATTGTCATTATCCAACACTAGCGCTCTGCTAATTAAAAAAAAGGAGAGAGAGAAAAAAGACAAATTCATTTCGGCCGGATACATCAGACACTCCGCCGCTTCTTCCTTCGGCCTTTCACTCCCATTTATCGTCTCTTTTGATATAACGTATCCTAAAAGAATTGGTCCTTGGGAGAAGAAACACAAGACGCCGTCCTCCCCCACCCTTCCTCCAATATCCTCCTCCTCATCCCACATTGCTGCGAGCGGCAAGCGCCGCTTGTAGATAGATGCTGTTTAGCATACCCGGCCTTGCGGCTCCGATCTGAGTTCGTTGATATCGCGCCGAGATGCGATTCTGACCTGCTCCATTCTCCCTCTCTCACACACACCCATCTAATCTTGAGGAAGACCGTGGGTTTTGGAAACGTTGACTGCACGACAGGATTCCCTACCCGTCGAACAAAAAAGGGGGAAGGTGGAATAGACGATACCGAGAGGGAAGAATCGGCTGTGTGTCGGTAGTGGTCGTCGTCGGCCGATATCCGAACCTCTTTCCCCCCGGGGATTTGTGCCAACAAGGAAAGAAAGACAACATTTTAAGGAAACTAAGGGAAGCACAAAACGAAAACGGAACGCCCTGGCTACGCGACCTTCCAGAATTGATCCCGATATTCCCCGAACCCGCCACCAAAAATTGGGTATTCAGACACTCGATGACAAACCTCTCTCTATCCACGAACCAACGTCGTGGCGATAGCGGCTCGTTTATCGGTTAGCAAACTTCATCAGCCACTGAAGTACGGCCTCGAGATTTGTCTCCTCCTTGGCCGAGATGCCATAACACGAAACCTCGCGGTGGGCGATGTTCTTCAGATCCATGGCGTCGATCAGCTCATCAACCGACAACTTGTTGGGCAGGTCTGATTTATTGCCCAGCACAAGGAGCGGGATCCCTTCGAGGCTCGGCTGATTCATGAGCGCGTGTAGCTCTTCGCGGGCCATGGGGAGCAGGTTCAGATCGGCGATGTCGATAATGAAGACAATGGCGTTCACATTGCGGCAGTACCGCTCCCACATCGGCCGGAAGCGGGGTTGACCGCCCAAATCCCAGCATTTGAGTGTCACATGCCCCCGTTGCACTCGCTTCATATTGAAGCCAACGGTGGGTATCGAGCTACAGATAACAAGGAGGGTCAGCTGGGGTCGAGAAACCCCCAAATCGGTCGTGAAGTCTTGAGGGGGGCGGAAGTGTTGTGGAAAGGAAAGGGACGGGCTGCTGCTTACTCGATTGCGAATTCGCCGCCCTATTGACGAGGAAAAGTCGGTGTCAGTAATTCACGAGTCCCTCATCACTACGGAACGATTTCGTCGACCGACTCACCGAGAGCACGCGGAGGAGCGATGTTTTGCCAGCGTTCTGCAATCCGATCATGGTCACATCCATTTCCGTCGCCCTGCATTCAATTAGCCATTTACACACCAGACATCGTCGTGATGCACCACCTGTGAGATGCAGACCCGGCATTGCCCCGCAGCTAGGCGGCGCGGGGGAGGTGCATGACCGGCGCAAAACTTACCAAAATGTCCGCAGCAGCCAGTCGTACACTTTTCTGAAGAGTCCCGCCATGGTTGTTGGGGGTCAAATTTGTTGTCGTCGATGGAGATTTCAGAGGGGATTCGAAGGGTTTGGGGACCTGGCCAACTTGCGAGCGAAGATTGGGAAAAGTCGCGCAGGTTGGTGATTTCGCGGCGCCAGGGATTCGTAGTGCAAGTGCGTCTTCCGGGGCCGGGTCGATCGATAACTCGGTAGGTCGGAGAGAGAAGGTGACGGATGGGGCGGTGACAAGTCTCAGCTGAGAGAATCCTGGCTTTATAAGAAGATTCCGCGCTCTTTGCTTCAAGCCCGCAGACGGCGCTAAAAGCAAGATTACACCTTCGCGCGTGTTGACTCGATCAGGTGTTATTTCTTTGTAGACTCGTAAGAATAAATTAAGGAACCAAAATGAAGCAAAGCTGTTTGTGATCGGTGAAGGGAACCGGGGTTGAGTGTGGGCGGACGAGCAAGTGACCAGGCCCACCAATGTAAGGGGAGGTATGCCGCCAGGGAACACAAAAACCACCCTAGGTCGGGAAAGCGATCTCGTTGCGCGAGCTCAAGCTCTGGCCCGTGCCTCGATGCGCGGGAACAAAAATATGGATGAGTGTTGAGGCGGCAAGCGGGCGGCTAGCACTGGGGGAGAAGTTCTGGGCTGGAGCGCCGAGATGGGGTAGGGAGGGGGGGAAGGAATGTATGAAAGGAGGTTGTCGGCAAGGCGAGACGAGACGATCGGCTCCAGGTAGCATGAGGTGGTTCTCTGCGAGGGGTGCGGGCGGCTCAACACGTCCTAGGTTGCAGTCACAAAGTCAGTGCTGAGACCCAGGGTCAAGCGGCGGCTGCGGCTGCGCGTCAGGGGAGGCGGCGTCAAGTGCGTTGAAAAAGTCCTTTAAGATGGAAGGTCGCAAGAAAGAGCCGGTCCGGTGGCCAGGAGGGTTGTATTGTGCATCAGAGGGAAAACGGGAAACGGGAGCGCAAGGAAGGCTGGATCTGCAAGGAGCTGCTGCAGGACGTTGCCGCTGTGGATGCTGCAGGGACCTGGATGTTTTGTGCCCAAGCGGCCGAGCCGATCTGAGATGCCCCAAGGAATGTCGATGAGGGATACGATATATGTTGTGAGGTGTAGTTTCTATGCCCCTAGCCCTAGCGTTTTGGGAAGCCTCCAGAAAAACAGGAGAATCAGGCAGTCAAGACGCCTAACTTTATGGGAGTAAACCGGGAACTAACGTGAGTAAAATGGATAACGTAGAGGTAGGGAGACGGCTCCAGCCCGATTTCTCCGAGCCGACTGGGCATGGGAAGCTTCCACTACACCGGGCCCGGCTGAAGGGTGGGTCTTGTTCCTGCTGCTGTCGTTGCTGTGAGTTGTTTAGCCACGAATAGTGTCCGTTCAGAAAGCGGATGGAACTGGGGTGGTGGCCTTGCTATTTATCGGAGAATACATAGGACAAACGTCGTTTGATGCAATTGTGGTTGACGGGTTGGGGAAAGGACAGCAACCGGCCGCCAACAGCGGGGTCACTGGCCGTTGAACAGCGATTGGGCCATCCAGCTCTAAAGCCGAAGCTCTGGCCAAGGGTTCCCCACGTCAAGGAAACCAATGACCCACGCGAGGGCTTGAAGCGGGCGAAGAGACTCGATCGGTTCCCGGCGTGCCCCCAAAGGCAACTCAATTTGGGGCCAATGATGGATCCGGCAGCGTTGCAAAAGCAAGCGCCTCCGATTCCCCATAGCGGGCGCGGGATGTGTTGCAAATATCCAGATGCGGAGGTGGATGGGCAATTGTCAATCACTTTCAGTGCCCACGCCTCCGTGGGTGGGTGCCCAATGCGTTTTGCATGGGCCACAGTTCCGCTGAACAAGGGTCTCAAAGCCTAGCCCAGGGCAGCAAGGAGAATTTGGCTACCTACACTACGGATACATTTTACGAAACCATCATCCAAGATTTCCTTTGAGGCTGGGGTAGCTAAGGGGGGTATGCATATTGGCTCACTATACCCTAAACGCTCCTCGCCGGCCTGGGAAGCCCTGACGTTGACTACCTATATAAGCAGCAGCCGGCTGGTTGGTTGCTCGCGAGATCCATGAGTTGGTTTGGCTACCGGATTCGCGAGAGATTCGACTGGGCCTTAGTTGACCAAGGCTAAAACCCCGCAATGGCCGCAGCTGGGGAGGCCTGACCGGCTTCATCCATTGGAGAAGTGACAATCACAGGTCCCCAAGCATGCTAGTATGCAGCTCGAACGTCTGAGACCCCTCAACATACTAGCGTCATGACTCCTGGGCCGGGCTCTCCGGTGCACCTGTAAGCCAAGCCGTCTCCAGTTCGCGTTGACCTAGCAGTAAGTAATGTTGTGGGGTGGTCATTAAAAAACACAGCCTGAGAGAACGAGGGTTGCAAGCTTCACTCACAACATATTTGGGGTAGTTTGTTAAAATTTCTTCAAGATGTGGCCACCCGAGAAAGATATCCCACAGGTAGCTCCGCAAAAATTCTTTGGCTTGAAAAGGATATTGTGAACGGCGGGTGGGATGATGAGGAGAGCCTCGGTGCTCACCACCTTTTGCTTCATAGGTACAAACAGGGAGCGTACCGTGTGGACGTACCGACCCCACCGGGAGCGAAGCAGGGGTCACAGGGTGCAGGGGTCCCGGCCGATAAGCGATAAGGCGTAGAAAAAAAGTTCCCCAAACCGAATTCAACACCATTCATCAACCGGCAAGACACGGCGGTCTCCATGTTGTTTTGACTCGGGCAAAACCAAACTCCTCAAATTATGGGAGCGCAATAGACGAGTCACAAAATCCGATTAGGGCTTACTCCATTGCATCGGCTCAACACTGCGAACCTATCCTCACTACCCACACAAAGATGGCGCCGCAACGCACCAACACAACGTGGGACCACGAATACAACACACTTCGCCGTGAAAATCTCTTTCGAAACCCTCCAACAGACCAAACTGCATACCCCGCTCTCCAGCTCGCCGTCGACCCCCACATTGAATCCTTCAATGCCCTTTTCCGAAACGACGGCAAACCCGGCCTTCTCGATCATGCGCTCGCCGAAATAGGCACAAAAACATTTCTAGATGGCGACGAAAGAGCGGCACCCGCCGGGAAAAATAGGCTAACTATTCGGTATAAGAGTGTAACACTCCAGAAAGCCCAGGTGCCCCCATCCAACAAGTTCGCGAAAAGGCGAGAGATCTATCCTTCCGAGTGCCGAGAGCGACACGTTTCGTACCGAGGGAAGTTGACGGCTGTCCTGGAATACCGCATAAACGATGGCGAGCCTCAGGAGTTTGTTAGGGAATTGGGCCAGATGCCCATGATGGTCAAGGTATGGTATTATTGGTCGCCGACGGCCAGGCCGCGATATGTCGAGGTTGTTAACGTCCGCTCTACCGTAGTCAAACAAATGTTATCTCGAACACAACTCGCCAGCTCTCCTGGTACAGAGAAAGGAGGAGTCGGAAGAGCTGGGTGGGTATTTCATTGTCAACGGCATCGAAAAAATCATTCGTCTGCTCCTCGTCAACCGTCGAAACTTCCCGTTGGCTATCGTCCGCCCGAGTTTCACAAACCGCGGGGCCTCGTACACACCGTACGGCATTATAATGCGATCCGTTCGCCCAGACGAGACGTCCCAGACCAACGTTCTTCACTACCTCAACGACGGCAACGTTACATTCCGTTTTTCATGGAGAAAGAACGAGTATCTTGTGCCGGTCATGATGATTCTCAAGGCTCTCATCGAGACGAACGACCGTGAGATCTTCGAGGGACTGGTCGGTCCCCCGAACTCGAAGGGCATTGAGAATACCTTCCTGACGGACCGTGTCGAACTGCTCCTTCGCACTTATAAGACCTACGGCCTCTACACCAAAACCCAAACCCGAGCGTATCTGGGCGAGAAATTCAGGGTCGTCCTCGGCGTGCCAGATACGATGTCGGACTATGAGGTCGGCACGGAATTTCTCCGCCGGATTGTGCTTGTCAACCTTGGTTGTGTTGATGTTACCGAGGAACAGGATCTCGACAAATTCAAAATGCTGCTTTTCATGTGCCGGAAACTCTACGCGCTAGTCGCCGGTGACTGTGCCGTTGACAATCCTGACGCGGTTCAGAACCAGGAGATTCTGTTGGGGGGGTTCCTGTACGGCATGGTTCTCAAGGAACGACTTGATGAATTGCTATCTGTCTCACTCAGGGGTGCGCTGCGTGACTACTTGAGGAGAAATCCAACCACGGCTTTCACCTCATCCAATTTCGCAACCCAGTTCCCCACCGCCATCTTCAAGCGGACGAACGAAAACCTTGGGAACGCACTGGAGTACTTTTTATCTACGGGCAACCTTCAGAGTCCTTCGGGTCTCGACTTGCAACAAACCTCCGGTTTCACCGTGGTGGCTGAGAAGCTCAACTTTTTGCGTTTCATCAGTCACTTCCGCATGGTTCATCGTGGTAGCTTCTTCGCCCAGCTGAAAACTACAACAGTTCGGAAACTGCTTCCCGAGTCTTGGGGCTTCTTGTGCCCGGTCCACACCCCCGATGGATCACCTTGCGGGCTGCTGAATCACATGGCCCACAAGTGCAAAATTATGACCGATTCTGTGGATGCCTCGGCCGTTCCGGGCGTTGCTCTAGAACTAGGGGTAAACGACTACTCATCTGCGGCTACGAGCGAGAGCGTTGTGGTCATGCTTGACGGGCGTATCATCGGCTGGTGCACACCTGAGGCCGCCAAGGCAGTCGCTGACAGCCTGCGGCGCTGGAAGGTGGAGGGCGGCCATGGGATACCGATTCATCTAGAGATTGGGTACGTGCCCCCATCAAAGGGAGGGTCGTATCCCGGTATCTACATGTCCTCTCAGGCATCTAGGATGGTCCGGCCTGTCAAGTACTTGCCCTTGGGCAAAGAAGACTTTGTTGGTCCGCATGAGCAACCGTACATGTCGATCGCAGTGACGGACGGCGAAGTGATCCCGGGCGATTCCACGCATGTCGAGTTCGATCCGACAAATATCCTCTCGATCCTCGCCAACATGACGCCTTTCTCTGACTTCAACCAGTCGCCCCGTAACATGTATCAATGCCAGATGGGTAAACAAACAATGGGTACGCCAGGGACCGCCATCCGGCACCGAACGGACAACAAGATGTACCGAATTCAGACCGGTCAAACACCGATTGTGCGCGCCCCACTGCACAACACTTATGGTTTCGACAACTTCCCCAACGGCATGAACGCCGTGGTCGCCGTCATCTCGTACACCGGTTACGACATGGATGATGCCATGATCCTCAACAAGTCGGCGCATGAGCGAGGGTTTGGTCACGGCACAATATACAAGACCAAGAAGATTAGCCTCAAGGATGATTCGAGAATTCGGTCGTCCAAGACGGCTAACAAATTGTTTGGGTTTGCGCCTGGTAGTGTGGTCAGAGCGTCGGACCGCGAGATGGTCGACGAGGACGGGCTGCCTTACGTCGGTCGGCTAGTCCGGGAGGGAGACATCCTTTGCGCGTGGCACACTGTCTCGGCCGATTATAGTGGGCAGCTGCTCAACCGGGACGGCATCACACACTGGGAGCGGTACAAGGAGTCGGAAGATGCCTTCATCGAGGAGGTGCGTGTGATCGGCAGCGACTCGGGCAACGAACCCCTGCAGGTCATATCGATCAAGCTCCGCATCCCCAGATCCCCCATCATCGGTGACAAGTTCTCCTCCCGTCACGGCCAGAAGGGTGTTGCCTCACAAAAGTGGCCCGCTATTGACATGCCTTTCTCGGAGACTGGTATCCAGCCGGACGTCATCATTAACCCACACGCCTTCCCGTCCCGCATGACAATCGGTATGTTTGTCGAGTCCTTGGCTGGCAAGGCCGGCGCGCTACACGGCCTAGCACAGGACTCAACGCCATTCAAATTCAACGAGGAACATACGGCTGGGGACTATTTCGGACACCAGCTGATGAAAGCCGGGTACAACTACCACGGCAATGAGCCCATGTACTCGGGCATCACTGGCGAGGAATTCGCCTGCGACATTTACATCGGCGTGGTGTACTACCAGCGTCTGAGACACATGGTTAACGACAAGTACCAGGTCCGTACGACCGGCCCCGTGGTGCCGACGACGGGGCAACCCATCAAAGGTCGTAAGAAGGGTGGCGGTATCCGTGTGGGAGAAATGGAGCGTGACGCGCTGCTAGCGCACGGCACGGCGTTCTTACTTCAGGATCGTCTGCTGAACTGCTCCGATTACTCCAAATCGTGGATCTGCCGTGACTGTGGCTCGTTCCTGGCCGTACAGCCCACTGTGTCTCCCTTCATCGGCAAGCGCAAGCAGGTAGGCACTGTTCGCTGCCGCAACTGCGCGCAGCGCCTGGACCAAATCGAGGGGCTGGACTTGATGAAGTTGGACGGCGAGATCTGGGAGGACGGACAAGGAGTGCAATGGATCGGGGGTGAGAACACCACCATAGTAGTTGTGCCGGGCGCGCTCAAGTTCCTAGATGTGGAACTGGCCGCGATGGGTGTAAAGCTGAAATACCGCGTGGATAACAAGGATACGACGCGGAGAGGCCCGCTGAGGACGACGGCACCGAACGCGCTCCAGGGGTTGACGGCATCGGCATGACGGAAATAAGTACATTAGCATGTGATTGTGTAGTCTCATTTTCTGATGTTGAAAAAAAAAGTGAATACTCAAATATGCCTCCTTGTCTAGAGTTCTTTTTCATGTCTCGTCTCGGACTTGCCCGGCCTTATTGTCAGGGCCTGCGCCGCCCTCGAGATGACACACACACCGCCCAACATTTGATAAAGGGCCGCACTCTGCTATCGTCGGTAACACATGGCAAAAACAACACCAAGACATGGACTGTATTGAACATGGCTCAGCCCCTTTTCTACCGTTGCGTGAGACACGCTCTGCCTTGTCTCGAAGCCGGCCATGGGGAGAGTAAGATCGAAAGGAAGACATTGGAAACCATGAATAGTATGCTGGGGAAACACGAGGGAAATGAGCGGTTGCTGCAGTGGACCGGACACACAAACAAACAATGCAACCTGTGGCCTTGCAGTCAACGGTACAAGTATAAAGCTCCTGTGCCCGTCCATGGTTTGTCGTTGACTTGGACGTCGCTGGCATCGAAATCCTCAGCAGCCAAGTTCAGAAACGACAACCTCGGATCGCGGCGGCAGTTAGTTTATGATTCTGTCAAAATTCCCAACAACACAATTCTCGACCGCCTCTTTCTAAGACTTCCTACGCCCCTTGGACGAAGTTGATAACCATTGCCCCCGGGCAGAGCAGGAAAGAGCGTTCCTGAATCGGCCGGTAAGTTCCACAGCGCAACATCTCGGATCACCTCTTGCCTTTTTATCACACCCCGATCGCACATTCCCATCACAGACAGGAAAAGACCTCCAAATTCGGCCAAATGTCGGGTTCCTCTGGAATACCTACCAAAGCTTTCCTTTGGCTCTGGTACTCCCGTACGACTTCTACGCTCAAGGGGGAAGGGCCTTGGCGCGTACCCGGCCCTAAATTTGCCTTTCATCCGTCTATGAGGCCATCCCCCTTTTGAGACCATGGGCGGCGGGTGGCGTGATTTTTTGTCGCATGCCATGTTGACAAGTTTCCGTCTAGCTGCAGACTTTCCCCCGGCAATTCGTTTACCTTCTACATACGCCAGTCAGAACTCTTGCCTAGGAAATAAAAGCTCATCCAGGTCTCGAATACGACACACATATGTGAAGGGAAATTATCCCCCGACCAAGGACTCAGCCCTCGAAAACATCATCCAAGGTACTCCTGAATTGAAAGACTACCACCAACTATGACACGCTTCGGCTTCTCCCTTCTCCTTTCATTGGTCTGCCTCACCAACATCCTGGTCTTGGCCACACATTATCCTACCTACGACTATGGCCCCAATATGAAGAAACGGATCAGGCGCGAGCTCGATCGTCGTTCGCCCATAGTGCTCCGAGACAAGACCGGCGGCGATATCCAGGTGCGCCAGGAAATCCGTCAGCTCGAGAAGGACAAGGATGTATGGACACTCTATATCCTGGGCTTGAGCATGATGCAGTACACAGACCAGACGTCTCCGACTTCGTATTATGGGCTTGCTGGTTAGTTTATCATTTGTGTTTCTCAAACATGACACAGGAATTGAAGTTGCTAACACAAGGTTCTCGCTTGTCTCAGGGATACACGGGATGCCTCACCAGAGCTGGGGCGGCGTGCAACCTGTCGCAGGCAACGAGGACACGGGCTACTGCACCCATTCCTCGGTTCTGTTTCCTGCCTGGCACCGGCCATACATGGCTCTGTACGAGGTAACGTCCAGCCGCACTCTTATTGTTCTTGTCACAGGGTTGGCAAAGCCGCAAACCCCCGACAGTATCGGAGTGTGTGTTTGTGTGTTTGTGATATGTTGCTAATTTTATCGTTGTGTAGCAAGTTCTCCAAGACCTGACTCTGATGATCGCAACGTTTTGGCCAGAGGATCAACGGCCGCGATATGAGGCCGCTGCCCGTAGATTTAGACACCCTTATTGGGACTGGGCACTTGCTCCCCTTTCGGGGGAGAGCGTTCTCCCCAAAAGCATCGGGGGTAGTCCATACATCGACATTGATGGGCCGAGTGGTGTCCAGAGGATTTCAAACCCGCTGTTCAGCTATAGCTTCAAGCCCCTTGATAAGGCAGCTTTCAGTTCCGGTCCTGTGAGTTTGGTCTGTCACTTGTATTAGGACACCCTGGGCTAAGCTAATGAAATGTCAACAGTGGAATTCCTGGGTTCGGACCTTAAGAAGCCCGTCAAGTAATGGTCCGGATGCGCAGTCGAATAATTCGGCGGTGGCTAAGAACCTCGACCAAAACCGTGCTTCCATAGCCCAGCGGCTCTACACGTTGTTCTCGAGCAGTGATAACTACACCACGTTCAGCAACAACGCAGCAAGCGGCAACTCAATCGAAGCGCTGCATGACAGCATCCATACCCTAGTCGGCGGGTTAGGGCCTAGTTGGCCATCACCCCAGCCCGGACATATGGCTTACACACAATGGGCCGGCTTTGACCCCATTTTCTTCCTGCATCACTGCATGGTCGACCGTATCTTCGCTCTCTGGCAAGCGATCCACCCTAACCAATGGGTTGTTCCTTCCCAAGCCCTCCTCAATTCTTACACCACCCGCCGAGGCCAGGAGGTTAACGGTCAAACACCTCTTACCCCATTTTATAAACACGAGAATGGTACTTTCTGGACTGCTGATGGTATTCGCGACCACACCAAACTTGGATACACCTACGCCGAGCTACTGCGAAGGTCCAGTGACACCGTATTGAATTCGGAGCTGGCGGCTGAAGGGGCGGGACAATCCCAATCTGTCAAACATGCCGTGAATCAATTGTATGGTGGCTCCAGCCCGGCTAGCCGTTTCCTCGTGGGCCTCAGTGCCGAGGGTGGTGCCAATGGTGCCAAAACAGGCCACAAGGTCCCCCATCTTTCCTCCATTGAATCCAAAATCTTCTTTGGAGCGAACAGCGACCAATATCACGAGTGGCACGTCCTTATTCGCGCCAAACCGCAGACCCCAAACGGAACCGACGTCTCGGCGGTAGCTCTCTTTCTAGGAACTGACGATATACCCGCCGAGCGGAGCGACTGGGCCACAGCTCCTAGTTATGTTGGCTCGACGGTCATGTTCGTCCCCGCCACAACGGACACAGGTCCAGCGCGGATGATGGTCGATTTCCCTGTATCGGGCTCCATCCCGTTGACAGAGATATTGGTCGAGAAGGTCATTGAGGGCCAGCTGGAAGGTTTGGCGCCAAAGTATGTCGTACCGTATTTGAATGCACAGCTGAAGAGGGTGGTGCTGGGTCCCAAGGGGGATGTGGTGGCGGGCGAGCAAGACAAGTGTGTGGAAGGGATGCAGATTCGTGTCGTCAGTTCGGAGGTGGAGGCGCCGTGGAGTGACGAGGAACTCCCACAGTGGGGGGAACAGCAGGTTGGGTTGGAGTTGTGTTAAAGTAGGAAATGGTAACGGTGATGGGATATGATGCTAATGGTTATGACGTGAGGAGGATCATGATTAATCCGAGGGATGTGGAATTGTCCATGAATTGGTTTCTTCTTGGTTTGGCGGGAGGTCATAGGGATACAGGTCAGGTCAGGTTGTGTTCTGTTTTGTTTATTTGTTGTCAGATATTACGATGCGGTTTCTGTATGGTTTTGATTCTCCTGATTTTCTATTTGTTATGTGACCCGGAATAAGGGAGTTAATCAGTCGATATTTGGTCGGCCATGGCTGGTTAGTAGGGCTCCCTGTTTTCAATTTGATGTTCCCATTCAAGTGATGCGGGCCAATTTGTTGGATGGGGTTTTTCAACAATGATCAAATCTCGTGATTCCTTCCCACTCTCTGAGACTCAAGCTTTAATTTTGATTCAGTCTAATGTGCTGATTTTTACTTACGAGTCACCAAGCACACTAGGATAATACTATCGACAGCTTAGCTGTACGACTCTTAAGGGACTAATTAATTATGTAATGAAGGTTTGATTTTTTATATTCGAGTCGGGGAGCCAGTTTGTCATTATTGCAACTATTGAATCGATATTAACATGTCTTTGCTTCCTGCGTCCGTAGCAAAATTACTCGGCATATAATGGGCTCGTTTTGAACAAGTTGTAGTTAATTAACTAGCTAAAAAAGGAAGACAGAACCTTCAAGCTCGTTACCGCGCGCGATAGGCTCTCAATTCTAATTTTCATTCCCTGATCAGCTTAATGGAGTGCACCATACCAAGCAAGCTGGTGGTAATCAGAAAGGATCACGATGCCAAACACCACGTGAATTCGAATAGATGCCCCCCGAAGGAGTTGACCTTCCAACAGCCCCCAACAAAGGAGAAATATATTCCGTCTCATCATCACCAATATCATACGACCTCGCCCTACCACCCAGAACCTCCCTCGTGAAGTGAGGCGCTACGTTTAACAGCACGTGGAAGTACACAAACATATTTGTTTCCCTATGGGGGTTAGGGGAGTGGTGAACGCGATGAAAATGGCTTCACGCCTCAAATATAAAAGATCTCTTCCCCGAGCACTTTCAACCTGGAAAGTAACTATCACGATACAACAGCTCCAAACAACACAACATTCGACCTTGGGCGTGGTTATTGTGGTCACGGTCCAACTAAGAGTATCCTTATACAGCCACCCACTAATATCAAACACACACGAACAACAACCTCGAAGCCCAAGGAGTCACAAGTCACCATGTGCCAGCATCGAATAATGGAATGCGCCTGCGGTAACCAGCTGCCCGAACCCACCATTGCCTGTTGCGCAACCTACCTCAGCTTCGGGAGATGCCCAGGTATCCATGGGTGGGCGCAGAGCCCGTGGGTAGCAGCAGACATATGTGAAAGTTGCTCGGATGTGTTGTCGGAGGCGGTCAGGAGAGACAACGAGAGGGCGAAGAAGGAGAGGGCAGCGGAAAACCGGAAGAAAAAGAAGGAGGAAGCTGCGGAGCGGAAGAGGGAAAAGAATGAGAGGAAGAAGCGGGAAAAAGAAAAGAAGAAGGAGCTGAAGCTGATCAGGGACAAGGTTGAGAGGAAGGTAGCAAAGGAGGCGGCCAAGCAGGAACAGAGGGAGGAGAAGGAGAGGAGGAAGCAGGAGAAAAAGGCCAAGCAGGAAAAGAAGAAACAGGATAAGAAGGCGAGGGAGCTGTTGTGGAAAGAGGAGAAAGCAGCGATAAAGGCAATGAGGGAAGGAGACAGGTTGATTTGATTGAAACACCCTTTTTCCTCCCCACAAAGCCTTTTAGCATAATCGAGATCGGCCGGCGGGTGAGCACTCGGGCCCTCGTTACAAGGGGGGGCATTGAGGTTGAGAGCAACGGATAGGGGTAAGAGTCTAGCATCCGTATACGGAGGCAGACGGTAATAATTCGGAAGCACCAAGCAAATCTGATGGGTCGTTTCACCGGTGAGATTTGTGTATATATCCAATTCGCAGGGAGGTGAACTGCAGTGAGCCCACATAAACCCCATGATTACCTAGGTTCCCATCCTCGAATCTAAACGCCCAGTGTGTATGTTCCCCAAGACCCGACGCCTGTATGTAGCGAGTGACCAGAAGAGGAGAAGAGAGACCATAAGAAGCAGTTGCCCAAAAAGTACAGACGCCGAGAACCATGGAAAACAAACGCAAAAAAAAAAGAGAACATGAATGAGTTGATGTTAATGCAACACCGAGTTGACGCCCGCATTCCTCCAAGTCCAATCCTAATTCAGAATCCAAAACCAAAAAATCTCAGGTCGCTGCTCCATGCCGTTGAATATGCAGCCCCACACAGAACATGTCCTAGGTGGGTACATACACCGTCCTTAACCCTTTTACTCGGTTGGGAGCAACTGTTTTGGTAATACTCCTTGGCTCGAGATATGGCTCGAACTGCTGCCAATCACCGTCTGGCTATCACCATCGGTCGTCGGGTCATACTCGAGGTCTCGGCTGGATCGCCCCGCGGCGGCCATCGCGGGTTTTGGGTTCCGAGTTTCTAATCGCACACGCGGATCCCGGCTGGGGCGCGAACCGGCACGCTTCCGCTCACGGTCGTCTTCGCCTTCGTCGCTCTCCACCTCGCTTTCATCGCTCTCATCGCTCCCCGACACAGGCAGCTCCTCGTACGCAACCGGGCGGCCCGGCCCCGCAGGCCCCAGAGCACCACCGCTTCCGCCTAGACCGGCATCGCCTTCCTCGTCCTTCTTCTTGATGTAGGAATCAATGATGTAGTACTGCAGGGCGTTCATGATGAGCGGGAACAGGAGCATGACAAAGATGATCTGTAGCTTCTCGTTGCCCTCGGTCCAACCCAGGGCCCAGTCGCCGACTCGTGGTAGCCACGGCAGCATCATGAACATGATGAGCACGACAACTTTCATGCCCATCAGCCCACCAAAGTAGATGAAGCTCTGTTTGAGCCACCACCAAGCGTTGGGCGGGGTGCCGTAGTTTCCGCTTTGTATTGACTCTGGCGGGCTGCCAAACGGTGTGATGGCCACGAGGCGGGTAAGGAGACGCACAATGACGATGAGAATCGGGATACCAATGGTGGTCTAGTTGTCATGGTTAGTGCTTCCTCTCTTGCCGTGGATGAGTCAGTGGGGAGGACACCACGGAAAAATAAACTCACATCGATCGCCAAATTCAACAAATAAAACGAACATGGGTTCGGCACATACGTCCCATCCCCTTGCGCGCTCTCTCCTGCTCCGCTTCCACTCATCCCCTCCACCTCCCTCGCAGCAAGCCCAGCCATAGCCAACACCCCAACAGCCCTCCTAACAACCTCCCTTCCCATCCGCTGCCCTGTCCCCGCAACAACAGCCGCCGCGGCGCCATGGGCATTGGCGACCTCGATGCTGACCTTCCCACTCGTCAACATGCTCATAAACACATTCGCGCCGTGCACCAGCGCGCTACCAAAGACCTGCTTGGAGGCGTCAAAGAACCAAATCTTCACCGGCCGTTGCGGGCGCTCGCGCCAGCGCTTGTATACGAGTGAAAGCAGCGCGAGTGCGCCGAGGGCGAGCTGCACGATGATCGCGAAGGGCCCCAGGAGACTGCACTCGCCGGGTGTTGGGTGGCCGGAGGTCGGAGAGCCGGTGGTGGTTGCGGCGGGAGGGGGGGAGACGGTAGATTGGGAGAGCGCGGTGGCCGCCGCGGCGGTTGCGGTTGTGAAAGCTGCGGGTATCATGATGGTTGGGTTGAGGGGTGGTCGGGAGGATGTATTGTTTGGTGTGTGGCGCGTGAGCGGGTAAGAGGTATGTATGTACCGCGGTAGATTTGTTGGGTGGCAACGGCGAGGTTGTTCACTCCCGAGTCAACAACGACTGTCGTGGGATTGCGATCAGGAGGAGCGATAAGTTACCGTCGTCCTTAAGAATCGCCGTCGCCGCTGTCGTCGTGGTGGGGAGTGTTGCGCAGGCTCAATGCTGCTATCGCTGGGAGGGCTGGTACTTCGACATCTGGGAATGCGGGGAGGATCAATAGACTTGGCGATCGATCGGCTTCGGCGATGACGGCGACTACGAGAGGTCGGAGAGTTTCGCTCGCTCAAGGAAGTTAAGTATGTTTTTTCTCCGGTTCGCCTCGTGTCTGGCCGAGCTTCTTGTCTTGCGAATGCTAATTGGAGAATGGAGGAAATGGGAAAGGAAAGGGGGGGCTGAGTCCGTCCGCAGTTCGTCGTGGTTGTGGTTAGCAGCTGTTTCACCCAACTCGAGCCAGGGTTGCCTGCTTATTAGCTGGGAAGGGTGGTCGGCGTTAGTTGGTTCGGTAATTCGAGAGCAGCGCTGCTTTTTTTGCACAAATTGCCAAGCTTGTTTGTCTTCTTTTGTTTGATTTCCTTTTGGTCACGTCTCCGAGCGAAGCCTCGAAAATGGACGAAATAGTAAAAAAATCCCCGAAGGTTTGACGGCTGTGGAATATCGAAAGGCAAAGGTTGCACCAAGTGGACGGGGACAGGCACGGAATAAGTGGTGGGCGATGCCTCGAGTAAGACGGTGCGGAGGAAGACCCCCGGGCCCAGCGAGCCAAGCGGGCAGCTTGGAACCTGACGCAGGACGCAGCCCATCCATGGCTCAGCGGCGCCCCTATTGGCCGCCCACCGTGTGGCCAGAAGGCCAGCCCGCAAGTTACGGCCCCACCTCCGGGTCGCGGACCGCGAGCGAGCCAAGCAGATAACTTCGAAGTTTGTTCACGCGTCCTTGGGCCCACAACCACCGTTTCGTGGCCGCTGGCCGGCGAAACCTGAGAGGGCGGGTCTGGTTTTCTAGAACGAACCCATTTCCGGTCCTGTGAACAACTCCCGCTTGGCATTGAAACCCACGAAAGTCCCCGCATACTCACTTGTGTGTCAGACAGTCAAGCAAAAGGACGCCAAGCTAAGTCCGCGTTCTTGAATCATCACTGATATGGACTCACTCAGGACCCCACTTCATCATTTACGCAAAGTTACATCGAAACAAGAGCTCGGCAGCTGCCGCGGTTCAGATTGGGAGGGCAACGGAATGATTTCTTGTTCTTGATCATCGCTTTCTTTCAGCCAACGCTGAGTGCTATGACTGCTGTACTCCAGCCTCCTAGGGATTTGGGACATGCCCAATACCTGAGGACTCGGGTACCGCCTAAGAGGAAAACCACTTGAGGTCTCCTGGGAAAGAGACAGGTAATGAACATGGTAACTAATTGTCCTGCTCAACCCGGAAAGATTCATAGATAACCCATAATTGCAAACTCCGCCCTCCAACCTTAACGGAACCCCAGATCCTTGACAACCGCGGGGGTCATCAGAGGAAAAAAAAAACTAAAATATGAACTCCTGATGGAATGAAAATAAACTCGACGTGACGGTTTGTTGAGTAAGGTGAATTTGTAGGCCCAGCCGGAGCCAAATCCGCGTGCATCTGCGCCTGGGCGTTGTCATTGGTATGTCCGTGTTTTTGTTCGGTGTGGTCGAGAAACTGGAAGCAATGAAGCCGCCTAGGCGCACTCTGGCACCGTCGGAAGTAGCTTTCGCACAAAGTAAGGAATCCTTTGCGCGTGCGCGGCAATATCCGGCCTGCTCTTCTTGACGATCGACTTTGGCGCACGGGGCGCCGAAGCGGCCTTTGTCGTCGCGGAGGGGGATGTCGGAGAAGACGGGCCTCCAGACATTTTGCGTTGGCTCTGAAGGCTGTCCGCAGGCCCGTCTAACTGTCAATCAATGCCGTGTTGCTGCTTGAGGCGTTCTAAATTCTCCTTGCGGACGTCCAGGTCCTCTTTTGTGCGAACCATCTTGTCGGGTTGATGGTATAGTACTACAAATCCAACATAGTCAGTAAACTCGATTCCTGTTCATGTCGAAATCGGCGGCAGGTAGGCGGTAACATACCGACGAGATAACGGTTCTGGAAGTTGTAGCCGTTCAACTTGTCGCACGCCTGCTTCGCATCCATTACGTCTTCATAGACAACGAAGGCAGTGCCTTTGGTGTTGCTCGCGATGCCCTGTCGGACTTGACTGTGATATCCCGCATCCAAGGTCAGCAGCAGCCCTCAAGGAAACTAACGAGCGCGCAGTCGACGTACCGGATAGGCCCGTACTTGCCGAACAGGTCGAACAGCTCCTCTGGAGTTACGTTGTAGCTAAATCGGGATGTCAGAACCCGGGGAATTGTTTGGGGGCGAAGGGGTATGAGGCCATACCTTAGATTCTTTACGAACAAAGCTCTGTCCATCATCAAAACATCGTTAGCCAAGTCGTCATGATGAGAACGAGATAGATTGGGGATGGTGGACGCCGATACGGCCGCGTGGAAGGCGGGCGTGCGACCGGGTGGAGACGGGGAACGAAGAGGCCATCAATGCCGGGCGAAAACGATGAATTGACTTACGGATTTACCTCCGGGCCAAGTTTGTTGGCTCGACTCATATCTCGATGCCGATTCTGTTGATTCTCGACTCGTTCTGCTGGATGGGTGATGCGACGACTCAATGTCGGCCGTGGATGGGTGTGTTGTTGGAGAGTTGAGGCTCAAGCGGACGGGTCGACACGGAAGCGAGGAGAGAAGTTCGAAGGTGGAAGGCAGAGAGGTGGGGCTAATCCCCTTTCGGTGCAAGTGGCCCACGTGATGCAGGATCATGACGGGGTTCCGAAGGCCTGCGGATCACGCAAGAGGCATTGTGGAAAGTGGACTTCAGATTTCATCTCGAGTCAAGATACCGCGAGAATGCCGGGGAATAATCGGTAACTAACGCTGGGACACCTTGATGAAAGAAAGTTGACTTTTCTTGATATTTACGCTTACATTATTAACGTTACCATCGTCACATGTAATTCGCAGTAATGCTCATGCGGACCGAGACACGCAAGCGACGTAGACAACTAGTTACTTGGCGCAAGACTTCTTGCATTTGGGGGTCGCTCGGCCACCTGGCAATCAGGTGTCAAAACGTTGATCCTCTTCCTCTTATCCGCTCCATGATGTTGCACGCACATGTACCACGGGTTCTCCATGTTGACGTGGTTGCCGCACAGAGATTCGCTCGTTCCCGTCTTCAACGATGCCATAATTTGGTGGATAAAAATGCCGGACCGACGCTGGGGCCATGCCCGAAACCTTTCATTTCCCGGCGCTTGCACTTAACGCGACTTGCCAGGCACAGGAGGAGCGCTGCAGTGCAGGCATGGATTTCGATTTGGTAAACCAAAGCTGGCCAAACCCCTGTCCTGGCTGGCTCTGGCTTGATGGGACGGTACTTGGGAGGACTTCGACCACTTCCCTCTAAAATACCATGTTACTACACTTTCAACCATCCTCCCATCATTTATGATTGTCCGCTCTTATCAACCCGGGTTTCCTCGCATTTGATCTGGGAGCAATCGGTATCATAAACATTTTCCTCCAAAACACCTCCGCCATGCCGTCGGTTGCCCAGGAAGCGCCGCTCGTGCAGCCGGCCAAAAAGAGGAGGCGAGACGACGACGACCACCAGATCTTAACGTATGCGATCCCGGTCACGCTGCCCACAGCCTTCGAAGCTAATCATACATCCCGTCACTAGGCCTCATCTAATCCCACGAAGTATTTTCGACGAGAAAACCACTCACAATATCGACTCATCCCACCACCACCATCACGACTTCCCGTCAACGGCCCGCAAGGTCATCCCCTTAGCACCCGGTAAACGCCAGCGAACAGTTGCCGACGCGAACCCCGAGGCCGACGGCGAACCGATGCAGCGATCACCTTCACACTCCCCTTCCCACCTACGAATTCATCACCATCCTCACCGAGATCACCACAATGCCCGGGACACATCCTACGCTGACCACAAATCACGCTCACCACCACCGGCTGCCATAGCCAGTCGCGGAAATTCCGCAGCCCTTATGAATCGCTGCCACATCTGCTCCCGCAAACCCAGCCGCAAATCCGACCTCGATTCCTTCGCCAACTGCCAAGGATGCGGCCAACGAACCTGTTACGTCTGCATCCGCGAATGCCTTGGCTGGGCCCCAGGGTCACGGGAACCGGGCCAGCAACGCCAGAATGGCCAGCCAGGGATACCAACACCAATTACGGCGACACCTGTCGAAGACGCCAGGGAGACATCGTTCACCATGCTGGATGCTGATGATGAATCGGGCCAGGACCAGCAACACCCGCAGAGGGTAGAGGAAGGATGGACAAGAGGTGGGGGCCACAGACGGGTAGTCTGCAGTCGATGCTGCGTGGAGCGAGGGCAGGACGGGGAGGTGGTATGTCTGGGGTGTTTTCCCTTTGCGGAGGGTTGAAACGAAGCACTGGATCTACCAGCAGGCAGGGGAGGTACTTTCGGGATCCGGGTGTGTGTGTATGTGTGGCGCGCGGAGCGTAACCTGAGAATCGAGACCTGGAATCCTTAATTACTCTTAACAGTGATGGGGCCCGGTCCTATCAACCACGTCAACTTCCGCACAACAAGAACCACTCATTCTCCCCGCCCACGAGGGCCTACGGAGGACGTATCGCCGATCGTGGAACACACGGACTCGAAAACCAAGTCACGTAACGGGGCTCAAAGACCCATAACCATCTAATACACCTTATCATACTTCATTCAACTCTACTTCGATTCTAATCCGGCCGGGCTTTAGCAAGCCAAGGCATAGGGAGGAAAGGGGCATAGGACGTGAGGTTTTAGCAAATAAGGGCAGGATAAGACATGGCGGTGCAAGCAGGATGGCGTTGGCGGATTGCGGATGGGCGTAGCGGGTAGCATGTTATTTGGATGCTATGCAAGATGGGTGTTCATCATTACATTCTATTTTCCTCTTATACCTTCCTGTGGGTATCATTGCGTCGTTGCAGCATTGCATCATTGCATGGGGACGAGGACGAAAGGGAGACCGCGGAATCTGTTTTGGTGTACTTCCGTCACGGGGTGGTCGAGGCTAGACCGGGTGATTGACGATCGGAGAACGACTGCATGATTATGCAGCGTATTATACGGGGTTGCGGGCGTCTATTTCGCACCGACCTCATGATTTCCCCCCTCCCCTTTGGCTGGGCACGAGAAGGAACATGTACATATCACAAGCAGGCACAATAATATTCTTTCACGAGAACCACTATTACTTGCAAGAAAAGATGGAATAATCGCTGGTTGGTCATGTATGTACCTCCCTGCGCGAACCGCTTGGTGGCCCTTTCTAGGTAATGTGTTGGTTCTATTCCTACATGTAACCGTTCCCAAGCCCGTCCTTAGTTGTATTGCGCGTAGGCGGCGGTCGAGTTGAACTTCAGGTTCCCCTTGATGACCTTGTCGACCGCACTCAAGAAATCCTTCTCGGTAGCCACCTTCCGGCGGGCGCGGATGGCGAACATGCCGGCCTCGGTACACACGCTGCGCAGCTCGGCACCGGTCGCGTTAGGGCACAGGCGCGAGATGAGTTCCCAACGGATATCTCTCTCGACCGACATGCTCTTGGCGTGGATGCGCAGGATGTTGGCGCGGCCCTCGAGGTCTGGCAAGGCGAACTCGATCTTGCGGTCGATACGGCCCGGTCGCATGAGGGCTGGGTCGAGTGTTGATGGACGGTTGGTTGCGAACATTACTTTGATGTTACCCCGCGCGTCAAAGCCATCGAGCTGGGTAATAAGCTCCAGCATAGTCCGCTGCACTTCATTGTCACCGCCGGCTCCATCGTCGAAACGCGCACCGCCAATGGCGTCGATTTCGTCAAAGAAGATGATGCAAGCCTTCTTCGTCCGCGCCATCTCGAAGAGCTCGCGGACCATCCGGGCACCCTCACCAACGTACTTTTGTACCAACTCGCTCCCGATAACCCGGATAAAGGTGGCGTCTGTCCTGTTGGCTACCGCACGCGCGCAGAGCGTCTTGCCTGTACCGGGAGGGCCATAAAGTAAGGCGCCCTTTGGTGGGTCGATACCGAGGTTCCCGAAGCGCTCCGGCGACAGCAGTGGCATCTCCACGACCTCGCGTAGCTTCTCAACCTGCTCCTTGCAACCGCCCACATCGCCATATGTGACATCGGGCTTCTCCTCGACCGTCATCATGGTTACGCTCGCGTCGATCTTGGGCGGCAAAGGTAGCAGAATTTGGTACTTGTTCCGGTCGACACCGACACGCATCCCTTCCTCAATATCCGTCGGACTAACACGCTCACCGAGCTGGACGACGAACTTGGCGATCTGTTTGACGTTGATGACGTATTTGCTCTTCGACTCGTCCTTCTCATCTGGGATAATCTTGGTGCATCGTGCTACTTGTAGCGGCTGCTCTTCCGACATGCGTTGGCGATCGGCGGCGACATCCCAAAGATGAGGCGGCGCAAGGCCGGTGTCTGATTCCTAAAACAGAAAGACAATATCAGCGTATGCACCCCACCAGTAACGGTCCCGGAAATTGTCTACCTTTACGCCAATCTTGTCATCTACACTTTGTTGCTTCTCCTTTATTTGTTGCTCTAGCTTCTTGATCGCTGCTCCATAGGGCGCGGCTCCGTATGTCTTGAGGACTTGGATATCCCTTTACGATGTTAGCTCCGGTGCGTGGTGGTGGTGGTGATGATGCGAAGCGTGACGGACTCATCTGTGAGCGGGGTGATCTTCTTTTCTTCGATCTCGTCGTCGGCGAAATTCTTCTTGTACTTCTCCCAGCTTTGACCTGTGGCAGAAGGCTATGCGGATGTCAGCAAATAGAAAGACAGGCGCCCGACGACTTTTTGGAGGTGAAGTTGACAGGGTGGGTAACACGGCGATGTTGGGTTGGCGTACCATGGTGACGACAAGGAGGACAAGGCGCTAGGTGACCAGGTGCGAAATCGGAAGAGGGCTGGAATCTCGAGATGGTAAATGTGGGGTTTTGTGCGCAATCGTCGAGGGCCTGTTCGGGTGGTGTTGCAGCGAATTGTGGTGATGTTTTGTAGATGGGGAGGGACGGTCTGGGTGGATGGTTGGAGGATGGTTCTGGAGAATGCGGCAAGCAGCTCACCAGGCGAAGCTGTTCCGTAATCCCATGCTGCCTGAGGGCCCAGAAGCTCTGCGAGGCTGAAAGTGGCCTAGTCCATAAATGGTTAGCGCCAACCGACCTGCTGCCCCGCTGTAGCAATCCCCTTGCTGGTGCTGGGCCAGCGAGGGCAGTCACTGATGGCCCGTTAGGTAGCACCCCACCTTGGAGGACTGACCGCCCATGGTGGCGGCTTGGGAAGAACTCCAGCACCCGATAGAAAAAAAGCCGTCCCACCTTTCGTAGCGTATCTTTTGGCGGGGGAGCTGCCTGGAAGCCCATCAACAACAACAAAACCATACGCTGCAGCTCTTTGCCCATCACAACCCTGCCACTCACAGTTTTTTTGCCCGACGCTCCCACATTCAAGCCAGAAACGAACCGACGTAATGGCAACCGCCGCGGCGACACAACCAAGTGGAGGGGGTGGGAACGCGACGTTCAGGGTACGTACCCCGTGAATAACTGGAAATAGGGGCCAAATGGGAGTATGGAGGGAGAGTAAAGGCTGTTGTTGCTGACCCCGCGATACAGGACAAGGAGAAGCCCCTGGCCGTTCGATCTTCGAATATCGTCGCCGCACGAGGTACGAAGCTTGACGGGACCTTTATATGCTTGCCGTCGTGCTGACCCGTTGCAGCTGTCGCCGATGCCATCAGAACGTCGCTGGGCCCGCGGGGTATGGACAAGATGATTCGGAGCGGCAAGGGCGAGACTATTATCACCAACGACGGCAGCACAATGCTCAAGAGCATGTCGGTCATGCACCCCACAGCCAAGATGCTCGTCCAGCTGTCGAACGCTCAGGACGTCGAAGCCGGCGATGGTACTACCTCGGTTGTGGTTATCTGCGGTAGCCTCCTAGGAGCTGCCGACAGGTTACTCTCAAAGGGTATCCACCCTTCTGTCATCTCCGAGTCGTTCCAACGCGCCGCCGCCGCCGCCGTCGAGGTGCTCCACGACATGTCGCAGCCGATCTCCCTCACAGATACCTCCGCGCTCCTCCAGGCCGCCAACACGTCCCTCTCCTCCAAGATCGTCTCCCAATACTCGAACCTCCTTGGGCCCATGGCCGTTAACGCCGTGACCAAGACGATAGATCTCAAGACGGCCGACAATGTCGACCTCAAGAACATTCGCATCATCAAGAAGGTTGGCGGGACGATAGAAGATAGCGAGTTGGTGGACGGCCTCGTCTTAACACAGCCCGTTATCAAGAGCGCGGGAGGGCCAGTACGGATGGAGAAGGCCAAGATCGGTCTGATCCAGTTCCAGCTTAGCCCACCCAAGCCAGATGTGCGTCGTATCCCCGCCTTTTGGTTGCCTTGAGGGCCTACCACAGACTAGTTTCCCACTAACGCAGTAACTACAGATGGAAAACACTATTTCAGTCAACGACTACCGCCAAATGGACAAGATCGTCAAGGAGGAGCGCATGTACCTGCTCAACATGGTCAAGAAGATCAAGAAGGCCAAGTGCAACGTGCTCTTGATCCAAAAATCCATCCTCCGTGACGCTGTCAACGACCTCTCCCTGCACTTCCTCCAACGCTTGGGCATCCTCGCCGTCAAGGACATCGAGCGCGACGAGGTCGAGTTCATCTGCAAGTCCACCGGCTGCAAGCCCATCGCCGACATCGACAGCTTCACCGAGGACAAGCTCGGCACGGCCGACCTCGTCGAAGAAGTCCAGAGCTCCGGCAGCCGCATGGTCAAGGTAACGGGCGCCAAGGCCACCGGTAAGACCGTGTCGGTCGTCGTGCGCGGCGCCAACAGCCTGATCCTCGACGAGGCCGAGCGCTCGCTGCACGACGCCCTCTGCGTCGTCCGCTGCCTGGTCAAGAAGAAGGCCCTCATCGCCGGCGGTGGCGCGGCCGAGATCGAGATCGCCTCACAGCTCAGCAAGCAGGCGCGCGCGCTCACGGGCACCGAGGCGATCTGCTGGAAGGCGTTCGCCGAGGCCCTCGAGGTTGTGCCGACCACGCTGGCCGAGAACGCCGGGCTCAACAGCATCAAGGTCGTGACCGACCTGCGCCATCGCCACGAGCTGGGCGAGCGCAACGCCGGCGTCAGTATCAAGAGCAGCGGCGTTAATGCCAACATTGCGAAGGAGAATGTTCTGCAGCCGTTGCTGGTCAGTACCAGCGCGATTGAGTTGGCGGCTGAGACTGTGAAGATGATTTTGCGCATTGATGATATTGCCCTGAGCAGGTAAAAAGGGGGACGCCAGATAGTTACGGTTTGTTTGTTTGTGGCTTGTCCTTAAGGGTAGGCCTGGGGGGTTGGGTTCAGGATGGGAATGGATGGGAATGGATGAGTACGAAGGACCCAGGACCGGGCTTGCACACCAAGGGGCAAAGGAACAGATAAATAAATGCATGTAACAGGAATGAAAATAAATGAGACAAATAAATGTACGGAACGAACAAGACACCAAACCGGTCGTCCACCGAATACCATGTATGCGGTTGACCCCTTGTGTTTCGATTGTTCATACCCGTGTCCCGAGGAGTGTCCCGAGGACGTGTGTAAATTCATCGGGGGTTGGTCAAGGAGGCAAGAAGGAAACAACTTGAAAAATCTGGTTTATTGACTAAGGAAGTCCTAAAATCATCGCTAGCCCATTAGACCTCCGGATAGCGTGCAAGGTCCCGATACTCGTACACAATTCAAACAACCTGTCCTAAACACCCAAATATAGCAGCTCCAACCTCGTCGTTTCACTCTTCCGTCTGCCATAAGTCGCAGAGTTGCGTCCCCCTAAAGTCAACTACAAACGGCCACGCCTACCAATGCCTCACTTCACCTCAATCCGAATTTAGTAGTTCAACTCACCACCACCCCCACCCGAAACCTGATCCAGGTCCTCGTAGCTCTTCAGCGTACGGCCCTGGACCGCCTCACGCGGGCCAACCGCAGCACCACCCGCTCCATCGCCCCATCGATTCGCCGGGCCAGCGCGTCCACGCCCGCCACCCATCGCACCAGCACCACCATCACCGCCATAGCGCGGGTTGTTCCCGCGACGGTCATACGGGCCCGACCGGTTCTGGTATCGGCCACCACCACCACCGCCGCCGCCTCCAGGACCGCCTGACATACCCGGGCCGCGACGGACCGGGCCTGCACCACCACCACGCTCGTCACCTGCAGCAGCAGCAGCAGCCGCGTGCCAACCGGCCGCGTGCGCCATGGGGTTGGGGCCGCCACCGTTGCCGTTGTTCATCATGCCCGGTGGGAACATGGCCATGGGGAAGCCCGGGAAGTTGATCATGCTGTTCATGGCGTAGTTCTGGAGGTTGAAGCCACGTGGCGTGCCCGTCGGCTGTTGACCGTTGGACTGCGGGAAGTGGCCGTTGGAGTTGGCGTCGGTGCGCGAAGGTGCAATGTGCGCTGGGTCAATAACGTAGGCGTTGATCAGCTCAAACTGTAATCCAAGGAACACGATGAATTAGTATGAGTGCATCACAGGATGGAAACGTAGGCTCGGGGGGATTTAAGGGGCTGGGCTTACCTCTTCCTTGAGCTTCTCTAGCCACTCAGCGTGGCGTTTTTCAACGTGCTTGCGCCAAAAGTATTCCTCCTTGAAAAGCTTGGTGCATTCGGGCACCTTGCAACGCCACTTGTGCTCGTCTTCTTGCTTGACGTACTTGCCCAGTTCGTCGCTGACTGCATCCTCGACTGGTTTGCCGCCAAGCTTCCGCAAGTCGGCCGTCTCGGGGTGTAAGATCTGATTTATTTTATCCTCAAACGTCTTGACCCAGTTGTAAGCCCGTTGAAGCTGCTGCTCCGCCTTGGACGAAGCGCGGAACTTGCGGTCCTCCTCGGGTGCCTCGCCTTCTTCGACCTCTTCTTCCTTGCGTTTCTTGGACGGAAAAGGGTCCCCGTTCGCGCTGGCCTCGGCCACAGCTTTGGCAGCCGAAGACAAAGAGCTCCGAGGGCGCCTGAGATGGCCACCCGGGCACTTGCGGGTCAACTCATGGATCGAGTCGCTCTCAAAAACGCAGAACAAACAGAAGTTGAAGACGCGGCGGAGGTACTCAATGGTCAGATCGAGCCTCTTCTTCTCAATAAGGAGATCCATATCGTCAACCTCATCATCCACCATCCCTTCCTCTTCGTCATCTTCGCCATCCTCGCCGTCTTCCGAGGGCTCTTCGCCCTCTTCACGCTCAATATCCATGGATTCATCCAGAGCGACGACCGGCTGACGCTCCCTCTTTGGCTTCTTGACAGGAGGTGCTGAGACCGCGGGCTGCAGCTTCCCCTCGTCACGCAGCCGCTCGGCATGCTCTTCGATCAAGCGAGCTGCGTTGAGATCAGACCCGAGATCACTTTCAAACTTGGTTACAAGTTCGGTAGCCAGTTGAAGGTCCTTGCGAATGCGGTCCGGTGCAGAGAAAAGATCCCAGAGTGCCTTCTTCCTAGGATGAGAAGGGGGATTATGAACGCCGACGTGGCAAGTGAAATCACCGCGCAGCTCGTCCTTCACCGTCTTGCCATTGATGGCCTCAAGAGCCTTCTCTGCCGTGGATGCAGGAGCGGGTTTGGCCTCGCCATCCTCTTCATCCTGGTTCTCAGTTTCTTCCGGGATGGCGCCTTCAGGGGCCGGATGGAGCATAATCCAACCGATCCTGTGGTAGCGTTTGCTCGGATTTGGGTCGCTCAGCGACAGCCTTTTGAATCCACCCTCGCCCTCACCCAAATGTTCCTTACAGAACGCCTCTAGATTCTGGCGGCTGACAGACGGTGCGATGGTCTTGATCAGCAGGGTAGGTTGGTCCAGGGTCTCATCCCTGACTTCCGCCGGCTGTGTAGGGACCAGATCACCAACGCCGAGGACCTCGTTTGTGGTGGCTTCCCCCTCTTCTTTCTCAACCACGCCACCGGCTCCGTTACTCTCGCTTTTCAGAATACCCTCCAGAGACAAATCGTCGAAGAGGCCAGACAAAAGGTCTTGCTCCCAGCGAGCATACGCGCTGTTACGTTGCTCGTTCAGTTGCTCGCGGAAAGGGTCGCGAACTTCGGGCACGTAACGTTCCTTGAACCACTGCTCCTCTTTGTGTTGCTTGACAAATGTTTGGGCCATCTTGGCTTGGAGATCCTCCTTGTACTTGTCGTAGGCAGCCTGAATCTTAACCTTCTCTTTCTCCCGCTCTTCCTGAGCCTCACGAGGGCCTCGGGGCCGCTCAGGCTCGCGGCGTCGGCCGCCATTCTTGGCGCGCTCTTTCTCCTCCCTGATCCTTTCATTTGTCCGCCACCACTCCCCGAACCAGGAGAATCCCACCTGATAGGACAACTTAAGCGGATCAGGGAGAGGATTGTTCAAGGCCGACTGAGGAAGGCTAGAATCTTGGCCGGGTACGTAGCGGTCAATGTTGGGGTGCGGAGAGCGGCGGTTGCGGTCGTCACGGTCGCGAGTGCCCGCATATTCGTCGCGGCCGCGGCCCCTTGGCTCGTATCGATCAACGGGAGCAGGGGATCTGGACCGGCGTCGGCTTCGGTCGGTGCCTAAATTGGAAGTGTAAGTGTAAGTAACAGTAACCAAACCAGGCATGAGAATCATAGCCGTTCAATAATTCGGCATGACGCATCTGCCGTTTTCAAGCGAAACAATGGAATGTTAGAAATGCTGAAGACGCACCGGGAGATCGGCCGCTGCGGTAGAAATTGTCTCCCCTCTCGTCTTTGACCCTGGCCTCGTCGCGACTATTCCAGCGGTCACTCGGAGAACGGGCCGACTCGCGGTAGTAAGAGTCCATGGCGCCCGAGAAGTCGGATGTGCCGGTCGTCATAAACCCGGTGTCGAGGATGTGCAACGTTGCTTGGCCGAGCGATACGCGAGATCGGGGGGAGGTAAAAGTGGCCAGAAAGGCGAGCCGCCGGGGGCAAGTTTTGACTTTCTTGCAAGTTTGTGATGCCGTTTGCGCGTTGATTGCCCGTTAACCTATGCCCGGGAATGGTGGTTGGGATGTTTGCCGCGAAAAGTCACTATTTCGCGACATGGTTGCGGTTAGAAAGGAATTCAAGCGACAAGAAAGTAGGTAATGGGTAATGATGATAAATGTAGGCAAGATGCAGGCGCGAAACCAATAGGCGGTTTGTCCACCGCCAATAAACGGTAAAAGAGTAAAGAGGAAAGGCAAGTCAAGTGAAGTAGAAGGTTGGAGGGTCCCAGAAGAAGCTGCGTCGCCGACCGCAATGATGCACGACGCATGGAAGCGAGGGTAGTAGATGGGAAAGAAGGCGAGAGGAGAGGGAGGACGGGGTCGGGCTGACAAGTGAAGCCAAGAGAGCTGCTCTCAAGCAAAACCGAAGGGTAGGAGACGATGACAAAGGCACGGATGGGTTGGAAAATGAAAATGCATAGACGAGAATATGTCGAAAAAGAAACGGTTGAACAAACAATTGATGGTTCGGAGTCGGGCGACAATTGATGCGACTCCTTTGGTGTTGGCTGATCGCGTTTTGGTTTGGGGATCGCGAACAGCGTGGAGTTGGCGAATTGGCCAGGCGCCGTTGAACGGCTCCAGAAAGTCTAGGCCCACCAAGTGGCTGGGCGAAGTCACGTGAGCATCGCTTGCGTGCGGCCGGCAAGTTAAACCCGAGGGTTAGGGTTAAGCAAGCACTCGAACTCCGGTGATGTCATAGAATCCATCAACTCGACACAGGTAATAAATCGCACCATATAGATCACAGTTTCCGCTCCCCGGACCTCAATCCGAGGCTCACAAGTTCGTACGAGACTTTAGAGTATTGCATCTCAAAATGACAACCTATATACCTTCGCTCACCCTACCCGAGGGCATCTTCCACAGCCTTCCTGCCTCTGTTGTCCTCCCCATAGCGCTGGGGTCCGCGGTGGGCTATTCCACGAGACGTATGCATATCCGCAGATGATACTCTTGATACTGTACCTAACTTATTAACGCACTGAGTAGCGTCCAAAGAAAGCCGCGAATCCATCACACTTAAGCAACCGCCCCTACGGCCCCCGGCCAGCGTCTTCCCGCCAGTATGGACGGCTCTCTACGGAATCATGGGCTACGCCGCCCACCGGGCCGTCTTTCTAGGAACTTCACCCCTTAATGGGCCCGTACGTTGCTCCACGACCCAAGTCCCACCGCAAGCTCATACTGAACGTACAAACAGGATACCATTGTCGCCGCACGCCAAGGCGCCACCCTCTACACCATCCAGCTTGGCCTCAATCTAGCTTGGATGCCGTTATTCTACGGACTCAACCAGCCCGCGCTCGCCTCTGCAGATGCCGTCGCCCTGCTCGGTCTCAACTCGTACCTGGCCTGGTGGTGGGGTACCAAGGTGGACCGTGTCGCGGGTTGGTTGCTGGTACCGTACGTGGCATGGCTGGGGTTTGCGACGTACCTGTCGTTTGGGACGGGCTATCTGAATGGTTGGGATCTGAGCCCGCTGTTTGGCAAACGCGGTGAGGGCCGGGAGCAGAAGGGGCAGAAGAAGGGCGAGTGAGTGGGGAAATCCCTAACCGAAAGTGAGGAAAAGATGTATGTTGGCACGTATGTATTCATCGAAGACTTTGAGAGATTGCCCCGCTATTTTGTTTCTGGATATAACCTCTTGTTTCCTCCATTTCTTATCCTGAATGTTTTACCCCATGCGCAAGATGAAAAAAAGGCAAAAGAATAGAAGCGTTGAAAAACAAAAAGCTCACCACAGAACCCTATCCCCATCTGGAGGGATAGCGGTCTGTGGTTACGAAAAGCCCACCGGGGGGCTTTTTCTTCGCTGGTCTCGGGAATCGAACCCAGGACCACTTCGATTTACGACGGAAGTGGCGGCGGTGCTCCTCCCAATGCCGCTGCGCCAAACACCGCTGTTTGGCGTATTGGGAGGAGCTGGTGATAGGAGTAGCGGGGAGCTGGGTTATATACCTATCTAGGGAGGGCAGGAACCTAAGGTAGGTGGTCTGGTGGGCAAACCATATGTGCTGTGAGACTGGGGTCGTCTAAAAAAATGAATTGCAGCCATAGCCAACGCAAGAGCCCGTCTATCTACCCAGACCAGTTATTGTGAACCCGCTTTCCTCTCCATGTACATCATGCAAAAAAACCGTTCGTCTATCTTGCCATACCTCATCTGTTGACAGGCCTTCTTAGCCGCCTGTAGATACTGTAGCATGCCCAAAACGCCCGCTAATGTAGACCCCGAAACCCGGAAGAGAATTCCCCTCCCCCCTATCCCCCGTTTGTATGCTCCGTCCCCAATCGACAAACCGTCCGTCTAAATCGCCCCTTCACCCAGCCTCAAATGGTAAACCATATTCCCCCGTGCCATTCCCTTTGGAACACGCCCTCATTGCAGGGGAAAATGCTTCTTCAACCCATCATATACAATGAAAATAAACGCCGAACTCGGTACCGAGCGCATGACTGTGATACCGCATCCACGGTAGAAGCCCTTAAGCCCGGCCTGCTTCCACAGTGCGGCCGTCTCGGCACTAAAACTGCGATACTCAGTCGCAGCGCCTTCTCCAATGGGTGTTGTCTGCATCCGCGACTTCACCGTATCGGCGGGGAAGAAGAGGAAGTTGTACATCATACCAGCAGACGCACCAGCCACGGCCTGCTGCCAAAGCGGGAGGGCGTCGTCATCCGGGCTGCTGTCGTGATGCCGAATCTTGGCTTCCTTAGTGGCCGTAGTACCGCTCTCCTCTCCCGACCGACGCCCGTTCCACTCCCGAAACAGCTTGGTGACCGTCTCCTTAGACCCAAACCACGCCGCGCAGCCGCCCGACTCACGGATCAGCGTACCCAGCTGGCCATGCCAGAACCCTCGCAAGCCCTGATGCCGCCAGATATCCCGGATCACCGGCAGCGGCCGCAGCGCTGCTGGCTTGGGCTTCCCCGCATCCCCCTCGACGCCTCCCGCCTCCCCCGTCTCTGGCACCTGAATCTTGCACTTGACCAGCTCGACGGGGGTCAATACAAAGGAGGTCATGGCGCCGGAGAAAGCACCCGTCAGCCAGAGCGCAGACAGCGGCAGGGGCTGTTCACGCGGTGTGTACCCCGAGGCGTAGATCGCGGCACGACCGAGACGTTCCCAGAAGAAAAGGCTGCTATTCTCGAGGGCGGCGCCAAATAGCGGTGCGCTGATGCCCCGGTAGAGGCCGAGAAAGCCATCAGAGCGAATGGACTGACCGAAGCAGTCCCAAGGGCCCTTGTATCGAAGGGGTAGATGGTCGGGCTGGGATTGGAGGCGAACTTTGACCGTGTCGAAGGGATATTCAATGTACTTGCCAACGATACCGGCGATCTAGGGATTGGTTAGGATCGAGTGTCAAACCTAGGTTGCGGAAGGGGGGGTTCGTGGTCTTACCGAGCCATAGAGAATATCCTCCACCGCTTCCATTACCGCTGTCCTCGGCTTCAAATTTGTGGTCTTGTTGTTGCTGGGGGATGTTCCCGTAAATGGTTCGAGACTGCCCTCTTGGGAAGCAGTGACAGTTGTGGTAGTGACCGGTCCCATGACAGTAGACTCGGGTGGTAAACTTCCCAACTGAGATTCGCGCTCCGTAACGCAGGAATGCTAGAAATGTTTCCTTAAAACCGTGCGAACGCGAGGTGCGCGACCTCCTTCCCCCTTTGCCGAATGTAAACGCGGCTGAGAGTCGGGACGGAACGCGCCGCACGGTGCGGTTGTCAAAGCCAGAAAGGAGCAAGAACTTTTTTTCCTTCGGCCAAGGAATGAACAAAGATATGACCCGAGTCCTTCTTCCCCTCCCCCTTTCTATCCTTTAAAGCAAGGTGTGAAAATTACTAGCTAATAAAGTACAACCCAATTCACGCTAAGTAGGCTGTATCGTTGCGCAGACCGAGTCGGTTGGCCACAGTCGCTGCGCAAAGACTGCGTGAAGGAGGGGTGTGCAAGAAGTTGCGTTGTGACGCACTCAGGACAAGGGCCTCGGTGAATGGGACTGGCTGAGGTGGATCGCTTTGCTGAGGAACGAAAGTAAAAATGAGGAGGGGAATTAGATTCGTCTGTCAATGACAAAAGTTTGCGGTTGAAGGGACGAAGGATACAAAAATTATAACAAAAACCCTCACACCACATGTGCTCTCCCGTCCATGGGGTCTGGGCTGCCTGCCTTCATAAACTCCCGCTCGGCTCAGCTTCAGTTTCTTCAGGGTAAAAATAGTGGCCCGGTTGGAGTGGCGCGACAGCTACTGCAGGCACTCTACCATGGACAGACGAAAGGAGGAATACACTGGCACTTGTTGCATCGGCAAAAAAATCGAGACTGGTCGGCCCCGCAGGGGTACGTACATCTGCAGCGGCTCTGATGGAGCTTTCCATGTTCGAGGTCGCTCTGATGTCCCTATCCGTCCACTCTTCCATCCACGAACACAACCTGAGATATTGCAACTTGTCCCGGATGCTTACACGTTGATTCTTAACTTTTCGGGATTTCTCATGCCCTTCTAAGCCCTGATGATAGTTGAAAATCACAACCCCAGGAAGGGTTTTACTTGCGTGTCATGTGCTTTCCCGTTTCCATGTCTATTCTTCTCATTTCTCATCTCTTCGTCAGTCGTCAGTCTCAACGTCACATTAGAAACCCGCAAGGCCCACTGCTATGAACCGGATTCGTTCACTTCAAACAGTGCCCACCTTGACAGCATGACGAAAACCGAAATTATCACAAGCCTGAAGACGAACCCCTGCGATGAGCAGGGGATTGGAAAGATCTAGATGATCTGATAAGGATGACAAGACCTGGGCCAACGAAAAATTCCGATGTGATTTATGCATTTGTACCGCGAGTAACGTTATGTTTCATTGAGACTGCCGAGGTTTACTTCTTCCATATTTCCTAAGAACTAGACTCCATAAATTTCATTAGAGAGGCCCAACCCTGTCGGGGTCAAATCAAGAGAAAAAGGCCACGGAAACAGGTAAACAGTGTGTTGAGAGTTGAGGCTCTCAGGAACATAGTCATTGTTTTCCGAAGAGTACACATCGACTCAGCCGCCCTCTTTAAGCCTTCACCACCCCCCTTTCCCACCAAAACCTCCACTGTCTTCAATCTTCTTCCCGCCCCCACCCTTCGTCGGCTTCGACTGTGCTGCCTCATGCCGCCTCAGCTCCTCTGGTACCTTAGAGATGGAAGACTTGGAGATGATCTGCTTCAGATCATACATAACATCTGAGTCCTCGTTCCCTAAGAACGTGATGGCCACACCACTTTTACCCGCACGACCGGTACGACCAATACGATGGGTATACGCCTCGATGCTAGACGGCATGTTGAAGTTGACGACGAGTGAAACGTCCGCTACGTCGATACCACGACCTGCCAAATCAGTTGCCACAAGAATGTGCGCTTGCCCATTGCGCACCGACGCCAACGAAGCCTCACGCTGCTCCTGCGTTTTGCTACCGTGTAGTGTGACCGTCGAGTGTCCCCACGACTTGATATCCCTTGCCACCATTTCGCAATTGCGTTTGATGTTGACAAACACGATGATGGGCGGCGCGTATTGAGCCGAGTTGAGGATCTCTTGCAAACGCCTCTTGCGTTTGTCCTCACCCGAAATGAATTCAACACGCTGTTCAACCGTGTCGACAGCCTCGCCGGCGTTACCGATGGTTACGATGGCAGGGCGCCGAAGGTATTTCTTGGCAATCTTCTCGACAAGCGGCGGCATGGTGGCTGTGTACATCATGGTCTGGCGGTACCGGTCTTTACCACCCAAGTAGCGGCTCATGAGTTGCGAGTTTTCGGCATCTTCGGTGTCGGGTTTCTCATTAGCTACCGGAAGAGCGTCGAGAATCTTGGTCAGGGGTTCCTCGAAACCCTGATCGATCATACGATCGGCTTCATCCATGATGATGTAACAGCACTGCGAGAAGACAAGCAAACGCCTCTCCAGACAGTCTACGAGACGACCTGGTGTTGCCACAATGATCTCCGCGCCGTTGCGAAGCGCAAAAGCCTGCTCCTCCAGCGAGTGACCGCCCACGATGCTGACCACAGTGAAACCCAAAGGCCCAGCAAACTTCCTGGCTTCTGTCTCAATCTGCTGCACCAGTTCTCTTGTCGGCGCAAGAATGAGCGCATAGGGGCCGTCGTTTTTGTTGAACTCGGTGAGCGGAGGTAGCTCGGAGATGTAGACGAGCAACGGAAGAAGGAAGGCCGCTGTTTTACCGGAACCGGTCACGGCCACACCGATGAGATCGCGCGCCTGTTGTGCAATCGGGATAGCAGCCCGCTGAATCGGGGTTGGTTCATCATAGCCAACGTTGTGGACGATCTCGAGCAGCCGCCGCGGTAGATTCGACTCGTCCCAGCTTCGCATCGGGTCGGGAATGGCACCCCCCTTTGTGGCGATACCAAAGTTTTCTTTGAAAATACGCCAATCGCGTTCCTTCATCTCGTCCAGCCTCTTCTCTGACCAGTGCTTGCCAAAGCTCTTGCGCTCGGCCGCTTGCTTGGCACGTTCGTGCTGTTCCAAGAGTTGCCTCGCGCGTTCCTCGCCAGTCTCGGGGTCTCCACGGCGGATCGCCGCGGCCTGTCGTTGTACCAACTCATCCGTAATCTCGTATCCTGTAATCTTGAAGATGGGCTCTGGCCGGTCTGCGTAGATTGGGTCGTACGGCCGGCTCGTGTCATCCTCAGGGTCCCAATCGAAATTGAACTTATTCGCCGCCGTTCGCTTCCTCTTCTTCTTAGCCGAAAAAGTCGACTGATTCACTTCGGGCCCCATGTACTTTGCTCGCAGTTCGGCGGCGTCCTTGCGCTCCATCTCGGCGCGCTTCCCGTCCTCGTCGTTCAGCCGGCGGCGTTTCCCGCTGATTGGTAGTTCGGAATGGTCGCCATCGGGCTGCCGCATCGCCTTGGGGCCGGTCGGTATGTCGTGTGATGCGCCATTTGTCCCGTTGGTCGTTGGTTTCCGTTGCGTCGACAGCGCTTCCTGGCGTCGTTGTCGTTCCTCTTCTTCCTTCGCGGCTTTCTCTGCGGCTAGGCGCTCTCGTTCCTTCTTTGGGATAAACCTGGGCTTCGCGGCGGCAGCCTTCTCTGCCTCCCGTTGACGCAAGAGGGCCGGAAGATCGGGCGGTAGGCGTCTGCGGTCCATGATGTGCGATGGCGAGCGTAGAAATGTTGATGGGAAAGTTGAAACCTAAGCTTGGGAGACGGCGAGAGGAGTTACGGGTCTCAGCCTTGCATCGGGTTAAGAATACGGTGCACCACACTGTACGCTACCGACACAGTACATTCCAAGACCCCCATTTGCCTCAGAAATATCATAAAATAGAGCTTTTTTGCTCTAAAAAAGTGTGATCCGAGATCACAGTTTGAGAACTGAGTTGTTAAGAGAACCAAACATCCTGATTCCACCTATTAAACCCCAAGAATTGGCACCGATGCTTCCTGGCAGAGGTCTTCTATACAGTGCGTATCAGTGACGCCCAGCAGAGCAGGCCCGAAAAACTTGGCCCCACCTTTTTTTCAAGACCTCCACATCGAATTGAAACTCAGCCAGTTGATCGTGGACTCGACCAGATCCCACCAGCACTTACCGTCACCAACTCCTCGAAACCATGGCGGCCGCGGTCAAGTCCCAGGTCCAGCTTGCGCTGGGCCTCCCTGCACGACTACGCACATTCCTCGCGCGGTATCCTCCAGCCTCGATCCTGCCCACGGGCACCACCCCAGAAACATACAAAACGGCCTACCAAGAAGAGACGCCGAACCCCTTCCTCCCGACCAAGCACCCGGTAACAGGCCGGTTACACGACCCGAAGTATTCGTTGCGCCGACAGGCTGAGCTTGTTAAGCTCGCTCGCGAGCACGGCGTTGAGGAGCTGCTGCCGTTCACCCCAAAAGGCACCGAGGTCCGCCTGCGCAAGCGTGTCGAGTTGGGTTTACGGGTCAAGGGTACCGGCGTGGGCCAGAAGGTCAAAGGTCACAAGCACGAGAGGCAGTTGGGAATCAAGTACGTTTTGGGAAAACACGCGGGCGGGTTATTGTCAAGGAGCATTATTGCTGACCAAGGGTTTCGTACAGGATGGACAAGAGGAGACAGGCTATGTTGGATATGCCAGATCTCATCAGGGAATGGAAAAAGGTACGTGGCGGGATTTCCTCTTCGTGGGTGTATCTTTTTAAGCGGAATACTAATGGTATTGGCAGGTTGGGAAACGGAATTGGTCCAAGTTTCCCAAATAAACGACCGAGATATATGCATGATGACGATGATGTTTGTAGACTGTATCAACCTTCAATGTACAACATTCGACCACAAGATGGCCTTGGCGATACAGTCAGCGTATCCCTAAAGTGCTCTGAACCTTGCTCTCTTGAGTCTTCCTCAAAGGTGGCTGCCCATACCCGGGTATCATCGCGCAGTTGCCCCTCCTAGCCCTAACTCAACATACTTTGTTCTCCCAAAAGTTCACACTGCTAACCTACCACCAACTATCCACCTGCTGTGGCAGTTCCCTCTTTACCCCCCGTACCCCCTTCTTCCCCATCAACCACAGCAAAACAAACCCTCAACCACAAACTACAATCCACACACCCGACCATCAACTCCCCCAAATCCGCCGCCTCCTCCAAATCCTCCTCCCCAAATTGATACCCCCTCCCATTCCCACATCTACACCCTCGATACCACGTCATTTCCCCTTCCCCTTCCCCCTTACCCTCACCCCCCGTCCCTACCCCTTCATCACAATCCAAATCATCCAAATCCACCGTCTCAATGCCCGTCTGGAACCCAGCCCCTCCTACTCCTCCCGCCCCGCCATTCTGCGTCTGACGATCCCGAGCCTGGAGCAACAACGCAGTATCATAGGCCTGGCGGAGAGACGGTCGGGAGAGGGTGGCATAGGCGGCGGAGATTTGGTCAATGGTGAATATTGACCCTGTGCGTGTTGATGACGGCGGTGATAATAATGAAGGGGGTGATGACGAGGGTGGTATGGTGGACTCGTGTAGTTGATATTGAGAGGATTTGGGGGCGGCAAGAGTGCTCGCCGCCGCTGCGGACGTCTTATCAGGATGATGTTTAAGTAGAGCACGGCGGTAAGCGCGTTTCACCAACGCCGCTGCCGCTGAATCGTCTTCGGCTTCTGTTATAGAGGAAGGTGATAGGCTAAGGATCTCATAGTAGGTTGGGGTAAGCTTTGGGTGAAGCATCGTGAGGGCGGTGGCACCCCCGAAAAGGTCGTTAGTTTGGGGTTATTAGTGGTGGGGTAACCCGCAGAAGTATCTTTGAGAGTGGGAGTTGTTGGGTTTACTATGTAGACAAGGTATAAACCCCAAAAAGTAAAAAAATTCCAAAGCGCATCACGTGTTTCGTAATAATTACAACTTGTCGTGCTTCAATCTTCCCACTTACCGTCTAGCTTCAGAGTTAGGGCGTGGCGGGAAAAGGAAGAAATACCGATTTTAACAAGGTTGTAAGGCTAGTTAAGATGGGAATAAAAGTACAGTGTTATTGAATGGTGATTACCAGAACGTACTCGGATAGTGGTGTGGCAACGGAATCAGCCCCTGATCATCTTAGAATTAGAAAAAGGTACAACAGAGGCGCAGCCGCAAGTGCCATAAACGCCAAATATGAAAAACATCAAGAGGTTTGCAGCACCATGGATCATGATCTTTAATAGGTTGTTATTTCTCTTTTCTAATTCGAAATTTCGTTGGTCGAGAAACGGGAATTTCTGGCTTTTTTTTCTGCCGAAGGGGAGTGGGGCAGTTGTGCGGGGTCGCGACAGGTAGGTTATGCAATTTCAAGTTCCAGTCGCATCAGGCCTCAGATCGGTATAAGGGCGCCAACGAATCTATTATTGACGACGAAATTTTATTCTTGCCCAGGCGATCCTCGCCAGCCAGAGTCTAACAGGCAACCGAATTAAGGCGGGAGACACGTCCCTCCAAATGCCGCGCTTGATAGTCCTCATCTGCCGGGATAAACCACCCACCACAAGTCTCGTGTATCTGCCGTAAACATGCAAAGCCACATGGGAAATCTCCAGCCCGCGCTCCAAAGACACCGTTCCACCAAGGGATTTGCCAAACCGGGGTTATCACTATCAAGAGACCAGGAACTTCTATGACACCGCTTACTCGGCCTTAGGCTCCTCCGCAGCCTCCTCAGCCTTCGGCTCTTCCTGCTGGGCAGCGTCGCCACTCGCAGCGGCGGGGGCCTCGGCCTCGGACGAGGTCCAGAGCGTCTAACACAAAGAAAATTAGAAACTGGCCTCATACAAAAGCGCCAAAGGTTGTAGGGGTTGGTTTTACGTACCAGGTTGTCGCGAAGGAGCTGCATAATAAGAGTGCTGTCCTTGTAGCTCTCCTCGCTCAATGTGTCAAGCTCTGCAAAGATTGTTAGTAAGATACAATGCTAACTAGGATGGGATACTTGTAGAAGCTCACCAGCAATGGCATCATCGAATGCCTGCTTGGCCAGGTGGCAGGCCTGGTCGGGTGCGTTGAGGATCTCGTAGTAAAAGACGGAGAAGTTCAAGGCAAGACCCAGGCGGATGGGGTGAGTGGGCGGCAGCTCGGTCTGGGCAACTTCGGTCGCAGCCTTGTAGGCCTCCAGGGACAGGTCGGCAGACTCCTTGCGCTTGTCGCCAACAGCGAACTCGGCAAGGTAGCGGTGGTAGTCACCCTTCCTAGATTTAAGGGTCAGAATTTAGCCAATATAGCACACCGACGGCGGACAGGATGCTCACATCTTGTGGTAAAAGACCTTGGACTCGCCAGACTTAGCAGAGGGGATGAGGTGCTCGTCCAAAACACTAAGGATGTCCTCGCAGATCTTAGCGAGCTCAGCCTCAATCTTCTGACGGTACTCCTTGATGAGGCCGACCTGAGTCGAGTTGCCCTTGGACTCCTCCTTCTGCTCGATCGAGGTGACGATCCTCCACGACGCACGGCGAGCGCCAATAACGTTCTTGTAGGCGACCGAAAGAAGGTTCCGCTCCTCGACGGTAAGATCGCGGTCCTCAGATGCGACGATCTTCATGTTTTCAACCATCTCTGTGGGTGGAAGTGGAGTGTCAGTGGCGATCGTTTGGGACTCTCGGTGACCATGTATACGTGCCCTCGTAGCGCTCGGCCTGCTCGGCCAGCTTGGCGAGGTAAACGGCGTCTTCGTGACCCATTTTAGCTGCTGAAGAGGTATCTAATATCGAAGTTAGCGGCACGTCTCCAGCGTGGGATCGAGTCGGTGAGCTGTGTGGTGGCTAAAAAAAATGGAAGGGAAGAAATAGTCGGTGTTGAAATGTAGGTTGGAAAAAATGCAATCACAGATCACTTCGCAGTCATGCCGGCCAAAACCGTCTAGAAAAAACGGCTTCGCGGATGCAACTGCGAACGCGCTGTGTGCTAAAGTTCACACCAGACTCCCCGCTCTCGGTGTGGGGTGGATGCGCAGCCCAGTCAAGCTCAAGGCCGCTGTGATGCAGGCCATCCTGGCAAGATGGGCGGCAGCTCGAGGGAAGCAATTGGGAGTCGATCCTCGGGAGGCCGAAAGCATGGCAACCACTGCTTCACGTAGTGAAAGCAGGGCCTGGTCGTTCCGGCGATGACGACAGTGTGGGCGAGGAGGGTGATGTGCGAGCAGAGGGCGAAGCGGCGGGTGAGGGGGTAATAACGAATAACTCACCTTGTGGTATGGAGTAGATGGCGCGGTGCCGAGAGGACGGTGGTGCTCAAAAAAAGCCTGGTAGGTTTGGGAGAGGTGTTTGCGGGAGTGGTTGAGTCGCTCAATAATTTTGGAAAGAGGACAAGAACTGGCGAAGTCACCGGTTTTGGATGCAAAGTTGGAAATGAGGGAAGGGGCAAGGCCGAAGCGCAGCGAAGCGACAACACAAGGCGGGATGCGTGGGTGGGCGACCAGTGAAATTGGGCCTGGGGCGCCCACTCCAAACAAGACCCCGCCTGGGGCTTGCACGTGACGAGCTCCCTCAAGCCTGGCTGGCTCGGTACGTCACTTTAGTTAACTTGCGAAGCTGATGCTCACCAACAACTGTGCCATGGAAAACTGCTACACTGCCAGAGCGGCGTCAAGCTCCTGAGCCGCCCCCGTGCCCAGACTCAACCAGGGGTTTGCTCTCAACCCTTCCTGGCGCGGCTCCAACGGCCCAACCCGAGAAGACTTTTTCAGCTGGTTGCTAATTAGCCCATCATGGTGCCATTGGGCAGCAGTCGCGGCCGCAACAGTTGGTAGAATCTCGTCGATGCACAAAGCTAGGTAAGTGCTAAGGGAAGGAGAAATCATTTCTTATGCACTGGTCTCTTGGTCGTTCACGAGGCTGCACTTTTGTGTCCTTATCTCGAATCACGCCATATCAGCCCAAACCAGGGTCGCTCGTAACTGCCGGAGACAAACCTCACAGTCAGCCACAACATGAGCCCCACGAGAACCCTGCTGGCAGCTCTCAGGTCAGCATCTTAATCCCACGAACCTCGCTCTGCAGTCGTAAAAGCGCTGGGTGCCTGGCGGCTCTCTTGAATGTGGCCCAAGCTTGCAAAGCACCTAGAAGCTGCTTGGGTTGCCCCACTCAGCAGTTCAACCCTCGAGTATCGAGTAACTACACGCGATAATAAATCAATGACAATAATAGAATTGAAGATCGGTTTAGGTTTCGTGAGAGATGAAACGCTAATCACGATTCATCAACTCGAGTCAGCAGGATCAGCTACATGTACATTAGCCATCGCCTTAGAAGCTCCACAGATCACACACAGTTCGAGACATGCTGACGTTTATTAACTAATATATTGAACATTGGAAATTTGACCGTCTAAGACTAGTCAGTGAATAAGTTATACTGAGAAAATGCATATTTACACAGTACATGCCACCCCGTCCGTATTTACCACATCAACCCCCCCAACTGTCCAAGGCGTCGGTAACTTTCCCCCCATTTTGGCCCTTGTGTTTGACCGTATAACTGCTTCATATCTCCTCCTATATTCGTACCCCAACAACCACCTCAGGCGAGTCCGGCGCGCCGTTGGTAGTAAGCATTAACAATCCGCAGGGGGTCCCTCGGTCCCTTCAGAACTTGACCTCCCCAACATATACGAACCTGGTCAGGTCCGCCTGATCCACTTGATACTCCAAGATCACGTTATCGGCAATCCCATAAAACTTGCGGTCGATATTCATCGCGATCCTCTGAAACCTTGGCGCCGGCTCGGGCCCCCCAACCAACTCCACGCGGCTCCCAAACGTCCACTTATCGACTGCGCCTTTGGATGGGACCCGTGGGTCCCAGTATGTTGCGGCCAGCTGGCCGTCTTGCTCTAGCTGTAGGGCTATCAGGGCCCAGGAGAGAACGGGTTGATTGTTGTTGACGTCGGAGGGGCTTACGGCGAAGGAGCTGGCGGCGATTTGTTGCGAGGGGAAGGTTGGGTGCGTGGATCCTTTGAAGGCGTCTGTGGAGGGAGTACAGTCAGTTCGATGCCCTAGGAAGTTGAAACGGGTGGATATTCAGGCCCGAGAGCGGTCGAGTAATCCCGGATAAAGAGGTACGGAAACTCACCCGCGTAATGCCATCCAGTGCTATTACCCCAGCTCTTCATCGCCAACTTGTCCCCCACATCAAAAAACAACCTCATCCCCAAGCCGTTCCCATTGTACATAAACGGCACCGCGGCCAGCGCCGACGCAGCGCGCCCCGACTGCGAGAAACTCGGTGCTTCCTTCCACGGAGCGCCGACATATGCATGCAACATGTCGTCGGACGCAGACTCGAAAAACAAACGGATCTGGTCGCCGCCATCGGGGTTGCCGCGGCACGCAGGAGTACAGTCAAGCCAGTAAGCGGACAGCTGGGTATCTGGTGCCGCCAGGAGGCGGGCGTCAGAATACAGATGAGTAGGCCGCCAGTAGCGGTAGGTGTCGTCGGACTTGGTGTACACGGCGCGGACGACGTTGGAGGTGTCCAGGAAGAAGATGGCGATATCTGAGAATGGTGTTAGTGACCGAATTTCTTGGGCCCTTAACATAAGCTGCTGGGGTATGGTTTGGTGTGCGTTGTTATCACAATCGGACGTACAATACCCATCATTGGTGGCACACGCCAATGGCGTCCCTAGCTTCGGCTGTATCGGATTCGACGCCTCCAGCAGCCGCTCCGACACATTGACCGACTTCCACGCCTTGTCATTCTGGGTCCACACCCCGAGCATTAGAGACCCGACGGGGTCTTGGTAGGCCACAAAACTCATTGCGCCGTGGGCCGGCTCGCTCCACCGGGCCACGGCAAGCTGGGTGTTGTTGAGCATCTTGGGCGGGCCGGCAGAGGGCTGTGCGTGGTCATTCGGGCTGGACGGTGTTGGTGCAGGTGCTGGTATCGGCTCGTTGTTGTTGACCCCGTTGGAATTGTTCCGGGACACGACGAGACCGCTCACCAACCCGGCAATGCCCACGAGGAGCACGGCTATGATCGCCAAAACTATCAAGAACGTTCGACGCCGGAACCCGCATATTGTCCGGCGCGCGGGCGGTTCTGTGGGTGCTGCGGGTGAAGGTGGGAATGCTTCGGCGTGGAGCCTGGGGACGGCGGATAACGCGTTCGTGGACCATGTCTCCTTGTCTGGGTTGTCGGAAACGACGAATTTGTTGCTGGTAGTTGTTGCCAACTGGAGGCCCGGGTCGATGTGCAAGGGAATCGGGGCGTTCTCGTAGGTCACCGGAATGGGCATGTCGGAGTACCCGGCGGCGGGGACTTTCAAGTCACGCTGGTACTCAGGTGGTGGGTGCGCCATGCTGGAGGGCTATTCTGTTGCATGTGGATGAGCCGGTCTTCGCCTTGTCCTCTCCAAACAGTCGTGAAAGTCGCAACAAGTCGGATCCCCGAGGCCGTTTGAGGTTGTCAGAACTGGACAACAGTACCGGCCACTCTATCAACCGCCGTAACGTATGTGCCGTTCAATTGGCAGAGGCATCAAACACGTAGGGCTGAATAGATCAACTGGGAGTGGGTGAGGGGGGGGTAAAGGGAGCCAGAATAACCAAGACAAAAATACGAGGATCCCGGATGCTGCCAAAGTGCCCCGGTCTTTGGGACCCGATTTGAGCGTCCACGACAACCCCAAGGTAGGTCGCTCCCTTCTCAGGTAGTATTCGTACCACAACGGGTGTTAATTTGGCCCATTGCGCCGCTGCGTTGGACAAGACCTGTGCCATGACGTCGTGAAAAACACTGCAGAACCAAGCATTCCTTTAAGGATTGGCTCCCCCGTGTGCTTGCACTGCCCGCGGCCCCTTGAACAAGTGCGACTTTGGGTGCAACATCGGAAGCGACTAGCCTGCCAAGAGTGGAAGCAGCTCTGCGGCAGAGACGGCGTTGGCTGCTAGGTTGGGCGGTGTTGAGGAGCTGATTGAGTGAAGGCACGAATGATTCTTGCGATCCTTCTCCCCCTGTGTTCCGGCAGAGCTATTTGGTATGTCGCGAGACCACTAACTGGTATGAGGCGGCGGCGTCCTTCAGTTGTGGTAGCACCAACGGAAGTCGGATGAAAAATCATCGGAGATGTCTGGTCCAGATTCGAGGTTGGAGTTCTTGTGTGGCGGCCCGGGGGTCCTTTCACGGCCGGGCTCCCTGGCTCCCCACAGGGAGGAGCTGCAGTGTTCAGGTTAGCGCGGATTTTATGTGGGGGGGAGTGAGCCAAAAAGAGCTCGACCAGGGCCTGGCAAAAGCCAAATTTGGCAATCACGATTTTTGGTTGACTTCTTTTCTCAGCAACCCATTTTCAACCTCACAGCGAGACGAGACCAGCCTGGTGGTGACAGAAGCCAGTCCCAATGCTGTTCAGCCTATGAGAAGAGAAGAGAAAGCAGGCAGGGCGGTAAGAAAAGCTGCCGAGGAGAGCCGTCGAGAACGAGAGAAAAAGGAACAGGAAGGAAAGAAAACAAAAAGCCGAAAAATGAACTTCTTCTCCAACCCGTTTCGAGCGCCGTCACGGACGGGGGCGGACTGGTTCCCGGTCGGTCTGGCCTCGTCATTCCCCGAAGTTGGCTCTGATGAGAACGAAACCGAGCCTCGTCTCTGTGGTAACCGTGGTGAGGAGAAAGGGACGCCGGGCTGCAAGGTCTTTCACGTTCCCAGGACAGACACAACTCAACGAACGGAGCTCGAGATACCCGCGGGTGACGACGTTGAAATACCGGGGGATTTGGCCAACCAAGTTCTCGTGTTCCAATTCCGGGGGAAAATCCACGCTATCGATCATGTAGGGTCCGATATTCGAAATAGCTGATTTTCTCCAGACGTAGACTAACCAAGTAACATAGCAATGTCCTCACTCGTCATACCCCCTTTCGCAGGGCATCCCGTTTGATATCGAGGACTTTGGGGTCGTCTTGAGTGCTGGGCTTACATGCCCCAAGCACAATTGGTCCTTTGACTTGTTCTCGGGCCGGTCCGACCGCGGGAACTACAAACTCAAAGTGTGGGAGGTCCAATTGCGCGACGTGGAGGGAGGAACGGCCAACGATAAGGAGGTGTGGGTGAGGAGGAAGCCGAGAATTGGCTGAGATTTAAGGTTTGGGGATGAGAGGACATACGCTATAAATACCCAGAACCGTCCAAACAACAAGGACCGCGGGTTTTGGCTCACCCACATCAGGTGAAAATGATCCCGCCATCCACAACCATCGTCTGCCCCGTCACATAGTCCGCATCCGGACTCGCCAAAAACGATACTAGCTTCGCGACATCCTCCGACACGCTCGTCCGCCCCAGCGCGATCAGCTCATCGCTGTACTTCTTAATCATCTCGCCCTTGGCAACCTGCCGCCGGCCCTCGCTCTCCGCCGTAGCCTTCTCACCCAACCCCTGGTCAATCAACTCCCACATGGCAGTATCCACGATCCCGGGGGCATAGGCATTCACCGTGATGCGGTGCTTGGCCAGCTCCATGGCGTACACCTGACTGAGCCCACGCACCGCCCACTTGCTGGCGCTGTAGTGGCCGAGCAGGGCGAACGGCTTGAAAGCGACGATGCTGGCGGCCGCAATCAGCCGGCCACGGATGGGACTGTCGCCTCCACTCTCCGTCTCTGTGCCGCTCTGGCCTCCGCTCTGCGCAATAATCTGCTTGGCCGCGGCCTGGAAGCAGTGATGCACGCCAGCGACATTGACATCCAGCATGCGACGAAAGTCCTCCGGCGTCAGGTCCAGCAGCGGCTTGACCTGGGCGATGCCCGCGTTGGCCACCATCGTGTCGAGCGGGCCGAGGGTGTCGGTCGAGCCGCGGACCAGCGCAGCGACTTGCTCGGGCGAGGTGACGTCCGCTGGCAAGGCATGGGCTCGGACTGGGACGGGTGTGGAGGCATCGTTGTTGGTATTGTTGATTTCGGACACGAGGGTGTCGAGCTGCGGCTGGAGTGCGGGTAGGTCGGAGGCAGTGATGTGGTAGCCGTCCTGGGCGAGACGTAAGGCGATGGCTCGGCCGATGCCGCGGGCTGCGCCGGTCACGATGGCGACGCGCTCGTGGGGCACGCGGCGGTGGGCGACGGGGGTGGTTGTGATAGAGCGGGAGAGGTGTTGTGAAGATGTTCGGCCGAGCGCGGAGAGGGCGCGGGGGAGTCGGCCGAGCGCGGACATGGTTTATGTTTGTGTTGTTATTTTTGGTCGACTTGTTGAACTTGGGGTTAGGAGGAAAAGTGATTCTCGGCTTTTTTCTACCGTGCGATTCTAGACATGAATTTGACCAAGCCGAGAGATGAAGACGGGTCAACCGCACTTATGATCCCCAACTGGGAGCTTCCCCGCGGAAACCCCCTCCTCAATTCATCACCAACAGAGAACACGCATGCAACGTAGGGTCCGCGTCCTTCCCGATGTACTTCATGCAGCAGCGAATGCAGGTCTTTGACAGTCTCCTGGCATACCCGGGCCGATCCTATTGGGAATGACATGCAGAGACCGGACTTTGGCAGTGCGGGGTCTGTTCCACCAAGGTGTTGCATATGCGGACATAGTAATAGTCAATAGTCGCGGGTCGGGAACTCGCCTCAATGCGGCCCGAGGGCAGAGAGAGAGATCGGCCCAGTGTTTGTCGGATGTTACAATGGGCCATGCTGAATGGGTGATCGGGCCTTGGAGAGAATTGGGGAAATAATTGATTTGGGATGTGGGAAGTATGGGAAGCGGAAAACGAAACGAGAGCTGAAAAATGCGCACGGAAAGAAGCCGAGAAAAGGGCGTTAACGTTAAAGGAGGTATACCCGGATCATATCATATTGGGGACGCAGAATGACTTAGGTAATTGTACCTCACCACCTTCAAAGCCTCTCATCTCAATTGCATTTCGCAACATGGCGCGCGGGACATCACAACCAAACCTTCGGGTTCGTCCCTCTCAATCTCGACCCCAGAGGAGCAACTGTCAAATGAGACGCTGTCAAATCGACCTGGATTTGATAACATCATTGCGCCAAAGATTCGGCTCGATGCAAACAAACAAACCCATGGTTATTTTCAGTCTTCAAAATGGCATCAGAATAAGGCGGAGCAACATCCCCCCTCAAAGGTGCCCAATCAGGTACATTAACCAGATAGCCTTCCCGGTGCTGTTCTCTGTTTTCGGCAGAGGGCCTTACTCTGCGATAGTCTTGGTGCCGCCGCGTGCTGCCGCGCTGCGCGCCTCTTTGGGCGTGCCCAGAAACCAAGGCTGAATCTGGACTGTGGTAACGCCTGGGCGCTCAAGGGGGGGACGCGTGGGCGGTTCGTCTGAAAATTCCACGGGATTTCAAATGGAAAGCTCAAAAGGAAAACGTCAGCCCTAAACTTCTAGGTCTCACAATTTAAGGAGTTTTTCTAGCATTTCCGACGCTTGAGCCGACGCGTTCTTTGGTCTTGCGGGAGACGGGAAGCCCAAGGGCGCCCACCTGCATGCAGTACCTGGGACTGAGTGCGCGATTCAGGACTGCCCAGTGCTGACTTACAACGGCTCCTAGACCTTGAACTACCGTACCATCCGTTATTTTATATTCCCCGATGATGCGAAGTTTCAAGGCTCCGGCCCCTTTCATGGCTCTACTTCTCGTGGCTAGTGTCTTGATAGCAACAGCTCGTGGAGAAGAAGATGAACGGGTTGGGTACTACATTCCCAGCGGAGCAACAGGTGAGGAAACAACCCCCAGATCGCTAGGTGTGTATCACCACTTACTGATCACTCGTTATGCTGATACTCCTGAGTCTTTAGAAGCAAGCGTGGCATCGTGTGACTTTATCACTACAGCAGTTGAGCAATGGAGCACGGTAGGAAGTATTGGAGTATGCGTTTTGACGGAGGCCAGCAGCCGTGGCACGAGTACTTCCCCGAAGATGACCACCAATTACTTTGTGGGGAAGTCTTGTGATGGGTCGTCGTCGTTGACGGGCCATTATATTGCCAGCGCCGACTCGCGGACGGTTTCTATAACGGTCCACGTGGGATGGTAAGTCTGTTCCATCCGGGCATTCGGCTACTTGATCACCTGATCCCTTGGACACCTGTAGGATACCTGTAGCTAATGATGTTGAATCACCCAGCTATCGTGACTGCGCAACAGTAACCGTGTTCCAGACGTCCCCCTCCGGGCTCCCCTCCGCCTCCTTCATCGGCTGCCCCGAGCTCCTCGGCCTTCCCCCTGAGGCCCGAACCGTGTACCGCGAGCTTCCCCGGGGCATCACCACCGTTGCCTCCTCCCCTCCTGTGGACGGCTGGGACCATGTGACCACTAAGAGTCCGACGTCAACCTCGACGTCAACTGAGACCGAGACCACCACGGAGAGCACGGCAGACACGTCTCAAATGACGAGTAGCGAGACGGAGACGAGCACGCAAACTGGCACGCCTGATGGAACGGGGTCGGATCGAGGAGAAAATGGTCAGGACAATAACAGCAACAACACACCTGTCATTGTAGGCGCCGTTGTGGGCTCGGTGGGGGGGATTGCTCTGATCGCGCTGGCTTTTTTTCTGGGCCGCAGATTCGCCGCATCGAGGAGGTCTACCGTCAATAACAACACCACCAACACCACCAACACCATCAACCCGGGCGCCCCGCCGCCAAATCCATATCAAGGCAAGCCAGAGTTGGAAGGGACACATGGGGTCAAACCATCACACGCAAGCTATTACACCACCTCCACGCTCACACCAGATCAAGGCGCTTGGGCTGGGGGACAGGGGCCGTTTCATCCGCAGCAGCAGCAACAACAGCAGCAGCAGCAGCAGCAGCAGTTTCCACAATACCCGCCTCAGCAGCAGTATCAATATCCACCTCAGCAAATGCCAGCCAGCTCGCCTACTGCGGGGAGTCCCTACGATATTCCAGGAGCGTACCAGCACCAACAGTATCACCAGCCTCAAGTTCCATATACCCATCAATAATTAAGTCGCGATTGCTTTGCCCACTCCACAGACCAAAAGATCAAAACTATGTGTAACGAGACCCCCCCCCTTCAAGACCGCGTCAACACCTTCTCCATCTCCACCTCCCTCTCCCTCCCAGGCGCCGGCTCATCTCCCTCGCGCCCCGTCTCCCGCAGCCCATTCCGCCGGTACAACCCTACAGCCGCCGCGTTCGACGGCATCACCGACAACCTCATGACCGTCTTTCCCTCCCCAACCGCCCACGCCTCAATCCCCTGCAGCAACCGATCCCCAACGCCCTTTCCTCTTGCCTTGGGGTGTACCCACACCGAAATCACCTCCACCACCCCCTCACCATCCGGGTTCCCGGATCCCTCCCTCGCCGAAGAAGACACAGGAACACCACTCCCCATCCCCACGGGCTCTCCCTCTTCATACTCCTTGGCATCGTCAAGTTCGCCGCTGCCACCGCGGCTTAAAAAAGCCACAAAGTTCCTCGACCCGGGGATCGACAAGCGAGCACGCCAGCGCGTTTCCAAATCGCCTGTAGGCCCTTGCCATTCTGCAAGGGTAGCGCCAAAGGCGTGCGGGGACTCGGATAGGGCGTGGAGGCGGAGACGGCGCCAGAGGGGCCAGTCGGAGGGGGTTAGGGGGCGGAGGGTTATCTGGTGAGGCGGGGTTATGGAAGTTGTGGGGGATGTTGAGGTGGACATTGTGATACCTATGATATGGTATGGTATGATATGATATAATGGTGGTGTGTAGTTGATGTGTGATTATGACAGTCGTTGGGAGGTTCTAATATGAGAAGATTATGAAAATGGAACTTTAAAGAACTGAGAGTGATATGTAGTTCGCAAGCAGCCAGTCCTACTTGTCTTTGTGTGAAAATTGCAGGGCCAACTATGACTCAGTCTTGAAGGCGCAGTAACGGGTCGATTGAATCGTGGACTATTAGTCAATTGCACAAGACTCAACCGTACTGGGCAATGCAACTTTCTCGGTAAATGAAAGAGGGAAGGTTTTTAGTTATTATCTTTTGCACTACGTTTCGAAAAGGAATCATGAGTTGCTTCAGATCAGCTTCTAACTTTGGTTGATTTTAGATTATTACTCACTCCAACTGATATCCGAATCGGGAAGGTCACTTATAAGCCAACCCACAGTTTCACCAACAAATCTACATGTACCTCATGCTCGGTCTTGACGGAATGAATAAAGGAGAAAGACATGATAGCAGCGTTCGAGGAAAAGCGGTAAGATGGCTACACCGAGGTAAAGCAAGGGGGTTGTTGTTCGAGGCCACACAGGAGAGAACGATAACCACATCTTTGTGTGTGGGATTTGTCCGACTCCCGAACAAACCGTTCGGGATTCTCGGACCTCACAATGACCCAACAAGCAACCTCACAAGTCACAACCAACCCCCCGCGGAATCCTACTATGTATAACTAGCTCTGCACTAGCGGCATCAAAAGCTTGATTCTTTCCCCCGATCAAATGCACACCCACTGCATTGACCCCGGCCGGCCCAATGCAATTCCATTGGCGCACCATAGCGCCGTTCAAAGATTCGGAGCCTGTGGCGCCGTCAATACGAGAAGCCCTGCAGGGGAGCTCATCTTTTTGCGTTCTGCCCACCACATCGCAGGATCAGGACGACGGCCGAACCAGAGGGATAAGATCAGTAGGGACTAGTGTTGTATTTTTTTGGACCTACTGGAATAGCCCACGTGCCGATATCGTGGATCGGACATTTTCCGGTTCGGGATTGGACAACTTTGTTGGCTTTTTTTTCTTTCGAAACCATTCGTCTGGACGCTGGACTGGGCCAGCCCGGGTCGGTCGAAGCGAAGCTGAGAACCAGGTCATGTTGATCGACACCGGCGCGATGTTCCCCCGTCTTCGAGACGAGGTATGAGTTATCTATTTTTATATAAAGGCGAGGAAGTGTCTGGCACTCGGTCAAACACAGTAGTTCGAGAGATTTGCTGCCGGCGTTGGTCCATCCATCTCCTTCCCCGAGCATCCAACACTTCATTGTGTCAGTCTTCACTTACCGACTCAAACCAACACCACCACCAACATGCTGACAACCATGAAAACCCCCCTCTCCCTCTCCCTCCTCCTCTTCTCCTCTCTCGCCACCGCCGGCCTGGGCACAACCACCTATTCCTACTCGACGCCACCTCCCGAAATCCCCTGCACAGTCGGCGACGACGCGCCCTGCTCCCCATCCCCAGGCTGGACCTGCACGCCCACGCAGACCTGCACCTCCGGCGTGCCCTGCGGCGGCGCCTGCATCCGTCCGCCGCCGACCCCGCCTCCCGAGATCCCCTGCACCGTCGGCAATGATGCGCCCTGCCCGACGGGCAGCACCTGCACACCCACGGCCTACCCTACACCCGGTGTACCCCGCGGCGGACTGTGTATTGCGACGCCCGTGACGGTCACGACGACGTCTACAACTTCTACGTCGACTCCTGTGATTTGCACGGTGCCCATGAGCCACCCGGGCCAAAACGGTGGACGACGTCCTATTGTTGGCACCGGAGGCCCTGGGCCTGGTCACGGTGGTCCTGGGCAGTGTCCGACTGGATCGACTTGCACGCCGACGCAGATTTGCACGCCCCATGGCGGTGGGGTGCCGTTTTGCGGTGGGGTCTGCATTGGTGTCTTGCCTACGCCGACACCGTAGTGGGCTGGGAGCGATAGTTAGTCGGTTTCTTTTTCGTGGACAATGAACGACGTTATGGTCGATCTGTAGGTGTCGGGTTTTATCTGGACAAGTTGGGGTTAGTAGCTTTGGAGAAGGCAAAAGCAAAATTATTCCATGACGAATTTGAAACACAAGTGTTGCCATGGCTGGCAATTAGATTAAGAACCGTACACCCCGACATGAACAATTACTTGAGTGAAAGAGCGTCTGTCGAGTCGAAAAGGAAACTCTCGGGCTTCCCGGCCCGCAACTCGGGCAACCCCGCCAACGCCCGGGAAAAGCGGGCCCCGCAGCCATGCAGTGACGTGCCCTGCGAGCTTGCCGAGAGCTGCTCTCCACTCTTTGGAAGCTTGATCGAACCACTGACTGCCTGCAAAAGCAAAGCTGCAACCTCCGCCGAACAACCCGCAATCGAATTGAAACCCTCCGCAACCTCAACACCACCAAACCTCAAAACACCAAACCGCTAAAATGATGCGCACCGCCGTCACCAAGCTCGCCCGCCCGGCGCTTTTCTCCCGCTCCTTCACCACCACCGCCCGTGTCATGGCGGAGGGTGACGTTGGTGCTCCTCCCAAGACTGGCGGCCCGGGGTGCGTTTCTTTCTTGCCCCTCCCTCCCCTTCCCCTTCGACCTAGTGTCGTTCTCTCTAGCAATGAGTAGCCCAAATTACAGCCAGAAGGGATTGAGTTATCACTCAATGCCTCTGTCCGAGAACTATCAAGTCCAATCATGCTTTCTCCAATTCCAATTTTCCACCATTTTCCCCTCTGCGAAACACCCCACCTCCATCCACCTCCACAACCACCTTCACCTGAGATGAATCTTGAACCCCCCCCAAAAAAACCAAGAAGATCAAAATTAACCAACCTTCTGTTACAGCGACGCCTTCCAAAGACGCGAGCGCGCCAGCGAGGACTACGCCATCCGCCAGCGCGAGAAGGAGAAGCTCCTAGAACTCCGCAAGAAGCTGGCCGAGCAGCAGGCTCACCTGAAGTCGCTGTCCGACCACATGTAAGCAAAGACCCTGCATATTTGGCTTGCTTTTATTGTCCTAGAGAGGGGAGAAGAGGAAAAAAGCCCAAAAAAAGAAACCTAAAAGAGATGCCGGAAACAAAGAGAGCAAGGCGACTTTCTCTTCACTACACCTGGATTGATAGACTGACATACTGGTTCACCCTTCCTTCCACAGCGACGAGATCACCCGCGAGCAGGGCGGCGAGCAGAACTAAGCGGAGCTCGCCTAAACCACGAGCCGAGCCGAGCCGGACCGAACCGGGGACGTGATGCTTTTACTCACTGTGCGCCTGGGAGACCCGAGGGAAGTGGGAAGAATGAATGACCGTGAATGAGGGAGCCTTTTTTAATGCCAGCCAGCCTGTGAACCTCAGATATGTGGCCAAGGAGGGGGGAATGGGCAGATTGATTGGGAAGACGGATGACAAGAGGCGGATGACTTTTCAATATGCTGCTGTTCATCTGCTTGAATTGGCGTGTTTATTTAGGCTGCCGTTCCAAGGTCCTGTTTTAGTCTCCTAGCTTTAGGTGTCCCACGGTATCTATCCTCGGGAAGAGGAAGCCCGGGACAAATCTACTCCGCTCTGGACAAGTACATATGACATTACACGTATACGGGGAATCAATTGGCCTCCCCTATCAAACGTCCCGTACCGCGTGTGCATTGTTTTATATCGCTGCGGTTCAGGTCCAATTGTACAGTACGTTCCATTCATGGACTATTTCTGATCTGTCTTAACCCAGACCTACGCCCTTCTCCTGTTAAAAACATACAGGTCAAATTTCCTGACCCAATACCCTGACATTATGGCCGTGGCCATCCCAAGTGCCTCTCCCCGCGGTCCCATACTCCCCTCATAACCGCCCGTGTTCAAACACACACAAGCCTTGCGCCCCCCCCCCCCACCCTTTCCTAAAAACACACTCTATTTGTACCCACCACGGTACGACCGGTAAAAGCTCTCAGCCGCGTCCGACTCGGTGGTAGACACATGCCCGCCCATGGAACCGCCGGCCTTTTGCGCGGCTGACACCTTGGCCTGCAGCGCCGCCGCGTTGGTGTCAATCCATTGCAGCTGGGACAGGTGGCCGTTGAGGACGCGGACGATTTGCGTAAGCTGTTTGTGAGTGTGACGTTAGTGGATGGTGGACGGTAACCAGTCGTGTTTTGTTTTAAAAAGAGAGGGATAAAATCAAACATAAAACCAAGGGGTAAAACATACCGGATCATCGGGCTTGCTGCCCTTGCTAACGGTGCTCGACATATCGTTGATTTCCTTGATCATCTTGCTCAAATCCTTGCCCATGTCGTCCAACCGATCAGTCAATTTCTCAGCCAGCTTGTACGTGCGCTCGCGCTCCTGGTCTGGGCCGGCCGCCTGCTCGCCACCCGCGCTGGCGCTGCTGGAACTGCCGTTTTTGGCAGATAGCTCGTTGAGGTCGGCCTCGTATCGATCCAGCCACGCCCCAAGTTCCTCCTGCTGGCTCTCCACGTTACCAAGCTGACGGTCGATCTCGGCATTGGCGCGCTCGGCCTCGTAGGTGCTCGTGTACAGCTTCTGGATCTTCTCGCCGTTCTCCACCAGCATGCGGTCCCACGCTGAAATCTTGGACGCCTGCTCCTTGAACTCCTTTTGGTACTTGGACAGGTCTGTCGCCCACCGTGTGATGATCTCGTCCATCGTCTTGTTCTTCAGCCGCGGGAGCTGCGAGCTGGGGCCCACCGTCGAGGCCGTGAGTGTGGCGGCTGTGCTAGCGTTGCCATTCAGCGCCGCGGGCGTCGCCGTGGTACCGACAGGCTTGGAACCAAATAAACCACCCTCAGCGGGCGCCGTTGTGGCGGCGGGGGCGGCGGTAGCGGTGGTGCTGGCAGCCGCAGGCGTGCTCGTGCTAGCGGGTGTGACGGTCGCCGTCTTAGCAAATAGGTTGGCGGCCGCTGCAGGGGCAGCCGAGCTGGGGGTTGCGATACCAGTCGTCGCAGGTTTCGCACCGAACAAACCACCGGGCGTCGCAGTTGATGCTGGGGCGCCACCGAACAGTCCAGAGGCAGGTGCCGCGGATGAAGCAGCTGGCGTGGCAGTTGGGTTGGAGGCGGGAAACAGGGACTTGGTGGCGGTAGGCGTAGAGGTTGACGGAGCTGCGCTGGCAGCGGGAGCGGCGCCTGTTGTAGCGCCCGTAGTAGCCCCAAACAACGGCTTGGCTGCGGCTGCGGCAGGGGTGGCAGCCCCGGACGCCGGGGTGGTCGTTGCGGCACCAAACAGCGACGGCGTGCCTGAAGCGGGAGCCTGGGCGGGTTTGGCTCCGAAAAGGCCACTGCTGCCGGCTGCTGCGCCGGTGGTCGCTTGTGGTTGAGCCGCGCTGGAAGCAGGCGTTGAAGTGTTCTGACCAAAAAGCCCTCCAGCACCGGCCGCGGGAGTGGCAGCTGGCTTAGCCCCGAGACCAGCACCGCCGAATAGGTTTGCGGCAGGCTTGGAAGAATCAGCCGGGGGGGCACCAGCGGGCGTAGTCGAACCAAGGGCCCCGAAAAGCGGTTTCGCCGGAGTCACCTGGGCGCCACCAGCCCCAGCAGCAGGAGCACCGCCGCCAAATAGGCCCGCGCCAGTACCAGCACCACCGCCTCCGAAAAGTCCCCCAGTTGTCGGTGTCGTAGCCGAGGCGGCAGGCGCGGCACTAGACGCAGCGCCAAAAAGTCCACCAGCCGGGGTGCTCGTGGCGGGAGCGGCAGTTGTGCCAGCGGGCTTCGCGCCGAAGAGGCTGGGTGTACCGGACGGGGCTGCGGCGCCCGACGCCGGGGTCGAAGTGTTTCCAAACATGTTGCCTGTAGTATTGTTGCCACCGCCAAAAAGCCCTGCTCCGGTCGCGGGGGTCGTCGTCGCCGTCGTGGGTGTGCTCGTGCCGCCCGTGGTACTGCCAAACAAACTGCTGGGCTGGCCACCAAGTGTTGACCCTCCAAACAAACCGGATCCGGTTTGAAGTGTGCTGGTGCCGCCGCTACTGGCAGGCTTAGAGAGCGAAAATGGCGATGCAGTTGAGCCGGCCGCGTTCCCAAATAGGCCGCCGGAAGCTGGAGCGGAGGTTGTGTTCGACTGCCCCGAAGCCGCGCTTGAGGCAGGTGTCCCAAATGTGAAGGACATGTTGGAAGACTGGCTGGGTAATTCCGCCCGCGGAGCGGAGCGAACGGACCTGGATTGATTATGGGGGCAAGAGCGAGAGATCAGACGCCTGACGTCGAGACTACCTAGGACAGGGAAATCGCGCTCCGGGAACACGCGCGAATCGCAATAGCCGCGGCGCGTCCGTTCGAAAACCGCTAAGAAAAGACAATCGAGTGACGATTATTCTGTATGTTTAGCTGTGTTGTCTGTTGATCGAGAAACCTCGGCGCGGCGATTGTGCAGCTTGTTGCGGTCGGTATACCATGTACCGGATTAATCGTGGAGATTGGGCCAAATCCCTATTCTATGAGGCAGATTTTGAAGAAAAAAACGAAAGCTCCTGATGGGCGAAATGGAAATTATGCAGCCCGTTTGCACTGCTTTGTTTGCAGAGCTCTTGTCAGTCGGGTGGTATCTTTGGCGGAATCGACTTTTGGCGGTTGCCAGACGCGCCTGGGAAAAAGCTTGGCCAAGCAGCGTGCCCCGCCACAGGCTTGAAGTTGAGTGGCGTTAGTGTGGCTTAAAACGGCAGAAGACCCACTTTCCTACACTCCGCAACCACCGTGCAACACTAGCAAGCGCCCGGACCGGGGCCGGGCATCGAAGATTCGAAATCAAGACCACCTCTGTTGGAGGACGACGAGACGCCTCATTCCCGGTGACCTTGTTACATGCCTACTTATGACTAGCTTGTAAAGTTATCGGTCAAATTTTTCAAGGGCGTAAGGAAATAATCAGTGGGTATAGCGCTCTAGCGCTCCGTTCCACTCGCGTCCTCGAACAGTTTGTCCGACGCTGAGTCTGTCCGAGACTCTGTGTCTCTTCAATCTTTCGCGCTCCGCATACTACAAATAGAGCCCCTCCAGCAAACCCCCAGTTTGCTTGCCCCGAAAGGCTGTATGAGAGAGAGGTGGCTGGGGACGGTGCCTGCCCCCCGAAATTTTCTCAATCGGGACATCTCCTGGCTCATAGTTGTACCGTTGTACGGGTTAAGGATGGGCTATGGTGTTGAAGCTGAGTGAGGGGAGTCATGGGCCATTGTGCTCTACCCCATCATCACAGAACCTAATATCTGGCCCAATCAACGTGCTAAGTTCCTCAATCGTGCTTACTGTTCAGGTTCGTTCCGTGATTTCGTGCCGACCTCCAGTCGATCGACTATTGTCACATGTACCAAATCAAAGAAGGAGGGCCAAAGTCTGCCGCCATCGACTCAAAGGCTATTTGTTGAGTTTACCTACCGGGAGGGCGGCTGCTCCTCGAGTGGTAAATTATTGAACAACAATGAGATTGCATTAATCAAATAATTAGTCGAAATATTTCAAAATCCCCAGCCCTCCTGTCATCGACTATCAATCAACCATTTTACCTCGCTACTTTTACCGGTGGTTAGGTTTTTAATCTGTTGCTGGCCGTACATCTGTACAGGTAGTTATCAGTCGCTTGTTAGGCTAACTATAAGCTAGTTGGTCGTAATCTTGTGCAGTTTGGGGACGCCATGCCAGAGTCAGACAAATTAACCTACCTAAGTCCTTGGAATCTGTACGCTTTGCCGGACCTGGAAACAAAGCTTAGAAGGAACCTTGACTCTAGGCAAACGCATACCACTCGGTGCCTTTGAGCCTTGAGGGCTTTATCTTAAACCTTTGCATAGCAACCTATGCAACGCCTCGTCATTGCGTTCAGGCAGTAACCTCCTTGTATTTTTGGGCACCTTCTTTGATTCGGACTCGTGGCAGTGTCGGGCTGTGTCGAAATCGTGGCGAGAGGATTATAATTAGCCCTAAGCCGTCTTTGTTGAAATGTTATCAGGCAAAATGATAGGGTACAATAACAGAACGACGAATGCAGCGATGCCCAATTAGTACTTTTGAACCCCCGCCCGAGGACATGCCTAAGGGGACAAAGCGGGTTGTGGTAATAATTAGAGGGGCTGAAGATGCCTCATGTTGCAACTTGCGCTCTTTCCTTAGACTCTCCCAATAACCATCTCGACTCGACAGCCCTGTGGTTAACACAAACACATTGCAACTCACGGAGACGGTACAACTCACGGATATATTGCAACATTATAACATTACCATGGCTGCACGTCCTAACATTCCCTATTTTGCCCCTGCCGAGCTGCTGCCTGCGCCCCTGCCGACAGTGGCAGAAATTCTGGCTTCCACTACACGCCTTTCCAAGGAATATGAGAATCTTGTGTACCGCGTTGGTGAGCACTTCGCCGTCAAGTTCGGACCTGGGGTCCATATCCAAGAGGGCGAAAACATGTATTTCGTTCAGCATTCGACGCAAATCCCCGTCCCCAAGGTTTACGCGCTGTTCCATGACGAGAGAACCAATATGGACTTCATTGTTCAGGAGTACATTTCAGGAACTGACTTAGACCTTGTCTGGGGAACTCTCGACACCAACCAAAAGCAAAATATTGCTTCGCAGCTTCACCGGTACCTGAAAGAGCTGCGCAGCATCCCCCCGCCGGGCTATTATGGCGGCATCTAGAGGCAGCCAATTCGAGACTTCCACTTCCTCGATTGGGATCGAGACGGCCAGCACTACCTTGACAGCCTCATCTCGGGGCCGCACGAAACCGAGGACCAGTGGATTGAGGCGATGTGGCAATGCGTTATCAAGGCGTCTGTCATCCGGAGGGATCCGGAGGACCAATACATGTTGCCGTTAGTTCGGCACTACTACCAGATTATTTTCAAGGGACACGAACCAGTCTTCACCCACGGGAACATCCTGCCGAGAAATATTATGTTACAGGAAGATGGAACCGTTGTTTTGATCGACTGGGAGCGAGCCGGATGGTATCCCAGCTACTGGGAGTTCTGCTGCACTGTGAATATCGTCAAATACATCGACGACTGGGGGAGTTGGATTTGTAAGATACTGGACGAGGAATATGTCGGACAATTGGGTTGGATGCAAAATCATCGTAATGCGATTAGGTAGGGGTAGCTAGAGATGAGGGATACTTGGAGTTAAAAAGCATGTAAAAAGAGAAAGAAAATGGAAGTAGAAAAGATCCTGCCCCCAATTACTCCCATTTCCCCCTCTCGCGCCCTCTCTTCTCCAACCTAACACCTCATCTACGGCCGCCTGGCTGGCTCCGCGCACGCTCCTTGATCACACCCCCTTAGGGGTTCCAAAGTTCCGCTCTCGCGCAGCGTTCTTACAAACTCCAATGTCCACTCCTCCTGTGTCTTGCTGCAGTTGGTGACCTGCGGAAAGGTATTGAACACACCGCGTATCCTCTCTTCAAAATCGACTCGTTGTATCCAGCCGGCAAACTCTAGACGGCAACTCGGGTCGGACCGACGTGGCGGTGGTGATGACCTAACTACGAGCGTCACCGGCGGTATGGAGGCGCTAACGGCAAGCTGAAACATTCATCCCTGGGTAGGCGGGTTCAGGGGTACTGCATTATAGGGGTTCATCGGCGGGATGTACCTGCTGTCGACGAAAATATAGTGGCTGCTGCAATTGTGAGCCGACCGGGGTGGCGGGATTTCGCTTTGGCTTTCCTTAACGAGATACACTCGGTATCTGTAATATTCAAACATGGGATCTTCGTCGTTGTGCTTGGGGGAGAGCATATTGTTGGCGGGTTCTTCTTATCCGAAGTTGACACGAAGGATAAAGCAGGACGTGGTTGGAAGGAAATTGGAATGAGGATGGACCTAAAGCCCTCTCTCATTGCCAATGTCCCGTTTAATATACATGAAGCCATTCCCTGTGAGATAAAGAACCACAGGCACCTGGACATTGGCCATTATTCAGTGTGAAATGGGTGAGTGCAAGGTTCCAGATACGAAGACAAAACCTTTATGATAAGCCGCATGGACCAGATGGTCAGCCTCCCCAAAACAAGGCCCTTGCTCTCTGAGACATACAAACAAGGATGACCTCCTGAGTGGGAGGCTGCGCTTGACTTCATGCGGCTGCGAGACGCGATATCGGAAGATAAACAGCCACGCAAAGTAATGGCAACCATCATGTGATCTTTGTTACAAGCTTGTCTGGTCATGTCAACACAGAACAGCCGGAGTATGAAAATGGATTAAGTGAGTACCGTCACAAGCTTCTTCGGCTGAGAATGATAAGCTATCGTTGACGAGAGCCGCCGGAGTTGGATGGTTCGACAACATCATCATTGGGCTCCTGTAGCCAAGTGCCCCAGTCGCTTTCAGCTAAAAATTGGGACACTGCGGGGTTTCCAAAAGGTCAGGTTCTTTGTCCTGAGTGGTAACCCATTTTTATCGTCGGCTGTTTTGGCATGGCGATAATAACGGAAAGAAACCACTTTTCATCGCTTTGTCGTCCAACTCCTGGTCCTCCCACTATGTTTCACAAGTTGATCTTTCAAGTCTTTGAGGGTTCAATCTAAACCACATTACCACACTTCCTGTACAGCAACGGTAAGAGACCCCGGATAAACGGATTTAGTAACTTAGTTGCCCAGGTAACTTGTTCCGTTTGTTGGACAATGTGTAGCTGTACCCCAATACAGGGGAAAACTGCCCAACCTGCAGACGCGACTTGGATGGCGGGAGAAAGGCAGAATACCACATGAGGCTCTAAATGCACCTATTGCGACAAAGGTAAGGCTGGCTATACTAGTCGTCGGTCGACGCTACAAACGGCAAGGGGGAATCAGGGATTCTTGCTAAGGTCACACACCACGTCCCGAGGATGTACCAATGGGTTCAAATGCAGTGTCGCAAGGCAACCACAGCTTCTGGAGTTTGAGTAATATAGGAGCAATATCGAGGTACTTGGGTTTCCCAAGGAAGATGTTTGTAGACGTCGCGAAGCATGTTAGAACCATTATCCTTATTTCTGATACAACTATATCAAGCAACGAGAAACACTCGTGAATGACATAATTAACATATACGTGTATTGTAGAATAAAGTAGACACTGAGGATTGTAATCAAGAGCCTTTTATTTTTCTTTTCTTTCCGATTACTAATATCTGTATTATTGTTTGTAGGGTTCCAACCTCGCTAGGCTGGAATATTCCATGCTACGGAGCATCACAACCATAGAATGCTAGGAGCCAAGTTGGCAACCACGGCCGATAGGAATACCAGAGGTCCAGAACCAGAGGGAAGAATCTTTATGAGGTTGATATGGTAACATGGTTAGTATTCACTTAGTAATTCTGCCACGCTATCGCTAGTTCAACCGGGCGCTGCCTCCTTTCCACCTTGGTGGCTATAGACGGTCCATATCGGGAGGCCTGCAATGCACAGTCAACCAGCAATGAAGTGCCAACAGACGGTATACTTCGCAGCGTCGATTCGGCCGACGCTACAATTTAAAGGCCGTTTAATACCACTGCTAGCTATATATATTGTTTCCAACCCCGGACGGTATGCAGATTCCGATTGGCCGAATTTGCAAAGGTGGGGTAGGTTGTCCTTTCCAGCGCCACAGCTGGGCTGAGATTTTGAGAGGCAAGTCCACCAGTGTCTCGCCGCACTGAGGAGGACCAGAACCCGGCAGACCATGGTCTAGACTCCGGACAAGACAGCTCACTCGCTGATGCATTCCCGGATTGGCAGTCCAGATGTTTGGAGTGTCTGTGCAACGTGCGACACACCACTCTCGCGAATCCACGATCGGGATTTTCACCCACATCTTGTGCCCACTCCATAAAGGCGGTTTGAGGCCCTTTCCGGAGTTATCGACCCCTCCCCTCTTCCCTTCTTCGCAGTGGATTTCTGGTTCGAAGCATCAAGCAACCAAAGCCTGCAACGGCTCCTGCAGACAAATACAGCGTCCTTGTTGTTACCTGCGCATACGTATTCCACATAAGTCGTCCACGTAAATATTTACACACCTTATCTGCCGACGCACCTACGCCCAAGGCTCTGGAAGAATGTCGTCGTCCCGCCGTAACAGCCTTTCCCCTCCAGAGAGGCAGGATGCGGCCGATCCAGGGGCCCGCGATTTAGGTACGCAGCAGCAACCGCTCTTCGCCTTCTCCCCCCACAGTCGGTAATTCGCGCCTGATTAACACCCCTCCTCTGTAGCGGAAGCATCCGATTCCGAGGAGCACTATTCCGATGCCCAATCGAAGGCCGAGGCCTCTGCCCGAGCCTCGCCAGTCCCCAGGACGAGAGTTGAGCGGGTGGACGACCGCCCCGCATATGGGGAAGTTCCCGGTACGGCGGCCTATACGCTGCGGGAGGGCGATGCCGAGCCGGACGAGATCGCCATTATCCCGGACCCAGAAGATCCTTCCAACGCCTTGACCAGCTCCGAATCCGAGGGAAATGAGCCCGCATCAACTCCCGGCGGCCGCCCCATACCCAAGACGGTCGTAGAAGAGACACCAGATGGCGAGGGCTCTGTGACACACCCAGAAAACAGGCAACGGCGCCTGTCAGATGCGCGTCCAGACGTGGTGGTCAAGGCCGATGGGAAGGTGGAAGAAAACGGTGCTGCAAATGGTACGGATGCGTAATAGTCGTTCTGCTATCAAGACATCCCTGAATCTCTCCTTTCCAACCTTCCACCCTTTCTCAATCACTTTACCGATTCCATCTCTTTCCATAGCTCGTATTGACTTATCATCTTTTATTTCGCGTAGATTCCCCAGTATCACCCTCTCTAAGTACTCCCACCGCGCCCACCACAAGGAGATCTTCGCTCGCGGCGAAACAGTCCCCTCTAAGTCTGGACTTAGCCCGGCCTGAGAGTGCCGTGGAGGATGAAGACGATGACGACGACGAGGAGGGTGAAGACGAGGATGGAGATGGGGATCAAGACAACGACTTTGGGGATGACTTTGACGACTTTGAAGAGGGCGACGAAGACAGCGACTTTGGCGACTTTGACGAAGGCTTCCAAACCCCAGCTCAACAACCACAACCATCAAATCCCGCCATCGCAGCTTCATCACTCCCTTTTGTAAGCCTTCCTCCCTTACACCCGTCCCATGCGTCCACAACCCGACAACTTCACGGCTCACTAATAGTACCTTAGGTCATCCCCAACTTTGAGGATCTCAGCCCCCCCGAAGTTATCTCCGCCACAGAACCCTACCTCGCAGCACTTTTCCCATCTCCAGAATCCACACCTACACTCCTACCTACCCCATCCGCCAAGGAAAACCCCATATTTTTGACACAACGCTCCGCCTCGCTCTGGTCTCAACTAGTTGCCCCCCCTCCTCTACAGCCCCCAGATTGGATCCGCTCGCGGATCCGTCGTCTTTTTCTCGTTTCGCTCGGCGTCCCCGTTGACCTCGACGAGATCTTGCCCGCCTCTTCTAAGCAAAAGAAGCTTGTCCTTCCTTCACTGCATCGCACCACCAGCACCGGCTCGCTGCGCAGCCGTGTGTCTAGCGACTCCCGTGGAGTCAGGGGCGGCGACGGGGCAGACAAGCAGTCAAGAAGGAAAGACTCCGGAACAAGCTCTTCCCGCGAACCATCGTCGTCTAAACGGGCAAAACGCGCCGAAGCAGGGGCGGGCACGGGAACCGGCACAAGAACAAGCAGCGCTGCCCACGGTACTAGTCCCGAACGGCTTTTTGATTCCGCTGCGGCATTGCGGGAATGTAGCTTGACGGACGCCGCGCTAGACGGTATGACAGACGCAGAGCTGCTGGCACATGTCAAGCGGCTGGAGACTATGCAGGAGAAGGCACATACCGTGCTGGCTTATTGGCAGCGACGAACAGATGAGAAGATTGGCGACCGGGAAGCATTTGAGGGAGTGATTGAAAACTTAGTGAAGCATGCTAGGAAGGTGAGGAAATAACAAGACAACGAGTGCTGGAATTTTGGCTGGATAAGAACCAACTATCTATGTATCTCAGGCCTAGGATTGGAGTAAACGAAGGAGGCATCAAATATTTCACCAGGCAGTTGATATCACAGGGGAAGCATAAGCTAGGCAATCGAAGAAACAAGGAATACCCGCATAAAGAGGCCTAATGTCAGACAAATGAAGCTGTGGGGTGGGTTGTTACTACGTCTCACCACCCGTCTCCCCTGAGTCGTTTTTTTTCCTGTCCAGAGGTACGCCTATCCATCTCCCGTCCACCCGCTCATCCTCGTTCGCATAGGTATTATGACACACTACCTTCGCACACATAGCTTTGCTCAAGTACGTCAAGTTTGAGACAGTGTTACTACAGCAGTTCGGTGGTCTTTCTACCACGCCATATCACCCATAATCTGGATATGGATTTGCGTGTATGTGACAAAACAAAGGACGCCAGGATTTTCCTCCCTCAAGATTCCTAAAACCGAAAGCTAGTAAATCGCTCCTGTCCTTGTCCCTACCGCCTCCCTGCCGCCCTTCCTCATAGCATCCGTGAAAGAAGATTACACTTAGGAGGTGCTGGGCTCCAACGTGACACCGCTGTAGAAGAGAAAACTCGTTAGTAAGTGTGTTCGTTCACTCTGAAACAAAGGGGAGATAAGTATGAGCGTAAAGGGGTCACCTACGCTGCGATAGTAGCCCAACCGATGAGACGCCAGTGCTTCTCAATACGTCTGCTAAGAGCGACCTTCTCGCCGATATTTGTGCAGGCCGGGCTCGTGAGTTGGAGCTTGGCAGCATCCTTCTTGATGGCCACAACCTTGGCACCAGTCGAAGTCGAACCGATGTTGACCATGATAACCTCATTTTTGGCCAGCTTGTCGACCTTGGCCTGCTTACCGTCGGCCGTGCGCACACCAAGCAAGCGGCGGAGCAGGTAGAAGTTGACCTCGATCTCACTGTAGATCTCGGGAAGGCGGCCCTTGAGGCCCAGCACGAAACCAACCAGACGGTCGGCACGGCAGAGGGTCGGGTCGATGCGCGTGCCCACACCGATGAGACCACCGGGGACAGCGTACTTGAGGTCGTTGGCCTCCGAGTTGAGAGAGACAATACGGCTGAAGATGGGCGTGCACTTGAGGTTGCCCTTGTCGTCACGCGACACAATACCGGGTCGGATCTCGATTTCGTCGCCAAGCTTAAGCAGACCGTGCAAGATACTGCCACCAGCGACACCACCCTTGAGCTCGTCAATCTCCGCACCGGGCTTGTTTACATCGAAGGATCGGATAACAATCATGTGCGGGTCTTGCGAGAAGTCTCGTGGGGGGATCGGAATAGTGTTGACAATCGCGTCGTTGATGGCGTCGATGTTAAACTTGAGCTGGGCCGAGATGGGAATGATAGGCGACTTTCCGGCGACCGTACCCCTGATAAACTTGAGAATTGAGTCGTAGTGCTGCTTGGCCGCCTCCTCGCGCATGAGGTCCACCTTGTTTTGAAGAATGATAATCTTGTCAAGCTTCATAATCTCAATAGCGGCCAAATGTTCCGAGGTCTGTGGTTGGGGGCAGGATTCGTTGCCAGCAATAAGTAGCAGGGCGGCGTCCATGACGGCGGCGCCCGACAACATGGTGCTCATCAGAATATCGTGACCAGGGCAATCGACGAAGCTGTTCCATTATGGTCAGCAAGGCAACTAGGAGAAGGGCAGTGTCTTCAGGCAGCTACGCCAGACACAAGTCGTGCCATAGTAAACATGTTATAGTGGAGAGGAAAGCAACTTACGATACGTGACGGAGCAAACGGTATGTCCCTGCGCAACCCTCCCGCTCACAGGGGGGGTCGACTTCCTTCTCACTCTTGTAGCTCCGGTAGCATGTTGGACGCGGGCACTCGGGGTTGTCGCACTGGTAGATCTTGGCGTTGGCATAGCCGAGCTTGATGGTGATGTTACGAATGAGTTCGTTCTTGAAACGGACGGTCTGCACGCCCGAGATGGCCTTCACCACCGTTGATTTCCCGTGGGCGACATGGCCAATCGTGCCGATGTTGATGGTAGCTTGCCGCGCAATAATCTCGGGCGTCAAAGGGCTCAGGGCCTTCACATCGAGATCGTTCGGGTCGGTCTGGGGTGGGAGTGGAGGTTTCTGAACAGCTGGGGTGGGAGCAGGCGTTTTCTTGAGAGCGGACTTGATCGGCTTCTCATTAATCTCGTGGTCTGATTCCTGGGCATCGATCTGGGACTCGTTGCCGGAGTCGGACTCCGACTCAATGTCGTTGCCGAACTTGTCGCCGTTGGCAGCCATCGTGGGTGGTGACTCTTATTGGGTTCCGCGGGGTAATGGATTTTTTTGCGACCCCTCGTCAAATATTTTGCCGACCTTGTTTCAGGTGGGGAAGTCGAATGTAAACGAGACGGTCGTTTTAGTATGCCTAGTGGCGCGATGCACAAGGTATAGCGACCGTGATGGTGGGGTTTGTCTGCAGGAGACCGTTGGAAAAAGAACGGAGTATCGATATTTCTCACGATTTTCGTGTGCAGTCATCGGTAGGCGTGAGTCCTCGATCATTGCCAAGACCGAGTGCTGGCTGGGCTTGCGCTTGTCCATTTACGGTTAGCTCATTTTGCCCCACGCAAAGCTGATAAAAGAATCGAGCAAGGCAAACCACCTACGCAACCGAACCAACAAGCGAATAATTTTTTCATCAAGGGGTTTTGTGTTGATGATGACATCTACATAAAATACAACACTCTCTTGCAAACTTGCATGCTCGATCTCCAAAAGTGTATCCTGAATTCGTGTTTAAACTAGGTAGGTATCCCACCCTAACCCTGGCGCTGCCAGGACTGGAGCCTTCATTTTCATAATTACATGTCACAACATCGGCACTGCCGTTATCAATCGAATTCAAGTTCATTCACTATAAGGAGGCAAGTTTCGACACATAGACTTTTCAAGGTGATGGATCTCAGACCGACAAAAACTCTATTTCAGCGCTCCTACATGCTGGTTTGTACTTGGGATCTTCGTACCCTCCGTGCCGACCGATTATAAAGGGATTGAGCGGGAAGCTTCAGTTCAGTCTCGTTGCGGCTACGTCTTTGGGACTGTGGGGCTGGGACTCAACTACACAGTAGAAGCGTCTGGATTTTTTCATCGTTTCAACGCCAAAGAGACAGGTGAGCTGAGCTGAGGGATTGAAACATTACTGTCAGTGCCCCAAATTCTGAAACAAGTTAGCCAGAAACGTGTCGATGTTTCCCGTGATAGTTTGTTTAGCCACCTGCGAGATGCGTTCCCTTTCAAGATGATGGGGCTGTGTTTTCCAGCATATTCAGCTTCGTTCTCGCCGGGGGTTGGCATACCAGTGAGGATCTGCCCAAGTGAATGCGGCGCAGCTTGAAACATGCAGGTCCAGCCTCATTGCATCGCAATCATCTGCCGCAGAATAACACTACACGTGCAAATCGCGGCATGGCCCAACCCGCCCACGAACGCAGTGCAATGGGATTAATTTGGGAAACACACTGCTATGTGCCATATTTGAAACACAGGACGGTAACTCGGGAGCGTGTCTGGTCCCAATATCAACGGCTCATCGCGGGAGGGTGAACGACACCCAGCCAGGATGCTACCACTGAATAGATTCCATGGTAGACGAGAAGCAGGCTGGTGGTAAGTCAGGAGCCGTGCTTGTTTTATGTTGACTGCCCACGCGTTGATAGCAGCAATGCCCGGTTCAGACCCGTAGATATGCGGGACGTGACCCTGGAACGACGAAAAGAGGTCCGAGGGAGTGGCTCTTCCCGTTCCTACCATGTAGTCCGTGACACAACCACGCGTCCCGGTATCACGGACGCGGCTAAGAGAGTAGGACCGTCGTAGCAGTCGGGAAACCGGGGGTTGGGAAGATGTATCGTGTGGCCATCATGTGGAGAGTGGTCTCTCTTCCATGCACACACTTTCGGATCTCTTCTGCAACTACCACAGTTACCAGCAAAGAAAAAAAACAGTAATCGCTAATGTTCGCCAATCTCACGGTGAGTGTGGGTTGGCGTGGAGGAAATTGCATGACAATAATTGAGGTTTCAGTTCTCGAAATCTGTTAGCGGGCAAGCTGGCCTCGGGCGTCTTAACACCGAGCAAGATTTGGACCGGGCTGGTTCGAGCGAGATAAGAAAACCGGCCTCCCGGCTTCCGCAACCCCATGAGACGATCCAGAGAGCTTCTTTCGGTGGTGAGCGAAGCAGTTTTTGCCTCGCCTCTGGATGCTGTTGAACAATGTGGGTTGACTCTTGAGGTCAACCGCTGTGGGGGCGTGGTTTACCGCCCGTCCTGCATGACCGACAGGTCTATCACGGCGATCTCGATGTTGATTGGACACAGAGTCTGGGCTGTCCGAACCCCACCAGTGATGGGAGCCGATCATTGGCGGCACGGATGGCAGATGGGCGGCAGGGGTTCGACGGCTGCTTCCTCTTGCCGCCCAACCACAAGGCCCGCATTGCCCCTCTCCTGCTTCCGCTCAACTGTCCAGCGCGACCTCAGCTTCCAATTCGGCAAGAATGGCCCTGACTTTCCAGCCGCCGTCCCCCAATAGGCCTTTGCGCACTTGCATCTTTGATTGCCCAGGTTGCAACGAGACCGGGCAGGGAAGAAGTGAGAGTGCGGGCAGCGAAGCGACGGGAATTTTGCAGTCACACTGCTGGACTCTGGACCGCAGCGGCCATTCAGGACACACGCGCGGTCACCTAGTGTCTTGAGAACCGACAACAGAGGGAATTCGTTCGAAAGCTGGCGGTGCTGGCACCACAGCGAGGTCAACGAATGATCCGAGGCACCGGCGATGGTGATCGGGAGGGGTGGCGTTGCAAGACAATGAAGCGGCATCGCTTCCAGCTCTCCCGGTTCTCGGTTCGTCAACATGGAGTTGGGGGCTTCGTCGGCGCCATTGTGTCCTCCCCTGCCACTTCGGCACACCATCACACCATGGCCCGTGGAACAAGGGCTTCTTGACGATCCAGCCCCTCCCGGCGCGAGGAGAGACCCCGAACATCCATCCATACATACCTCACACGCCCCCGCTGTTTTGCGCTAGAAACCCGTTGACGTTTGAAATTATCAACGCCCTCTACATATTCTCCCCGTAGGCGCCGAATCGCCCTCCTTTGTAAAGCGAAGTTTGAGGAAACTGGCTTGCCGAGACACGCATCGCAGCAGCAGGCCGGACTTTTTCCCCTGCGCAGTCACCTCATTTTCGGTCTTGTAACCAGCATCCGCACGCCGAGGCCGCCTTTCTGGGCCGCCGAGCTTCGACTTGCAGCCGACCAGTCGCCCCCATCACCCCGCTGGGCGTCTAAATTCGCTTCGCGAGTCGTCGAGCTTGATTGACACCCCAGCCCTGCGACCTATCAGCTTGCCCATCCACCCTTCGCAGAAGTGCACACCCCTGCCGGGTGTAAGTGTCCCTCGGCGGCTTCCCGTCGCGCCCGTTGAACGAGTCGAACGACTATTAGCTCACGCTCCCACCCAGCAAGCGGATCCCCTCCTCCCAGTCCATCCAGCGGCTATTGAAAACCACGACGGGCCCCAAGGCGGCGCTTCCGTTTCGGAATCTCTCTTCCTTTTGCAGCTGGCCTCATATCAACCGACCGTCCCCTGGATTCCTTTCGACTACCGAAGCTTGCCTCTGGATTCAGCATCTCACACCAGTGATAGACTGACTGACCGATCGTCCCGCTGTGCAACGCTAGTATTGAAGAAGCGAAGGCTGGTTTCTTCCTTCTTTATTCTCTCTATTTTCACTCCGCGGGGGAACAACAAGAAAAGTAAAGAAAAAAAAGAACAGTCAACAAAGACATTAGTCACTGTCAGCGTGTTCGCTGTCGTCCTCGCCGACCACCATGGTTTCCGACGAGAAGAAGCGGCCCGCGGCCCTCAATTTCAACCTCCCACCAGCTCGCACCATGTCCGCCAGCTCGGTTTCCACAGCAGATTCAGCATCCACCTCATCATCACTATCAAAGCCACCAAGGACACCACGGTTTGCCGAAGCCACCGCCATCCACTCCCCGGTCAACCCAAAACAGCTTCCCTTTTCCGAAAAGTCACAAGTAGCGCAAGCACAACCAGGGGATGTCGGATTCGGGTATATCGGGGCGGGAACTGGGAATCGGGAATCAGTTGCCATGCCTATGACACCAAGGTCCCCATTGAAGAGTGCGATGAAGGTTCCCGGGACACCAGGGCGCGCGTTGCAAAACCCCCTGAGCCCTACGTTCAGGGAGGAGCAGATCTTGGAGAGCAAGGAAAAGTCGACGGACAAGGAGCAGGCGCGGGATCTGGTACGTTCACGTGCGATTATTCGGAGGTGAGATCTGAGCTAACAACATAACAGAAAATCAAGACGCGGGTGCGGATGGCCAAGTTTGCCCTGCGCGGTGTCAACTTCAGCTGCAGTCTCGTTATCCTCGCCATGGTTTCGTCCTCGTTTGCCATCTTCAACGCCACCAAAACTCTTCCTGCGATGAGTGGTCTGCCTGCGTGGGCTGAAGGCACTGGAGGCAGCGCGTGGCCGCAAAAAGTGGTTCTAGCCTGTTCGTGTGTCTCGTTACTCATCTGCATCACCGTCTTTATCGGTTACTGCCGTGGTGGCCACCGTAGGGCCGAGAAGGTCGGGGTTTACTACACCCTGTTCGCCGTCGGCTGGTTCATTTTCAGCATGGCCATGTGGGCGATGGCGGCCGGCATCATCCAGGTCACTCGCAACAACAGCTCCAACAAGGATATGTGGGGATGGGCCTGCGTCGACAACCGCCGGTCGCATCTGTTCGCCGACAAGGTCGACTACGCGCTCGTGTGTCGCCTCCAGGACTGGACGCTAATCTGCATCATCATCGAACTCGTGGTCGAGATCATCAGCATTACCCTCTACAGCATTGTTTTCTACCGCTACTGGTCCAAGCGCAAGCTGCGCAAGTCGATGGACATGCGCGACAAGGCTCGCTCCGATCTTTACCTCGCCCAGCTCCGCACACAGTCCGCGCCCAACACCCCGGGTTTCGGCCCCAAGTCTCCCGCCTTCTCGCAGTACGCCATGTCGCCGCGCTTCCCGCCGTCGGCATACCGATCCCTTGGCGACATTGAGGAAGGCGCCGCGCCGCCCTTTACCCCCGGCGGCAAGGGTCTCATCATCCCCCAGTCGTCCTTCTCCCCCAAGCAGGCCGGCTTCAAGCTCCAAGCCCCGCCTACCAAGGCCAACCCGGCCACCCCCGCTACGCCCAAGGCTGGTTACAAGCCGCCCTCCGCTCTCGATCTGTCCCCATCATCAACCACCGCTCCGGAGCTGCCACTTGCGTCTGGCGCCGCCACCGGTCATACTGTCAACGACCATGCGCCCGTCGCGGATGGCGAGCAGCAGTACGAGGCTGTGCCCATCCCTGGCGCTTATGCCGGCCAGGCTCTCCGTAGCCCGCCGCCGGTGCAGACGACGTTTAACCTCCCCGGGCGATACGCGTAAGGGAAGGAGAGTGGTCAAGGCCTCCAACATATATACAGTCATTAAGCGTCACTTATTTTTCGTTTCTTTCTTGGATATGGGTCCGTGCTTTCCGGTCCATCTTCTGTCCTCCTTTTTTTTTTGTCTTTTACTTTCCTCCATTATTTACCCCTTTTTTTTTTTTTTGAAATTGCTGGACATAACTGTGGCGTTGGCGGGCGAATACCAAACAAAGCGGGCTGGGACTCTCGGAAGCGGGCGGCGGTGTTGATTGAAGTTGAGCGTAATTTGGATCTGATGTGTACAAGTAGTGGGATAGTAAATGTGGATGGATGACGATGATGGTCGAGAAGAAGTTGAACCATTGAACCGGTGAACTGGCGGGATGACATGTCCAGACATTGACAGTGCAGTTTATTTTAGCAAATTTACCACATAAGTTCTCCTGCTTCTCAACCACAAGTCAAGTTGCCCCAGGCCGAAGTGACCTACTCAGACGACATAGACTGTGTACTAACCGTAGCCCCCGGGATTTTGTTTACAATAACATGCCAGCAGATCTAAACTTACCTAGTTTGCTGCGGATTTCCAGCACCATGCAACGACCCGAGCCATGGGCTAGGCTGGATGTGGGGATGTGGTAGATATCGACGATAGCGATAGAATTCGAACCCGACGAGCGGCTACTGCGTCGTAAAGGGTTTTAAATCCTTCCATGAGGTCTGACAACTAACCTGGAATTCGTCCGTCGGTTCCGCCTCTGACGACGTCGAGTTGGTTGATAGAAGAGGGTTAGGGTTTATTAAGGGTGCCTTGCTCCCTTGTTGAACGGACGAATAATTTTCGCTTTTCACACAACGTGCATGGTGTAATCTCCATTTAAAAGTTGTTTTGGGTACGAAGTATTCCATAGTGCCTTGGGTAACGTTATTGTGCCTTCATACTTCAGTACACGACCATCTCGGTCCATATTCAGGGAACCCAAGTCATGTAGATTTTTCGGGGCGGAGGGCTGTTCTGGATTGCCATGCGATAAACAGGGTAGCTTCAGGAAAAGATCAAGATCAGTGCAAAGACCGTTCTGTCGGTAATACTAGTAGGAAGGGAAGGGAAGCCTCTTCGCGATCGCCAGTTTGTAAACAAGTTGGTACTCTGTACACTACCTCACTAAGTGTACACGTATACATACACTTTTAGGTACTTCGTCGGGAGGTGGAAAAAGGATGTTAAGCGAACCCCTGAACGGCCATGATCAAAGCTTCGATCGACCGAAGCGCCAAGCAAGATCCGCTGTGGGCCCCTGTCGCGGCAGTGAGACGAGATGACACTTGACACGATGCGACACTGACAATTTTCTTAAATTTCCAAGTTCCCATCTCGTCGCCCTGCCCCTGTTCGCAACAAAATATTCAAGCTTTCGACCAAAGTCAAGTGTTGGCGAAGGAAGCCAAAGACGGCCTGACCACTCCGTCACAAAACCCCAATCAAGTGACCACCTCACTGTCCGGCGTCATCGTGCAGGCCTGGTGCAACACCTTGGAAACACCCGATCACACTCCCACCCATTACATTACCTCACCCCCCCAAGATGGCTGCGACTGCTTCCGGGCGTCATGCTTGGCGCCAACTGATGCGCGACACCTCCCGCCGGTCGGTCTCGACCAACGGCAGCAACTTCCTGCGGTATCAACAGCAACTATATCGATCCCCCTTCTCCCGACAAGTTTCGTCTTCGTCTGGCCGTGTCGCGCTACGGTCTCCGTCCTCACTTCTCCGTCAACAACAGCAGCAGCAGCCGCTCGGGCAACGCTTGTACAGCTCCGAATCGTCGCAGGGCAGTGGCAACACTACCCCCCCTCCTCCTCCTCCTCCACCAAAGAACAGCAGAAGCCAGGTCAAGTTCTGGCCATTTGTAGTCGTCATTGCCCTTGGTTCGGGTGGTTACATGCTCTTGGTGAACAACCGGAAAGGTGTGTTTCTCTTGTCCTGCTCGGCGGAGTTACAGGGGGCGAGGGACAGAAAGAGGCGCGGGGTCTTACAAGCCCTCGATTCTCGGTGACGGATGCAACACTTTCGCTCCGTCTATTCTTCCCGGGCCTCTCCCTCCCTGCCGTTCCCTACCCCACTCAGTCTATGGTGGTCCCAACCTAGGAGATTTCTCAAACACATGCTAACCACCCCTTCTTCGCCCTAGAAATGCCTCCGACCGACAAGAACGCCCAGGGCGCCACGCCCGCCTTTTCCCCGTCCGAAGTGACTGTCCTCTTCGTCCTCGGCGGACCCGGCGCCGGCAAGGGCACACAGTGCGCCCGGCTCGTCAACGACTACCACTTCAAGCACCTTTCCGCCGGTGATCTCCTGCGGGCCGAGCAAAACCGCCCCGGCTCGCAATACGGCCAGCTGATCAAAGACTACATCAAAGACGGCTTGATCGTGCCGATGGAAGTCACCGTGGCGCTGCTGGAGAACGCGATGCGAGACACCATCACCGAGAGCAAGGGGGCGACCAACAAGTTCTTGATCGACGGGTTCCCGCGCAAGATGGACCAGGCCCTGAAGTTCGAGGAGATCGTCTGCCCGGCCAAACTGGTGCTGTTCTACGACTGCCCGGAGGCCGAGATGGAGCGCCGCCTGCTGGAGCGCGGCAAGACGAGCGGACGAGCGGACGACAACGCCGAGAGCATCCGCAAGCGCTTCCGCACGTTTGTGGAGACTAGCATGCCGGTTGTGGACCACTACGAGAAGGAAAACCGTGTGGTCAAGGTCGATGCTACGGCCACTCCGGATAAGGTGTATGCCACGACCCAGGAGAAGCTGAAGAATGTGCTGGGGGACAAGCTTTGAATGGGTCTTGAGGTTTGACTTGAGCAACTGGTGGCCAGTCCGTCCTACCAGGGTTGGCTGCCGTTACCCTCGCTTTTTACTTTCCTTTTGTTTTTGATGTCTTCTTTTGTGTGTTCTATGTCTTGGGGCTCTCGGGTGGTATAATAAATAGACTAGATGAGCGGGAGCATGAAACGGCAGCGGGTGCTGGGGCAGAGGAGGGTTTTACTTCTCAGACTATGATTCATCTACCTTGCATTATTTACGTGATCTTTTACATACCATCTTGGCCATCTAATCTCTCACGGCTTCCCTTTACTCGAGCGTAGACCGTTTGATTTGCGACTTTTTTTTTAGCTTCTTGATTCTCTACATAGTATGGGCCTTTGAGCAAATCACTAGGTGTAATCCCGTGCCCACATTGTGCCCCAGGAATGCAATAAGACGCCATTAGATGGGCAAAGAAACACAAGGCCGTTGTCCATGCATGCGATGAGGAGGATGGCGCCCATCCGGTTGCCAGTCCACGCATAAAAAACATTGCTAGCGAGAAAACCTTCGCAAGCATCCATCCATATCCCTCGTTCCTCGTCCATCTTATCAATCGCCTGCCCGTACTTGCGCACAGGACGCAAATCCAATCCGCAAAGAAAGGCGCTCCCGGATATCTTATCCCTGCGACGAAAGAAAACATGGAAAACAAGGCAACACAAAAGAGCATCGTTCCGTGAGAGGCGTCTAACCGCCCTTTTGCCCCTTTTCCGTTTTCCTCGGTACCAACTCCAGACCGCCAGACCAGAGTGCAAGCAAAAACGCAATGATTTCATTCCCTTTCTAGCCCTTCCCCCAGCCTCGACCTCCCCAGGCCGGGCCATCTATTTGGGGTGTGTGAGTCTCGCCTCAATCGTCCTCATCGGTGCGCGGCTTGCGCGGCTGGCGGCGGTCGCCGCCGCCACCTCCCTGGTGGCCACCGATGTTGGCGTTGGCTAGCTTACGCTCGAGCTCGAGCTGCTCGCGCTCGCGCTGGCTGTCGACGTCGGACTGGGCTTTGCGGAGGACCTGGAGGAGCTGGTCGACGGTCGACTTGTACTGGCCGACACGGGTGGCCAGCTCGCGCCACTGCTTCTCGCCGAAAACACGGTAGGTAGTGCGGTGCACCAGGAAAACCTTTTGCTGCTGTGACAGGCGGCCCTCGACCAGCTTGGCGCGCACAACGTCGATCGACCACAGCTCAACCTCCTCCAGGGGAACCTGAAGCGCCTTGACAATGTTGGCGTACGGGATCTCGCGGTTGGGGGTGCTAGCGGCCAGGGAGGCGAAGGTAAGTAAGCGCATCTTGCGTTGCAACTTGTCGTTGTCAAGGTTCTCCTTCTCGATCCAACCCTGGTGTTCGTCCTTAAAATCGTTGTAGTCCTCGAGGTCCTGCTCCGTAAAAATGTCGAGCAGCTGCGAGTATACTGGGTGCGAGTCGCTGAGCGCCTGCACGCTGGGCAGCACCCGCAGGTCCTGGAAGTCGAATCGTGTGGGGTGAGAGATAGCAAGGCGAAGAGCCTTAAGAGAGAGCTTTTGGGCCTCTTCAGAGGTCACCTCTTCTTGCTCGTCACGGTCGAAGGTGCCAAGGGCCTTGATAAGGTAGTGATAGGACTCCCTATTGCAATAATTTATGTGTTAGTAACCAGTCAAATCGCTCGGTCCCCACGAAATTTCAGCACTCACTCCTCATAGCCAGCGTCAGCCGCCGCGTCCGAAACTTCAACATAGAGCCTCCGCTGGTCATCCTCATTTGTCTCCCAAACCTTGAACCAACCCTCCAGATTGTGTAGCCTCGGCTTGAGGAGTTCGAATTGGCCGTGCTGCCGAATGAACCGAGTGATCTGGAGTAACACGTTGAAACGGAGCGGGTTGTTTTGCGGAAGAAGATTGAATATGGTGCTCAAGGCGTTGGCGGCGAGCGTGAAACCATGTGTCGGCGACGATGTGATGGGCTTCTGAAGGTTGACACAGACGGTAGGTAGATACTTCTTGGGATCGTTTGACTGAAGAACCAGGTGGATGAGGAGGTTGTAGGCGCCCGTGAACTCCTTCTCCGGGACCCCATTGAGGGACTGCGACGCCTGGACAAGGAGTTGAAGAGCCTCTTCGTTTTGCTCCTGGGATAGATGTTTCTTAACCTCCTCATCAACGTGGAGGTAGCCGGCCATCTCCTGTGCCAGGTCGGCAAACGTGCCGTCCACGAAAATGAGCTGTGGGGAAGCCATCTTGACGAGGGCTTCGAGACGATCGATTACCTCTCGGATAACTTCCTCTACGTCAATCTCCTGTTTAGCTTTCGAGAAGGGAGTCAAGCTGGAACCCGACGGGATGCCTCTGTCGCGTTCCTTACGTTCGAGAACGAGGGGCGGGGAATCACGGAGATTGTTAAAGCGTCCGTTGCCGTTTCCAGAATCGTTGCTCGGCGACTTGGGAATTGCCGGAGGAGACCAGGCGTCGTAGAAGTCGTAAGGAATTCGAGGACCCGGCGGGAGCGACAATCGGACCGGCGGCTTAGGTTTGTTGGTGGCCTTGCCCTCGGTTGCGATGACCTGCTCAACACCTGGACTGGCAGAATTTCCCTGCCCCGCAATCGTCGCCATTTTTTCCCGATGTTCTGTGCGGTGATGGTCACGTGGAAAAGACGCTAAGCGATATTGGGAAAGTTAAGCGATAAATTGGTGGGTGCGTTTGTGTTCGGAAGGTGGGGCAGGTCGAGAACCACCTCTGAATGGAAGCCGCTCACGGCGCCGCAGGCCTGTTTCTCCAACCCGGCGCCTGCGTTCCCATTTTGACAATATTCATCTTAGACAGCAACCACAACATCTTGTCTCGATTTTCCGGAATCTTCACGGGATTTTTATTAATGGTTTTTACTAAACAGGATTACCACTCTCAGCTTTCTTTGTCAGGCCGCGCATGTGCGCAAGTCACCGACCTAGCACGAGCAGGCTGTCAGAGGGCTAGGAGACTGCCTTGTACGAATATTTGGAGAGCAGTTTTCACCTCCTGGCCATAGTTGGCTCCAGACTTGCTTGGCCCCGATGGCCGCGGCCGTTCAAAGAGATTCACACGCAACTCAAAGCTCCCAGTATCACTTGTTTTCAGCACAGAGTTTCTGGCTGGGTGACATAACCCTTAGGTGCTGGCGCGCTTGGCCTTTTTGGCCTTGTGGCCGCAAACACTTGACACTCACTCGCCACCACATATCCCCTTTCGGTCTATCAACCAAATTCAACCGGACACCTTGTTATCTGATCGGGGTGTTGAAATAAATCATCGCGAGAAACTTCTGAACCCCACCCTCGGGCCCACGACATCCAGGTCATACACTTGATGAGAGCAGAAAAGCTTGGTCCAACGTACGGATCGTGCCCCCACAAGCACACAAAGTCCCAAACTGAGCTCTTAGGAGAACTGAAAGCTTTGCTTCTACCCCTCTGGACTCAGGAACTTGTTTTCGGACGCCAGGATCTTGTCTCAGGAAGAGTCACAACAACCATTTGACCTGGTGGGCAGGCCATTTGACCCCCCACTCAGTAACAGTCATGACCACACCGATCCAGCCCTACCGCACGGGAAGTTGACCCCCCTGCATTGAGCCAAGACCTGCTTGCGCCCGGGTGCGTCCCTGTGGCGGATCATCTGGTGGCCCGTCCTGCCCGTTAAACCCCCAGTCGGGCTGTCCAATGTGAGAGCTCCTTGCTCCCCGCGAGTCTGTCCAGTCATCCCGGGCAGCAGGGCCACAGAGAGGCTTGCTGGAACCCAGCAAGGCCTCCACTGCTGTAGCTTTGAGCAAGGCGCGGCTACCCCGGTCAACCCGGTTCCATTCCCCAAAGCTGGAATGACCGATGCGCGCTCGTGGCTTGTTTCTCCTTCCCACGAGGCCTTCCTCGCTCTCTTGGTTTTCCGAGCACTTTGCTTCAGCGACCGATCTTGGCCCAAAAAACAGGCTGCCACACCACACCCCTCTCGAACCGCCCATCTTGCCGGCCACACTTCTCTTTTTTTTCCCCTAACGAATTGTTGCTCACAGCCCCTTTGAATCACTCGCTACTTAATCTGAATCGCCTGACCTCGAAGCCTCCGCAAGCCGCGCTTATTCCGGCTTCTCGTCAGCCATGGTTCGACGGGCTGAAGGCAGCCATCTCAAGCGAGGCCGAGTTCCCGTAGGTGCCTACCTGCTATTTCCTTTTTGAAGATAATTGCAAACCTCTTCTTCATCGACATGGCACCGTCTCCACCAGGCATGCTCCGCCGATTAATATTTTGCTTATTGCAGGGCTCGCAAGACGACGAGAACGAATCCTTTAAGAAGCCGCGCCGCTCCGAGCGCATCTCATCGCAGCGCGCGACCGCTGCCACCGACAACGATAACCATGTCTTGCTTAAGACCCCCGTGCAGAATAAACACCAACTTCCTTCGCCGTTGACGCACCTCGCCAGTGAGAGTACCGCCGGTCTCGACAAGGACGTTGCAGCTACCCCCCCTCAGGAGCGCCCGAGCCAGGTGGCTCGCCGCCGTGCCGATGAGGGCTTCTCCCAGGGAGTTCTAAGCTCGCCGCCTCAGGATACGCAGGCGTTCAGCCAACAGGATTTCGATCCCAATGCTCCGTTAGTTGAAGGAATCGACGAGCTCAAGGAAGGCGTATGGGGCTATCTTCTCCCGTTAGACTCCCAATTCGTGCGCTCGCCCGTGGTGTTGAAGAAGAAGGGTACTTGCTCCCCCCCTTCGGACACTACGGACCCTGCTGCGCCAGTGGTTGCGAAAAACGGCGGTAGCAAGGCTCAGAAGGGGCCGGGCAAGAAGGCGAAAAAGGATGATTCGGCAACATCTGGGGGTTATCTCCTCGGGCGACACCCAGAGTGCGGTAAGTCGACAACTCTCAGAACAGGGCGACTGTTATTCACGAGGACCAGGACACTAACCCTTGACGTTATCAGATATCCGCGTGGACGATCAGGGTGTTTCGAACCGGCACTGCATTATTTTCATGGAGAACAAGGGCAACGGCACCACCGTCGTGATTGAGGACTTGTCGCTCAACGGGACGTTCATCAATGGCGGTCGGCTGCATCGGAATGACAGGCGCGAGCTGCAAGAAGGCGACGAGATCAGTGTCACGACGGCCAGCGCTGGTTTCATATTCCGGTACCCCAGATGCCGACATGGGCAGCCGTTTGCGAAGGAGTACACTATCAAGCAACAACTGGGCAGCGGTCATTTCGCCGATGTATTCTTGTGCAACGAGCGGTCGACGGGTGACGCCTATGCCGTGAAGCGTTTTACGAAGCGGCAGGATGAGGACAAGTCCAAGTACGAAGGCTTGCATCAGGAGGTTGCTATGCTCATGGGCATCAGCCACTCCAATGTCTTGTGCCTCAAGGAAACGTTCAACGAAGCTGAGGCCGTCTATGTTGTGTTGGAGCTCGCGCCTAACGGCGAATTGTTTACATACATCACCGAAAACCAAAAGTTGACAGAGGGGGAGGCCCGCAAGGTGTTCTTGCAGTTGTTCGAGGGCATGAAGTATCTGGTAAGTCTGTTTCTATATCCCCCATGACCCCCTTTCGAAGGAAACTTAGACCTCTGGAATGTGCAATATTAACCCCCCTGGCCTCCAGCATGACCGGAACATGGTTCACCGTGATATTAAACCCGAGAATATCCTCCTTATGGATAACGATCTGACCGTGAAGATTGGCGATTTCGGCTTGGCCAAAATTGTTGGCGAGACATCGTTCACGACGACACTCTGCGGTACCCCGAGCTACGTGGCTCCCGAGATCCTCGTTAACAACAGATCCCGCAAGTACACCAAGGCCGTTGATGTTTGGTCACTAGGAGTGGTGCTGTACATCTGTCTTTGCGGTTTCCCGCCCTTCTCGGACGAGCTAAGGCGGCCAGACTTTCCTTACGACCTGTCAGCCCAAATTCAGCGGGCGCTTTACGACTACCCTTCCCCGTACTGGGATTCCGTTAGCGATGAAGCCCGTAAGTTTCGTCTTCTTCTTCTCCCCCCCCCCCCACCCCCCATCCCTCCGCTGCCTCTTGGCTTTAGCCTTTGCATATTTCCGTGCTGACCAAGATTTCTTTCTCAAGTGGACCTCATCGACCACATGTTCATTCTCAATCCCGACCAGCGTTACACGATCGACCAATGTCTCGCTCACCCCTGGATGACCCAGAGGTCCCTCGGCGTCAATGATAGCACCAATGGCCTGGTCTCGGGTCTCGCGGGTCTCGAAATGAGCCGCCGCGCTCCACACCGTGAACGCACCATGCTCAGCTCCATCAACACCTGCACCGTCACGGAGCGGGTCCCTGCCGGTGCGGGGCGGCCCGATGTCAAGGTGTACGCCAAGAATGCTAAGACCAAGGCTGGGGCTGCTGCGACATCGCCGACGCCGAAGCGGGAGGCCCGACCGGACGATAACCGTGACCCGGGCGAGTTTATGGAGATGGGCGGTCGGGGTGATCAGGAGCTGTATGGGAACGATGGCGCGAGCCGGTATCCGACCAAGGATATTGGGGGCGAAGTGGTGGGAACAGAGGGGAAGGTAAAGGGGAAGGTGAAGGGAAACAAAGGCGGTCGTTAAGAAGGAAGTTGTCGGCAGGGCGTTGATGGGGCTGAGGTTCGACGCTTATTAGGATTTTCCGGAGCTGGGGGTTTCTTTTCGCTCTGGCATAATGCAGCGCTGTTGTGGGTTTACCTTGTCTGGGTTATCTGGCCTTTTGTTTTTTCCTGATGGGAGGGGGTGTTTGTTTGGAGGGTTTTGCGGGCTTCTTTCCTTGCCCCCTCAGATACACACACATACCGCCTGTCTGTTGACTTGTCTGGTTTATAAAACCCCGTTTGTTGGGCCGGAAGTTGATCAGGTATATTCCTGCTACATCAAGGGGGGATGTTTTGTTAGTTTGAATGGGATATCAAGGATCATTGTATTTTGCGAGGATCTGGTCATGCAGTTGCAAGCTCGTGGTGGATGGTAAAAAGATTAGAAGTAATTCGAGAAATGCAATCTTCAGAGGATAACGAGGTATCAGGTGTGCATGTACAATGGGTGAAAACAGGGTGTTTGTTTCCCATATTTATTGATTAGTCGTTGTGTTTGTCATCGTCTTGACATCATGCCCCACTGAGCCAGTTTTTTGACAACACAGGGGGGGATTGTCTCTGTTGTCCAACGGGTTTACATGTCTGCCTTTACGCCCTTCGTTTTACGTGCATTTGTTGTTCTGTCAAATCTCTGAAGTTTATTGGATGTCATTTGTGCAACAGCCCCTACAAGTGGTAGACAGCTGGAGATTAATCAGCGCCTTTTTGCGACACACACATAGCTTAGCTATTCGAGGTGGAATCTTCAGTTTCCTATTTGGGTAATTAGCTTAGACAGCTCCTTGAGAAGTTGAGATATGCGAAGGATGAGAAAACATCAGATGAGATCTATAAAGTAGATTGATCTCCGAGGAGAGGAGGATACAATGAAATCAGTCTCATCAGCTCAAGTTTCAAACTTCGGGGTTTCTCATTGAGTACTTTGAACAATAAATCAGTGCCAACACTGACATCAACATCAAGAACCTCCTCGTCGTCATCGTCATCATCACCACCACCATCATGGCCGCCAACTCAAAAACCATGAAAGCCATCCTCATCTCTGCCTTCGGCCCTCCCGAGAACCTCATCATCAAGGACGATATCCCGATCCCCGAGCCCACCGCCCCGGGTACCATCCGCATCCGAATCCGCGCCTTCGGCATCAACCACGCCGAGATGCACATGCGCCGCGGCGAGTGGGCCGAGTCCGTCCCCATCAGCGGCATCGAGTGCGTCGGCACCGTCGACGCCTGGGGCCCGCCCTCCCCGGCAAACACAGACACAGACACATCCCTACCCACCCTCTTCCCCATCGGCCTCCCCGTCGCAGCCGTCATGGGAGGTCTCGGCCGCACCATCCCCGGCAGCTACGCGCAGTACACGGTGGTCCGGCAGGAAAACGTCGTCCCGCTGGTCTCGCCTGCAGCGTTCACCGCGAGCTCTACCAGTTCATCATCGCCTAACAATAACATCCCACCGCCTCTCCCCTGGGCCGAACTCGCCGCCCTGCCTGAGTCCTACAGCACAGCATGGACCTGTCTGTTCCGTAACCTGGCGCTGGAGCGCGGCCACAGACTTCTCATCCGTGGCGCCACGTCGGCGTTTGGTCGCGCCGCTGTTAACCTGGCTGTTGCCGCGGGGGCTATCGTGACGGGCACGACGCGGAGTGAAGGGAAGTTCGCGGCGCTCCGGGCGCTGGGCGTGGCGGAGGTGTTGCTGGAAGCGCCTGGGTTGCCGGAAAGGTTGCTGGGGGAGGGGAACGATGAGAAGGTGACCGAAAAGAAATTTGACCGGGTGTTGGAGCTCGTGGGCAACAGCACGATTGTCGAGTCGTTGAAGCTGGTGAAGCGAGACGGTCGGGTGTGTTTGGCCGGGTGGTTGGGCGGGCTGGAGCCGATTGCCGAGTTCAACCCGCTGCTGCAGATGGCCAGCGGCGTGCACTTTAACTTCTTTGGAAGCTTTGTGTTTGGGACGCCTGAGTTCCCGCTGTCGGATGTGCCGCTGGGTGAAGTGGTGCAGGCCGTGGCAGAGGGCAAGTTTGACGCGAAACCGTTCAAGGTGTTTGCGTTTGATGAGATCCGAGAGGCACATCGGTATATGGAGGAGGGCCGGGCTGGTGGGAAGATGGTGGTTGTCGTTGACTAGTCAGGTAGTTATGAAGGGCATCACTCATAAGGATATCAATAAGCAACATATCTCCAACGTCCCCGTGTTGTGTGCACTGTATGTACAACCCAAAACATGGCACAAGAAATCCCCAGGAAACCCGCAACAGCAGATAAGACAGTCTTCTCCAGACTAATGTAACCGGTTACAAAAAAGTGTTCATTGATCATTCATTAAAGATTACGCCAACCACCACCCATTCTTCCAATACCCCGAGCCGGTCAACCAACCCACTAACCAACCCATCACCAACCCAAACCGGTCTTGCTCCCCTTCAGTAAACCTGCCCCAGCTAAGCTTTATCAACGTTAACCAACCCCAAGTCAACCTTGCCCGCCCACCGCACCAATCCATGCACAACCTTGTTGAGAGCGATTCCTGGTACCAAGTACGAGCCAACATAAAAACACGACAGCGAGGGAAAAAGAAAAACCACCAAAAAGACGACACAAGATATACCTTTACAATAAGCCCGCAGCAACAAGCAACCAGGCACGACAATAACAACAATAACAACAACAACAGACAGACAACCAGAGAGACAGACACACCCCATAACTCCTTACACCCCGTCACCCACTTTGAAAACACGCCGGCTGTTTCGAGTGTGCATTTTGCCCAAAGTTCATCCTAATCCCGTCCATTTCCTTTCCTCATCCACACCCCGCCCGCATCCAACCGTTCATTCATTCCCTCAGATAATTAGAGACACAGGGAGGCAATCAAACTCCCATTTTTTCCCTAGCCACAACAGGTACCCAACCACCCAGAGATCGGAAGGTAAAGCAAGGATCAACCCAACTGAGGGGGGGTCAAGATCCGAGGCCTCCCCCGCCACATTATCAAATAGAATCGATACACCGGAAGAGAGAACTGATTCGAAGGGTTAGAGGGAGGGGGGAGGGGCCGGTAATGGTAAAACCCCGTATTAACAAATGGAAATTAGAGAAAAAAGGGGAAAAGGAGGAAGAAACAAAAGAGAGAGAAAATGATTGCAAGAACGCGGCGCGAGCCAAAACCTGAGCCTCTAATCAAGCCAAGACAGCCAGATGACGGGCGAGCGTGCAGAACCAGGTGAGGAAGGAGATGGGGTATTATATCCAGGAAAAAGGCGAAGACGTAGATTGATGACATCTCTCCTCAATCCGAATACCCCTTCCGCCTTTTCAACACCGGCATCCCACACGTCACCACCGCAACCCCCAACGCGCTCTAGCGTTCAGGGATGGGCGTCTTCGCCAGTCGCCCACCGGCACTGACCCGCTTCTGCAATCGTGAGTCACGCTCTCGCTGCGCCTTGTCGCTGTTACCACTACTACCGAGACTCGTCAGGGCCGCGGCTGGGCCCAGACCCGCCGCCGAGGGACTGTCGTAAGACCCGGAGGCCTCGCTGGCGGCCTTGCGACCGCGTTTCATCTCGATGTACGCCTGCGCCGCCAAACTAAGGGGCACTTGCGGGAGGGCATCCGGGATCTCGGCCCCGTTCTGGATGAGGAGCTCGGCGACTGGGAAGGGGACGGAGCGGTCGACAGCCGATCCTGGCGCGGACAGCGTCTGGGATGGGATGGGCGACGGCGGGGCCGGGTCTGCGGCTGCGAGAGCGAGATATACGGCGTGTGTGCCGCGGGACTTGTCCGTCACGTTCGGATTGGCTCGGAGCGCGAGGGCGTAGAGGATCTGCTGGATCTCGTTGCGCTTGATACCGGCGAGCAGGCCGTCTTCTGCGTTGGCGAACCGAGAGAGTGTCGCCGAGATGGGCTCAACGTAGGCACGGTCGACGTATTTCGCGGTGATGAATTTCAGACGCTGTTCACGGTTGGACTGCGGTGTCAGCTTCAACGCTGGGTCCAGCCTGGCTTCGAAGACCATGTTGGAGACTCTATTTCCAACAAGAAGGAGCAATTCGATAATGTCAGGCGTAAACGACGTCGTATCCAGGGTGAGTGACCGGATCTTGCTGACGTGCGTCCCCAGCGACCGATGAATGCCGCTGCATTCGATACAGACGATGATGGCGAGATTGAGCGAGACCCATTCGACCTTGTTGTTTGACCCACAGTCGGCGCACCAGTTGTTGCCCTGGTCGTTCTCGCGCAGCGTCTGCAAGAGCTTGTCCGGTCTTTCCTCAAAACTATTTCCGCGGGACGTGCTAGGCCGCGCGCCGACGGTGGTACGGCGGAAAGGGATAGCGCTGGAGTGGCTGGCGTGGCCGACGGATGAGCTCTTTCCAACGAGCATCGAGCCAATATCAACTCCGTTGAAACCGAGGTCTGCGTGGGCCGTCGACGGCTTGTCCTTGAACGTTCGGCCTTCGACGGCGCTTTGCAGTGCGTTATTGATGGCCATAATCCAGCTCGACATGTCTTCTTCGGACGTAGCTTGGTACACTCGCTTGTATTGGGGTGTGATGACTTCGAAGCAGAAGCGGCGGTCGGCATTCCTCGCTTCTCGAACGGAAGCAAGACGCAGGTCAATAGGCTCCATATGGAGGTCCAGTTTCTGTTTCCAGTTGCTGTACTCCGAGAGCTTCCCCTGATCCAGAACGATCCAGAACCTAAAGTTTATGTTAGCTCTTTATTCTCTCCCCGTCCCGAGGCGTGGTTGAGCTAGAATGTCATATTAAGGAGAAAAGAAGAAGATGACGTACTTGTGCCAGCCTTGTTTGTTCAGGTTTCTCGGGTCAACATGCCCTCCAGGGCGGTTGAGAGCCCAGAGCAATCCTTCTTTCCTGTTGGGCGCTTCCTTATCGGACTGCACCGCTTGGTTGGGGTCCCGCTCTTCCAGGTCGCGGATGCCCTTGAACTTATTGTTCTGGCTGGGGCTGCCCACAGGAGCATGTTGGCTGAGACTGCCTGGGGACCTGGTCAAATCGCCAACACTGGGCGTGCCGCCCGAGTTGATGGAACGGGTCGGTCGCAGTTGTGACCCAGTGCTGTCTGCGCGCCCGATATCGGTATCGGACGTCGTCGGCTGCTGCTGCTGTTGCTGCTGTTGCTGAGCTGCTCCGTTCTGGTGGCTTTGGCTGTGGCTGGCCGCGGGAGTTGGCCCAGCGGCTGTGGCGGGCGGTTCGGGTTCTGTGTATGCGACGCTGCCCTTTTCAAGGAGCCGGCGCTTCTCTTCCCGCTCGACGCGCTGGTATTGATACTCCTTGTCGGCCTCGTGGACTTCAGTCGACAAGGCCACCAGCTGTGGGAGCAGCTCATCGACCTTCTTCGCGGTGCGCAGAAAGCACCTAGCTTGTGCATCCGCAAATTTGGTGAGGTTGGATAAAATTTCCTGGTCTTTACGGCCGCCAGACAGGTCCTGCATGAAGGACGAGTAGTCAAACCGCTTGAGCTCGAAGTTCCGCCGCTTCGTCTGGTACTTGGAGTCACTCTGCTTCGCCTTGACCGAGTCGTGTCGCTGGCCAAGGTAGCGGCTCACGTAGGCGTAGAACTCCTTGCTCTCCTCTTCGAAGTCGCGCTTTTTAGCCTCAGCCTGCTTGATGTCCAGCTGGTACAGCTTGTTCACCGGGTCGATGACAATCTTCTGCAGGTTGGCCGTGTTCTGGCGCTCGTAATGCAAAATCTCCCGGGCGATCTTGTCAAAGTAATGCTCAATCGCGGGTTGCACGGCGTTGGCGTTAGTCGACGAGACGTCCTTTAGAGCATCCATGAAAGAGGCAAACGCGTCGTTGGCCTCCTGCTGTTGTTGGTGCACGTATTCGGCCTTCTTGATCAACCGCTTCATCTGCGTCCTCATATTGCCCGTCTTTTGCTCAAGCGCTTTCATCGTCGCCCGGAAAACCGGTCCGTCGTCTGACATCGACATATCCTCCGTGGGTCTTGGGCAAGAGACGTCCACCTTGATGGGCTCCTTCGCAGGAACGGCGGGTGCCGGGAGAGCGTTGATTGGGTCGTTGTTGGTCTGTTGAGGCGAAGCAATCTCCTCGTGTTCCGGAATGGTGCCGATTTGAGACTCGAGGGATTGTGCCGACACGACTCGGACTTTGGGAGGAGCGCTCAGGAGCGGGGGAGTGGGCGAACTGGGCTGGCTTTGGTATGGGGAGGCATCTGCTACGGGTTAGAACATCTCTGCCGCTGAACGTGGTTATCTCACAGCTGGGAGAATACCTACTCGCAACGTAGAAGGAGAAGCTGGCCAAAGTTATCAGCCGGTGAGCTCGTTGGTCGTACTCAACAAACTGTACGGGAATCATCATATCAGCACTCTGGACCATCGCGCAAGACTCATGTGTGACCAACACTGCAAGAATTTCTCCAGCCTCCGCCCCGATCCTCCGCGGTCTTGGGCGGTTTCCAGCGCCATGTCCAGTCAAACGTCACTGAGGAGCTGCCCTCGGTCGAATAGCTGTTTCCTACCAGCGCAACGTTGGCGTTCTTGTGGAGATTCGGGTCGGCATGGAACTCGCGGGTCACTAGGTTTTCGACTTCGCGGGGCGTTGAAGCAAACACAAAGGTTAGGCCGTTGATCTGGGTGTCGGCCGGGGCTGCCACATCGGTATTATTCCCTGGGCTTTGGACAGCGGCATGTGGTTGTCGAATGATAAATGTGAAGGTGATGACGAGCTCGTCTTCGTTCACGAGTTTTAGGAGGAATGAGGGGCCATTAGAGCTGGGGTTTTCAGTGTCCTGCAGTCGAGAAGGCCGTTTATCAGTAAACACTGGCCGTGACTTGCTTCAACCGGGGGGCCTCCAACACCACCACTACCACCACTGCCAGCAATACCCACCAAGACAAATTCGACTGGAGCAGAGTCGCCAGAGCTTCGTAATGCAGATACTCTTGTAGCCGGGAATGCATTTGGAACGATGTTTATCGAGGTGCGCCGTTTCGGGCTAGCTATGACAGCAGAAGAGATAGATACTGTCAAAGAGAAAGGGATAATTAGCGTCCATTTGGTCCAGAGTGTAACATCGCCGTCGTCGTAGGGTGTGTTCCCGGAGCGCGGGGCAGGAGGAGGAGCGGGGTGCAGGCCAGCGTCGCGCAAAGCTCAAGGCGCGGAGCGCAAAGTGTTAAAGAGGGCTGCTCCTCCGGCTCTTTCTTCTCAACCAGGCGGCTTGCGCGGGGGTTGTTGAGCCTTGCGCGCGGAGACATTGCACAGACAGGGGATATCGCTCTTTGCCGAGTCGCACGGCGGGTCGGGAGGGGCGCGGAGATCGCGGGCGGCGTCCGGTTTTGTGAATTTCGGTGCTTGCTTTCTTACTTACAGCGATTCTGGTCTCTAAGAAAGAGAGTTGCGCCCTCGTCGGGCACGCTGCTAACGTTACCCATCTCGGCGCCGAGAATGCTGAACGGGGGACTTGGGTGCGAGCGGGACACACCGATGGTCGGCGGGGGTGAGGAAGGTAAAGAAAAGGGAAGGAAGCGGAAGGGAAGAGGTGATGGGTCGGCGTTTCGAGGTGGACGACGGTCGGCGGCAGTCGAATCCAGATGGCCCAAGGTTCCTGGTTGGTGACTGGCGACTGGCGGCCGACTGGTGTGCGGGCAGTTCACAGCGGGCGGCGCAGCGGGGTTGCCTGTTGCCCCAAATCAGATATTCCGGGCCAGCTTGCGGCTGGCAAGGGCGCTCGGCCGACACGCAACACGGGCTTCTGAAACCCTGCAGCGTCAGGGTGGGCCCTGGAACGGTCGCTTGGGTAAAGCCCCTGTAATTCAAGGGACTTGGACGGCAAGAGTGAATGTGAATGATACCTGTATGTTTCAAAATTACATACTTGGAATGTAAGAACAGGTTGCAGAGAGGGCTTCCCTTGACGTTAGAATTATTTTTCCAAATCCGGTGGATCCTAGGTGGATTTTCCCATTCTTTGTGATAATGACTTCCCGTCCTTTGTTCATGGTCTTATACTCATTCTTGCGTTCGCTGGCTTAACTCGGTATTGGTATGGTACAGCTGAGAATAATCACAGCCACAGCCACGAGGGCAGGCCACAAGGGAGGCCATGTGCTCGTGAGGAATGAGTTTGTGGCACGGGAATGTTAGGCGTGCCATATCAATCCTATGGTCGTTTTCGTCTGTTTGCATTGGTCTGTATGACGTCTTTATGATTGTCGCCTTCAAGGCAGCTAGATCCGATCTATTGTGAGCTGGATGCTCTAGGTGAGTGGAAGGGTCCCAGCGCCTTCAAGGTCGTTCACAAACCGCATGTGAGACTTCGTGTCAAAGCCACATGTTGTTCAGGCTGGCGATCAGTGACTCAGTCCCAAAAAAATCCCAGAGAGGCGTTATTGTGTTAGACCCTTGGCCACGTGAGGCTTTGCCGGGAATGTGTGCGCGTCTCAATACGCAGCTTCAATTAAGCCCAGCATTCTATTTACGGCACTGCCTGGCTTCGGGACCGGCACACCAAAATGCTGTTTGGCGGCACAGGAATGACCCGAAGCACGTCACTAGAGCGGGAAACCCCACCAAGGGCCTGTTCGTCTGATGTGAGTGTAATTTATCAACCGAGCGGATGTCGCAGAATCTGGGGTTGGATCATACGATGTACGAATACAAGAAAAACTAAAGGTAAGGTGAGTTTGCCGTCCAGTCCACATACTAACTACGCGGTACCGAAGGTTGGATTAATTTTGTTGGGGTTGTCTACTTCCAATTCTCGCAGGAATGGCCGGTGGATTTTAGGGGCCGAGAGTTTAGTGTACTTTTGTTCAGTGCTTCGTACTGTCTCGAACAAACTTAGGCAGGATGCTGCTGCGGTTGTCAAAGATCGCATTTGTTTCACGTATTCTATCTAGACGAAGGTTTCAAAAAGACAAGCCCCTTTTTTCAGAGAAATGGAACTTCTAAGCCACTCCAGAAACCCGAATCAAAGCTACTATGTATCTGTAATGTTAGCCACCATTCTAATGAATCTCTCCACTTGAAATATAGACTTTTGTCGAGTTTGGTGCCATCAAGCCCGATTAATTCCCGTCATGAAAGGCCGCTTTGAGAGAAAGTTGCATCCCTGCATTCTGATCCCCCAATCACAAGAAACCTCAGACCCCTCCATTTTTAGTGGCTCCAAAAGCCGGCCGGCCCAACAGCAGCAACCCTTTTCCCAGCGGGGCGTATGACGTTCTGGTCCAACCTCTCAAAGCTCCCAACACCCGATCAGTCTCCTGTGTTTCATTTCTGCTGTTCGCCACGATCCACCGGAAAGGAGTACAGCTGTTACACCACTCCCCGCCTTTGCGTTTCCCGATCTAGGTCTAATCCGGGCGCCGCTGCCCCTGTTTTGCAGCGCTCGGGCATCCTTCCTTGTGCAAACAATTCCGGTCGGCGTCGTTATCGCCATGACGACCGGCGCTGCACACTAGCCGACACCGCCAGATGCCCAGACGCCTCGAGAAGATACGCCACCAGAACCCCTCCCCGACGCTCCGTTTGAACCTCTATTCCACCTGAAACCTTGGCGTCGCACGCCCGCTGGTGCTCCCGGCCATGTCGACGGCGTCGCGATCCTCATACCATCCGAATCGCCGGGTCGGTAGTATACAAAGCCAGGACGATCATCACCGGAGTCGCTCGTTGTCGTCGAGAGCCCGCGCGGCCACCGTCAGTTACGATGATGCATACTCTTACGCCCTCCGTGTCGCCTTCCTACGATACCTCCTCCAGCCCAGGAAGAAGAGAAAGGAATATGTCAATGCACCGAAGGTCAAGGCTCCGCCGCGCGCCCACACGTCCAGCGTTGCCGAGCTAGTCAAAGAGCTGGTGCCCTCCGGATCGGCTTCGGTGAAGCTCCCTTCTAAGTTCCACTCGTCCCTCGAGAAGCGCATGTCCGGCGTCCTCACCGGCAACGAGAAATTGCCGGGGTTTAGCGATGCCGCTGTCAAGCGGACCTTTGCCGAGGCATACACGGCGTTTACCGCCAAGGACTTCCAAAAGTCCATTGACAAGGACCGCAAGGTTGAACCTCTGGTCCTGATCTTCTACTCGGCCGCCACCAAGGCGCAGGGGCGGGGAAAGCCGATTGAGGACCACTCGTGGAGGGTGCTCGTGGACAGACACTTGGCCATGTTCATTCGCCTACTCAGCAGCATCCTCCGCGAAAAGGGCGATACCGAGCTCGTCACCCGTTTGAATACACTGGAGAAGAAATTGATGAGCAACGAGCAGAGTTTGTATCTGGACACGGGCCAGCAAGACCATTCGTACGTCGAGGTAGACATCCCGCTGAGTTACGAGGTCAAGGACATGCACATGGTTCAGCTTGTCGCCAAGATCTTTGGCGTCACCAACTCTCAGGTTCAGACGGACATCGATCGGAACATGTCTGCGTGGACGGAGGAAGCCGCCCTCAAGGACTACAAGTCGTACCAGTTCAGGTTGGCCGCCGGCATGGCGGGCACCTTGCGGAAGCAGGATTTTGATGTGGACGACGCATACGACGAGTGGAGGCGAGGAGAGGCTCCGAACTTGGCTAAGATCTTTGCCGAGATCTTGATTGCTCGCCCGGATCTGAAGGGAGGGATCAGCGGGGGGTTAGACAAGCCGGCATCTGCTCGTCAGTCGATGTACGAGGATCAGGCGTACGCGGAGCTGAGCAGGATGCTTTCCGAGCCGGGATCTCCTGCGACCAACCTCGAGCCCACCTACAACATAGGGTCTGTTTCTCTGGATGATACCTCGAGCATACGCAGTGTGGACGAGCCGAGCTACACTTTCATTCCCTCCAATCCCCGGTCCGTATACAAAGTCATTCTTCAGTACGTGGTGTCATATGACCAACTTCAATCCGATACGTCCCAGTCGCCGCTGTCCGAGGAGACAACAGATTTTCTCGTGGAACTTGCGGTGCGATGGAGGATTCCGCAATTCTCTCGATACGTCGCCTTTATCGAGGTCGCGACGCGCAAATATCTGGACCAGGAGCTTCCGCCCGAGCAGCTTTATAATTGTTTCGACCTTGTGAAAGAACCCCTCGAGGAGCCCAAGAAACCAATATTGATACAATCGTACACGTTGAGTCTCAATGATATCAATCCTAGTAGGTGGACTATCGTTGACTTCGCGGGCTACCAGCAGTCTCTCAAGGACCTCCATGACGCCTTGTTGCGAGAGCTGTACGCTCTCCTCATGCGCTGCTACGAACCAAAGCCGCCAACCGTCGGTGTCGTCATGGCCCTGCTCAATAACCACGTCTACTCTGACCCTACCTTCACGCGGCGAGAAGACGAAGCCGCCGAGTTCGCGCAGCAGCTGGATAACGGGCTGCGTCAGCAAGCTGCCCAAGTGTACCGGGATTTCTTAGACAAGCATATCCCCCGCAGCCAGAAAGAATGGGATTTCAGCCATGTGGTGAACCTGGGCAGGGACGTGGTGGAGCTTGCCGAGCGGATTAAGAAACGGTATCGCAAAAACCCCGAGATCATGGGTGCCAGCCCCTTCCGAGCGCTGGTGGAGACAGCACTCCCGAGCTTTGAAGAGGACTGCCACGAGATTATCAAGCGAGTGCTCCAGATTTCCAAAGAGAGTGAGATCGAAATTGCGCTCCAGGATGGCTTTGATCTGTACAAAGAGCTTGTCGAGATCCGCAAAATACACGTGGAGGCGCTCCCGGAGAAGCCCTTTGCCTTCCACATCGAGAATTTACTGGACAGTTTTGTCTGGCGATGGATTCAGAATGTGGACGACAAGATGCCCGGGTTTGTCGAAGAGGCGATCAAGCAGGACTCCTTCAAGGTGCGGACGCGGCATGAGGGCGACATTCCGACCGATGATGAGCGTCACAGTGTGTCTATTATCGACCTTTTTTCGCTATTTAGCCAGACGGTGGATCAACTCCTCCAACTTGAGTGGAATGACGAGGTTCACCTCGCACGGTTTATGACGGCACTCGCCAAGTCATTTGCCAACGGTCTGGGCATGTATTGCGAGGTCGTGGACAAGCACTTCCTCAAGGAGATGGATCGGCGTAGCGAGCAAGAGATTGCGGCGGCCCAGAAGACGACACAGGAGAAGTTTTTCCAGTATGCGAAGGACGCTTGGAACTCCAAGGATAAGATCGAGCCGTTCCAGTTCTACCCTGAGGTTAGTGTCTTTCCATCACTCATTTGCTTCATAACTATTTTTACTAATAGTTTGTAGTCGTTTGTCAAGTTCAACAACATTGAATGGGCCATGCAGGGCCTCGACAGACTAGAAAAGCGCATGAACGCGGACGCTTGCGCCGAGCTATTGACTAAGGTCGACGGGCCTAAGAAGCCGGCGAAGCGCAAATATGTGTTCACAGTCAAGATCGTGGAGGGCGAGGAGCTGAAGGCGTGCGACCCCAACGGGCTTAGTGACCCGTACGTGGTGCTGTGTGACGAGTACCAAAAGCGCCTGCACCGCACGCGGGTGATTAACCGTAATCTCAACCCGCGCTGGGACGAGTCGTTCGAGATCTCGGTCGAAAGCCCGCTCAACCTGATCGCTACGATCTGGGACCACGATATGTTCGGTGACCACGACTTTGTTGGGCGCACATCGTTGAAGCTCGATCCCGTGCATTTTGGTGATTATTTGCCCAGAGAGTTCTGGCTGGACCTGGACACACAGGGCCGGATCTTGATCAGGGTGAGCATGGAGGGAGAACGGGATGACATTCAGTTCCATTTTGGGAAGGCTTTCCGGCATCTCAAGCGGACGGAGCGGGACATGGTGCGCGCCGTCACGAGCAAGGTATGCATGTCTATAATGTTTGTTTAGGTCGCTAGGGGATTATGCTAACCGTTTTCTTAGTTGTCGTTGCACATCAACTCGTCGCTCTCTCGCGAAGCTCTGCGTGGCCTCCTGAACAAGGGCATCACGGCATCTATGGCCAGCTTGTGGAAGAAGCGGCAGTCAAGCGCCCCCACAACCACCCCCCAAGAAATCGAGGGCGCGTTGCAACCGCTGTTCACCTACTTCGACGAGAATTTTGCCATCATGAAACAGACACTCACAGACGCCACCATGATGGCGGTCATGACCCGTCTATGGAAAGAAGTCCTTCTCGCCATCGAGAACCTGCTGGTCCCCCCATTGTCCGACAAGCCGTCTCCTCAAAAGCCTCTCACCCAGGCGGAGAGCGACGTCGTCTACAACTGGCTACAGCTCCTCTTTGCCTTCTTCAACGCGCGCGATCACGCCTCTGGAGAGGTTCTCGGTGTCCCTGCCGATGTCCTGAAGTCGCCTAAGTGGCACGAGCTGGCGTCGCTGAATTTCTTCTACTTTGACACCTCGGAGAACCTCATCCGCACGTCGGAGCGTATGGCCGCAGCAAACGCGCAGCGCGCCCAGCAGCAGGCGCAGCAAGCGCAGCAGCAGTTACAAACCCACCACCAAAACCGGCTGTCGATGTCAGGCTCCGCGGGGGGCTCCCCAGGAAGACTTGGAGGCGCTGGTGGCGGTGGGGGCATGCTCGGCGTACCCTCCTTCGGCCACCCCTCAGGCGCTGGCAACGTGCCCTTCGGCAGCCTGGGCACGATCCGCCGCGGTAAGAGCATCATGATGAGCCGCAACCTGGGCACGATGCGGAAGGCGAAAGAGGAGAAACGTAAGGAGGCCCAGGCCGACCCCAGCGACGATATGATCTTGCGGATTCTGCGCATGCGGCCCGAGGCTGTCGGGTACCTGAAGGAAAGGCAGCGGCAGAAGGAGCGCATGGCGGCTGCGCAGGCGGCGGCGATGATTGTGCGGCAGAGCGTCAGTCAGGGGCTGGCGGGAGGTGGGCCGGCGTTTGGGGGCGCGTTGTATGGCCGGAACAATATTCCGAGAAGGTGATGTGAGGGTGGGTTGAAGTTGAAGGAGTGGGCGGTCCCTCTCGGATTGAATGAAAAGGGGGAGGATAGGTGGACAGTATGTTGATGATGAGTCTTATTTTGGTGTTCTTTTTGTGGAACTGATTCTTCAGCTTCACTCGGGGTTAATGCGCGCAGAAGTGTGCGGGGCGCGCCACATTCTTTTTATGTTCCATGAAGCGTTGCTTGATTTACTTAGCGGTTGATGCTGGGTGGGTTAAGGGGGATAAGGAGGGCGAGGGGGCGTTGGAATCGGCAATACCCCGACAGTTTCTTCTCTCAATCACTTGCGGACGATGCTGACTAGTTGCTTTTCTGATGCTCCTTGATTCATAATGCTAAGGAGATAGTAATGAAATGAGGCGGGCATTTAGTGACGAAATATGTGTTTTGGAGGTATCATTGTGAGAGTTTAATTTACTATTATCACACTAATTCTCATAGGTATCTTTAAACCCCTTTTATGTGTTTTATATGCTGTTGTCAGTGCTGAGCAAAGAAGATGGCGCCAAGCCGTGGCTGCTGGATGACGAAAAGGGGTTAAAAGCTGTTTTGCGCAAGTGGGGTGACTAGGTAGGGACAAGTTGTTGTCCTTGGAAGTTGCAGCGAAGCTCGGTTTTTTGGACCCTTCAGACCACAGCTTAATCACCTATCTATGGGAGATATAAGCTGAATTTGTAGCCTTAGGCTGGTCCCAATTCGGCAACCACTGTCGTCTAATTTCAATTTTACCACAAGTTCTAGCCAGCCAGGTCGGACTACTGTGTAGTAGACCTCCCGTCCGAAAAATCTTGACGGTTGCCGAGACACCCCTCCAAGCGAGGTGGCTGCCGCCCGTCCGACTGAGAAAGATCACCGATCAACTCCGACCTACACCCTTTTTCCTCACCTCATCCGGACGCTTGGATCAAGCGGATCACACATTGGATTGGTCTGAATGCCGGCTCTCGGGGTGCTACTGCGGTCACGGCAGGCGGCGTTGTTGCCCGTGGGACAACTCGCCAGTTTTCGTCGGGACCCTTTCTCGCCGTTGACCCTGCTGACACAGCGGACCGATCTCACATACCCGCAGCAACCTCAGCGACAGCGGCTCTTTTCAGCCCGAGCGATGAGTCCACAACAGCCGATCCAGCCCGGCCAATCACAGCAGCAGGGTCTGGCGTCAGGGGGTGGGGTCGGTCCCTCCCACTATGGAGGGGTCGTTGGAGGGGCCACTGCTGGAGCCCCTCCCCCACCTCGTGCGTCGACGGGACCTGATTTTGCGTTTCTTGGTGGTGCTACTGCTGCTGCGACTTCGCTCACCGCTGCCACGCCCACAACAAATCCCTCGACTGCCCAATTACATCTGGCCGGCCGACCAAGCAGCCCCTCTTCCACTTTTTCCCGAACTGCCCAACTCTCCCGGCACCTTCAACCCCAACAACAAGCCCGGAGTTACAGCAATTCGACTCACTCCACGCAGGACATCATGGCGTCCCCGTACTCCGTCCGCAAGGTCGCGGCCCCTCACACGCTCGAGCACCGTGTCTACATCGAGAAGGATGGCGTGCCGGTCTCGCCCTTCCACGACATCCCGCTCTATGCCAACCAGGAGCAGACCATCCTCAACATGATTGTGGAGATCCCGCGTTGGACCAACGCCAAGCTCGAGGTACGTGAGAATTGAGTTCTTCTGTTTGTTGATTCGAGCTCTGTCATGGAATCGGCCTAACTCTTGACCCGGCATTGCTAACGCGGAACACGCCAACAGATCTCCAAGGATGAGCTCCTTAACCCCATCAAGCAGGACGTCAAGAAGGGCAAGCTCCGCTTTGTCCGCAACTGCTTCCCTCACAAGGGCTACCTGTGGAACTACGGTGCCTTCCCCCAGGTGCGTTTTTTCGAGTTGATAATGGGCCCAATGCCATACATACATCTAGATACCCCTGGCAGGTCATGAGAGCTCCTAGATTAACTAACTCTTGCTCGTCCTAGACCTGGGAGGACCCCAACACCGTCCACCCCGAGACCAAGGCCAAGGGCGACAACGACCCGCTCGACGTGTGCGAGATCGGCGAGTTGGTCGGCTACACTGGCCAGGTCAAGCAGGTCAAGGTGCTCGGCGTGATGGCGCTCCTTGATGAGGAGGAGACCGACTGGAAGGTCATCGTCATCGACATCAACGACCCGTTGGCCTCCAAGCTCAACGACGTCGAGGATGTCGAGCGCCACCTGCCCGGCCTGCTCCGTGCCACTAACGAGTGGTTCCGCATCTACAAGATCCCCGACGGCAAGCCGGAGAACCAGTTCGCCTTCACCGGCGAGTGCAAGAACAAGTCCTACGCCATGGACGTCGTCCGCGAGTGCGCTGAGGCTTGGGAGAAGCTTATCACCGGCAAGACTGCCTCGGGTGGTATTGCTACGTGAGTTTTGTTTTCTCTCCAACATTAGTAAATAAAACAAGGTGCAACCAAACTAACAGAGGACAGCACCAACCTAACGGTTGGCCACTCCGGCAACCGCGTCTCGCCCGACCAGCTCCCGCCGCTGCCCCAGAACCAGGAGCTCCCCGCCGCTCCGATCGACCCCTCCATCGACAAGTGGTTCTTCATCAGCGGTGCCTCCGCTTAACTAGCCGAACCCCTCGGTATCCGAGCGTCGCTTTAGGGAACTAACTCACTTGACATATGGGTGTTAGATAAATCGGGGTCGGCATAAAAAAGTAAAATTAGTTTCGAGTAGGTCGTATCAATTAAAAGACGGTCATTTCGACGCCTAGTTGTTCGATCTCCCAGATGCAAGGTTTGATGAATCTGGTTTGAAAATAGGGGTGAATCGGTTTGATTGACTTGTTGAACGCCTCCCAATGCTCCTCCGAGTAATAGATCATACACGTAAATCTCTCCTCTATGGTATACCGCAGCCATACATATACACAAACCCCTCCCTTTTCCGTCACGCCCCCCTCCCTTATTTTATTTCCCTGATCCCTCCGGTAAAATCGAAAACGCTTAAGCATCCGCCAAGTCCGCCTCCTTCTGCAGCATACGCGAATGCCGGTCGACTTCCTCCACAATGCTCTTGATCTTCATGGTCTCGCAGTCCAGGTTCATCACCTTGCCGTCCTCTACAAAGAAAAAAAGGTCCCGCATGTTAGCCTCAACTATTACCTCACCCAAAAGCCTCACTTCCCCGCCTCCTCCTCGGGTAAAAAAAACGTACTGAACTTGACCACCAGCGAGCTCGGCTCTGTCGATGTCCGCGGCAGTAGTTGTGTAGTGATGTTCATGCCCGATGATCGGGCTGTTGGCGGGAGGAAGGAAAGGAAGAGCCGTGCTGACTTGGCTCGTGTTGAGAAGGGGTTGAAGCGGGTTGTTACGTCGGTGATGAAGCGGGTTATCATGGTGGGCGGGGTTTGGTCTTTGGGTGGGTTTATAGTCTTCTGTTTTGTTTTTTTTCGTGGGGGTTTTGATCCTTTTTTGGGGTACGTTTCTTGTTGGTTTAGTTGCTTCGGAGGGGGGTTGGCTATGGGTGGGTTTGTCGTCTTTCGGCTGGTATCGTCGCGACGGGAGGGTTGAGCAGGGGTCGCTGGACGCGGGGTTGTGCTGGACGATTTCGTGATCGGCCTGGCTGGAAAATTGGTGTTGAATGCGGTTCAAGCTGCTTTGCGGTTCGATTGGAACGGAGCATGCAAACGGTGGTGGGACGGTCATGAGATGCAGGGATTATCGGTAAACGGAGCTTCTCAACGCAGTATGCAGGGTTGCAGAAACGTGCCTCCGTTTCACAACGTTCCAAAACGCAAATGCGCAGTGACGTGCTGCCATTGGCTTTCGCATTCAAGATGCCAGCTCTCAGAAATTCATCATCCAACACGGATTCGACGGCGCCTTATCGTTTTCCTGGGCTCCCAACGCCGCCACCTTAGATCCAAACCAGAACTGGGACCCAACGTACCCACGAACCATCTCATCAGACAACAATGTCCTCGTTCGAATCATTACAAGAGCGGCTCGCAGCGCTCCAGGAAACAACGACACAACTTCGCGAGCTAATCGACCGGCTCGCCAACATCAGCTTCCAGCCGGGTTCGGTACCCCTGAGTTCAAGCGACGAAGACAATGTAGCCACCGAACTAAGCGCCGAGATCCACCAGGTTCTGCGTGAGGAAGAAGAGGATCTCGAGCTGCTGCAAGAAGAGATTATCGACCTGCGCGCGGGTCGACCAGGGAGCGAGGCCGAGCACCGCAAAACACGTCTACGAGAGGGCGCCCAACGGTTACAGGCCGAGTTGAAGGATTGCCGAACATCCTTTCGGAAAGCTCAGATCTCAGCCCGTCGTAGTCTAGAAGCGGCCCAGAAACTCGAGCGCAAACTCCTACTCGCGTCCTACACAGCTTCGGCTACAGTCTCGCCATCTTCGTCAACAGTCCTCACCAACCCAGATGCCCCTACCGAACCAGACGAAACCGCCCCATCTTCTTCCCCCTCCGAACAACAGCCGCAACACCAAACCTCCGAACCACCCAAACGCCTCACCCCCGAAGAAGCCCGCGCCCAGCTCTTCGGACGCCGCCTCGCCACCAAAAAGAAACACGCCGCCGCCGCCGACGACCCCCAATCTGCCGCGATCAATGCCTCCAACGACATCACCCTCGCACTCCAACGCACCCACGGCCTAATCGCCGGCGAACTCGCCAAGTCCGCCTTCGCCACACAAACCCTTGCGGAATCCACCGCCGCCCTCGCCGAGCTCCAACAATCCTACGACGGCCTCGACGGCCTGCTCGCGCGCTCGCGCGACCTCGTCGGCGCCCTGGCCACGGCACAGAAATCGGATACTTGGTACCTGCAGGCTGCGCTGCGGTTGCTGCTGGGCACGCTGGCGTGGTTGGTGTTTCGCCGGTTCTTTTATGGCCCGCTGTGGTGGGTTGTGTGGTTACCACTGCGGACGGGGTATCGCGTGACTAAGGGGGTGATGCCGGCACGCGGGGGCGTGGGTGGGGGCGGTAGTGGGGTGGTGGACACGGGATCGGGGCCGGGCGTGGCGACGATGGAGGTTGTGAGGCCAGATGTGGAGGGTGGGGGCACGGTGGTGGTTGGGGTCGGGGAGGAAGGGGTTGTGCCGACGATACAAGTCGGGCAGCAGGATGACAGTAAGAGGAATGTTGAAGGCGAGCGGGAGGGTGGGGACGACTCGATGGTTGAGAAGGTGGGCCGGATGGTGGAGGATACGTTGCATCAGAGAGAGGGAGAAGACGGTGAAGAGGTGAATAGGACGGCAGAGGGAGAAGAGGGGGTGGATGATCAGGGGCATCCACGGAAGAGGCTATGGGCGGAAGGAGAAGTCAGAGATGAGCTATGATGAATGTAAGAAGAGAGAGGAAGGGGAAGAGGAAGAGTGTGTATGAGTGAAGCCAGGTGATACCCCTATTTCGTGTCGCGATATTATGTGCCATATTTGATATGTGTTATTAGCGTGGCGTTCATCAGCAGGCAAAAAAACCAGCGTCGTCTCTTAAGTGATCGTATCCCCGTTGCGAGGACTTTTGTTACAGTGTATACCTTCCCGCTGACCACCCAAACCAAGAAAGATATCGAAAAGAAATAAACGCATCGCCTGAGCTGCCCCATTGTAATCCGTATCTCCCGTCTTGTCCTCAACCTTTTCATGTAGCCGTTACAAACCCATCGCCCATCGTCAATGTCGTACAATCATCAGCGCCTGCTATACATTCGTCCGTGGAAACGACGACGAAAAAAGAATAGGGGAAGAAAAACCAAAAAAAAGCTGAACCGCTGTAAAAGGACAAACCAAACCATTAATCCAACACCAAAACACCAAAGGCCCCATCCGTACACTGACTTACGCAGTCGCATTCTTCATCATCTTGCCGACGACCACCACACCAGCAAGCAACATGACCATCTTGGGGAGTACAGACGGGTCGTTGTCAGCGCCGCTGTCAGCACCCTTCGAATGGTTTTCAGTACCAGTACTCGTACGAGTATCGATACCAATACCAGTACTAACCCCACTCTCTTCACTAACCACCTGGGGACCCTCCTTCCCAATTCCAATTTCAACCTCAACACTGCTCTCGCAATCTGTAGACCCCGACCCGGACTCCGAGTCTAATTCCGACCCCGAAGTCGACGACGACGAAGACGACGACGACCACAACCCGGCCCCGGCCCTCCCACCTCTCAATCCCTCGCCATCAGCATCGACATCTGAGCCCATCCAGAACCCACCACGGCGACGCTGTTGGGACACAGGGGGACTGACGCCCCTTCGCGGTGTAGAACAAGCGGACGGCTTGATACCACCCAAGGCGGCGCGCAGGTTGGGGTGGAGGGTGTTGGTGAGGAGTTGATGTGGGGTGCGGAGGCCGAGAGTTGTGAGTGGGGACGAGGGGATGAGGAGGGATGGTTTGAGGGTGATGGGGGAATCGGTCGTCGAGATGAGATGATGATGATGATGATGGTCAGGGTTGGAGGGCGAGGGTTGAAGTTGAGTGGTGGTGCCCTGGTCAACCGACTTGCAAGGGGCGGGGGAAGTCGACGGGCTCTCGGGCTGGCTTTCGGGCTGTGGAATGTGATCTCGGGCGAACCCGAGATCCGAGCCCTTGGGTTCGGGGTCAGCCTCAGGTTCGGTCTCGGTCTCGGGTGACGGCGTCGAGAGACCCGAAGCAGGAGGAGCGGCTTCGTTGCCCCCGAGGGATTGCGGCCCCGGTTCAACTTTGAGCGTGCTGACTGCATCAACCGCAGGCTCGGGCCCGAAGTTGATGGATTTCTGGGCATCATTCCAGCCGTCTTCACCAACAGCGGCCGCCTGGTCAGATTCAAAAGCAACTTCCCCTCCGCCAATGCCGTGGGCTAGTTCGTCCAGGGGTGAAGGTTCAGGCTGGGCGATCTCGTAGCCTCGCGGGTTCGCGTCTTTTTTCTCGACGGTGCTCTCGGCTTTGACAATGCCCGCTTCGGAGTCGGCATTCTCGTCCTCAACACCGTCCGGACAAGCAAGATCCCCATCCTGAGTACCACGATCACCACCATTCGCGACTTCAACACCATCATCATCACCACTCTCCGCATTCCGTGCATCTGACCCTGATGGTGTGGTCTCTGTGTCCGGCCCTGCGTGGGGCTCCACTTTCTCTTCGGAAGCGACCGAATCGCCATGCGCCAGCGCGCCAGAACCCTTGCTAGCGTCGCGGATTGCGGGGTCAGGGCCGGACGCGTCGGGCTGCACACTGTGCACAGGAAGCGCTGCAGGAAGCGCGGCCGCCAAAACGGGTTGGAGCTCACCGACTGTTTGGTCGGGCGAGCTGCCCCTGGTGGGCACCACCGGGTTGATTTCGACATCCGCATCGTCTTTTGTTTTTCTACCTGCGGGGTTTTCCATGTCCGTCGAGTCCGCAGGATCCATGATGGCCTCGCCCTCGTCTTGTTCGATCAATCCGAGCGAGCGCTGGCATGGTTCGTCGGCATCGGTATCATCGGCCTTGACATCAGCTTCGGCATCGGCTTCAGAACCGGCTTCAGTATCGGCCTCGGTCTCAACAACCGGAGGTAATTGCGGCACAGCTCCCGGGGCCGCGACGGCCTTCGCACTCGAGTGAACATCACCCGAGTCGGCATCAACATCTAGCGAGCCCGACGCGGCGTCCGAATCATCCCCGGCTCCAACTTCGCGCTCGCTTGGCGCTGCGGGATCCTCTTCACTTTGGTCTTCTGGCTCCGAGACCGCGGACTTGGCTGCATCGGTCTTTTCATCCTGCGCGGGGGGCGAAGCAAGCGGGCCCGAAGGGCCATTTTCGGCCTCGATGTTGGCCGCGGGTGGGGAGATTTCGCGGGCAGTCGGGGAGGGACTTTCGTCCGAGAAGTTGTTTGCGAGGGGAGGAAGAGGGAGAAGGGGGAACTCGGTCCCGGGAAGAACACCGTCTTCTTCGTTCGGGGTATCATCTGGGCATTGAGAGTCCGAAACGGGACCGGTCTCCTCTCCGGTCTGGTCCTCAGTCTTGTCTTCAGGCGTATGGGACAGCAAGTCGACTTCCACCGCGGGACCGACATCGACCCCGATAGTGTCTTCGAGGGAAACAACCTCCTTTTCGGACTCTTCTTCGGTCGCGGATGATGTCTCCGATGTCTCTTCGGTTTGAACATCGGCCCCGTCGTCAGAGTCCTCGCCACCGAGAGCTATCGTTGTCCGATCCGCCTCGGGCTCCTCTGCCTGGCCCTTTGTAAGGTTCTCCCCCTGACCCTCATTTTCGGCAGCCAAAGTCGGCAATGTTGCGTCAACCTTTTTTGATCCGTCCCAGCTTTCCTCGGCTTGGTCTTGCTTTTCCTGGGGTTCGGAAACGCAACTTGTCGGGTCCGATGTCGAATTGTCTTGCGTTTCGGAGCCTACGGACTTGCGAGTGGGGGAGTCCGGAGTAGGATTTTCGGGGCGTTCGGACTCAGTCGGTTCCAATTCGGTGCCGATCGGGGTGCTAGGGGAGGAAGGCGGAAGGGGAATCTTGGAGGGTGTCAGAATTGTGTTGTTGTCGTTGATGCCGGGGGTCGTGGTGACCAAATTGGCCGTGGTCTGGGGGGTGTTGGTGGTGCTTTCGGGTGGTGTACAGGAGCGGGAACAGAGTAACACGGCCCGAGCTGCTGGGTCGGTATCTTCCGGCGGCTGCAGGGGAAGTTTGTTCGCGTCGCTTTCGGTTTCATCTGGACTAGGGTTCGGCAAGGTTCGTTCAGGGTCGGCTTCGGGCATGGACTCGGGCCCGGGCGCTTCGACATCTTTCAACCCCTTTTCAGCGAACGGGGTCGGTTGGTTCGAGGAGGAACGAAGGCCACTGTCCAGATCATAATCGTCATGATCTTGGCCCTGATCATGATGGCCATACCCAAAATCCCCTTCTGAGTCGGGGTACGACAACCCCTGCAGCTCGTGCTGATTATCGTCACCCTCGACATTATCAAGCTCACCGGTATCATCGCCCTTCTCTCCATCGATATCTCCAGAGGGTGTCCTCCTCGCGAAAGTAAACCTCGGCGTGATTAGCACGCTATGGCGTGGCGAGGACCCGCTCGTGCTCAGCTCTGGTGTTGATGGTGCTGTGGAAAACTCATCATCCTCTCGCGGGCTCATCGCAGCCCTGCGAGGATTGGAACCATCAGCATTCGCGAGCGTGCTGGCGAGATCGGCTTTGAGCACATCTTCCGACCTGGGCGTCCGCGCCGGTGACGGGCTCGGCGCGAAGTACTCGCGAGCATCAACGTACGGGCCGGGCGTGTCCATCCTGCGTGGGTTTTTGGTGGGCGTGTTGATGGAAGTGGAAGCGGACGTCGAGGGGGGTGTTTCACCCGCGATGTCGTCGGTTTTGACAATTCCTTTGGGCTTCATCGCGGGGTCGGAAGTAGAGCTCTGATGCGCCACAGGGAGTTCCCCTGAGCGAACCCTCGCCTCTTCGCCCGACGTCATCGATCCGGCAGCACCAGCACCTTTACCATCCCGGTTATCGTCTGATGTAGCGGCCACATTCAACCCTTCTTCCTGGTTTTTCTCGATCAAGGTCGATGCTTCGCTTACACGGGCACGCGAAGACAACATCGACGCCGAGCGCGCTGACAGCAACCCGGACGACTTCTGGCGCGATACTAGCGAGAACGATCGTTGTGGCTTGATTTCGGGCGCAGCCCGTAGCCCGGGGGTGCCTGCACCGGCCCGACTAGCCGTTTCCATCCCGAGTCCGAGTCCCAGCCCTAGTTCCAGCCCTAGACCTTGCGAGTCCTTCGTCGGCGTTGGTGTCGTTGCCCTTGAGAGAGGAGAAGGTGATGGTGATGGTGATAATCGGCGGTTCCCGAAAAGAGAACCTGGCCTGCTGCTATCCTTACTCCCACTCGCGGGAGATGGTGGTGCTGACGCAGAGGCCAGAGCTGCAGCGGCTGTTGCCCTGAGATAATCAACCGACCCCAGCGACTCGATGGACTGCCCAGACAGGAGAAACACCCTCGGTGTGCGCGGCCGACCTAATGGGGATGGTGATGCGGGCGAACCGCCCACAAAGTTAACTTGATCGGGTTGGTGTGGCGTGACCGGCCGGTCAGTGGTGCAGTTGTGGTGGTCTTCTTCTCCCTGGTCGTCCTCCTCATCCGGCAGATCGTCGATATTGCACGAGTCCTCAAAGACTCGGTCTAGATCCGCCTGGATTCGCTCCCTCAACCGCGCCACAAACGCCCTCTGCGCATCCTCACGCGACCGTGACGAAGGCGACGACGAAGACGAAGTCGACGACAACAAACCGAAACCTCCCTCTACTCCGGCCGAATACTTCACCCCCCGCTTCTTCTCATGCGCCACAATCGCCTTGTCCAACACCACATGGCCCCTCTTAGTCGCGCGGATATGGATCGCCAGGTTATGCCCCCGGAGCACATCGCCAACACCCGTCTGTAGCCGGTCTAGCGCTGCGTGGATTGTGCGACGACCATAGGAAGCTGCTGGGCCGAGTGTGAAGGTCAGGGTGGGTGGGTTGTGGAGGGTCCAGTCGACACCCTGGAGCTCGACGACGCGAAACTCGAAGTCGTTGAGCGTGTTGAGCGTGGCGTCGGTTTCGTTGCGGAGATGGGAGAGGTGCGCCTGCAGTGTGGTAAGGAAGTGTTCGCATTCATGGTTGTTGTTATGGTCGTCATCCCCGCTGTTGTGGGTGTTACTGAAGAGGGGGAGTTTGCTGTGGATGGTACGGTGGGTGTGGGTAAAGGTAGGTCCCAGGTTGTTGGACACGCGCAGGCTCAGCTCGAGCGTGTCCGGCCCAGAGTCTAACGTGCTGACCGCCCTTGAATGCTGCTGATCCCAGGAACGGTCGTCGAGTTCCCGCTTCTTCGAGTCCAGACGCTGGTTCACAAATTGAAGCCCATTCCACAGCAGGTCCTCAGCCATGGCCACCGTCAATGGTGTGGTCTGGGCGCTCGCGATCTGGATACGACGGCTCGACGACGGCGACGACAACGACAACGACGAAGATGACCATCCCTGTGATTGTGAGCTAGGACTGGTGTTCATGCGGCGGAAATCCAGGTCGACGGTATACCCCGGCACAAACTCGTACGACTGCGTCGCTTCGACAAACCGCGTCCCCGGCACGGCCGATACCGACAGTGAACCATCCCGAAGCGACCTCGGCCTACCGCCCTCGCTAGCCCCTTTCCCGGTCCCCACCTCCGTTCCGGGTCCCATGATGTCAGCGTCGTCGTCCGGCGCCGGACAGTCCACCCACCGAAAGCCCTCATCATGCCGTCGCAGAAACAACCCGACCATTCGATGCACCGCCAGCGCGACCTCTTTCGTCTGCGCCGTCGTGAGCGTCTGCTTCTGGTACGACCGATAGGTCCGTTCCGTATCCGCCCATTTACCCTTCCCGCTCCTGCGCATAACCCGAAACGTCATCTCGAACCGCTGCGGCTTGCGCTCGTACCCGTACTCCTCGTCCCTTTCTCTCCTGGCGTCACCACCACCGGCACCACGACTGCTGCTGCGGCTGTTACTACTCCTACTGCTGCTCCGCTTCCTGTCGAACATGTCCAGTGCGCCCGAGTCCTTGCGCGTGATGAACTCTTCGGCGCACCGCTCGATGCGCCGGACCAGCCCGCGGCATAGACGCGGTGTGGCACGCAGCGTGGATGAGCTGTCGTAGGTGCGGGCGTAGCGGGACCGGGGGAAGGTCGGGTCTGTGAAGCGGATATCGATATGCACAGTTAGGGCAGGTTCTGTGGTAGGTATCTGTGACTGTGGTTGTGACTGTTCATGCTGATGTTGGTGATGTTGATAATGATGTTGGTGAGAATGCTGTTGTTGGTTATGGTAATGCTGCGGCCCCTGCTGGAAATGTTGCTGTTCCTCAAACACCGGCGACAGCAGCGCCTTCTCCCTTTCCCCTTCTCTCCCTGTCTCGATCTGTTTGCGGATTCGTGGCGTCGTTGCCTCAAGTCGGGGGAAGACGTCGCCTATCATACTCCGCCGTGACCTCGGCCGCGGCGAGGTCTCGCGGGCGGATACCCGGTGCCGAAAATCCCACCAGGCCATTTTCCTTTGCCTTTCCTTTCTTATGGAATAAGTACGTAATATTTGGGTGTTCCGTTCCTTTCTTGCTCCGTGAATTGGTTTTGTTGGTCGTTGGTCCCTCGGTGTGGTGCGTTTGCTAATAATACTCCATTCACCACTCGAAACGAGAAAGATAAGGAATGGCGTATTCAGGGTCCCTGGTTTTTTGTGTGGGGTGTTGGTTGAGGGGTTTCGATGAGGCGATCTTCCCACGTTCTATGCGGGAAACACACTCAAACTTCGAAAACCACAGCCCATCCGATGGGCGTGGTCTAGGGAACCATGTCTTGACAGAATTGGGTGAGACCGGAGTGAAGGGATGGATAGAAGTCGGGAATAAGAGAAAACACCCAATACCGAGCCCAATTGATGTGTTTACACAGCATTCGGCGAAGGGAAAGAACCATTGAGGGAACCACCTGCAACTCAGGTCCTCCCGTCGAGGCAGGGCAAACGCCGGGTCAGGCAACCAACCCAAAGGAGAAGAGAGGCAAATGCAAAGAAGCAGCTGAGGTCTGTCCCAAAAGGGAACGCTCAGCTCTCAATCAGGTTTTATTTTGGTGGTACTACCCTCCAAACAAAAAGAAGTAAATACTCACTCATTCATTCACGTCAATAAAAAAAGATAAAATTTCTCTGCTGTTTCCATCCACCCCTCTTCCATGTGCTGTCCTTCCTGTATGTCCCAGGCATGTGGATGGCCGAGACTTGGCAAGCATAAAGCAGCAGCGCCAACTTTCCCACTTGATGCAGGCCCGCCCCCAAACAAGCCCACCAGCCTTAATTAGCCCAGCCCTGCGGCGAGCAACCTCCATCTGTTCTGCTACAATGTAGCGCAGCGAATGTAGCAGCAGTAATCGCGCATGGCACGATAGGGACGGGAACCGCCCGGCCGGCCGGCTGGTCGGCTCGGCCGCTGCGTACCGCCCTGTTTTGAGGGGGCAGGCAAGTCTGAGTCTGAGTTCTGAGTCTGGGCTGGCTCTGTTTTTTTACCTACGAATTAGACTGCTGAGGCCACCACCACCACCATCAACACCACCACCAACTCCGATGACCAACCAACACAAAGCCCGAAAAAGTCATCGGACCACCCCTCCCCCCGTTTATCTTCTTCCCTTTCTTCCTTTCCCGCCTCAAACCTGTACCCGAAACCCGCCTCGGGAACGACCGCGACGGGAGCAGGGCACAAAAAGCCGAATAGGCGAAACGAAGCAAACGAACCGAACAGGCCGGGTTGGGTTGTCTGAAGTGAGTTGAAGTCGCAGGGGCAGTCGCCAGCCAAGTCTTTTGAGGACCGGCCGGTTGGCTCCTGACACGTTGTCCCCGGCCGGCCCGGGCTCACCCAGTTGTCCTTCGTTTTCCAAGACACAAGACACAACAACAAGACAGGGTAGGGCAGCAAAACGTGAGTGAGCAACGCAGATGCAAAGCCAGCGAGTCCGGCGGGCCGGCCAAGCCCTGCCTGAGCGGGTCGGCGTAGCCGCCGACCTACCGGCGATTTTGTGGAATTTTTGTGTTGTTTTGTTGCTCAAAGCCAAGAGAAAGAGGGGTGTGAGAAAAGAGAGCGGCTCCAAATGCGAAGAGGTCCGTTCATTCTGCAAGCAGCTGCAAGCGCTGCAGGGCATTTTCCCATTCGACAATTTTCTTGAATGAGGTCCCGGGTCCGGCACCAATGAGACGCAAGTTCTCTCTCACTTTTCCACTCATTGCTCTGTGTCTCTCTCGCCCAGCCGCAAGCCCCGAAATCCCCCCGGCCTACGAATTAGACCGAGGGTATGACGATATCAGGGTATGACGAAGCAAGAGGGAGGGTGTTGTGAGGGTGGTGAGAAATACACGATAATTTGGCGCAGACTCAATAAGGGCGGCCGGCCATTGGGACGCTACAGAGATGAGTGGCGGATAGCACCTGACAAGTGAATGGCCAACACACGAGGGCGCCGCGTGCTCGTTTGTGTGACGTCTTCTTCATGGCGCCCAAGAAAAGGCCTCACTCTCGCTCTCTCTCTTTCCATCCCGAATCGGGCGGTTTGGTTGGCACTTCCATGTGTTGGTGGTGTGATACGATAACGTTATCGAGTCAGGCCGGCCATGTGTGAAACCGCGCGGCCAGCCCAATTCCTCGGCAAGGCTGCTGGCGCATCAATCATCTCGTCCTAGATGAATTGAGGGGTCGGTTGCTAAGGTTCTTGATCGGACGGTAGCCGGACCTGGGCCGGCCGGCCGGCTTTCTGATTCTCGAAACAATCGGAGGTCGAGTTTTGGAGCTAGAGGGCCGAGATTCGACGAAACAATGCGGTAACGCATCGATGGGCCAATAACAGGCCCAAATCAGTCCCGATCGGCAATCTTTCAGCTCCCTGGTTCGCCCGGTTCCAGGGGGGTTTGCGGGGCCTTCACTGAACGTCCACCGGAATTCAATTGATAAAAAGACGGAACGGGGGGCCAGCCCTCTGTGGAACCGGCCGGGAGGCGCACCTCCGGGTTGAAACAATTCCTAACCTCCATTGCTCCTTTCATCGGATCGTGAAGATAAGAGGTAATTACCTATGGAGTCATTTTTGTCAATTGCCCAGGTAGAGACCCGATTGCACTTTCCCACTCGTCTCAACGAGAAAATTCCCGGCTGAAATTCGGCCTCGACAGAGGATACAACCAAAAAAAAAAAAAAAAAGATTTTCTCGATTAGCCCCGATCTCAGAGCTCGGAATATGCAACCTGCATTCCTACCCCTCCTTTGTGCAGGTCTAGTCCCATCCCATGGAATTGCCCCTCTTTTACTTGAGCGAGAAACATTTGGTGGCGTTCTTTTCTTTCATGCAACCCACTCCGAACCGGCAGCCCCTCATGGCAGTTTCTTCTCTGTCCTTCTAGCGTTGGAACCCCGGCATGGGGTGTTCATGCGTCTTTAAGCCCGCCTCCGCGGGGATGCGGGGTGGTTGTTGAGAGGGTTGGGGTACGTTGTTCTGGCCGATAGACAGCTGGACAGGTAAGGGGTAGGGAGAAGCCCTCAGGGTGAAAGGAACTGAGCGGACTGGTGAATCGTTCATGTCAATCTTTTTTTTGGCACTTTTGTTGGTCCATCCTCGAGGCGATTGATCTGGAAATGGTGGGAAGGCGGCCCAGGGCAACTAATAGTTGGTAAACAGGTGATTTCTTTCTTTTTTCTTTTTTTTTTTTTTTGCTGGTGATTAGCCACGTAGACTGTTGCTGCGGTCACTGCGACAAATTTATTAAGGATAGTGCAAGAAGGCGAAATGAAGAACAGAAATGTGTGGTACCTTAGCAAGGCTTAGAGTTTGTTGTCATGACTGTTGGTTGGTTACTAGGCCAGTTGTCACCCCCACTGAATCAGCCTTGGGAGTCAACCACAAGGCACCAGAGTAGCATATCACCAACAACACATCTCGCCCGGCCCTCTGTAGGGCCTGGATAAACAACGTTCAAAAAAGCCCAACTAATTGCCCGTTTTTCACAACGCGAGGCTCTGGTTATCCCTGGGGCGGAGAAGCACATCCGTTGGCATTGTAGTGTGACCCCTGTCAACGCCAACACCAACATCTAGCACAAGCTTGACAGATCATGGCCAAGCCTCAATTGTGAACCAACAAACGTCCAACTAGCCCAGGATGGTTGCAGTGCTGTCAATGTTTTCTTCCTTAACCCAAGCCGCGGACGGGTCAGCTTTTGTTATGAATAGGGGTAGCTGCGTCCAAACGGCCCGGTGCTTCTCTTTGAGAGGTGTAATCTAGCAGACCCAAAGTAAACACTGCTCACCAAACTGCCAAATCGTCTCGCCTTCCTAGACTTAAATCTCCCAGAATAAGTCCCGCGGCAAACTTAATTAGCCACTACTCTCTCCTCCTCGTGTATTCCTCCTGCCACCCATCGTGGGGTAAAGACAAGCACCCATGGCCAGAAAGAAGAGGAACCCTGACGCTATCGTCGCAGCGTTTGACACCTACTTCGGCAACGGCGAACTGGCCGACTGGCAGCGTTTGTGCCGCGATATCGGGCTCGAGGCGGAGGGCAAAAACACCAGCAGTATCACGCAGTGTCGGAAGGTAATGAAGTCTGCCCCTTTTCTGTCGTTCGCCATAATCTACCTTCCTTGCGTTGTTATTCCCACATTGTTTCGGCCGTGAGGGATTATTTTAAGGGAGGGAATGGATGTAAACTAATGAAAAAATCCTCCGTAGGCCCTAGAAACGGTCCATGTAAACATTTACGACTTACTCCATGCGGTCAGGCTGGGTACACAGCCGCGGCGGTTTGGCAGCGCAAAAGCGTTGAGCAAGTACTGTCGGAACACGGGAAAGATTTACCCGAAGGAAAGGGCGAAAGAGATGGGGCCTGTGAGGGCGTTGTTGAGAGAGGTTTTTAGACATGGTTAGTTATTCTGGGATGTGGGCGCATCGGAGGGTGGTTGATTTTCACAATCGGGAACATGGAGAGCATCTAGGGGCGATTTCTAGTCTCGGTTGGGTTGAGTAATGTGATGGATATCTTTTACTCCCTCTCCCCTTTCTTGTCATTCATTCCAACTCCATGCCAGACAGACCTGATCTCAAACATCCAACATAGACCCCAACCACCCAACTAAGCCCGAATCTCCCACAACCTAATCTTGCCTACATCGTTCCCAACCGCCAGCACATCACTTCCCGCGCTAAACGCCACCGCCGTAATTCGGCCTAGCGGCGTCTGCTCTGTCGGCCAGTTGCGGTACACGGTGCAACTAGGCAGGTGCACGAGTCGTAGCGTGTCCTTCTTCAGCTGGGTACCAAAGGCGAGTAACTGGCCGTCGGGAGAGAAAGTGACAACCGAGATGGCGGTGGTGAGGTGTTCGAAGGTGCGAGTTGGCGTGGGGAGTTTCTTAATCTCAACTGTTGCTGTGGTGCTGCTGTTGTTGTTCCCGGCTTGTTGTTTTTGTTTTGGCTTCGCTAGCAGCTCGTTGCGGTCATACACATTCAACACGCCGCTGTTGGACCCGATGGCAACCCAGCGGTCACCACCAAGCTCAGCCGGCCCGTTGGAGCCACCTAGCGCCATCACCGTCCCGCCAATGGACCCGTCATCCCTCCAGACACCGACAGTCCTCCGCGTCTTCAAGCTCCACTCGGTAACCTGCCCATCTTTACCAGCAATCGTCAACCCTTCGCCGTCCGACCACCACGCAAAATCGGTGACACCACCGCGCCCGTCAATACGCGCCTGCGCAACCCACTGCATGGTCGTGACACTAACAATGTTGAGGGATCCGCCGCCTTTCTTGTCACTCGTGACAATAGCGAGATATCGGCCGCACGGGCTGGCACGGAAGCGTTCCATGGTGCGGTGCTCGCGCTGATGGGCCTGAATCTTGGACACCTTCTTGACGAGGCCCGAGGACAAATTCCAGCTGTGGAAGTAACGCCGGCGGCCGGCAAAAACGACCTCGTCGCCGGCGGGGCCGACAAAGGCCGCGCGCCGCAGGTCAGTTCGCTTCACCTGCACCGAGGTCAACGCCGGGTTTGGCGTCGGGTGCGCGGCGGGGTCGATGTGGTGGAGGTACATGACGGATGAGGTGCTGGTGGACAGGAGAATTGGCTGGCGCGGGTGGAAGGCGAGCGACGAGATGCCGGCCTTGTGCATGTCCGGGATGTCGCGGGTGCGCTGGATGTCGATGGTTTCGGGGCGGAGCTTGCGGCGCTTGTTGGTATTGTCCGCGCCGCGGGCGAACGAGTTGGCATCGCGGAGGAAGGCATCGAGCGGGAGCGGGGCGTTGTCAATTTCTTCGCCGTCGCTGTCGAGTTCCACGTCCGAACCCGGGGCCGAGTCTGAGCCGGCTGACGACCGGCGACGTCTTCGCTTGGAACCGGCGGTGGCATCCTGAGCCCACTCGGGGAGCGGGTAGAGGCGTAGGTACTGCTGCCGTAACCGTTTGGCATACTCTGTCCCACTAACCACATCCTCTGCTTCGGTGTTTCGGAGCTTCCGCAACCTCGTCGCACCGGCGAGGGAGACCGTCAACCGCTCGTCGTCGCTGTCCTCCCATGCCGGCGTTTCTTCGGGCTCTTCTTGTGGTGTTGGCTGCGCCTGCACAATTTCCATCTGATCATCGGAGTCATCGCCCGCATCGTACGTGAATAGCATTGAGTCCGAGAGGCGTGCGTGCTTGTCGTCATTGTCGCCGTCATCGTCTGTGGTTGTCTTGACGAGGGCCGTGGAATTGGTTACCGAGGGGAGAAAGTCGTCGCGGAAGAGTTGCTCGCGGAACGTCTCCTTGCTCCCGAGCACAAAGCGCTCTAAGTCTTCCTCTTCGGAGTCCTTCTCGAGGAGCGCATTTTTCCTCTTCGCGGCAAGTTTGCTGGCGTTGTGGTTCTCGTGGTCGTCGTCGGAAGCAGAGTCGGATAGGGCATCATCGTCGTCAAAGCTGGCAAAGGATCCCTCATCGGAGGACATATCGTCCTGCTTCTTTTGTTGATCGCGCCTCGACATGGTGGCTGTGGAAATGTGGCCAGAATGGTTGTGGTGTTGCGGTGGAAAACCGTGGGGCAGATTGTTGATCCATTGAAAGCAGCTTCAACTTTTTTTTCTCTGGGCTGCAGCCTTGCAGATGCCAAGACATATTTAAGTGGGACCAGTACAAGGGTCTCTCAGCCTCGCCTTCATTCCGCTGAGGATTTGGTAAAGACATTGACGAAGCTCTTCTGTCTTCCTTGATGAAATGTGAGGTTTCAGAAATTAATATCAATTACGCGACTTCATTGAGCTTGAAGCTGTAGTCAGTGTGGAAGTTTGGAACATTTTATGCCTCCATCAACAAGCCTAGAATTTACCATGCCATCAAAGCACACAAACTCTCAAACTAGCCAAACTCAACTTCACAACACCAACGCAGCAACAACACCCCCCATAACCGCCGCCCACCCAACCCTCCTCGCCACCGCGCCATTAGGACTCGTCTGCACCTGCGTCGCATCGCCCGGCGCAAACATCACGGGTACGCTGCTATCCGCCGACTCGTGGATCTCCTCGGGTGTCATCAGCGGGTTGTTGAGCGCGTCGCACGACGGGCGCTGCTCGCCGCTGTAACCCCCGCTGTCGCTGCTGCGGCTGCTAGCGCTGATACCCTCGGGGATGCTGTTTGAAACGGAGATGGGTAGGTCGAAGATGGTGTAGTGGTCGGTGCCGTTGAGGCGGAAGGATTGGCGGATGGAGATCTGGAGTGGGTGATTGGTTAGTAACCTTGAGCTTGGATTTGAACTGAAGGTGGTGGGTGAGGAACGATGATGAAGAGAGAAACATACGTTGTACACGCCCCGATCGGTGTCACCCAACCCTTTCCCCTGGCTGCCATCACCAACAAGACAGTCGGGCCAGGTCCAGCGGACGTGCTTGACGGTGCTGCCAGGCTCTTGGAACATGATGTTGCCTAGGCTGGCGTTGTTGGCCGAGGCCGTGCCGTTGGTAATGGTAAAATTGCGCTGCGTGGTGTAGCTGGACAGGAAGATGCTGATATTGTGGATTTGGCTGGGGCTGTCTTCGGCGTATGGGGGCAGTGGAAGGCGGCCGTTGGTCGAGACATCGAGGGCGACTTCGATGGTGTCTGCGATGCTGGTCAGGCTGCTGTTTTTTAGGAGAATGGTTAGGCTGGACTCGAACATACCTCCGCCGAGGGGTGTGCCCGGCTGGGGAGAGTCGACTATGGCTAGACCAGGGGTGTAGATTTGCCCATTCGCGATGGTGAAGTTGAGGGCTGCGGATTGAGTGGCGAGCAGGAGTGCTGCCGCGTAGGCTGTCAAAAAATTCGGTGCCATTTTGGACGTCGTGGAAAAATTACAACAAATAATACGCAGTTCGAAACTACACCAAGAAGTAAACAAAATGCGGTATGGCCAATGTGCAAATCTAAAAACCCAACGGAGAACGAGTGTAAGAAGGTGAAGTTGGCTCTAACTATGCCCTGGTCTTGGGACAAAATAATAGCATTGAGGCCAAGAGCAGAACCGGGGAAGGGTTGGAGGACCGTGGGATGGCATCAGACCCTTAAATAGTCACCGTGGAAAGAGGAGCAGGAAATTAATGGACGGACTAGCGAGGAAACCGGGTTCGCTTCCCACCCGTCATCCGCGTCGAGTTGACGTGGGATGCATCTATGGGAAAATAAGTAGGTTTTATTCGTGGGTTTATTCTGCGAGGAAAAGAGAGTAAATTTAACTACTTGAGGACACAGAGCATGAATGATTTGCATTTGGTGACAGCCATGCTGCGGAACAGGCCCCGGCACCATCACGCTTTCACATTCTCGTGTCGTCTCAGAGATGACGGGATGGAAACATCGTGGAAGACGGGTAGAACGGATCGCATGCAGGGCAGCACAGGGCGGGTTTCAGATTGACTGGAATTCTTGGGATTCTACACCAGACTTAATCTGGTTAGGCCCAACGTTCGAGCGGGGCTTTGGAGATTCTGCTCGGGGGTATCGGGCCGAGCGCACCGAGACGCACGGGCCATAAGAGCAGTGAATTGAGAGTTTCTCGGACGCAATTGGGAAAGGACTCAGCTAAGTTCCAACACTCCGTTAATTCTTGTTGAACCGGTTTATCGCTGCTAAATCCAAACATCGAGATTGGTCCCCGCCTCGAGCCCTTGTTAAAACATTAAAAATCCCAACGCATCATACGACAAAAACCGTCCAAACTTTTAGTCAAAAAGCCCCTTGATTGGCCAATTACAGCCGCGGTTTTCCCCAAGTGGACTCATGCAATCCCCGGATTCCGCCCTTAGAGTTACATCTCACAAGATCTTTGGTCACGATCTCTTGCTGCGATATCCACCATTGAGGGGCACACTAAGTTCGGAGTCGCGACTTGTACCGATAACTGGAACCAGTCTTTGGTGGAGTTGAATATTTAACATTGGGTCTTCTCGTCATTTGCAAAGCTAGGTCTATTAACCTCAAGACTCCGATACAGAGCCAGATTTCTTCGAACATATCCCACCTTATACAGTTCTTTTCTTCCACATACAAAGTAAACACCAACTCCCAACGGGGAGGTGACCACCATGGCAACCCGCGCCGCCACTGCCTTCTCCCGGGGTTCTGCCCTCCTCACCCCTCGAAACCGCCTCCTCTCATCCCGTCGTTTCTTCTCCTCTTCCCCCTCATCATCTTCCTCCCTCCTCAAAATCTCCCCCGAAGTCACCACCGCACTCGCCCGCAACCAGCCCGTCGTGGCCCTCGAATCCACAATCTACACCCACGGCGCCCTCGGCGACGATCTCGACCTCGAAGGCATCGTCCGTGCACACGGCGCAGTCCCCGCAGTCTGCGGCATCCTAGCCGGCCAACCCACCGTCGGACTGACGCCGGAGGAAGTAAGCCGCATGGTGCGCGAGGGCGCGCGCAAGGCATCGCGAAGGGACCTGGCGTTCTTGTCGGCGCCGGCTGTGCGGCAGGGGTCGGGAGCACATGGAGGTACGACGATCTCGGGAACCATGGTGCTGGCGCGGCTGGCGGGGATCAGGGTGTTTGGGACGGGTGGGCTTGGTGGTGTGCACCGTGGCGGGGAGGTGTCGATGGACGTGAGTGCAGATCTGACGGAGCTTGGGCGGACGCGGGTGGCGGTGATTAGCAGCGGGTGCAAGGGGTTTCTAGACATCCCGCGGACGCTAGAGTTCCTCGAGACGCAGGGGGCGTTTGTGTCGACGTTTGCGGACGGCCGGGACGCGGCGGGGAAGGTGGATTTCCCGGCGTTTTGGGCGCGCGAGAGCGGCGTGCCGAGTCCGGCCGTGGTGCGGGATGAGCAGGACGCTGCGGCGATTATTCTGGCGCAGGAGCAGTTGGGCATCGAGAGCGGGCTGTTGTTTGCGAACCCGATCCCGGAGGAAGCGGGGATCCCACGCAAGGAGATGGAGGCTGTGATTGAGACTGCTGTGCGAGAGGCGACGGAGAAGGGTTTCACGGGCAACGCCAACACGCCGTATGTCCTGCAGCGGATTCGGGAGCTTACACAGGGCCGTAGTGTACCGGCGAACAAGGCGCTGGTACAGGCTAACGTTGCCCGCGCGGCTAAGGTGTCCGTGGAGCTGGCTAAGCTGATGGACGGCGCACCTGTTACGCCGAGGACACAAGGTCACAGCCAGGCCAAGGTAGAGACGTCGACTGCGAAACCAGAGGTAGGGCGTTAGGCCATGAAATATACTTTGCTTATTTTTTCTTCTCAGTCAACCTGCCACTGACACGCGACCTAGGATCATCATCCGGTCGACGTGCTCGTGGCGGGTTCGGTAGCCCTTGATTTGAGTTGCGATTATGCGCCCCTAGAGAGCAGCAGCAGCAGCAGCAGCAGCAAGACCAACATCACTGCATCGACGACAGCATCGCCTGCTCTGCACACTTCCAACCCGTCCGCCATCAGCCAGTCTATCGGCGGAGTCGGCCACAATCTCGCCCTCGCAGCCCACCGTGTCAGCGGGGACGGCAAGATACGCCTTTACACCCTCGTCGGCAACGACATCGCGGGCTCGACCATCCTCTCCGCCCTCCGCGCCGAAGGCATGGACACATCCATGGTGCAACAACTCGACCCAGCTCAGCATCCGGGCGCGCGCACAGCACAGTACGTGGCCGTCAACGACGCCAACAAGAACCTTGTCATGGCTATGGCTGACATGGATATTTTCACCAATCACACGCACACCTTTCCGGGCAACTGGACCGCCGCGGCCGTCGCAGCGTCCCGGCCGAAATGGGTCGCCGTCGACGCGAACTGGTCTGCGGACGATATCCAGACATGGCTGCGCGCTGCTGCGGACCATGACTCCCGTGTCGCGTATGAACCTGTTTCTGCTGCTAAATCCCAGCGTTTATTCCCCGCCTTCAAGAGGAAGACCACACCATCATCACCCTCGCCTCTCGGCGTATTCCCCAGCCCCAGCGTTCACCTCTGCACGCCAAACCAGTACGAACTGCGCGCCATGTACGACGCAGCCACACGCCACGGCTACCTCGACCACGAGCGCTCACCAGCGTGGTTTGCAGTCCTCGACGCGTTTGGCATCCTGAGCGGTGCCCGCGAACGGTTTCTCAATATCCTCACCGAGCCCATCTCCTCTTCTGCTTCTTCTTCTTCAACATCCTCTACAGGGGAAGCAGCCGAAGACATCCCCACAACAATAACTGCCGCAACCGAAATCATCGACGCCGGCATCCCCGTGCAATGCATCAACCTCCTCCCCTACATCCCCACCCTCCTCGCGAAACTCGGCCCGCGCGGCGCGCTGCTGGTTACTATTCTCTCCCACGATGACCCCCGTCTGCGTGACCTAGCCCATGCGCGGTATGTTGTCAGCCGGACCATGAATGAGAACACGGATGTGGGCGGGGTGTATATGCGGTTGTTCCCTGCTGCTGAACGGGTGGATGAGCGGGAGGTGGTGTCGGTGAATGGGATTGGGGATACGTTTATGGGGGTGTTGGTGGCTGGGTTGGCTGCTCAGGGAGGGAAAGGGGGTTGTGAGGTGACGGCTGAGTTGGTGGATGTTGCGCAGAGGGCGGCGGTGTTGACGCTGAAGAGTAGGGAGAGTGTGAGTGTGGGGCTTAAGGGGTTGAGGGGGGATTTGAGGAGGGCGGTGGAATCGAGGTAGAGTCGAGTTGACCAAGGGTGTTGTTGGTATCGGACAGGGTTGTTCTGGAGGAATAAAAGGTGGGTGGTGATGTTAAGCATCAGCCCTTCGTTTCTCGATTGCCAAGGCTTTCATTGACTTCAGACCCAGGTTCAACGATTCACAACTGCAACTCTTTTTCCAAATTCTGCTAATACTCTACCGATTCGCTTAGCTTGCTGCCTGACGGGATGTGACAAGACCGAGCTGACGAATGAGACGCTGGGGCTTGGCTCGAGGAATCCTTTTCGGGTCTTGGAGTCTTGGGTTGCCGTCTTACATTAACCGCCTAATTCAACGTCAACTGTTCCTTCTCACTGTTTATCCTTTAAACATCCCTCATAAAATTTCCGTGTCATAATCTCATAAAACATCAATACCTCGGTAAAAAGACCTAGCTATCACAACACCCACCATGTCGCCATCACGAACCGACGACTTGCGCGCCTACTTCTCGGCGCCCAACGCCACACCCCGGCCCATCCTCACGTCCCTGAATGGCGACCATTCCTGGCTCGCCTCATTCCCCCGCCCGGCTGCCGAGCGTGCCCAGCCAAACAGCAAAACCTTCTTCCATGTTGTGATCGACCCTTGGCTGGCTGGGGAGTCAACCCTGCTGGGGTCTTGGTTCATCTCCATTACCACGCCGGCGCCTGCAGCGATCAACTCTGGCGCAGCCGTCGAAGATGTCGTGCGAGAGATTGAAGCAGAAGCGAACCAGGGCGCTCCCAGGACGGAAGAAGGAACCGACAAGACCAACAACTCCTCACCCATCGACGCCATCTTCCTCAACTTCCACTACGGCGACCACGTCCACGAGCCCACGCTGCGTACCTTCAACCGCGACATCCCCGTCTTTGCCACAGCCGAAGCCGGCGCTCTCGCCCAGAAATTGAACCATTTCTCTCATCTCACTTTCACGCACGATCTCGTCGGCGGTTCCTCACCAACCCAATCCTGGCGCTCCCTGCGTCCAGGCCAGCAAGACAGCGGCAGCAGCAGCGATGCTTCTTCGACCACCACGGCTGCCAGCGCTCTCCCCGACTGGCTAACCGTCTTCCGCATCCCAGGCCACCACGAACTCAACCACGGCACAGCCATCATCTACTCCCCGCCCTCCCCGGACCCAGCAACTGTCCCACAACGCCATGAAACCCTCCTCCTCATCCCTCACGGCATCCGCACCGACCAGCCCGCGCTGCAGGCTTTCCTCACCTTCCTGCGCGATGAGGACCCCAAGGAACGGCTTGACCTCCTTGCCTTGCTGCACCCGCTCAAGGTGAACTACGCCTTTGGTAGGCAGTTCACGATGGGCTTGGAGGGGGGGATGGAGTTGTTGGAGGAGTTTCCTAAGTGTGGAGATGGTAGCGATGGATCTGGGTCTGGATCTGGGTCTGGGTCTGGGAACGGACCGCGGTACTGGATCCCGACGCATAACGCGATGTTGGGGTATGCGGGGTTGTTGGCGTGGGTGATGTGGATTAATGATGTAGTGAGGACGGTGGGTGAGGCGCAGGAGGAAATGGAGAAGAAGAAGAAGGCCCCGAAGGTGGTGGGGGTGGAGAACGGGTCGTGTCTTGTGTTGATGTAGGGCCTGGGGCTGGGGAAGGTGGTTTGCGTTTTCGTACAATTTCGTAATTATTTTCTGTTTTTCTTTTGGACGTGAGTCTTACATACCCCTTGCAAAGGAAGTGTTCAAACTGGTGATTATTACATGTTTGGGACATAGTTTACGTGTGAACTAGTCATTGGTTGACGTAGTCTTTATATGGCGTAGGCGTCAACCGCAAATGCGGTCAGTATGCAGTGGAAAAATAGGTAATGAGGCAAGAGACGGAGAATCACACCTCTCAAAGAAAGAATTCGCAATGTATGTGAAAGTGGTCGTTTTGTTACCGACGATCACGGTACTGTACCTTACCTACCTTAAGTACCCGAATCTCTACCATGTCGATATAACTGACCGACGCCATCCACCCCGAGGACTTCTTTAGACGACAGAGACAAGACTAGGGACAGGAGCAGATAGGTGCTTGGGGGTGTCGTTTTTGACGTAAGATGGCAATCGCGTCTCACGTCAAGTGCATACAGGCCGCATACGTTTGGGCTTTCCTTTCGAGCTCTGACCACATGAGACCTATCGGGCATGTACCTGAGCCGGGCCTTCCCTAGGTAGATAGTATCTTGACGTCCTGTCAAGTGCCATCATGGCTTTCTAATAACCATGACGTTGTTGGTAGACTCACAATTACATCCAGGCGGCCGCGAGGCCCTCCCAGGATGCCAGTGTATAAAGAGCTGCCCACTATGCTCTCTTCTCACTCCCTACGCTACCTTCTGAGCCTCCCGGTACAGACCATCCACGGAATTTCCTCGTTACTCCCAACTATAATTCCTGTATCACTCACCCTGGCCACCATGGCGTCGCTCAACAGCTTACCCCTTGAAATCTTGGGTATGATATTCAAGAATTCTGACCGCATCGAGACGCTGTCGTCCGCGATCCTCGTCTGCCGCCGTTTATGCGCCTCATTCCGCACGGCTTCTTGCGTTCCCGAGGTCGTGCTCTACCGTCAAATCCCCCCGACGGTGCTCCCATACGCCATCGCTTGGGAGGAAGCACGATGCCTCCACCCCGATCCGGTTGACACCTCAATCATGGCTGTGATCGACCAAATCAACAATCAGCCGGACTTGCTTATCGCCCGAGCATTCAAGTTTCCCATGGCACGCCTTATCAAAATGAGCCGTACGCACGACAGGATGCACGGCTTCGTCATGGACTATGCGAAACAAGCCCGAGCCCTCATCGATCCTGAAAGCGTAGGAGATGCGGTGGTCCTCACGTCAACCGAGTATACACGGTTTTGTCGCGCCTTTTACCGCGTTGATCTCTGCAACCTGTTGCTTGAGCTATTCGGCAGCGGGCCTGCGATCGACCCGAGTCTTCTCCACGCTTATTTCCCTTGGGAGAACGAGCAAGTTGCCAGTGCTTTGGAATACCTGAGAGACAGCTTTATCAGGGGTAAGTCATGAAAATCGAAAAGGCGGAACGTTTGAAGATTGTCATTCGCCCCCCCAACTAACCCTTGTAATTCTCGAATAGCTACGTATGAGGCCATGGCCCACGATGTCGAGCTTGGCGCCCGCACATTCGAGGTTTCCGAACGCTTGGAGAATAGGATGATGTTGTTCAACCACGCCTGGGTTAGTTTGTTGTTGTTTCTTTGGTGTTCCATATCCTGATAACGCCCCTTATATAATTACCCCAATCACCATCACACCAGCAAACTACTAGTCCATAGCCTTACGCTAACACGCATCGCACCGAAGCCGATATATCATTCCAAGGCCAAATCCATCACGGAAATGGTGTTCTCCCTAGAGCAATATGGCTCCTATGAGGCTACTAGTCGCACTCTGGAGTCTGTGCGACTAGGCCCGGCTGTGATTTGGGGTGATGGGCCGAATCTAGAGCGAGGACTGTGCAGAGCTGCAGCTCTTTCTTTGGTCGAGGCTTTCGTGAACCCATCGTCGTGGCCACCTCACGCCGGCCAACTTCGGATACGCAACGTGCTGGAGAAAACATTGTTCCAGCATATATTGACAGCGTGTACCTGGACCGAAGACGGCCGACGCCTGCGCACACCGACTACGGCTGACGCAGCGGGCCCAGCAGACAAAGACTCATTCTTGGTCTGGCGCAAGGCGCATGCAGAACACACCATTCCCGATACCATGCTTACCATCCGCTCGACTCGAGATGGTTGGCTCCGCAGGCGCGCTTACTTGTTTTGGGATGAGGAACGGGTTCAGCTCACCATGGGAAAAAATCCTGGATCCGGACGGTTCACTGTTCCTCAGACAATCCCGGACGAGTCGTGGAAGGAGAGAGCTCGGATTTGGAAACATGGGGGCAGCGGCTACTGGAGCGAGGGGGGCATGAGCGGAGTGGTCTGGGGAGGGCCTGATCGAGCCATTCCTTTTATTTGATTCTTCGGCGCTGCGGTTTGCATTTGATGTGCTCTGGTTATCCATTGAATTTATTGACTAGCTAGCTCGCGAACTGGAACGGGGAAGACTTTCAGCATTTGGAGTTTGGAATCCAATCAGCAGAGATGTATGTCAGGATCTACCGCGATTGGCTTCGCTGAATACTTTAATTTGACGTTGTTTTACGGTGTTTCTGGTCAATTCCTAGATAATCAAGTGGAAATTCAGGTACAGATGATGTGGTGAGTAACTCATCGGAGAACTAATAATCGACTGACAAAATCTTGCTTAAGCGCTTTTTAGTTATAAAGCCGTGGATTTCCACTGACAAAGGTTGGGGTTTCGTAAGAGACGATGGGGTGTTTTTTCTTGTGAATGTGGTTGCTCTGTACTAAGGCGTTTGAAATGAAGTCGACTTGCCAGATAAATATTATAAGTAAGGTACGGGAGCTACGAAGCTACCACGTAATTACCTAGGTACCTAATTACAATGTGTACAGTAACGGCCTGACATTTATTATGTCTTTAGCTCACTAATCGCCTAGCTCGCGCGAGCAGGTGGCACACGGGTGAGCACAGGCACTATTAATGCAGCTATCCGTACAAGATCTGCTTCCGTATTCCGTATTGTGGTTAATTAATTAGGTAACTAGGTATGTACCTAAGTACGGACGTACACCAGGCTCAACTTGTGTTGCTAACTTCAGTACCTACCTTAGGTAGTTGGCTCAATTACTCCTTTCACAGCCATGCGCACATCCAGTTGCTGCACAAACCACATCGGCCTAGGCTGGGCCACCCCGGCCCCGGCCCTCTCACCATCCCCATCGTCAGGTTCCAACACAGGCCGCAATTTCTTGCCCAGCGCCGGAAGGACATTCCTAGGAAAATTAAGGCGGTTCCTCGAGGTCGCCAGCACGACAAACCGGTCGAACATGTCGGGCTGGTGCGCGCCGGACACCCTATCCGATAGCGACATCTTGAGGTAGAACCGCGCCCCCTCGTTGGGCGGCGTCAGAATCAGCGAGTTCCCCGGCATCGGGTACGTCCGCATCACCTGCCACGACGGTTCCAGGTTCAGGATCTCGATGTACAGGTTCTCCTGCGACCTGTTGTGCACCTCGATCCCGACGCTACAGCCTTCTCGAATGTTGATGGTGTTCGGGGGGAGCGGTTCGAGGCCCGCGTCTAGGGGAAGGGGGCTTTTGAGTGGGAAACCTCGCAGTTCGGGGACCTTGACGCCTTCGTTGAGGTAGCCAATTTTTCTGACTGTCAGACCTCGTTCTTGCTGCGCCACGTTGTCTGTGGAGAGGTTGAAGAGGTTGTAGAAGACGGTTAGGTGGTCTAGGTGAGAGAGCACGTCCTTGGGCTCCGGTCCTGTGACCACAACCTTGGCTTCAGCTTGGTATGGGGTGAAGAAGATGGTGGAGCTGCCATCTGCTTGCACCAGGACCTTGAAGAAGGCCTCACTGGCGTCGTCTTTGAGCTCGAGAAGCTTGCTCTCCCCGCGGCTGATGCAGGCCCGGATCTTTTGGACGTCTGCTGGATCAGGTCGCTCAGCAGTGTCATTTTCCACAGCCACCGCCGATACCCACACCCCCTTGGGTTGCAGGACGTGGTCCTTCAAGATACTGCATAGACTAACAGCCACGCAGCCGACCCGGACCAGCTCGAGGCTGGTAGAGTTCGATTGGATGTGCGCCTTGCAGGTGAAGTCCGCCAGATCAGTCACCTTAGTCACGCTGCAGGTGGCCAGCGGCGCGGTGTAGTCAGCAAGAGTGGCAAGCGGTCTGTCGCTGGGGTAGATGGCAAAGATATCATCCAGGCACACGCCGTGCGCCACGCCAGCAGTCAGTCCCACCTCAAGCCCTCCGCTCCCCAACCTCTCGACGCCGGTGACGACCACGGGGGGATCCTCTACGCTCTCCACGCCGAAAATATGGCGGTCGCCCTGGCCGCCAAACACCACGTCCTGCTCCCGCGACTTACTCCTCTGCTCATGAGTCTTGAGTGTGTGCGCGACGAGGTTGGAAACGACATCGCAACTGAGCCGGCGCAAGCGATCTGCACCTTTGTTTTGTTCGATGACGCGGGCGAGGCAGTCCGTGAACAGCCCCCTTCGCACATTCGCCCTGCGCGGCACCTCCTGCGCCTTCTGCTTCGGCTGGCAGGCAGCGAGAAAGTTGATCCCCTTGGACGCCGTCAGCCAGTGCTCCACTACGCTCCCGCCGCGGCCCGCGTCGTCGTCGTCATCGTCGTCGCTGTCGTCCGGGTACTGGCCCCGGGCGTCTTCCGGATCCTCCACAGACTGGATGGGTTTTCGGTTTAAATCAAAAAAGTTATCGTCCGGGATCTCCCCGGACCCCCGGACCACCCCACACTCTTCCTCATCATCACCTCGTGTAGCCCCGCCCGAGTGGCAGCAGTCGAGCACGAAGGTGACCGTCGCGCCTTTGTCGGCGATCTGCTTCAGCAGAAAGGCAATTTCCACGTCGCGGAGGTGATCGAGCTTGCCGTCGCGGCGGGCAAGGACCAGGCACTCGTCGTAGTCCGTGTGCTGGCTCTTGAGGTCGGCGAAGATGGTCTCTAGACGGGTGCCGTGGCCCGAGTAGTGGATGTAGATGAAATCGCCGGGCTGGGCGTCGTGGGCGAGGGTTTTGAATGCGGACTCGATGTTTTTGAAATTTGGGAGGCGATCGTTCGGTGAGTTCGGCGGAGAGATAAGCTTGGTAATGTTGTTTGGGGGGATGCCGGCAACCTTGGTCAGGAAACTCTCGGTGGTCTCCACGTCGGAGAGGGAGCCGCGCAGGTTGGTTAATGCAGGGCTGTTGTATTTGTTGATGCCTATCAGCAGTGCTGATTTCCGGCCTTTATTTGATTTTTCCGCCATAGTGTTTGGTCGTGAGTTGTTTCAATCCAAGCTCATGGGCTACAAGGCAAACTAGAGAAGCGAGGAGTTGATAGAGTGCGACAAGATGAAAGATTGTGGCATGGTCGAGCAAAAGCGGCGACTGTGCCAGCCTTGCTCAGCGTGGGTGGGGGAAGTTGGGAGCTTATGGCCAACCTCTGGTCACTGAACATTAGTAATTCCATGGATGGAACGGGACGTCCAGACAACACGGGCAAAGGACGCCGCTCGGTGATCACCGGTTTAGATGTGTTAACATAAGTTGGGCATCATCGCTGAGCAAGCTGCTTTGGTTCTTATGAGCCGGGACGCCTATCCAATGGCTCGAGTGCTTGTCCGGACACCACCTGAACTGATGCCCAACAGCTACGCCACCTGATGCCTAAAAGCGGCACCGACAACAGCTGCAGCAGTGCTGGTCCCAGCCTGGCCGCAACATTCCATTTTAAGCGGAGAATTCCAGCGTATATTACAGTATATTCAAGCAACTGCAAGGCATTCAATTACATATTGCACTGTACCATGACGGCTATAATTAGTCGCCTCGGAATGGTCAGGGTCTTGCGTGGGGGCTCACAGTGGCTTAGACATAGAACTTGTTGCATGATTTGGCCGCTGTCTCCTATGGCACACAGCCTCTGGGACTGTGACCTCGGTCGGGCAACCGGACCTGGCTTCTCTAATTGCGTCTTCATCCGTTCGTTTCTCTCGAATCTCAAACTTGGAGTCTTTCCGCGTTTTGAAATTTCAGTCCAAGCTGGAGCAGCTATCCAATCATCAACACCTACGTTGTGAAGCCTGCTTGGAAACTTGAATCTTGTATAGAACACCCCTACGTGCTATCTACCTCCCTAACTCTAAACTACCTAACTACATCTTATCTCCCACAGGGCAGCCAACGGAACACAAGACGACAAAATCGACGAGAACCAAGCTCGGCATACCCTCGCCAGCTCCTGGTTTCTCGGCCCGTGGGTTGAGAACCTGGACGTCCTCCAGTCAATCCTCGGCAAACCCCTAAATCGGCAACAGCAGACCCGGTTCGGACTCGCAGACGACAGGGGCTAGTACTTATTCATTACAGAAAATATGAAGAAGTTGGATATTTACCAACAAGGCATTCGCACGCTCACCCGAAATTCGGCGGACCTGTCGGGCAGCCTGCTGAGGTATTCCGTGCCGTTCTGGTCGCCGCGGTACAATGCGCATATGAATAATTATGAATACAACGCTGGCGAGCATTATTGGATGTAAGTCCGCGTTTATATTACACAGCCGCTTGAACTGCGGCCCCCAATAACGCTTTGTGGCGGGTGGCCTTAAGACATGTCGGCCATGATTTACAACCCCAACAATGTCGCCACCGAGGCAAGCCTATATACGACCAAACTCGAGCGGGAAGGCGGCCTGGAGTTTTGTGAGATGCCAGGATACAGTGTCCGGGACGAAAGTCTCGCTCCCTGGGGGCATATCACCTGCGTCATGGCTCCGCTGAGTTAATTACATAGTACCTAATTATGGCTTCAGCCAGTTACTTTCATGTCAACCAACGGACAGTACTAATTTCTCCAACAGGTTCTCGAAGCTATTAGGATGGGCCCGTTGCCAATCTTGAGGCCATTTGGGCAAGTAGAAAATCCCCTTTGCTCCCCTTCACGCAAGGGACGAAATCTAATCAACCGCCGTCTCTCTCTCAACAGCGCGAAATCTCAAATTGGACCAATTCTCCCGCAAGCTCGCCATTGAGACAGCAGTAATTATAGATGTCTACGACGTGGAGGGAAGCAAGCCCGGCGCATCAGCCGTCGCTACCTGACTTACCTTACCCACCAGTCGCTAGGCCTTGACCAGGAGGGCCATGGCAGGCTGCTCGGCGAGGCCATTTTCTCGCGCGCAAAGGTTTGTTCAGACCTCGCTTCCCCATTAATTATAACCTACAAGTGGCACCCCACACGGTTAACGCTTTTTTTTCTCTACACTAGCTCTACTGCCATTAGACCACAATGACGTCGAGATCTGAGGATGAGCTCGAGCACAAAGTGCCCACTGACGCCCTCGTCGTTGAACCTTTCATTCGTCTCGCTTAGGAAAGTAAAGGCGTGGATGTCGAGGGCGAGAAAGACTACATCCGAGACAAGATCCCTGTTCGTGACAACCAGGAACTGTTCGAGGACAAAGAAGTCTGGGAGTGGTTGTATAAGCTGGGAGGCGATCTCATGATCAACGCCCTTGCGACCAATTTCAAGATTGGCGATGAGGTGAATCAGGATGTGGTGAGTCAACTTTCCCTATTCCCACCCAAAAACAAAAAGAACACAACAGAAAACCACTCTCCCACCGTTGCACACAGACGCTGAACGGCCGTCATCAACCAAACCAGCGCGAAGCCAACTGCCTCAGCCAATGGAAGCTTTCCGTCTCATCGGAGAACGACGTGGTCAAAGAGCGACCCCTCCTCCTCACATCCTCCGAGTTCGGAAAGAAACCGTGCGGCAATGGAGTGGTTGTTGTGCTGGATGATGTGTTGGAAGCCAGCTTGCAACCCCTGTAAATGCCCTCCTTCCTTCCCCGTGGGCTCTTTTGATTAATACCTATTACGAAGTACTGCAGCGCATGCGGCATCTCTCTCTTAGATATTAGCGCGTAAAACGGGACCAGAGTCCATGGACTAAACCACAGACGCATGTAAAAAACAATCAAACGGGCCGAAGACAGGACGAGACTCGGACAAGTGTATCGTCAATCTCAAAGCCCCGGGCCGCTCTCTGGTGCAACTGCAGGGGGGCTAACCACAAGGCGTTTGTGCACAGGACGTACGAGGAAGCGAAGAGTGGAGACGCTGAAACTATTGCCACGGGGACCATCAACATCGGCGACACAGCTGCGTCTAGGCTGACTTGGGTGATGTCAATAATCAATATGGATCCTGCTGCTGAGGATGAGGACCATCAACATTGAGGTGGTCCCGGCTCACAGCTGCAGGTGGCTGGTTTGGTGACCTGGTTTGGGGCTAGGGCAAAAAGAATACTGGATGCGCGAAATACAGTGGTGTCATTTGTCCACTTGAAAAAAAAGAAAAGCTTACGCGTGCAGGTAGGCGTATGGGCTTGAAGAGTCTGGTAGGAGCCACCAGCCACGTAAATAAACATTGTTCGTCCATGCTGGGGAGATGATTGTTGTCGTGGGTCAATCCATGGTTTTCTCGTCGCTGCCCGTGACCTGTTGCTGACTCCATCCGTCAATTATCTGGTCAGGCCGTCAGGGGGATCTTTTGCCACTTTTTCCGAGGCATGTCATGGCTGCCCTTATTTTGCCTCACCTGGCAATCCCGGGTCCGTAAACCGTTGCACTGCGTCGTCCTTGCCCTACTTTTCTCTCTCCCTCTCAAATCATTTCACGTACAGAAGTTCGGCAGCGTGTGGGTGGAGCTTTTCGGGCGTTACCGTGTTACCGTGAGGTAAGTGTACATGTACCTGCTGAGACAATGCCCAACAGTTGGGTACCTATCATGCAGCACTAAGCCCCCCTTCCCTCTCGCCGAACACTTGAAAAATGTTCATTGCCCCCTTCTGACTAGGTAGGTAGCCGAGAGCTAAACTGAGCTCAGCATTCAGCTCCGTCCCCCGCGGCATATTGTACTCTCATAATCACCTCGCCGAAAGACCCGAAACCACCGAATTCAATTACTCCACAAGGAAACCTCTCGAAAGAGGAACAAATTTGAGTAAAAATGAAGGCACAAAACCACACAGACTAAAACATCCACCACCAAAAAAATTAAAATAAAAAAATGGGCAGCCCAAGCCTAGCCCACACCTACCGCACCGCCATGCGCCGCCACCGCTTCGGCTACGCCCTCTACGAGCCAGCCCCCTTCGCCCGCCTACGACCGGGCATGCTGGGTTACCTCGACGACGAGTACCAGCGGTGGCACCCCATTCTCGACCTAACCGACCCCGCGGTCGTCCAAGCCGCAGGGTACGGTCCGCTGCGGCCGGTGCAGCGCAGCCCGCCCGACACGCGCCGCTACGGACCGTTGACGGCGGATAAGGTCACCGAGACGAGCGTGGAGATGAATGCGGGCGTGGGGGCCGGGGCCGTGGGTTTGCCGGTGGATGTGGGCGGGTTGGTCCGGTACAGCACCGCGGGCGGGTTTGGGGCTGTGTTGCTCTGCGGGGATGAGGTCGTATCGGAAGGGTTTGACTTTCGCGATCCGTTTTCGTTGTGGCTGCAGCGGCATGCTAAGTTGCTGTTTGCCCGGTATCCGGATGCGAAGAGGCATGGGCTTTGTGCTGTGACGTGGACGTATTCGTCGACTGATGTTGGGATTGCGACGTGGGAGAACTCGGAGGGCAGCGTGACGGTTGGGACACATGTCGGCGCCGCGGGGGTCGCAAAGTTCGGTCCGGAGGTGTCGTGGGTTCGCGGCGCGTCGAGCAGCGGGTGGTCGACTTGGAAGGACCAGAAACGCGTCGTCTTTTTTGCTGGCGTCAAGATCAAGAGTGGTTTGTTTGGGTCCCTACGGGAAGAGCCGGAGAAGAACTGGCGTAGCGCTGGCGATGCTTTTGTTGTCCAAGATGGTGAGAATGCTCCCTACACGGTTTCGGTTGAGCAATTCGGAGACGATTGGTATCACATTCGCAAGGCTGGGGAGGGAGGTCATATTGCGGCTGAGGATTCTGATGATTCTGATGATTTTGATGAATCTGATGCTTTTGATGATTTTGATGATTCTGATGATTCTGATGATTCTGATAATTCAGCTAATTCTGATGACGAATAAGATGAAGAAAAGGAACAAGTTGGCGATGATAAAGAAAACCTATCGGCGAGTGGTACCTGAATTTTTTCTTTCTTTTTTTTGTCGATATATCAATTTCACATACATGTTGGGTTGCTATCGAAGGCAGAAGGGTGTTTTGTCAGACACCAAAGTGAACAAAAGGGACCCAAAGCGATTCCATGGACGGTTTCGGTTCATATCCCACTCCCTCTCCCTTTCTCGGCCCTGATCTCTGCGCAGTGTGACCTCCATCATTGAGAGCCTCCCCACGTGGTACGGCTATCTCGTTTCCCTTGTCATCTAGAGCTCTAGCCTTAGTAGCGTCAGTGCCAGAACCGCGGGTATTCGCGCCAACCTGACCGTCTCGTGACTCCCTCAACGCTCGGTGAAGTCCGCGATAGACGGCTTCATCTGTCTTACCCTCATCGCGGATGGTCTCATAGAACTTCCGGGCCACGTCAGCACAAACGGGGTCGGACACAGCCCACAGGGTGCCTACAACGTGACGGAAACCCGCAAGCTGGCAGGCATAACCGAGATGGATCCCTTCATCCACCAACTCGAGAACCTCGTTTGCCCCCGTGGAACAGGCAGAGAGATAGGCAAGAAATGGTGGCTTCTCCTGCAGCTTCTTGTTGCGGAGGTCTTCCACCGTCAGCGGGTTTTCCTCCCAATCGCGGAGTAGAAGCGCGCTCTGGGAGGGATCTGAAGCATCCGACGTGCCGTGCCCCGCAAAGTGGAAGATATCACATTGGCTGAGCTGTGTCAAGATGTCTTTTTTGTGCTGGACTGGCCGAATCGCGGTCGCATTCAGCGCCGGACAGAGTTTCTCTAGCATGTCGACCTCGACCTCTGCGTGCTGCAGCGGGGAACGATGTGGTGTGCTCTTCATGGAAACCAACAAGGCGTTGATTGGGCCGGAATCATACTGCGGCTTCCTCTGGCGACGGCCTGCGAGCAGAGACTTAAGCGATAAGCTGTACGACGACATGACCCGATCAAGAGCTGTTTCTCCAGAGTGCCTGGTGTGGTATCCAGCGGCATGAAGTGGCAAACTGCTGAGGGGACCGACCGGTATCCACCAAATGTGCGGCCATGAATTGTCCTGCAGAGAGAGAGGGCGGTCGAAACCAAGTGCGTCGAGAATGGGATGCACGGCCGAGGACCATAACCACTCCAACACCGACGGCAGTGAATCGGGACCGTCCTTCAGTCGCTTGACATTTGCGTGGATGTCTTCCTGGCTCAAAAGGGGAAGCTCCAGCAGCCTGATTCGGTGCTTTTCAACAATAAACGCATCGCACCGCAACGAAGACACGTTCACCACGACGGCAGGGTCCGGGTCAGCCGCTTCCATGAGCTGCTCAACGGTAGGCGGCATCAAAAATTGCTCAAAACCTTTATCGCTGCGGATTTTCGTGAGAAGGGATTCCAAGTCCTTCACCGCTTGCCGGCGGGTTTGTGCACCAGACTCCCGCGATCCCCCCATTGGTGGTAGAGTCACCAGATTGTCATGGCCAGAATCCAAAATGTTGCGGAGTTTGGAAAGCTCATCCGCCCATTCTCGGTGTTCCTCTCGGAGGAATGACAGGTCGGCCCGCAGATCAAGAACAAGGCCCGAGATGATGCCTCTCCCGAGCTCCAGCTGCTGCAAGGCATACGAGGCCTCCTTCCTTGCATTCAAGGCAGCGGCGGCGGCGGCGGCCCCGACGCCAGCAAATTTCTTTAGCCTTTCCTGCTTGTTGACATTCTGCATATGTCGGGGGCTCACAGCGTGGAGAAAACTAACGGCATTGTCGAGGTCCGTTGAGACTTCCGTCCAGAGATCTTCGAGTAACATCGATAAATCAGGGGAATTGAGACGCTTGAGCGACTCAGCCCAAGTTGCCGCAAGCTCGCCAGCCCGAATTGCAGCATCGATTCGAACCGCAAGTGGAGCATTCTGACAGGCCCATGCTCGCTGGAAGGCTTCTCTGGATTTCGCCAAATTCGTAGTGTCGCCTGTGTGGCGAGATCGCTCAAGCAGCGCGTGCCCCAAATTGAATTCCAATTCTCCTCTCTCGGGATCTGAGAGACCCCCTTGAAGAGCCTGTCTAAGAACCTTGATGGCCTCATCCAAGTCCTCAACCTTGCCATCTTGTTCGTACTTGTACTTTTGCATTAGTAGACCTGACAGAGCCTTGGCCAACGTCACGCGCATCCTCATAACATCATCGTGGTCAACCGCCTCGGCCGCTTGTCTGTTGAGGTCAATCGCTTGCTCAATGTCTTGCAAGTTCTTTGACCCCATTTTGAATCGTAAATCTAGACAAGTGCTGAGTACAGCGAGCCGAATGACCCGCTCCGGATCACGCCGTTGGCCAGTAAGGTCCAGCGCTTGTTGCCCATAGTCAATGGCATTGTCGAGATCGCTGAGTACGCCGGTGTGCTGCGCTCGTAAAGGGAGGAGGATCGCTAGCATGTGTAGCTGCTTCGGTCGATCACCGTCTTCCTTGCTCATTAACTCCAGCGCACTCTCTATGTGTCGAATGCTTTCATCGAGATCAGCCACATCGCCTTCCTGCTGAAAACGGGCTGTCAGTGCACCTACCAGGCAGCCTAAGTTAACAATGTAGTTGGTCTTGTCCTTTGGGATCAGTGGCAACTTGTCGGTGAGAACGCCGATTATGCGGTCCAGATCCTCGGTGTTCTTTGTTTGCTCGAACCGCCTCCACAGAACTACCACTAGAATGTTGGAACCCTCTTCCATACTTTCCCAGTCCTCCCGTGGGTTTGCTATCTTCACGGCGGACTCAGCCATGGTAATGGCACGCTCGGCGATGTCCAGGTCGCATGTGCGCTCGAACAGCATACGTAGCGAGAGAGCGAGGTCACACAGAGTCATGGCCGTGGGAGGCCAGTCCTCGGATATCATGTCCACCGCCTCTTGACCCAGGGTGATGGCCCGATTGATGTACTGTATATCCTTTGTGTGTTCGTAACGGTGACGTAAAATTTTAGTTAGGATGTAGACAGCCGTATTCCACAACTCCTCCCCTGGGCACGTGGCTAAGACAGCTTCTTCTCCAAGCTGCACAGCCCTGTTCAAGTCATTCGGGTTTCCGTGGGACCCCATTAATAAGAATCGATGCCACAAGGCGCGGGAAAGTGCCATCACAAAGACCGCATGTAACGTATGGCCTTTTGGCACAACCAACAAGACGGGTTCGGTAAAGTCGATAATCAGATTGACGTCCTGGAGCGATTCCGCGCGCGCAAAAATAGCCCCCAGCTCCTCCAAAGCCCACCTTGCAAAAGTGGTTAATCTTTCGAGTACTTGCTGTTCATGAAAAGCGTCCGGATGTTGTGAGAGTGCCACAGCTTGTTGAATGGTGTCGACAATGTCCCATTCCGACTCCCGTGCCACCGGTCGAAAGGAGTCGATAGTAACAATGGCCTGCCTTAGCATATTCTCCATCGGTGGCCGAATATTTGATGATCTGATATGACTTGCTGGTTTCAAGGAGTGAAAACTCCGGTGGCTGTGATGCAGATAAAGGTCATAAAGGAGCTTTCGGGCAGGCCCCCAAAAGTGTCGCCGCTACCTAGAGGCTGGCAGTATTGATCCAGGCTGTCAAGGCTCAAGTTCAGCCCCGCCACAGTGCCACTCTGCTGGGTATAACGAGTCGTATGGCCAGCGAAAGTTGTGGCCATTGGTGTACATGTAAAATGCGTCCCGTCGCTTTTGTGATTTGTGTCGCCATAATTAACGTCACATGCCGCGTTGGCATTCAATGAGACCTGACTACCTAGAGGTTTCCAATCTGTCGACCCCTCCCGGCCGTTCCCCATCTTGATCATCCTCTTCCCCATCAAAATAAGGAACATCAGGAACAGAAAAGGTGTCGTAGAAATCGTCCGTTTTGGCCGCTGATACGGTGTCACTTGTCGGGTCGTAGAGGTAAGATGATTGTCAACCCCGGGGTATCATACACAATGGTCATCAAACTACCCATCACACGGCTCGTGGAAAGCTGAATTGTTGGAACAAGAACCAAGCATGTATCAATGAATGGCGGCGAGGCCCGGGCAGTTGGCAACAACGCCTCTGCATCAATGATCAATCACTTTAGGAACGCCCCGCAATGGAGATGAACAGAAGGGTTAGGGTTGATTCGTTCCCGAACAAATTGGGCGAACCTCGAGTCACCTGGCCCACGTAACCCCTTTCCTCTACAACTCCAAGTCGCAAAAGGCTTCCGTACTATGTACAAGACGGAAGCACATTTTGTAGCTTCATGGGTACCTAGATCGCGCCGTTCACCCCCTTGTTCACCAGCCAGCGCTCGCCCATGCCCCACCTGCTCGTGCGCGCTGTGGTATAGGTGATTCGGAAGCAAAAGACACATATGCCAGGAAGTGGCCACCTCACGCCGGCCGACTTCAGATACACAACGTGCCAGAGAAAACATCGTTCCGGCATATATTTACAGCATATACCTTGACCGAAGACGGCCGACGCCTACGTACACCGATCACAGCTGACGTAGCAGACCCAGTAGACAAAGACTCATTCTAGGTCTGGCGTAAGGCGTATATAGAATATACTATTGTGAGAATCAGGAGAGACTCAGGGGTTGATACTAAGAGTGAGGAGAGTACAA